CCTGCGCTAATTAATAATTGATTATTGAGCTAAGGTGAAATTCCCAAAATTGAATTGTTGGTGCAAAATTTGGAATGAAATGAAATGCGTCCCACCACGCCAGGTTTAACGACTTAAGGATTCTGGATGTATTAAGAAATCTCACTGTCTTTAATCACATAATCCAGAATTGAACTCTGATAAATGAATACAGTATCAAGCTTAGGTGCCAAATTAGTCCAACATTGAACTTGCGATGAAACGCGTGGCCAAAGCACAATGCTTAGCTGTTACAAGAATTTTGTTTCTTCATGAGTGATGTTCCAGTATTAACTCATATCCAAATTTTTAAAATCGAAGCCAGTTAATTGAATTAAGATGAAATTTCAAAAATTGGTACTGAATGAAACTACAATTATCTGCCCATAAAACCAGTCCAACGAGATTATTGACTCAATTTCTTCGTGAATGATGCTCTAGGACTAACCTCATAATGATGTTTTAAAAACCGACAGATGTTAATTTCATCCAGTACAGATTCCGCAATTGGTGCAACATTAAAAATTGAAATGACGGACTATCACATCAGTTGTAGCAGCTATAAGGATTCTGATTACTTAAATGTAATGTTCCAGCTACTAACCTCATATCTAAGATTTAAGATCTGATAGTTGACCATTGCATAATGTTAAAATTCCACAACTAGATTCAAGATCAAACCAAAACAAATCGAAATGCTGCCCAATTATTCAAGCTCAAGATACTTTAAGATTATAATTAGTTTAAATCATTTTCCGATGATTATCAACGTATTGTTTACCTTTGTTCATAGAGTATAATTTTCAGAAGACACATTAAAATAAAAACTTAAATACTCACTAATTCTGAGTATTCATGTTTTGATTAATGTAACGTCCGAGGAAGTATTTGATGAAACCTTGAGTATAATAATAATTACTAAATTTTTCAAGCTACGCCCGGTCATTTTCTGTAGCTGTGTCTTATAATAGTCCATTTTTCTTCATCTTTTATTGAAATGTTGGGAAAATAAAATTCAATTTTTTGGCTTTGGGTTTTTGATTGCTCTATACTTTCCAGAATATCATCATTTAAAAAACTGCCAAATTTCCATGGGATTAAATAATTCATTTTCTTTAATTTGATGACGAACTCTCATTGGAATTAGTGAGGATTTAGTGACTTAAAACATGTCGCTTAAGTTTAAGGTTTTGCTTCCTGGTAACAAGTAACGTATCAAATGAAGGATGATCTTTATTAGTATTTTGCTAGTATATTGTCTAACTTGTTTGCATAAGCTCTAACGTATGCCATATAGTCGAATCTTGAAGGTCGAAATAATTTTACTGAAGTTCTTAAGTTAAATGCTTGAAATTGATATATTAAAGCTCGAATACCGGCTGATGATATAGAAATGGCTTGATTACTTGATACATTCTCTTGGTGCGTGTGATTACGTGTCGCTATTGATTCATTCCATATGGTTTTTGGGACATAGTAGTTTATCATAATATGATAGCATTTATTATCTTATTATTGGTATTCTTTAATGGTACATGAAATATCATTACAACGAACTGACAATAGGATAAGGTCAAGGGGTCTGTAAATATTAATAGAATTTTTTTTACTTCAAATATTGACATTGTAAATTTCGAATAAGATTGGGTGAGAGCGAATAAGTAAACAATTACATTATTCAGAGTTTCAAGTTTGAGCTTAATTTAATAAATTCAGTTGAATTTGTAAAGAAGAAAGAGGGAGATTCTTCTAATCTTTGTCGGATTCCTTCATAGGTGACTCCACAAATATTACTATCCTCTGTTGTTGTTCTTTTAAATATGTTTTAACAAGAAAACCCTTTGGCAATTAAGTTAATTATCATGCAACACAGAGTCAATGAAAACATCATAACACCAGATTGTCGTCTTCTAACAATGAACCATCAAGCACAAAGCACATTGACAAATTGTACGATGTAAATTTCCAAAATGAAATGTGGAAGACGATTCCAGTATTGAAAGATGAGCATGATCATAAAATTTCAACAAGTCTAACTTTGAAACAAAATGCCCAACCGAGACGTCATATATATCCTGATCTTTTCAATTATTGAAATAGTAAGTGAAGTCTTGGTCTTTACTAAATGGTGTTTTTATCACCAATGGATCTAATCAAATATAATCCTCACTCACATGCTTCAACTGTTACTGAAAACAAAATTCGTTCATAGATTCTACCCTTTTTGATTCAAATCATTTGGTTAATTGAAAAATGCGTTTAGGAGTTGGATGAAACAACTCAAATCGACATATTGGACAAACGTATGAATCATACCAATTGACTAAAAGATATATTGAACCATGACCTTTTTATCTTTTGTCTTCAATATGTTTGATCAAAAACTCCCCAACAATTTGCAAAATCTTAAGCATTCAAATCGTAGGTTTATGAATTTTCTATTATATCTTCGACTAAATAACTTTATGAATTAGATTAGACTATGCACGCTATTACTTCAGCAAAAAATAAACAAATCGAGTAACGCTAAATTTGTGTCTTGGTTTGGTCTTTCCAGACATCTCCAAAAAATTTAGAAGAAAACACCAGTAACAATAAATTGTCAACACACAAACATTTGTTGATGAAATCAAATAAAAAGGTAGGCTAATAACCCCCTCCCCCTCCCTATAGTCAAAAGTTTACGTGCCGCTTCAGCATCACTTGGTTCAACGTAGTTATCTATAAATTTATGATGAATTTTAATCTCATGATTTATTCAATGAATTTGGAAAAAATCAAGTATTTGAAAGAGGACAACAATGCTATCAAACATCAAGGAACATCAAATTGAGTGATTTTCATTTGAGAACTCAAAAGAGATATTTATCTATTACAAGATTTGCACTTGGTCAAAGTTACAAAATTCAGCAATACTAGAGTTACTCGAGTTTAGGTCGAGGGCAAATTAATTAAATATTTACCACACTTTTAAATTCATTGATACAAAATAATTATATTCGAATACTTCGTGCCACTAGCAAGCTATAGAAATTAACTGATATATACAACAAGAAGACCTTTATAAATTCAAAGAATATTTGAAAAAGATTGAAATAATATGTAAGAAATTGTTGCAAGGGATAGCTTATATCTATTGAATTCAAATTATAAAATCCTATAAACCTAATACTCAATGCAAATCAGACTTTGAACCACAGAAGAATTAACGATAAGGATAAATGAAAATATTTTCAATACGAAGTATTAGGATACTTATCATAAGAACGTTTAAATTGACTGTTTTATGATGATGGAACAAGTCCTGACCAGTTCATAATTATCATCATCCAAAGGAAAGCATGAAATTTAAATTAGGAATCAACAAATGGAAAATCAGGAATTGATCTTCGTCTATTTTAAAGTCATCTTCTGATGCACATTCCTTCCATTCATCATAAAGCTCATTTGAAACAATATCACAAATAAATTGTTTCAAATGAGCTTTATGATGAATGGAAGGAATGGAATAGATTTGATAAAGATGAAATTATTAAAACTTTAGTTAAAAATCCTCAATTGATGAAATTAGATTAGTTTAAAGGTATCGTAGGACTTGCATCAACAAACTTGCAAAGTCCAATAAGACAGCTTATCGAAGAATCTGGACAACAAAGAAGAGATGAAGAAACTGTTGTCAACAAATCACCTTTGGTCCGGTGACAAGGAAAAATTAAAAGCTTTACCAAAAATTTTATCAAGAAATGTTCTTTATTTAAATTTAAATCTTTTTTGATAAAAATAAATTTTTCTCGCCCGATTTAAATTTAAGTCATTTAAGTAGATCTATGTCCACAAAGAAGAAAATTCGATCAAGGACATAAATTATTTAGTTTCAAATCCAGATCCAGATGAAAAATCAAGAAAATTAGGAATTGGAAGAAGTACAATGGAAAATTTCAAAAACGAAGAAGAAAATATTAAATTTAATTGAAATGATATGAAAATGCCAAAGACTGAAGAAGAAGAAGAAGAAGAAGAAGAATCTGAATTCTGTTTTTGAAGCAACCCCAGAAGTAGGAGCATGAATCAGTAAAATTTACAAGTTATAGTACCACGATTCACGATTAAGCTATTTGGTAAGTTGATCAGTTTTTTCAAATTTAAAGGTGCTGCCGGTAAGTTATGTTTTTTCAGGTTTTTTAGATTTATAATGATGGTAATCAAAGCTTAGTAGATTTGACTGAATAAATAATAGCTTATAAATAAAAGAAAAAGAAAAAGAAAGAGAGATATAAGTACCCTAAAAACGAATTGAAATTGAGGAAAAGCTCTATAGAGAAATAAGATGTATACAAAGAGTTAACGACCAATCTTTGAAAATGTACGAAAAATCTTTTATCGAATTAAATCGTAATTCCATAGTATATAAATGAATTGTACTAGACTATTTGAAATTTGTACCATTTGCTGCGCTTTATCCTTTACATTTTAAAATTCATATGTTATCATTTTAAAACAATTTCTTTCAAAAATTCTGGTTTTCGAGAAGAGCAAAAACAATGGTAAGCTTCCGATTAATTATGACTTTCACGGACTATTATATCATTTTCATCATATATTTTGAAAAAAAGTTCACAAAAAATTGTATCAATTTTGATGGAAGTTTGTTTTATCGCATTCGAAACAACGTTGTTCAATATGCATTCAAAATTTTCGATCTAATTTAACATTATAAATTTTTGGAAAAGGATTCAGTTTAGATAATACAACAACATTAGAACTATTACTTAGAAATCCTCTTATGAAACCATTTGTAATTAAATTCGCAATAATATTTTCAATTTCCAAAATATCAATTTTATTTAATATTCTTGAAGAAGAATTCAGTGAATTTATTTTATAATTGTTTTTCTGATCATAATTCATAGAAAATTCAAAACCAATTTGATAAGCATTTAATTGTATCAGTTTATTGTTCGTATCATTTATTACGAATGTAATCTTTTTAAATAAATTTAATTGAGTAAATTGTCTTAATAATTCCATTATGATATAAAGATGTCTTTTTAATAAAAAATTTTCAAATTTTTCCATACATTCATCATACTTTTTTAAATTACCCTCTTTTATTGCCTTTAAAAAATTATCTTCGTATAAATATTTAAGTTTTTTAAATTTTGTCCATATGATCTTATTCGGTAGTTTTCCTTTATTAAATAACTTTAAAGGCACTAGTATAATTAAAATTTGTTGCAATTGGATACTATCTTTGATTTTATAATCCTGCAATAAATCCATTGCTTCATCCAATGAGGTTTCACTTGCATTGTAATCACCATCGTCAAGTGCTATTAATGATTGGAAATACAAAAAAGTTATACCATGTTTCCTTGTATTTATACTTTGAGACATTTTTGGTAATTGTTGTTTAACGGTTTTAATTGCTTTCATTATACTTTTAGCTAATGCTAATTTCCCCATCTTAAAACAATATTTTACAAAATTAGAAGCAAAAAAGTAAACATCATTTCTTTTACTTGATTTATTATCTAGGTTCTTATCATTAAAAGTTAAATTAAAACCTTTTCTAAATGTAAATATTAGTTCTTCAAGTGATGATTTTTTAACATTGTTATTACCACCGTTTATAAATCCATCATCAGTAGTATCATCTAAATAAGAATCTAAATTTTCAGGTTCTCTTGATTGTTTAACTTTATAAATTAAAATTAATTCTTCACATGATGAAATAATAACTGGCATAATCCAATTATCTTGGGATTCACCAGTTCTTATTAATTGATTACACATTTCATTCAAATTTTCAAATGATAAACTTAAACTTTGCTTAATGTATATTGATTTTAAAACATTTAGATAAGAAATTATAACTGATTTGAATTTTTCAGGTGTAGAATATAAATCAAATTCAGTTGGTAATTCGAAATTTTTTCTTATTTGAGCTATATCTCCAGGGTTGATTGTCGTTAATTGTCTCAATGACTTTGCATCATGATTCTTGACACTTTTGTTAAATTCCTCTATATAACCTTGTAAACTTGACATTATTCATTGATGTAAAAGAAATGATCGAATTTTTTTTTAATTTTGAATCCCTAAAACAATTTTAAATTAAATTAATCAGCGATAAAACACTATATTTTCAATGTAATGTTAGAATGAGTTATTATCGTAGTAAGATAACTTTAGCTGATGTCAATTCGAAAGTTGTATAGTCAGATAATTTGATATTTACTTTATGCAAAATGAAAAAATTCGCGGTTTGTTTAACTAATAATAAGTCTACTAAATATGTGTTGAATAAACTGAATATAAACTATCAATTACTTCTATATCCTACAAATATATTTTTCATTCGAGAAAATTAGAGTAAGAGTATTCATTTTAAACTTGTAACGACAAACCAATTTTTAAAATGTACTTTTCCTTCAATCTAATGATGTACTTTTCAAACAAAAAAAAATTCAAGTCAAACAAATTCATCATACAAAATTAAATTACATTTCTCAACTTATTCCAACAATTTATCGTTGTTTTACATCTATCCATCATCCGAGAATTTCATCATCTATAATTTAATTGTTTAATTCTTTATTACTTGGTACCAAAACTTTTCATCATATGATGATAGTATCTATTAGGATTATCATCATATAAGGACCATGGCATTATTCAAATAATTTCATAAAATCATTTCCTCTCATTCAAAGTTCATTTCTATGAATACTTGATGATCTTAAAATTATTATGCTTGATTCATAACTTCGATATAATGGCTATTGAATCATTGAATTGTTATAAGTATTGATTTGGATGTTAATCAATGAATATTAAGTAGATATTTTGAAATCAACAATAAAGTTCAAGTTTTGACAAAACGCAAAACAAGTAAACGATCCATTAAACCTGTGAAAATTTAACTTATTAGCATTCTTCTCCAGAGAACTAAGTTATAAACATTTTGGTTGTATAGTGTATTGATATCAGGGTATTAGATAGACTGCTTTCAATTAAGTTCATTTTTTGTGTCGTAAACTTTTGAGAAAGTCTGAACTTTGAGTTTTGAGACATAATTACATTTTTGTTGAAAAAATAATAACGGTTTGCTATCACAATATACAAACATAATATATGAAAGAAGTTGTAATCATTGCAGAGAAAATATAGATAGCGACTATATCATGGCATAGAGGAATTTATGAGATGTCGTAACAGTTACACTCAAACTTTCATTGAAATAATGTCAATAAGCAACAATATTATTTAACTATAGTTCCCATTAAGAAACATTATCGAAATGAATGTTTCAGCAATTAGATAATGAGTAATTATCACATGAAAATTCAATCAAAGAGTTTATCTATTCATAGATATCTAAATACCTGGTCAAACTATTTGGCTGAAAAGATAAACTCATCTGGGTGTCTTGAATAGCGATGGCAAACCAGTGTGAACTTTTGTTGGTTTCATGAATTCATCGTTAGGGAAGACTTATATTCTCAAAAGCATTGTAAATAATTATAATTAAGTTGTCATTAATATCAGCGAAGAGATTAACTATGTCTCAAATTTAATTTAATGAAGTAAGCTAAATTAAATGAATGAAGTTCAGATGGGAGTTTTTTTTACCAGTTTTTAAATGCAGTTATTTTAAGTTTTACTTTTGAAAACTCGATGGAATTAAATATTTTGATTAAAATGCTTATAGTCATTTTATAAATATGAATAATTATGATATTTAAAGGCAAATTAAATATAAAGGTTTAAATTGATTAGTTTTATTTGAATTTTGCTTTTGTTTTTTTTTTGGGGGCTTTTATTTCCCGAAGAGTTGCAGCTACTTTCTGTTATTGATTTAATGCATATATTCATTCAACTAGGTCAAATGAAGATAAAAAAATCTTCATTGTCATGATTCAGGCGTGAATGAGAGCAAATTTTTATTTCTAAGTTTTTAAGACTGTGACATTTCCAGCTTTAATAATACACTACACTTGATTATGGGATATGAAGTTACAGTGATGTCGACAATATTTGTTTTTGTTATAATTTCAATGGTATTTACTGGTGATTCATGAGTATGACTGACAATTTTGGGATTACGTTCATAGTGTATGTGAATTGATAGTGGAATAATGATGTTGAAAATTCATTACACAAAATGAATTACAAATATGAACGATCTGATAGTTAGAGCTTACAGATAGTATTGAATAGTTAAAGAACAATACAAAACGAGTAAAAACATTATCAAAATGATAATGAATAAGTTAATAATTTTTAGAGCTAAGTAATTAATAAATTAACTTCCACAATTTTAATCGCACGCACTTATGGTCTCGTTTTCTAACAAATGACTAAAACAATTTAAATGCAATATTATCATAGATCGAACTAGGATTTGAGTCATAATATCTCAAAATAAGTAATAATTCTTGTTACCTGGCTTTGAAAAACTATTAAGGTGGAGCCATTTCTAGCCCTAGTATTTTGAACCAGTTTATTCAAAATTTAAATTTTGCTTATCATATATCACCAGATGCTTGGTCAATTTTTCCCATCACAATATCTCTTGGATTGGTTTAAAAAGCAATTAATGACTGAAAAAGGAATCAAATGTAAATAGAAAGTTTTTAAGGATCAATTTCGAGTAGTCCTGTTTATCAACAAAGAATTGAGTAATAACATAGAGAAAGATCAACTTTTTGGAGTAATTTCCCATTCAATATTACAACTACTTCCCATTATTAAAACTCCAAATCATATTATGAATCCTGCTTTCCATACCAATGCTTGAAACTTTGGGGAAGGTGTTATTGATGATAAATGGTTTAGTTCAGATTTTAAATTTCCAGGAAGATCATTTAATGGTGTTTATAAAACTCCAAATTTGGGTCTAATTTCAAGAAACTTTAATTAAGACCCATTCAAAAACTTGTATTCAAAATGTTCATATATTTAAAGAAGAAGTTTAATAAACTTGTTAAAATCCCAAAATTACTCAAAATAAAATGCTAATTCAATCGAAGGAAATTAAGACAAAAATAATAAAAACAGCAACAACATCAACAACATCAACAACATCAACAACATCAGCAACGTCAACGAGAGCATCAATATTAATAATATAACAACATCAACAACAGCATCATTGAGCTTGTACTTCTGAAAACCTTAGTCTTTCTTTGACACAAACAATTTGCTATTGAGAGTTGAAATTTGGGAATTAAGTTAATGGAGCTACGAAAACTTTGAAAGCGTGGTGTAGAATTGTATTATTATCATCTTTACATTACTTTAGTGATAAATTTATTCAAGTATAGTCCAGCACCAAGTCGACACAATGCCAAAGTTCATATTACCTTGGACGGAAATAAAGAGAGAAAACCAATCATTTACATCTTTGCATCGCGTTTATTGTTTCATTTTGCAACGTATCCATGAATGTGTTTATACACAAGAATCAAGAGACCAGTTTAAATAAAGAAGCGTGCTATGCAAATTCGTGTTCAACACTGTATTGATTTACAAATCTTTATTCCATCCTCATTAAGCAAATTAAATCAATTTGACCCCGGATTAAAGAGTCACAATTTTGAGAGATGCAACGGCTTCTGTTCAGCAGTTATCTAGCAACAAAAAGCAACTTTTTTCGTGGTACATCGTATGAATGAGACAAGGGCTACTGATTAAGGATCACGATAAAGGAAAATTTCACTTTGTTTAAAATATCTCCGAGCATCCTCATCGATTAACACCAATGACAAATAAGTCCTTACTGAAAATCTTTTGTTTACATCCTTGTACGTTGGCGTCAAATCAAATCCACTCAAAAAAAGTCGTATTGGAATAGTCTCACCTTTGACTGGAGCGCCGTCCATGATTTCAAATCTAACAACTGTTTCACTGTCCGTAATTTGATTAGGTGGTGCTCCTACTGTTTCTCTTTTAATTAAAGATAATTCCATATGTTTGATTTTCAAACGAACTAGCAAGAAATAGATTCTACCTATTATTACATCTCTCAATGAAAATTTCGATTTCGAATATTCAAATTCAATATGTAAACAGTCCTCTATTCCTATATCCATTTTGATACCATGGGATTCTTTAGCCGATTTTGGAGGAGATTTTATGGTAGATGATGTGCTGGATAGTAAGTTCAAGGAGTTCTCATTATTGTATTGATTATTATACTGAAATACCCATAATTCCTTCTCTCTAGTTATTTCAGAATTTGATTTCCTATGAACCGTTACTTTTATATAATATCTTAATCTTGCATTTTTACCTCTGTAACTTTCATATTGTTTCTCAACATTTTTAAATTCAAATGGATACGTTTCAGAATGAACCAATTGAGATGGAACTGCTAATTCAGTAGCTAAAGTTAAAAAGTTAGATGAATGTAGCCCATCATTATTTGTCTCTATTGATCCAAGCAATTGCACTTTCATTCCAAGGTGATCCACTTTTTTACCATCTCTTGTTCTTAGTGTTACTGTACCTTTCACGGACTCTCCATCTTTGTAAATTGGGAGTCTTTCAGTTCTACCATGTATATTTTTGACTTCAATGTGTTTTCTTGTGTCTTCATTGTTCAACCTTATTTCAATTTCTAGTGGTGCTTTGAAGAACATAGACATTTTGAGCTATTGATACAACCTTAAATAATTTCAAAAGGTACTTGATGTGCAATACAGCGTCTGGTGAATTGGAAAAAATGAAATTTCTGGGATTGTTATCTTGGAGATAAAATTTAAGGCAATTTGTTTTAAACTAGAATTATTGCTCCTTTTGATATAAGTTATGTTCGGTGATCAATTTGGTTGTTGACTTATCATGGATTATCAAGAAGCTTGGAAAATAAATTTCTAAAATTAAATGTAAATGCGGGAAAATTGAAAATCAAAAATTCCAGAATTGATTCCTTTTAAAATATCCTATAGATCTAATCGAAGATACAAATTTAAATTTTATAATTCAAGTTTACATAATCAAACCATTCTATATATACAATTCAATCATATAAGAATTTAAAGTTTTGGAACCGATATTTTTTTTAAAAAGACTGATTCAGGGTTGATCTAATCTCAAAAATCTCAAGGATTTGTTAATGCATTCAAACTAGCCGTGTTGGGAAACCTTAATTACGGATCATTCACGTCGTCATCAAATTTTTCATAATCTTTACAACGTAAAACCGTGATACCGAATGTCAAACAAACCCACATCTGAGGAGATAGCACCTGATACTCCTTCCCCATTCGACCTACTATCTTCCTATGGATTACAATTAAAACATATTGATACAGCAATTGCCTTGTATGATTATAAAGGAAATCAAAGCGTGCAATTGACTTTAAACTTGGGAGACACTGTTTATATTTTAGCAAAGTCTGAAACGGGCTGGTGGGATGGTATTGTAATTGGAAATAACGGTGAATTGAATAGAGGTTGGATACCTTCCAATTATATCAGATCAGTGAATTATGTCCAACCAGTTTTGAAAAAGATGAAGGACAATAAAGAGTTGGATACAATAACTGCCGCAAATACAGCAGCTAATGTTTTAATACCATCATTTACCAACTTTCTTCAAAAAAATTTACTTGAATCAGAAAAAAACACTCCTTCCAATTCGACAAGAAAAAATTCAGTGGTGAGTTTTGCTAGTTCAGAGACTAGTCTTCCATCAGAATCTAGGCAAATAAATCAACAACCCAGTCAAATAGAAGAAGTTGATGAAACCAGTCGCAATTCATCCACGGGAACCGACGGATATGAACCAGAATATACTCACCATCCATCACTTTCTCTCACGCTATCTGGCTCAGAAGTAGAAGATGTTGAGTTAGTTGATGTGGAGAAAGCTGAAAAATTGGTGGAAGATTACAAAACAAAGAATAATAAAACAGTAACATGGCTACCCAAGTATTCTTCCAAAGGTGATTTTGTTTTTTTTTGCCAGCAACTTAACATTTATTGTGAATCAGTGCCATTATCTGAATTTGATCCTCAATTCATTCCTCCAAATTTGGAATATGCTGATACTGATGCAATTAAAAACACATCGGTTCTACAATTAAAAGCTTATCCAACTACAGAGATGGGATTGGGACAAAGAGAAACTTCTTCAACCACTTCATTTGAGTCGCTTAAAAGAGATTCACATTCATCAGTTAGTTCACAAAGTACTCAAGCATCTTATCATCATTTTAGCAGACCATTCTTTGCAATGACGAATTTATTTTACAAGCACTCGTCAGATATATCTAGTTGGACAAAACTAAAAGAGGAAATTTTGTATATATTGGAATTATTTGAAAATGCTTTATTAAATGATAATGTTGAAATGTTCAATACCCATTTTGCGAGATTAAATAAATTAGTTGTGCTAATATGTGCCTCAGTAAGACTAGATCAAGCTGATTATATCGAAAGCAAATATGAGAAGCAAGTGACCTATAGATTAAAAAAAATCTGCTCATCCCTTTCTCAGATTTATGTTAAAGGCTTGTTACATTTAAATCGAAGCAATTCAGGTGTCATAAATTTGAACACAAAATTTGAAGACGAACCAAATTCCATCAGTCTAAGAAATTCCAAAGAAACATCAAAGGACATTCATTTTACCCAGGTGAAGAATGACATAAATATATTGAAAAACAATGCTGTAGAAATAATAAATTTATTTACGAAACTAACAGCTAATAAGACAATCAGTGCAAAGGATTATGACTCTTCCGGTGGATCGGACGATGAAAGTCAAGACAGATCTGATGTATTACCACAAGCATATCCTAGGTATTTGTCGGACGAGTTTAATGGTGGTAATTGGTGTAATCCATTTTTTTATTCACAAAATAGCTTTTTAAATGTCAGTGGGAATGAGCTCAAGAATCGGTATCATTTGAAAGTTTTATTGGACCAACAAGCATTGGATTCAGTTTATCATTATGTAGAAGAAATGGCTAAGGTTTCTCAAGATGCATTGAATATTTTAACAACTCAATCCGACTCCACAGATCCGCTAATGGAAAAGAATTCACTAATTTTAAGACTTATCTACAAATTTCTACATCATTCGAGCTCCTTAATTGATTTGATGGAATCCTTTGACTTTACAGTCTTTTGTTTGGTCAAGAAAAACGATTTCAAAGATGAAAATAATATGGAAAAACTCCGAAAATCAGTTGCAACTTTAACTATTGGTGAAAATAATGATGCAAATTCAAACTTAAGCTTTGACTACCCAATAGTTTTGAATTTTTTTCAATTCAAACAAGAATTTCATAATTTAGTGCTGAATATAATCATGGCAACTCAATCACTGACAGAAAATAATGTAAGTCAAGTTAAAGATATAATCAAGAACGATCCACTATATTATGATAAAGAAATTTTAAAAAATTCAAGTGAAAGAACTGCCTTACTATTGTCAAATGTTTTGCTAAAATCTGAAAATCCATCAGGTGTTGAACCCGAGAATAATGATTCTTTATTAGCTTCATACCTAAATGAAAGTATTGAAGCTTGCGAAACAGTAGTGGACCTCACTCAGAAACTTATTGATGAACGTGAGAGTATATTGAATTATTCAACTCGTGTCATGCATGATGATTTTGATGTACAGTTGTTGTTGCTCGAAAGAAACAATACCATTTCTGCGGAAAAAACTGAAGAACACTCCTATTATAGTGCAGGTCAAAACAATTCTACTGATGTACCTTGGTATCTACAAGGGGATGATGAACATGATTTACTTTTGGATGTTAAAGGTAATATCAAAGGGGGTACAAAAGAAGCATTAGTCTCTCATTTGACACATCATGACATGTTTGATAGTCAATTCAATGCCGCGTTCATGTTGACTATAGCTACGATGATGTCAATAGGAGAATTCATAATGTTATTGATAAACAGATTTGATATAGAAGCTCCGGAGGGTTTGTCATTCGAAGATTATAATAATTGGATTATGAGAAAACAAAACCCGATAAGATTAAGAGTAATGAATATAATGAAATTATTGATTGAAAAAAATTGGTCACCATCGTATTATAATGAATCTGTATTACAACGTTGGCTCAATTTTGTTGAATCTCCTGCTGTTCAATCATTTTCAATTGGGAGATTATTAGCAGCTGATTTGAAAAGATTGATTGTAGGTGAATACAAGTTTGTGGAGAGATTACCTATAATATCAAATGCAAAACCACCGGCTCCATTGACTAAAGGTTCTTCATTGCTGAGAAAAGTCAAATTATTAGATATAGATTATGTGGAATTGGCTCGTCAATTGACACTTCGTGAATTTAAATTATATTGTCACATTTCTAAATTTGCATGTTTGGCTAAAGTTTGGGGTAAAAAATCAGGATTAAATGAAAGTATTGAAACTATCACATCATTCATAAAAGCTTCTAATCAACTTACAAATTTTGTTGCATTTATGATTTTAAGAAAAAATGAACCTAAAAAGAGAGTTCAAATTATTCGATATTTCATACAAGTTGCTGAAAAATGTCGACAATATAATAATTTTTCTTCAATGACTGCAATTATTTCAGCATTATATTCATCACCTATTCATAGATTAAGAAAAACTTGGAATTTTGCAAGTCCAGAATCTTTAGCTCATTTAAAAAATATGAATAAATTAATGAATTCTTCGAGAAATTTTAATGAATATAGAGACGTTTTAAAATTCATTGGATCAGAACCATGTGTACCATTTTTTGGAGTTTATTTATCTGATTTAACTTTTGTTTTTCATGGTAATCCTGATTTTTTAATTAACAGAACTCGAATGATTAATTTTTCAAAAAGAGCTAAAACTAGTGAAATTGTTTCAGGAATTGATAGATTTAAAAATGCAGGATATAATTTTCAAGAAGTTACTGAAATTCAAAAATATTTAGATTCTTGGTTTGATAAATGTCCTTCCATTGAAGAACAATACAAAATATCATTAAGTCTTGAAAAAAAAATTTAATTATTAAACTCCTATTTTAATAAATATTTAATTTATATTAATATTGTAGTCTGATGAATATTGTGAATGATTAATTTAAAGGTCGGTAATAGAAGGAATATTGGTAGCTCTCTTATCTTGTATCGATTTGTTAACGAGTGTTAAAGGAAGATAAGAGAATTTTCCCTTATGTTAATAATAAATCCAATAACAACATGTCACTCAAATTAAATAGAAATAATAAAAGTCGATATATCAAGACAGGCCTAATTTCAGGAGCTGTAATACTAGGGACTGGTTATGTGATTTTAAAAACTTTTCCGCATTTAAAAACTTCCATATACAATTATGTTACTGGAAATGAAACAAGTACAAGTGAAGAGGAAGAAATAGAAGAAATTGAGAATAAATCAGTTATCATTGAAAGTAAGCATAAAAATTTGAAGAGTGGTCAAATAGTGAATAAATTTGAACCAGAGAAGATTTTTGATTCAAATGAATTGAATAGTTCTGAGAAATGGTCTATACAAGAAATCAAAGAATGGTTAGTAAAGGTATGTTTTTATAAATTTGATATATTGATATTTGTCATTGGCTTACTAACAATAATTATTATAGAATGAGGTGAATCCGCCATTAAATGCAACTGAAGATGAAGTCAAATTGTTGTTCCATTCAATAAAATCTAAGATACAATCAAAGTGAAAGAAAACAAGGTTCTATCTAAATTTTGTTTTAATGCAACGTCTATTAATCTAAATTAATACTAATCTAATATTTATAATTCTATTTATGTAGTTCTGACCAAGTTTGTAATCCTTTATCAAATATATTTCTAGTTAATCCCAAATCTTCATCAGGTATATGTATGAAAAAGCAATTAATACTACCTACATCCTTATTTCTTAATTCATCATCAAATAATACAAATTCTTTTTCATCCAATTCTTTTAACATTTTTAATTGTTTTGCAGCTAATTTTATATGTTTAGTCTTTGAACCTTGTCCCCATTCTAAAGCATCAAAATATGTTATAGCTGATTTTCCATTTATTTTAAAATAAGTTAATAATTTTTTAGCTATATCTGGAGTTGCAGTTCTACTTGCTCCAATAATTTTAACATTATTTTGTTTTAATTCTAAAATTATTGATTCAACATCAGGATAAAATGATAATTTCATTCCTGATTTATCTATAACTTCTGTTGATGAAATAGATTTTAAAGGCATTCGAATATGAGTATCACACCAACATGGCCATAATGTATAATCTAAATCAAATACTACTGCTTTAGGATATCTTTTTGAAATAGTCATTAACTTATAGTATTGAAAAATTGAGTAGTAAGCACTAATAAGTGAAAATTTTGGTTTTGAAATATTAAATAAGCTATCAATTGAGCATTTGTCGAAGTAATTGAAGAATAATTTATTGTTAAGCAAGCAATTGTGAAATCATTCATAGACTTTGTAAATTTCAAAGCAAGAATATGGTAGCTAAATGAAAGTGATTAATTAATGATAGGATTCAATTCAATTTATTCTATCAAAATACTATCAATTGTATTTATTAACTTGATCCTTTAAAGTAAGTCAAATGCAGTCACTCATGGGTTATATCAGAAATTTCAAATTTTGAACTGAATTTCCTATCACAAGTCAGCTAACCTTTTCAATCACCTACACGAACTTATTTTATAATCAATTATATGATTAAGACTAGTCTAAAGTTTTCAAAATTTCAATTCAATAAATTAAATCATTCAAATGACGTTCTAATGTCTTTTAAGTATAAGAGATGGTTATTTACTCAATCCTGTCAGATACTTCTAAAACTATTTTAGAACAAGTTTGAAAGCTGATATTGATGAAAATAAATAAATCACCAACAATGGTAATCAATTGGAGGAAATTGCATCATTGGGATTTTAAAAACTCAGCTTATATATATATATATAATTATTAATCAAAGAATACCAATGTTAAGCATGCTTATGCTGGTTTAAAGTTAGTTATGGGAATTTTAGCTTTCATCTTTTTCAAATATTGGTAATCTTAAATTTGAAGCTATGATTGTTGCTTTAACAATAATTCTAATCATAATATCATCATCAAGAGCAGTTTAAAATGAAAGAGATAAGATAAGAAGATATATTCTGAATGAGTGTTAATTTATTGTTAAAGTTACTTTTAACCATTGACAAATCAATAGAGAATGTATTGAAGATCACATAAAAGTATCGAATTTTTCTATGAATTAAAACTTCAAATGAAAAATCCTAACTTCTATTGAACTACTATTTATATCGTTTCTTTTAAACCTCAATTGTATCTCTATATACTAATAGTTGTATTAATATTATTGGTGATATTGTAGTAGTGTGTTTGGTAGCATATACTTATACATATATTATATAAATGATTAGATAAGGAGAGAGAGATTTAAATTTATCTCCACATTAAAAAAAGAGAGAGAAAAGAATTTAAGGGATAAAAGTAATAATTATTATCACTTAAGTATTACATTTGCTTTTTCTAACAAATTATCATCATCATCAATAATTCATATCCAATCTACTAATTTAATATTATAGATTGAGTATAAGTTATCATTTCATATTTATTCATTATTCATCTTAAATCAAAAGTAAAATTAAACCAATTTTTAATTTAATAAATCTCATTCAAAACATATTCTTAAAAGTGGCAACTCAATTATTTCATTAAAACAACAACAACAACAACAACTAACAACAACTTCACCAATTCAAACAATAATGAGTAGTAATCAATTAATAACTATTAAATTGAATATTCAAAAGAAAAAATCAAATAATGATGAATTTTTAAATAAAGAAAAAATCATTCATGTTGATAAATCTGAATTTTTAAGAATTAAATCAAAATTATCATTAATTAATTATTTAAATAAAAAATATAAAGATTTATTATCATCAAAAGATATTAATTTAATTGAATTTACAAGAAAATCTAAAAAACAAAAATGTTTTATACCTTTAAATAATGAAGAAGATTTTAAATCACTTCATAGAAGTTTAAAAGTTAAAAATCATGTTAAATTAAATATTAAAGATAATTCTAAAGTTAAAGTTGAAGAAGTAAAAGAAAAAGAAAAAGTGAAAGAAAAACAACAACAACAAGAACAACAACAACCTATTACAAAAGATTTGAATGTTAATTTATCAGCTGATTTGGCTAAATTAGGTGATGCATTATTAGAAACTACTTTAGAACATTTAAAAGAATTCTTTTATGATTTAAATAAAAAAGTTAATAATGAATTTATTAAAGGAAAAGTAGATGCTACAGATACTGATGTTGATATGGATACTGCTACTGCTACTGCTAATTCTACTGCTACTGCAACTACTACTGCAAAAGAAGAATCCAAAGATGAATCTTCAACAAAAGAAAAATCAGAACCAATTGAAGAAGAAATTCTTCATTCAAATATTGCTTGTGATAAATGTCATCCAATTGAATTTGTTCCTATTAAAGGAGTTAGATATTCTTGTTTAATTTGTCCAAATTATGATTTATGTTCTAAATGTGAATCAGCTCAACAAATTGAAAAATCCGATTATGGAAATCATTCTCATCTTCATCCTATGATAAAATACAATACTCCTGCTGTTTCAAAAAGAGATTTAAAAACAGAATTTAAATCTCAAAATAATATGTTCAATGAAGCTTCTTTAAATTTAAAACCAGATGATACTATACATTATATTACAATAACTGATTGTTCTTCAACAAATAGGAAAAAATTAGAAAATTTACTTGTAACAGGTGGTATAAATGAATTTGTTGAAAATGTTGATAAATTTATTAATGAAAGTGAAAAATATACAAAACTTTTAAATTTAATTGATAAAGATGTTGAAGATAAATTTACATATTTAAAAGATTTAATTTCTAATCAAAAAGAAATTATATTAGAAAATCCTACTTTCATTAATATTTCATCAACTGATCAATTAAAGAATAAATTAAATTTTCAAATAATTAATAAAGCAGAATTACCAATTGAAGGATTGAATATTCAATTAAGATTGGGTAATAATGATGAATTTAATTTTAATAAAACTAATTGTGATATAAAACAAGATCAAGTTAGAAATTATTCTGCTTATAAAATTGAACCTTTAATGGATATTGATTCAGTTGATGAAGATACTTCAAGTGGATTATCATTTGAAGAAAAAGATATTGATGAAATTAATAATGAAATAAAAGATATTAATGAAATCAATAATGAAACAACAACAAAAAATATTGAAAATATAAAAGAAGAAAAATCAATTTTTTCATCATCAATTGATAATTTAAAAGTAAAATATATAATGAAATCAGATAATTTAATTCAAATTGAAATTTTTAATAATTCCAACAAAATTATAGATTGTAATAATTTAAAAATTCAAATTTATAATAATGAAAATATTTTAATTCTGGAAACTTTAATAAAAAAGAATCAAGGTATTAAAATTGGTAAAAGTAATAAATTTAATTTAACTTTAAATTTAATTAAAAATAATTTAAATAAAATTCCAAATAAAATAATTATTGAAAATAATGATAATGAATTTAATTTTTTAAAGTGTGAATTTAAAAAAAATGAAACAATTGGAATTTTACATAATATATTAATTGGAGGATATGAAGATGATGAAGATGATGATGATTATGTTGATGATTTTTCACAGAATTCAAAATCTAGTAATAATTCTTCAAATATTGATAATTATCAAACTTCAAGTGAACATTCAATTGTATTACCAAAAAATATTACAAGTAGTCAATTAGTTGATATTGATGAAAAAATTAATTCAGAAGTTGTTGATGTTGATTTTAAAGTTAAAGATGATGAAGATGAAGATAGTGATTATGAAATGATGAACTTTGATAAAGAAAAAAATCAAATTGATGAAGATGAAAATGATGAAGATTATGAAATTTTATCAGTTGTTAGTTCAGATGGTGAAGATAATTGATTGATTTAAATCGAGATTTAATTTTAAATCTTTTTCAATTTTCAAATCAGCAGTGGTGATCTTCAATATTATTTTTTGATTTTTTTTGGTTTTTATTTTAGCACAACTTTCATTTTATTTCATTAGGTATACTTTGGTTGGAGATTGGTTGGTTTTGAGTGTACCTATAGTCTATATATATTTGAGATTTTTATAGTTTATATTTAATTGTTAAGTTCCTATATAAGAAATTATATTCTAATCTATGTCAATAATCTAATTGTTTTTATTTTCGTGAATTGATGTTTTAAATTACATGATAAATTGTAATTGATCATTATTACTATTTTTTGTAATTTCTGAAACTTCCGTACCTCAAGATTAACCAATATTTGCAAGAATTAACCCTTATTTTTCATACCCAAAAAATTTAAGTTACTCTAAATGTTTCATGTACAATCAGAAAGGTAATTGAATTATTTATGAGTAATGTAATTCAGATTCATTTAATTATAGCTCAACCGATGTTAAAAGATTGGAATTTTTTCTCATGAATTTGTATCAATAATGCACATTTGATTAATTTTGGTTGCAAAATAAAACAAATTTGTTAGACAACAAGAAATTTCAAAGACTAATGAAGTTTTATTTCCTAAGATTGTTAAGGAGTAAAGATAATCAAATTTCATGCTTAATTCAATCAATCCTGTTAATTAAGTAGGTCAAATTCATTATTACTCATTTTTCATATATTATAATGTGGACGCTTTGTAAATGGTATATGATTTTAATTTCACCGAGATCTGCCAAATCTCGGAATTATTTTGAGAGACTGCATATAAATACATCACCACAATTCGGACTATTAATACTAAGCATTTTCATGAAGAAGAAAATATTAAACTATTCTATTCAAGATCAAAGAATAATACATCAAGAGGGATTGATTCATTGATTTGTTAATGGTACTGCATGTTTTCTATTGAAGAATATATAAATCAAATTAACTGTTTTGTTGGTGGTTTCTTTAGCGATATAGTAAATAATTTACGGGCATTTTCTTTTTTTTTTTTTAATTGGTTTTACTTAGACTACTTCATAATCTTTAATTGTTCTTCCCCACAAAATTTTGATAATGAAATATTGGCAATCATGATGTAGATTATTTATAAAACTATAAAATAATATATTAAACGATTATTCTGTTAAAGATAGAAAACAACCCCAGATTTTATATTTTTAATTGTCTCAAAATTTTTCTTATTTTACAGTTAAAAGAAGCAAGCAAGAACAAGTAAAAATCCTTTTAAAACCGAGATTTTTGACATCACCATCATTAAGTTTTCAACTAATTGAGTTTGAATCAGGTTAATGTTTAAATGGGTCAAATATTTTCATTGATTCGCTAGAAAATCCTCAGGTTTTTAATTTAAGTTTTTATTTTTAAATGTCAATGAGGTTGACATTCTCTGGCTTAGTTTATACACAACATAAAAATGATCTCATTTGAGTAGGCTAGATCTGGTTTTAAAATAAATGAAAAAAAAGATCGACTGATTGATTGATCGGAGTTTTAACATTTTTCTCGTATAATTTTAAGCTTTTTTAAATTATAATATGTCAAAAAAAACTTAATTAAATAAAATAACTTCAAGGAATGAGTTGTGAGACTATTCATCTACCTACGTCTATGGTATGTTAACTTTTCTGATTTAATTTATTGAAGTTACTTATTCATTTCATTTAATTTACATTGTAAGATCTCTAGATATAAAACAACACCAACTATAGCTCAAGTAAATCTTAATCAACTGATGCTTGGAATTTATTTTATTTTTAGATCCCAAACATTAAGTACTTTTGTTCTTTGTTCCTTTTTCTTAACTTTATAACCCTCTTATTATAGTAACTCAACAAAATTTAAACTTATGATTGTCAGTTATAAAACGTTTCTGCAAACCCCCACAAATCAATTTTTTTTCTATAATAAAAATTTCCATCTTCTCTTCAAAACTTTTTAAAAGCATTGGGATCGATGGATGCTCGGAGTTTAAGGTAAACTTTTTAAGTTGACATCTGTACCTAGTAAATAATAATTTCATTGATACTCTACAATCAATATCGTTTGATAAATAAGAAATGTAATGTTGATTGACCCACAAATTTTTCAATTATTATTCCAATACTTTTGTGTAATCATCTTTTTCTTTACACAAAAACACTATTTCTTGCAATTAAATAAAAAATTAAAAAAAGTCCGAAGCAAAAAAGAAACTCCAATATAAATATAGTAAAAATTCCATTAATTGATAAAGTACATTTGAATTTTATCAAATTTAAACTTCACTTCATTAAATAATACAATCTTGAATTATTAATAGACAGATATTTACTTCATAAATTAAAATTTAAAAAAACATTCATATTTATCTAACTATTAAATCACAAACAAGTCAAAAAGATTTACTAATTTCAACTTAAATTAATCCGATAATAAAACAAAAAAGAAAAGATGTCTTCTTCTTCATCTCATAAATCAATTAATTCAACACATGATGAATTACCAATTCAAAAAATTCAAACTACTGGAGATAATCATGAATTTATCATTATAAATAATAAAAAATATTATAAATCTGATCTTCAACAAGCTTTTGGTGGTACTTTAATTGCTGGTCCAACTCCATATCCAACTATAAATATTAATTCTGCTCCAGTAGGGTTATCAGCTTTTGCATTAACTACTTTTGTATTAAGTTTATATAATGCAAAAGCTTTTAATATAGAAATTCCAAATGTTGTTGTAAGTGTTGCCATATTTTATGGTGGATTAGTTCAATTATTAGCTGGTTTATTAGAATTTTTATCAAATAATACTTTTGGTTTTACTGCATTAACTTCTTATGGAGCTTTTTGGTTAGCTTTTGGAGCTATTTATATTGATAATTTTGGAATTGCTGATGCATATAAAGATGATCCTGATCAAATGGCTAATGCTGTTGGATTTTTTTTATTAGGTTGGGCTATTTTCACTTTTATGATTTTATTAGTAACATTAAAAACAACTGTTGCATTTTTCAGTTTATTTTTCTTCTTATTAATAACATTTTTATTATTAGCTGGAGGTGAATTCAGTGGTCGTGTTGGTGTAACTCGTGCCGGTGGAGTATTTGGAATGATAACTGCTGTTATATCTTGGTATAATGCAATGGCTGGTACTGCAACTAAATATAATTCTTATATTCGTTTGAAACCAATTCCTTTACCTGGTAATGCTATTTATAAAGGTATTTAATTAAAAGGAGTTCAAAATATTAGAAACAAGATACATTTTATGAATAGTTAGATACTTTTTTACTAAAGTGATGAGAGTTGTGGTCTAGAATTTTATTTGATATAGTAGAAAGGACCTTTTTATGAAACTAGAATATTTATATTAATTGATAATAATTTTTGATTTTTTTCATGTAATTTAATTTTTTTCTTTAACCAGATTTTGCTTCTTATTTCCACAACTTTTGTTTCATGTCCTGTTTGGAAACTAAAATTTTTGAATTTTTGAAAATGGACCAAATATTTCAGATTCAAATGCTGAATTCTATTCAAATGGAAATGTACTTACAACCCCTTAAGCTTACATTATTTTTTGTACGAGATTAAGCGGTAGTAACCAAATTTGTTTTCATGAAACAACTTGAGATCCATTTAAAGATATTCGTTGTGTAATAAAACGATTTTATTTTTGAAGTATAGTTTGATTACTAATTCAAAGTTTGTTTATTTCTGGTTATTGCAATTTAAGATCAAGAATTGATATCAGGTCTCCGTTTTTGGATAGCACTCAATCGAAACAAATCAACTATTGCAATGTAACAATATTAGTATAATGTCGAATGCTAGAAAATCAACGAGTTAGCATTAGTAAACATCGAGTAAGATGGAACATAATTATGACATCTAAACCAAAAAAGCTGCCTTTTGGTAGATTTTTTTCGTCTCAAATGATTTTGATTTTAAAAATGATTTTTTAAATCTTTAACAAAGCCTGTACCTAATTGAACTCTTGAATTTTCTGCTATAGTATCCAGATTCATTCAAAATAAGGGTCGTGATTTTTTTCATCTACGGGTTGCCTCTAATTGTCTTTATAAGCATAATTCTCAACTAATTTTACCAAAGTTAAAATATTCCAAATTTATTCAGAATTTTTTGATTGCAAGTTAAAGATAATCCAAATTAATGTGCCATTATAGACTTCGGCAGTATTTATCACATAAATCATAATTTAGTACTCTCGAATGTAGGTATTTTCGGTGACTGTGTAATAGACAATACAGTCTCTAGTACTAAATCTGCAGCCCAGATGGGAGCGCGAAAGCGAAGGCGGACTAAGTAGAACGAAAATATTTTTATCTCAATCGTTTAATACGTGAACTATTCCAAATGTACTTGCAAACATGAACTTGACTGAAATCATTCCCCACTAATTCAGTCAAACATGTCAATTCAGATTTTTATGAATATTTTGAAATAAGAAGAACTAGCATAATTGAAAGGGCGCTCATGCTGCTAAATAAATAACATTTTCAATAATTCAAGGGGTAAATTTGGGAAATTTCATTGATCTTGATCACATACCGATAAGGTCCATAAGACTGAGCTGGTTAAAATATATTTCGACTAATTATAAATGATTTAGATTGATAGGTCATTACTGACATTAATATCAAGAGCAAAGAACACGTTTATTAAAGATTGAAAAAGTTTTTATACCTAAATTTAGATCAGTATTTTCAAAACCTTAAAAACCTAATATCCCAACACAAATTGATCGTCATGTTTAAAAGTTTGAGAAGAGGCATTGGTCAATGAAAATTTGTTTCGTATCACTATAAACGATAAAATATGAACAACCTTCATTGAAAATCCTTAAAATAAATGGAAACTTTGCTCCTATAAAACAATTCAAAAATCGCTCAAGTGATATATGATGGAAGAAAATAAAAGTATGGATTATCAAGACGTAAATGACCATGTGTTTTTAATCTAGTAACTAACAAAGGCCAAAAGCTCAATAACTACTTGCCTACAAAATCGGTTAAAATCTTGGTTTTATTCTTCATTCATACTCGCATTAATATAACTTTCCCAATTCATTGTTACGGTTCTTACCAAGAAGAAACTTCGCAATGTTAGATCTGGAGGTTTGTGAGTACTCAATTCCCTTCGACCGAGCTGAGTTGGAAAATTCAAGCTCACAATCCGAATCAAGGTTTCGAGAACGATTGCAACAAGAATAAAATTGAAACCGTGAATTTTTTTATTGTACTTCAAACAGCTATAAAAGGACCTAATTGAGAAAGGAACAATGACTTTACTCACAGAATCAATAATTTTGCAGTAAATCACATACTTTTCAATCTAATGTAATAATTAATAAAGCAAATGTACTTAAGTTTAGATCACCAAAATCATATTAGTCTGGTATATATGTCGGTATTTATATATTTATGACAAGGAAAATATTTTATCTCAAACGTCGAGAGTTAGCTAAGTGTGAAAAAAAAAAAATTTTCAACGCGTATAATTATATAGAGTTATATTATCAACTAATGTAAACATATCTTTTAGAGATTGATGACATACAAACAACAATTTATAGTTCCACTGATACAAAACAATTGAATAAAGGGGATCTTGAGATCAAAATAATTGCGCTCGATCAATGTATAGACCACTAGTTTAGCAACAACAGAAAAAAAAAATGTAGAGTTTTGAAACAAAAAAATAAAGAAAAGAAGAGACAAATTAAAAATCAAGATCCACAAAATTTTTTCTTAACTTCACCGATGAAATGAGTTAAGAACAACGATTTTCTATCAATCCAAAAGCCAAATTGAATAAAATGAATGCAACAAATCTACAAATTAAATGCAAAATTACAACGTCACAGAAAAGACTGCAAACATGGAACCTTCAATCCACCTAATCTAGTAGCCTTCAAAAATTAACTTAACTTGAAATATGAAGACTATTTTTTTTCTATCCCTTTATTAACTAAAAAAAAAAACAAAGTAAACTAAAACCAACAAATCACTAAAAAAAATTCTCTAAAAAAAATCTACAACACCAATTCGAATCAGCACTTCCCCAGAAAGAAAACAATAAAAACAATACACGTTCTGAATGATAATTTTATTGAAGTAGGAACAAATTTTAATTATAAAACCATACTAAAATCCCGCAATCATCTAGATTTTGACTTAATTTGTTGAGTCCAATGCTACGAAACCAAAAAATGCGTCCAATGCAAATCTCTTCATCAAAGCCTTAAACTTAACAAAATCAAACAAAATTCAAACCCAATGAACGAAAAATTGATTAATATAATCCTTCTTCCTAACAAATTGGTCAAGCACTTCTCTAAAATCAAATTTGCTTAACCAAAAAGTAGAAACTTAAAGTATGTAAAGTTTAAGGCTCTAAAGACATAAATAGAATCAATGTTTGATAGAGATATACCCAAAAATAAATCACGCTGAACCAATGCACTTAGTATATACTCAACTGAAAAATGAATGACCCACAGATGGAAGGTACTGCAACAATACAAAATTTAAATCTCCAAATACAAATTGGAAATGATAAAACCAATCTCAAATGACATAGCTCTGTGATTTCTGCCCAGTGCAATGCAAACCTAAATTTTTGACTTGATCTCCTTCTGGTTGAATTGAAAAGTATTGATGTTTCTTTTGAGACCGCAAAAACTTGGCAGCAATCGGTTCCCGTTTTGCTTGCTTCATTATAAGCTATATGTTTATCAAATATCTAAGAGTTGAAGGTCCTAACAACGATATTCTGCCTCGATCAATAAGTAAAATGTTCCAGCGCAGGAGTTTTGATCTTTATATTTTTTTTAGCTATTTGTGTTCTAGTGCTAGAGCTTGACCTTGGTGGGGTAACATTACTTAATTATTGTTATACATTTATAATTCGATAATTATATAAAATTATAATTCATTAGTGTTGAAAACATATTCTTCAGCATATTTATCGATTGACATGAATTATTTTGCTTGTCCTAAACACTATAAAACCAACTGACACACCAGATGCGTAAAAGATTTACTTTAGAGAACTCAACATGTTGATGTTGACGTTTAAATCCGTTGGCGACCTTTTCTTGTCTCGATGTCTTAAAAATGTGATAGATGATTTACATTTCATTCGTCACGCGACTTGATGTTTGGATCAAGTGAGTTGTTTTAAAATTCTCAATTAAAGTTTTAAAAATATTGTATAGAGTTTGCAACAGTATGAGATTTTTCATTATATATAGAAATGACAAATTGGCCTCAAACGGAAAACATGGACTTGCATTAGCCTTTTCGGAGGAAATGTGAAAAAATATGCATGGTCATGCCTTAGTTTCAAAATATGCAATTTGATTTGCATACTTGATTACCTTAATACAAAATAATTATCAAGCGTCACCTTCCGTTTTATTCAATATCGCATGGTCTTGGGTAGAGTTGATTTCGTATTCTTGATTGTAACCGCCAGTTAGCTCTTACTTCATTCAATTTTATTTATCTGTGTTTATTCGACACTGTTGTTCCTAGGTTTTAAACTTCTCACCCCAAATAAATTTTTAAGGTAATGCGTAACCCTCAATTGAATGGTAGATTTGGCAATAGTTTGAAGTATATTTACTTTTTTGTTTAATTAATAGATTAGAACAAGTCTTAGCGGATTGTTGGAAATCGTTGGCATTATGTATTGCAAGCTTTAGTTATACACAGCCAATCTCAAAGTTGATCCTACCGTGTGCAAGCGATTTATGCGCAACCTGTCATGCCGTAACTTTTTTAATGCAATCAGGTTCCTTAATGAAATCTGGCATCACTATACTTACACGGTTGTCGAGACTAGCTGTCTGACATTGTGAGTGATGTTAATTAGTTGTCCCTAATGTTTCAATTTTGGCTGTGGGGAGCACTTATTGATAAAATTGGTTTTAGGTCAACATTTCGGGTGGTTCCCGTCTTTGCTCTCGTAGAATTACCTAGAGTAGTGATTTTTAGGTAGAAAAGATGTATTTCGGTAAGTTAACACATGTTACAAAGTCTCATTTGTCGTCTCACGGTTATTTACATCATGTACTACGCCAAGGGCGATAATATTTACTCAGAGACTACCCGCCAGGAATGTTTATGGCCAGGTTGTTTCACGATATCCTTGTTTGGTTCGTTAAGAAAGTACCCCTTTCGACATTGCTATTTTGGTTGGGCCCGTATGAATCTCAAACTATGACTTGAATCGTTCTTGGTGCAAGATCTACTATTTGCAATATTTGTGAAAAATCTGGGCCCTCTTATTTTTCATGTTCCAAAAGAAAAGAGCTGCTATTGCCAAATCGAAAAACTAAATAAAATACTTTAATCGCCTTTATCGGACGGAACGACTGTCTATAATAGATTATGTTTAAATGCTTTATATTCTTAACCATCCATCTGATTATATATTGAATAATAATTATTTAACGTATTCATGTCTATCTTAAAGGACCCCAAGATCAGAGCCAGCGTCCTCGAATTTTCATTAAGTAACTAATTCCTTTTCAAAAATGCACATGTATGGTAAATAGTAGTTCGCAGGCAAACTCCTTTACTTCATACTATAGCTCTCCCACATCTTTATTGCTGCATAGCTAGTTTTCCATGTCATACCTTCGTGGTGAGCTGCCTCATAACTTTCCAACAATTTTAATTGACTTAAATAGACACATATTTGTTCTATGAACAATGTCGAATATACCTCAAGCATGCTTCGCTTAAACATACTCTTATTGATTATCCAGTGTGCGACAGTTATCAAGTTGCTCAAACATAATTAAATTAGAGCTCTTCGGCTTGACCAACCCTTCCCTGACGAGCAGCTAGCTAGTTCATTAACGTAAAATTGAAAATTGGGCCCCTGTTGTGGTTATGTACTTTATGAGAGGCACCATTTTAATAAGTCAATTTCAAATATCTATACCTTGTTTTGTCTCAATTCCATTGTGAAATAAACTTGTATTTTCTGTTGTTCGCCAGATTCCAATTCCACATTTCTTATGTTGTTGACAAGAGCTCCAAGTAGTTTCATGTCATCATTAACACCACTTGATAATAAATTATTTATATGATCAGTTGCAGCTGTTCCATAAGCGTTTTTCAATTGCAAAAAAATTTAGTCCTAGAATTTTTTAACTAATCCGCAATCAGTCATACAATACTGTGCTGGAAAAGAAGAATTTAAACTGGATTATTTATTCAGGTCCTGTGAAGCAAAAAGTAAATCATGAACATATAAACTAATTAAAGGTATCGAATTAGCAGAACGTCAAATAATAATGCAATGTTCTACACTTAATGAAGTAAAACCTAAATCTAAAAGTATGGTAGGAAATGTAGCATGCCATATATAAACTGTTTGTTTAAGACCATAGATAGATTTGTTGAATTTTAATACCATATTAGCTTTACCTGGTGTGACAAAACCCTCCGGTTGAACCATGTACATACTTTCATCCAATCTTGAATTCAAAAGAGCTGTTTCAACTGCCATTGTATGAACAATTAAATTATACTGTGAAGAAATTGCAAGTATAAGACGTAATGATTCATAGCGTACAACTGGTGCAAAACTGTAGAAGAAATCCACAGCATATTCCTGAAGAAAACCACGAAGCCACTAATCTGGCTTTTTCTAAACCAGAAGATTTTCGAGCAAATACCTATCGAGCTGTGATAGGTTTCCGATCCGAGAAAACTTGTTCCAACTCTGGATTCTTATCGATTTAATCCATCCACAAAACGATCGAGAGCTCCTACTACTGATTTATCTTCAGCATTAATTCATCATCCTTCTCATTCATTTATCCATTATGATGAAGATATTGAACTTAATGATTCAAAAATTGCACCACCAACAAAACGTATAAGTTCAAGTAAGCATTCACAATTAATTTATCAACACTCATCACCACTGATGCTTCTACTTCACCTGCGTCTGATGATTCAATGGACCTTGATTATGTTAATTTTGCTGGTCCCCTGGATCTAATATCACAACATCATTTGTATCTTAGTAATTACCTCATATTATGTACCAAATACTTATAAACAGGCTATTTCATGTGATGATCATATATTCATAATCCCATATGAGCAATTAAATGAAATTGTGAAGTTATAGCTAGTATAATTCGTAATGATCAGATCTTAACATCCGAGCAGAACTAGCATTCTCTAAACCAGAACATTTTCGGGCAAATACCCATCGAGCCGTGATAGGTTTCCGACCTGGAAGTAATTCGATCAATGACCAGTGTTGTTTCTTATTAATAATTCAACCTCTCTTTGAATTGCAGCGTCCCATAATTCATGATCAACACATGAAATAGCTTGTTTATAAGTATTCGGAGCATAATCTGAGGTAGTTGCAAGATATAAATGATCTTGTTACCAAACCAGTTGCTTCTTTACATGCTGATGTTATTGGTTCTGTTATTCGTCTGAATTCTGTTGAAACCAGGTCTTCTGCTACTACTTCACTTGCTGATGGGTACTACTCGTAATGCTGTTCGTCCAAATCCAGCTGACGTAGAAATTTCAGCTTACTACTTCAATTAAGGTTGCCAAACCATCATCATCAAAACTCACGCCTTAAAGTTCCTTGAAATGCTTTGCTTAGTTATTTTTCGGTTTTTCTCAAAAATTGTCATTTCAAAAGCTCATGCTATTAGTCTGATGAAGTATTTAAATTTATTCAAGTAGGAATTCTGGTATCTTTTGGTTATTTGATGACCGGACTGCCTCTTTATAACCGACTAAGATAAACAGGAACTCATTGAGCCGGAAAAATCTTTCCAGGTACTTGCCGATTGTAATGATAAGAAATTGAAACGTATCAAGATCATTAATTTCTTCCCGTCAACTCCACCAATTGCCACCATAACTTTCATCCACGACTCCCATTAGTTAATTTTTCAAACTATTTACACCGATGACAAGCAATTTTAGAAAAAAGTCAGTTCATGATATATATTTTAATCGTTGATTGTCTCAACATTTTTGTCTTGTCATTAAATTTTGCATTCACCGCAAACATCTTCTAAGTTCTTAAGGTATACAAATGTAATCAAATAAATTATGATCTTAGGTTTGTTGATCTTATAGTGTTAAATTGACAAAGTACTTGCTATTATTAGCGATAGTTGACATATTAAATATATAAACATTTGTGAAATTTCGAGATGAAACCAAATTAATTTGAATTGGGATAACAAGTTTATTGAAGAATAAAATATAAAGTCAGATCATCACCTAGACTTTTTGAATCTTTCAACCCATGTTGTGCCAATAATTCATTTCCATCAAATAAGTAAACGAAAATAACAAAACCATTATGTGTCAAGTTTGGGTGAAAATTATATTTATTTTAAATTTTAGGCTTGCTTTGATCTGAAGTACATATTGCATTGCTACTGATAGTAAATCCTTTGATGAAAAATTGACATTCAAAATAGCTTCCTTCATTTCTATCATATAGCCTGAATTATCGAATATTCCCATCTCTCAGATTTTAATCTCAGACGTGTATGTTATAAATAAATCAAGTGATTCCTATGTTGTAGTTATTTTAACTCCTGTAGTCACAGTAATAGAAATTACCCCAAAGTATCAAATAGTTTAGCAATTTTCTCGAATATGGTGTTCACCAAATTTCATCATTTCATTGCAAATTATGATTTTGTTTTATGGGATTTTACCTTTTTACCTAATTTGATATTTTGTCAATATGAAATTCTTTATTTTCAGATAATTAGCTCTAAGATATCAGCATTAATTGAACAAATTCAATCCAAATGGTCGCTGTTTCAAACATTGAATCGTTTGCAGGGAATTAATTGGAATTAAATATCATGCATGTATTTTGTTTCTTGATGTTTGGAAAATGCTAAAACAATTGAGTTCATTCAAATTGGTGTTCTGAACATCCAATGAATTTCAATACAAATACAGAATGACTGTCTTTTGAACTTGACAATTCTTTTCTGAATTTTTTAGGTTCGAATATTATTCCATGTGAGTGAAAACTTAAGATTCTCTCCTCTTTTAAATGAGCCGCACAAAATTTTTCACGATCGTAAGTAGAATTTCAGCTAGCAGACGCTCATGAATAATTTTGTGTGATTTAATTTCAGCTGGCGTACGCTCATAGTTAAGCAAATCAAGATTTTCCCAAACTCAAAGAGCATAGTAAAAATTGTTCTGTCTTATTGCTCAACCGTTTTTAAATGGTATTGGTATGAGTAACTTGGATTTATTTAAGAAATCAAAGGTAGTTCTACCCATATTAAATAGGGCGTACGATGAAGAATAATTTTGTGCAACTTGATTTTTTAGGTAGAGTACGATTATGAAAACTCATTTACAGCTAGTTCAATCGAAACATCTTGTCACATAGGAGACTTTGTTCAAAATGGTTGTATCGTTCTTTCGGAATATATCGACTTCCATTGACAGGAGCAAATTGTTGTTGACTTTCTTTACAAAAGACAACTGTATGCTTTGTAGCAATGCTAAACAAATCCTTCATTCGACATTAAAAAATTTATCATCAGATTCATCAGATCCATCATCAAAAAATGAAAGCTTTGATTATGCTTTAAAAGTAGTAGATATAATGGACCCCGTTAATCAAAAGTGGTTTGATAAATACTGCTATGATGTCCCGGTACTTCACATTCAGAATTCAAACAAAAAAAATGATGACATTAAAAAACACATGCACTACTTCAATGAGAAGGACCTCCGAAAGGACTTTCTTCAAGAAAAAAGCATGGATTGATGTTTATCTTTTTAAGTGGAAGTGCCCCCTGGGTTGTGCATTTCAATTCGTCAAATTTGGTATATGCAGATGAATTGGTTGGATATCGAATTCTTCTATGAAGTTACTTTGCCCCTTGTAGTGCTGAAGGACTTAGATGTGATTTTGAAAACGATCCTAAACAAGTTTTTTTTATTAGGATAAGTAGTTAATCAATTTACTTTACTCTGGGGTATTTAGTGATAAGACTTGATAAATCAAAAGTCAGGGGAAAAATAAACATTCTTGAACGACGATAAAACATTTTAAATCTTCTAAATCATAGCCTTTAGAACCCCAATTCAAGTTATAAATCATACTAGGCGTAGTCTTCACTTACCATTTTAACAACGATCTACTTGTGTGAATATAACATATAGCTCCAATCCTATCATATTTATAAAATTAAAAGTCAATCAATGTCAACAAAGCGTCAAAAAGTAGCATTGGTCACTGGTGCATCATCAGGAATTGGTTTTGCCACGGCAATAGAATTTTCTAAAAGAGGTTACCTTGTTTTTGCTGGTGCAAGGAGATTAGAATCAATGATAAAATTGAAGGAAGATTTTGGGGTCAATATTTTCAAATTGGACGTAAGTGATTTGCAAAGTGTACAAGATGCTAAAGAATATATTATAGAAGAGACAGGTAGTGATTATTTGGACGTTTTATATAACAATGCAGGTCAATCCTGTACTTTTCCAGCTACGGATGTCACTGATGATCAAATCAAACAATGTTTTGAAGTAAATGTATTTGGCCCTATGAGAGTAGTAAGAGAGTTCATTCCTTTATTAATAAAAGCTAAGGGAGTTATTGGATTCACCGGATCTGTTAGTGGAATTGTCCCATTTCCATTTTCATGCACTTATTCAGCAACTAAAGCTGCAATCCATCAATATGCTGCTGTTTTGAGATTAGAATTGAAACCGTTTGATGTGAAAGTGATCAATTTTATAACAGGTGGGGTAAAAACAGATATCGAGGACAAAAGGTCATTACCAGAAACATCCATTTATAATGTACCAGGAATACAAACATCGTTTGATGAAAGAAGGCAGATGGCTGCTAGAAATAATCCACTTCCTGCTAATGAATATGCCAGATTAGTTGTAAATGATTTTGAGAATGCAAGTTTAGGGGGACCTTTAAACTTCTATAGAGGAAAAATGGCTCTTTTCTTATCATTTGTTTTAACTTTTGTTCCAAGAAGGTTTGTTGAATTTGCTTTAATTCGAAAATTCAAATTAAATGTTGTGTTTGACTATTTAAGAAATAAGTATAACTCTAAATAAATTAAGTACGATAATTATGAGAATATAATGCATTCAATGTATCGTTTTTAGGATGCCTCTGCTTATTTGATTGTTAATAATTTGATAATGAACGGACTAAACATGGTGAAGCTTCAAACCTGCATATTATTATGTTAAAGTTAAATCCGTTTTATATACGCATCTTCTTTCGTATCTAATTACGGGTGTATACCAAAATAATCATAAAACTCAAAGTTTACACAGCATCATCATTCAATTAGTTATCAATGAGAGATGTCGAAAGATCCATCTCTATGGTATAGAGATAAGGATAAGCTACGAATTGGTGAAATTAATAGATATATCTTACAATACAAAAGACATATTGGATCTAAAATATCAAAAATATACTTTAGATTGAAGAATATTGAAAATAGTGGAATTAGGGCAATTCATTTGTTGAGTGGACCATTCATTTTGTACTGTCATGTTGTACCTTGCAATTATAATCCTAAGAAGAAATTTGAACCTGATAATGTGAATGAAAATCCAGAATTAGTGTTTGAAAATCAAATTAAACCTAATCAATCTTTTAATGTGGAGTTAATATTGAATGATAATTCGTTACTTGAAACTGTAATAGAAAATGATATGGAAGCTCAAATATTTCAATGGGAAATTGATGTGGTGTCTCAAATAGTTGTTACGAAAAAGACGGAAGTAGATTATGATTTCTTGATTGGTGATGATCCAAAAGTGTTGAAGCAATTAGGATACAACAAAATTCAAAGAACCTTGACTAGTATTGGCATGAGTGATGAAGAAGAAAAATCGATAGAAAAAGACTTGGAATTGGAGGGAATGCTCAAGAAATCATTCAATCCCCTGCTATCGGTAACAAAATTAAGCACTAATGACATCTGGAGTAGATCACCACCAAATCCAAAAGAACCTGTGCATTTAATAATTTTAACACATGGGATATTTTCTAATTTAACTGCTGACATGTTGTTTTTGAAAGAAGAATTAGAATCAAAAGTCAACGAAAATATAATGATTAGAGGTTTTCGATATAATGCAGGGAGAACAGAGAAGGGAGTAAAGAAATTGGGAAGAAATGTTGGAAATTACATTGTGAAAGTTTTAGAGAAGGAGCCTTATAAATTTGATAAAATATCCTTCATTGCTCACTCTCTAGGTGGAATAGTTCAATTATACGCCATCAAGTATATTTTGCTGATAAAAGGTTCCGATTATTTTGATAGAATTAATATAAAACCAATCAATTTAATATCATTGGCAAGTCCATTCTTAGGTATATTGAATGAATTAAATTTCATCTTATCTTGGTTCTTAGATATTGGGACATTGGGTAAAACTGGACGAGATTTGACATTACTGAGAAGGCTACCGAGTTGGAAAGACGTTGAGTTAAAAGATCATCATACCAGAGATAGTTTTAAACCAGTTTTAGAAACTTTGCCAGATGACCCTTTGCAATCATTCCTAGGAAAATTTGAAAAATTGACCGTTTATGCAAATGCCATTAATGACGGAATTGTTCCTTTAAGAACGGCAGCACTACTATATTTAGACTATGAGGCATTGGGTGATGTAAATCAATTGAAAAAAACAAATCATATACTGGATCATCCCAATTTAGAAGATGAGAATCATGAGGTAGAAAGCAATGAAAGTGAAGAAGATGTTGATGAAGTTCCTGAACAACCAGACGATATAAACTCCCATGGAAATCCAGATGACAATCTGGGTAATTTAGAAACCGTTAAAAAAGATGAAGGAAAAGTTCAACATGACAAGCGGGAAAAACAAAATCATCGTTTAACTTTTACAAAAGACAAATATAATCAGTTTCGAAATTTAAGTTTACCTGCAAGAGCTAAGATGAGTAAAAGACAAAAGAAATATAAACATTTTTCCATTAAAGGGTCTGATACTAATGATTCTGGTAATCTTAGTTTGAAAAATGGAAATGGTGTGCAAAATAATAATAATAATAATAATGAAGAAGAAATTGATGCTAGTCATGAGACCAACTCGATAAATACTGCAAAATCAAATTCGTCAGAGGAATCTGTTGAAATAACAGTTCCTCCTAGAGCTTCAGCTATAGAATCTGCTATAAATACTTTAATTTGTCCAATACCATCTTCTGAATATATAATGAATCCTAATTCTAGACAACCAGTTATTTTTCATGATAAATATTATCATTTTGATAAATCAGAAGTATCAAAAATTGATTCAAAAGTAAATTCAAATGAATCTAAAAATCATTGGTTTAAAAGTTTTAAAATTTTTCAAAAATATTCAGGAAATTGGAAATTATATAGACAAGTATTAATTGCAAATAAATATCATACAAATAAATTATATTGGAGAAAAGTTTTAGTTAATTTACCACCAGATGCTCATAATAATATTATCGTTAGAAGAAGATTTTCAAATGGTTATGGTTGGGGTGTTGTAAACCATCTTTGTGAAAATTTGTTTGATACTAAAGTACTGAATTCAAATAATAATCAAGTGAATTATCAAAATATGGAGAAAAATGAATATGGTCATTTGAATAATAACAACATGAGAGAAGAGGAATCTAATGATGACATCAATCCTGGTGATTTGAAAGCTAAAATTTAAAAAGATTCTATATCAAACAATAATTTCAAACAAATTTTAAAATTGTAATAATATTAGTATATATTTTAGAGTTAGAACGATCGCAGAATGAATATTTGAGCAAACATTGTTTCATGAGCGAATATTCATGAACATTTTGAAGATATGTGTATTTTTCAATGTTTTACTTTTACTAATAACAATTATTACCTCTTAAAACTTTATTTTTAGACTTTCCTTATCACTCAAAATTATTAAAATGGATAAATTTTCATATTGAAAAGAATTCTTCATCTTAACCAAGATGATAAACTTGAGGCAATTTGAGTTTTTTTGCTTCGATTTAAAATCTTTTAAGGTGGCTTTGAATTGTTTGATTTCAACTAACCTAAGTTGTTAGTTTGAACATGTATATCTAATGGAAAAATAAAAAAGAAATTTTCTATAACCTAAGGGAGTTGTTTCTTTGGCTAAACAAAATCAAATGGTTTAAAACTCTTAGACTTACTCTAAAGAGATCTAGAAAAACGTAAAATGTCTATTATTCAACTATATAGAATTATGAAAACAAGATAATTTATCTATTAAAAATTGGTAAGAAATTGGTCTAAAATCTAATAATAGTTCAAGATTGATTATTTTAGTTGCAAAATCATAGTGATTTATAAAATTATCTTAATATAAAGAGAACTAGAAACTGAGTATATAAAACGATCACTAAAAAACGATTAAGTCGATGAGTCATTCCAATTAAAATAGTAACTGAGTACATGTTCAACAACTACTTTTGGCTGATCAACACTTGTATTAATTAGGCTAAAACCAAAAAAATTTGAATATGAAAGATGAAATTACCCCCTTAAATTTTTAATCTCTGCGGTATGGATGTATAGACCAATACTAAATCATGATGGCTTAATTTCAATGTAAAAATAGAAATTTGATACAAAAAGTACAAGCATTTGGTAATTAAATACATAATTTAAACATACCTACATCAACTTTACTTTAATGAGTTTGTTGTTTGATGTTTGTTTAGAGTAATGAGTGATTTTATTATGTACTTATTTTGATATTAGATATTTATTACTTTTTTTTTTTTTTTTTGGGCAACGAATTACGAAACTTTAATCTTTCAAAAAATTTATTGTAGATTAACTTATTGTCTAATAATAGTTTTTACTTTACATGCATACTTACTTTATTTACTCCTTTTACTAACATATGCTAGTTCTACTTGAAATGAGTTATGTGTGTGTGTTTGTATGAGTGTGCATGTGTGTTCAAAATAATAAAAATATTTTTTTTTTCTCTTTCTTTCTCATCATCATTTTTCAATTTCCTATTTAAATTACCTTACTCTTCTTCTATTGCTTCTTCTACTTCTTCTTCTTATTTTTTACTTCATTCATTAAATCCAAAAAGATAGAATAAGTTTGAAGGAAGAGAAAACGTTTATAACGATAAAAACCAAATATCATTTTCTACTTTTCCATTTATGAATTTTATTCAATTTCATTTTGATCAAAATATTAAATTCAATCAGTTAATAAGAAATTTGATAATTAACTCATTGAACTTTTCATTGATGATTAATAGAAGTTAAATATATATATTAGTATATTTTCAAAGTTCAAAGCTCAATTTATATTCCTTTTTGTCAGTTTTATTTCATTCAACTTTTTAATATTTCAATCAGCTTAATTATAACAGCTTGGAATTAATAATAAAATATCAAAAAACTTATAAAAGTTTGATTATAGAACTATGAACACTTTATTTACCTCATCCTTTTGAATCAAATAAATTCAAAAAGTACTAATCAATCATTATAACACAATTATAAGTTTTCATTAATCACAATATATACAAAAATTACAGATCAAAAAATGTCTGACTCAGAAAGTTTATTCCAACCTACAAATAGCAATCATCAAAGTCATTTGCATACTGATGAAATTCTTAATGATCATAGAAATCAAATGACCAATTCAAGTTGTGCTGTTTCCGAAGATGAAGATGAAGATACAAATGATCCAAAAAATCAATCAATTAACAATCAAGAATCATCCGGGGCTGTAAAAAATCCAACATCAACACTTAATACGAATCATAATCAACATCAAAAAACTGAAAGTTTTTCAATTGATAGCGGAAGAAAAAAGTCTATAAGAAGATCATCTGGAAGAAGAGTATCCATGAGTGATAATATTAATAACCAATTTCAAGGTAATACTCAACCAAATAGATCTTATATGACTTCATTAAGAAAAGATTTTTACTTAAAAGAAGATGATGATTTATTACCATTACCAATTAATAGTCAAGTCATTTCATCATCATCAAATACTGCTGGTAATTTATCAACTCCTCCACCATTACATCTGAATAAATCAAGACGTAGATCAACTTTGGATAACTTACCACCAATTATTAAAAAAAAAACTGCTCGTTCAAATTCAAATAATTTTGAAAGTGATGTGTTAAGTCCAATGATTAAAACTAAAACTAATGAAAGTTTTCTTATTGTTAATAATGCAAATGGTGAAGAAATTAAAGTAAGAAGACAATCACGCTCTTCAATCGATAGTGAAGCTGACTCTCATGGTTCAAGAAGTTCACAAGAAACAGAAGAAGATGTTTGTTTTCCAATGATGCGTGAACATATTAAAATTAATGGTATTGATTTTGATGAAATTGATGAGTTTATAAGAGAAGAAAGAGAAGAAGCAGAATTACAAAAAGAATTTATTTCAAAAAATAAACTGATTATTGAAGATATTACTATTGATCAACAAAATGGTGGTGGTAAAAGAAATAATAGTTCAGGAATTAGTAGACAACCAACAAGTAATGCTGCTTTAAAATATACTCCTAAAAATATTTTAAAAACTTTTCAACAACGTTCAGAAGAAGTTCAAGATTCAGCAACAACTTCTTCATCAATAGATGAAATTAAAATTAAACATGAAAGTTCAGAAGATGATGATAAATCATCAATTGAACAAGTTAAATTTGGTGGAGCTAGGATTTCTGATGGTGCTAATGGTGGATTACCTGATAGATTTTCATTTTTCCATTCTGAAAATGAAGAAACAGTTCATGCACCTGATATTCCTTCATTAGTATCAAATGGACAATCAATTAGAGAATTATTTCATAATGGTGAAGAAACTTGGTGGTTAGATTGTACTTGTCCAACTGATGCTGAAATGAAAATGTTGGCAAAAGCTTTTGGTATACATCCTTTAACAGCTGAAGATATTAGAATGCAAGAAACTAGAGAAAAAGTTGAATTATTCAAAAGTTATTATTTTGTTTGTTTCCACACATTTGAACCTGATAAAGAATCAGAAGATTATCTTGAACCAATTAATGTTTATATTGTTGTTTTTCGTGATGGTATACTTACTTTTCATTTTTCACCAATTTCACATCCTGCTAATGTTAGAAGAAGAGTAAGACAATTGAGAGATTATGTTGATGTTACAGCTGATTGGCTTTGTTATGCAATGATTGATGATATTACAGATAGTTTTGCACCAGTAATTCATGGAATTGAATATGAAGCAGATGCAATTGAAGATGCAGTTTTCACAGCTAGAGATACTGATTTTAGTAATATGTTACAAAGAATTGGTGATTCTAGAAGGAAAGTTATGACATTAATGAGATTATTATCTGGTAAAGCAGATGTTATCAAAATGTTTGCAAAAAGATGTCAAGATGAAGCTAATATTGGTTATCAAAGACAACAACAAAGACAAAGAGATCAATTAATTTCACCTCATTCATCATCCAGTAACATTTATGGTATGAACAATCAATCCTCATCTGGTGGTGGTTCACAACAACAGCAACAGCAACAGCAACAACAACAACAACAGCAACCAACTAGTTCATGGGCTCAAAATAACGCTTACAATGCTCGTCCAAGAGCAGACATTGCATTATATTTGGGTGATATTCAAGATCATATAATTACTATGTTTCAAAATTTACTTGCTTATGAAAAAATATTTTCAAGATCTCATTCAAATTATTTAGCTCAATTACAAGTTGAAAGTTTTAATTCTAATACTAAAATTTCAGAAATGTTTTCAAAAGTTACTATTATTGGTACAATGTTGGTTCCTTTGAATTTAGTTACTGGTTTATTTGGTATGAATGTTAAAGTTCCAGGAGAAAATTCAAGTATTGCTTGGTTTTTTGGAATTTTAGGTGTTTTATTATGTGTTATAGTCATTAGTATATTTTTTGCTAATTGGTGGTTGAAAAGAATGAATAATCAAATTAACGGTGCTCCAAGACCAGTATTTAATTCAAGAAGAAGTATTAAAAGTTTAGGTATGAAAAGAAATGGAGCAAAATCAATCATAAGTTTTCCAAATAAATATGAATAATTTGAATTGTTTTTAAACGTTTATTTAATTTAAGTGTATATTAGTTGGTAATTTAATTTATAGATTTAACTTGTAATTTAAAAAAGATATTTAATTTAATTCAATTCTGCTTAATTCAGGATTATGGTAGTTATAACAAGTGTAGAAGATTTATTTTTGTTAGCTAAATTAAACAATACAATACATTTCACTTTTACTTATATACACTGACTACTCCATAAAATCTAATGGTTACCTATTATGCTACTTTGAATAATTCAAAACTAATTTTATACGAAAGAATTTCAAGCACATGACTGAGACTTTTTTCCATCACGCATTATATGAGCTACATTGGCTTTCAACAACACGGTTTCATATATTCTTCATCCAAAAATTCCCCAGTTTTTGAAAAATGGCTCATGTTCCTAAAATGCTTTATAACTCTTTGATCAGAGGCTTCCACATAGTCAGGATCGTCAATGACGGGTGCGGGGAATTTCTCTTGAACTACATATTCAATTTCTTCTAAGTCTGACTTCCATTCTGGATTGTGTCTCCTAGCTTCTTCTTCTTTGATTAAATCAAGTATCCAAGGCATGATTTTTTCTATAAATTCATCATTAAATTCCAAATAATTACCAGTAGTCCAATGATAATGATATATTGAATCTTTAACTTTAATTATTCTTGAACCCATTTCTTGTCTAATTAAATCTCCATTAATTTTCGCACTTCCAGGTGAACAAGATTTGTATTTAATAAGTCCAGCATGTTTACCCATGAAAATCTTATAAGGAAATTCAATTTTTTTAGTGAAAATTTTATAAAGTTCATCATCAGGCGGGTAATTCTCCTTTTTAAGAGCTTCCTCCCAATTTGAAGATTTGATAGGTATCATTTGACAAATTCGAGCTATTTCAATTATGTATTTGCTTGCTTTTGAATAATTGGCGAAGAGACCAAGTAATAACATCATTTTACTCCAATTTTTTTTTCTTCTTTAAATACAAGTTATACGCTGTTTCGTAATTTCCTTCAACTTACCGGTTCATAACCATTGATGTTGTTTTGTTGTTTTTAAACTATAGTAATTTAGGCAATAAAAATTATCAAAAGATAACAGCAACCAATTTCAATAAGACGATATCAATCAAGATTATACTGTAATCAAGATAATACTGTAGACAGTGATTGTTACCATAATGAGAATAATTTCGGAAACTCGCTTATCTTATCTCCTAGGTACTGCATATAATATAAAGTTGTCGTAAATTAAATTATGTCACAGAAGCACACATTTTGTGTTACCAACTTAAATACAAAGTATGGAGAATTCTAAGATTCAACAACGATTCTTTTCCAAAAATAAAAATTCAACTACCTAATATAATTTGAATCATAACTACTAGAATTAACCACATGTTGATATGAGATTTGACTTGTCAATTCTATTTATTACAATATGTCTCAATTTCCACCTGGTTTTAGCAATTGATCTAGTCAGCAATTATGATTTAACTCCAATAAGTCAAATCTTCAACAACATCTATCAATACGTATCACGGACACTCAACGCATCTCAGTTCAAAAGTTTCCAATTTTTGAAACAAGTTACAGACGAAACAAGTTTCACGGATTGGTTAAACTTTCAAAGATCAAATACAATTCATTCAATAATAAAAAATATATTACCTAATGGAGCCATAGTTGCCTCGCCATCAACATCAGATCCCAACTATTATTATCAATGGACAAGGGATTCTGCTTTATCGATAAAGACATTGATTTTTTATATTCAAGATTATTATAATTCAATTATACCCAACACTGATGTTAATTCTATATTAAATAAAAAAATCAAAGAGATTGTGGAATTATATATAATACATAATTATTATTTACAAAGACTACCCAATAGACTGGGGACTTTTGAAGATTTAAGTGGATTAGGAGAGCCAAAGTTCAATGTTGATATGACAGCATTTGATGAAAATTGGGGAAGACCACAAAGGGATGGTCCTGCGTTACGATCAATTACAATATTAGAATTTATACATTATTTAAATCAAACTGAAACAGAATTTGATGATCAGAAACTTAAAAATCGCACTTTTGTATTTAATGAAATTATAAAACCTGATTTAGAATATGTCATAAAGTACTGGGATCAGAAAGGATTTGATTTATGGGAAGAAGTTGATTCAATACATTTTTATACAGAAATGGTTCAATTAAAAGCTTTACAATTAGGTTTTGTATGGTTTGACTATTATAAAGATAAGATAGAAGGAGTTGATGAAACGTTTTTAAGTGATCTTTTATCGACGTTTTATAAATTAAAATCCAATATTAATAACGATTTTAATTTTATTAATCATGAAAAACATCATATTGTTGAGATCCCATCACTTCTAATAAGTGGAGAAAGAGGAGGTTTAGATATTGCAACAACATTAGGTGTGATTCATACTCATGAACTTGATTTTCTTGAAAAATATTCTTTTAATAATATCCATGATTTACAAAGTTTTAGAATCCCTTTTCAAGTTAATAATACTTATGTTTTAAATTCATTAAAATTTTTGATAGATGATATGCAAAATAGATATACTATAAATCATAATCCAAATCAACCCAAAGATAATGATAGTGCGTCAATAATTGGATGTGGACTAGGAAGATATCCGGAAGATATTTATGATGGACATGAAACATCAGAAGGTAATCCATGGTTCTTGGCTACTTCGACAGCAGGCGAATTAATATATCAATTAATTTTTAATCTACATAAATTTAAATTGAATTTGGAGATAAATGAACTAAATTATGAATTTTATAAACCTTTCATAAAAAACTATGAAACCAATAAGCAGTATTCAAAAGATATAATTCTTAAATACAATTCAATCGATTTCAATGAAACAATAACAAATTTATTCAAGTACGGTGATTCGTTTTTAGAAGTAGTAAAAAGACATTCAAATAAAGAAACAGGTAACATGTCAGAACAATTTAACAGATATACTGGGTTCATGCAAGGTGCAAAAGAGTTAACATGGAGTTATAGTGCTTTGTGGAATGCTATTCGTTGGAGAGACAAACTTGTATCAATATATGGCATTTGAAAAATATAAAAGCTCAATTGCAAGACTATAGTACAATTAATAAACATCTATTTAGAGGAACAAAATAACTATTCTCATTTTCTTTTCCCTTTCTAGCTTTCTGAATTGTTTGTAGTTTCAAACACAGTAATATTATCAAATTTTTCATCAGCAATTTTCCTATAACATTCATCTGATCTATCAAACAATTCCTTGTATTCCAAAGGAGTTAAAAGTGTGTCATTAGTTTTCTCATGATCTTGATCATTCTTTTCTTTATTATTATTTTGTAAAAAATTATGTTTACTCAATTCTATTAATTCACTAACACTCATATCCTCATCATTATCATCATCTTTTTCTTCACCATTTTTGAAAGCTTTCTTTAATTTATCAAATTGAAATCCTCCCATTTGTATAACTAATTTTTCCAAAAATCTTTTAGAACTTGATTTAGTTAATAAGATTTCTTCAATCGAATTCCTAACAACAAATCTATAAATCTTAACTGGTTTTGTTTGACCAATTCTATGAACTCTATCAATTGCTTGTAAATCCATCTGAGGATTCCAATCACTATCAAATAAGATAACAGTATCTGCAGCAGTTAAATTTATACCTAATCCACCAGCTCTAGTTGATAAAAGGAAAACTTTGAAGGATGAATTTTTCTTATTGAACTCATTAATTTGATCTTGTCTTTCCATTTGAGATGTAGAACCATCCAATCTACAAGTTTTTATATTTTCCGAAATTAACCAATCTTGAACCAAATCCATAACCCTTGTGAATTGACAAAATATAAGACATTTATTACCATTCTTCAACAACTTAGGTAAAATTTGACTTAAAGCTTTAATCTTACACGAATTTTGAACTAACTTCTCAATAAACTCATTATCTTTGGATCCATCAATAGGGAAAGGCTCATAATATAAATATGGTGAATTACAAATGTTTCTTAATTGAACTAGCTTCAAAGATTGTAATTTCAAGTGGTTGACATGATTAATAATTTGTCTATAAATATGATTGATTAAAAACTCTTGCTTTTCCTTAACATTTGATATTTTTTTTGCTTGCTTTAATGCATCTTCATAACTAATTTTAGGTTTTTGATTATGATCACCGTAAAGAATGGAAGCTGCTGAATCGTCAAATTCATCATCCGAAAGAGCTTCAGAATAATCGACTCTTCCTCTTTTTTTAGGTTTAAATTCATTCACACTCTTTAAGAAGTTGTCAACATCATAATTTTCAAACAACTTTTTATGATTATATTCAAGAAATTCCTTCAAATTTGACTCTATTAACCCTTTTTGCAAATTGTGGTTCAATGCATCACGATATATCTTCTTTTGCAATTCACTTAATGGTATGTGGATCAAGTACTCTTTCTTAGGTGGTAAATCTTTAACAACATCACGTTTTAATCTTCTCAAAATAAATGGTTTCAATATAGTATGTAAATTTTTGATCAATGTCTCTTGAATATTCAACTTAATTAATTTCTTGGTTTTTTCATCCTCTTCGTCTTGCTCATAGTTGGTTAATTGATCGAAGTTAAACCATTGCTGAAATAATTCTAAATCGTGGAAGATATCAGGTAAAATAAAATTAAGTAATGACCATAATTCATTTAAATTGTTTTGTAACGGAGTACCAGTTAACAACAATCTATTTTTAACCTCTAATTTTTTCAAAAACCTAATCAATAAACATTGACTATTTTTCAATCTATGACCTTCATCGACAATTAAATATTCCCATGAGATATTAGCAAACTTATTGTAATCCTTAATTGAAATCTCATATGAAGTCAAAATTATATAATTTTTGTACTGGTTTAAGTCTATATTGGCTCTATCTTGTTTTATACCTGTATACATGAGTACATTCACATCAGGCGTAAATCTTTTTATTTCATTATACCAGTTGGATAATGTCAGTAATGGTACAACTATCAAAAATGGACCATTCAATCCGTTCCCAATTAGATAAGCAAGAAAAGAAATGCATTGTAATGTTTTACCTAAACCCATTTCATCAGCTAGTATACCATTTAAACCGTTTTGATATAAAGTAACTAACCACTCTAAACCATCTAACTGATAATCTTTTAACTGACCACCAGAAACTAAAGCAGGTTGAGATATTGAATGAGTCGTTTGTGCTTTTTCAAGCGCTGCCCTTGCTGTTGCCGTATCATTACTGATTCTAGACTTTTTTGTAAAATCATTAGTTTTTCTTTTCTTCTTTGATGGTGACAGCTTAGTTTCTTTTTGAGTTTCTTCTTTCTGATTCAAACTAGACTGAAGGATATTGTCGGCAATAATTTGTGAATATACTTGTGATTTTTCAATCAAAATATTCAACCTATTGAATTTATCCGATTTAGAAAGTTGGTTGAATTCTTCTTGTTCTTCGTTACTTTGTTGACCGTCCTTCTGTTGGCTTTTGATTAACTCTTCAAGACTGCTAACGCTTGTATTTGCTGTTGTATCATTTAAATTCTCTTCATCAGAAGAGGTTACTTCGATTGCTGCTGTTGTCATTTTGCTGTCTTATCCAACCAAATGTAAACTTTGATTTTAATTCTCACTCAACTTTTAAACAGTATGAGACTACACGTCTGGTGCAAGAAGCAAAATCGCAAAGGACAACTCTGGTGTTGATAAAAAATGGTAATCACGTAAAGAATCAAATCAAAAATAAATTCTAGACGCGTCACTTTCTTTTGAATATTGTTAATGCAGTAGCGGATTTATAATTTTTTAGACATCGGATTTATTGTGTCACAAATTTATATTAAGTTGTATGCATTTCAATTATACAATCTATAACCATTTTATGAGATAAATCAACATAATTTAACATACTATTTAATTAAAAATGACTCAACAAATTTCAGAGTATGATCTTCTGTAAATTGAAGGATAGACCTTAAGTAGATCGATTAATCCATGTTTTGCTTAATTGCACTTTTTAAGGCATCAAAAGGTGAACTTCTAAACTGTGGATTCTTCAATACGTCATAAAAGTTTTTACTCTCCTCCTTCATGATCTGTTTATGACCTGTAGCTTTTATTGGGTTCGGTTTATTCAAATTAGACTTCCTATCATCTAAAAACTGTTTATTGTCATTTGTCAAACTTTTATTGACGATTTTGGTGACTTTTGGTTTTGTATTTTGATCTGTATTGAGTATGTCATTGTTTATTGGTAAATTATTTAGCAACTCATTCATTTTAGGTTTTAACTGCTCTTTTTCTTTCTTCTTTTGTCGACGTAATGAAGATTTACTAATATTACCACTAGTATTGAATGTGACTTTATTGACTAAAGTTTTTATAAATTTATCACTTTTCTCAGCTTGTTTTTGCTTTTTCGTGGTCTTCGCTAGTTTTAAAAGTGGATTTAAATTAGGTTTTGTTTCACTCCTAGGTATATGGCTCAATTGTGCTTCTTTGAATTCTGATATTTTTGACGATAGCTGTGATTTACGCTGCGATTTGTCCCTTAAAGAAGACTTCTTTTTGATTCCTGCCTATTTCATAGTTAGTATTGAGTTGTTTAAACAAAAATTTAAAATAACGATCATACCATTGTAAACTTTATTAAGTTGTTCTTTGATCTCTAAAGTTGTTAGAGAAGTGATATTCCTCAATGAAATGCGATCCTTTTAAATTCCCACTTTCACCTTTAACAAGAGGCAAACCTGGATTATATATTTATCAAAACACGAAGTGCTAATGTTTGATCTGCAAAGTCCGTCACAATCAAATAATGACAAATTTAAAAGTGTTTGAATCAAGATGTTGCAAAGATGACTATGATAACTGAAAAAACATTTGTCTTAAACTCTTTTTTTCCGACAAAAGGTTCTGACATCAAAATATAGTGGCGAACAAAAATATAACTAATACAATAAAACATGGCGAATATTAAAAGCATTTACCAACCTTTATCAATCATTATCAATATCATACACAACCATCAATACTAGTCACATCTGTAATATCAATGAATTCTATAGCTCAAAAATATACGAACTTACAAAATAACGACATCTTAAATGAAATCAATTCAATCAATACATCACGTACATCCAATCAATCATTAAACTTGGCTCCATCAATTTCCATACCACCAATTTCACAACCAACCGATTTTTTGAGAGCACATACTGATGATTCACAAAACCCTGACTGTAAAATAAAAATTGCTCATGGTACTACAACCTTGGCATTCCGTTTTCAAGGAGGAATCATAGTCGCAGTTGATTCCAGAGCAACAGCCGGTAATTGGATTGCTTCACAAACTGTTAATAAAGTGATAAGGATCAATCCAATGTTACTTGGTACAATGGCAGGGGGTGCAGCAGATTGTCAATTTTGGGAAACTTGGTTAGGTACACAATGTAGATTACACGAATTAAGAGAAAAAGAAAGAATTTCAGTTGCATCAGCTTCAAAGATTTTAAGTAATCTAGTGTATTCTTATAAAGGAATGGGATTAAGTATGGGTACAATGGTGTGTGGTCATACAAGAAAAGAAGGCCCAACCATATATTACGTGGATTCAGATGGTACAAGGTTAAAGGGAGATTTGTTTTGTGTTGGTTCAGGTCAAACTTTCGCTTATGGAGTTTTAGATTCTGAATATAAATGGGATTTGACTGTTGAAGAAGCTTTGTATTTGGGTAAAAGAAGTATATTAGCGGCAACTCATAGGGATGCTTATTCTGGTGGGTCGGTTAATTTGTATCATGTGAATGAAGAAGGTTGGACATATCATGGTAATTACAACGTTGGTGAATTGTTCTGGGAAGTAAAAGCTAAAGAGCACTCGTTTGTTAATGTTGAAGGTTGATAGTTTTCATCGTGTGTATATCAAATGTTCAAAAATTTAAATATTAGATCTTGCCGGGCTTTTTCTTTCACGACTCAATTTATTCTTAAAGAAAACTTGGAAACTATTTCCCAAATTTGTGAATGTAAATACTGTAATGTTTCCATTATGACGACTTAATATGAACATAATCTTTCATGCATCAACTAAAAACAGTTTGTTGGTTCACTCATATGTGGCACAATGAACTATCAATGCTGTTATAACAGCATATTTTGTTTAGTTCGTGAGTCATGCTAAGCCCTTTATACTTCCATTTTTCTGCTTTATCTGTCTAATGAATAGCGTTTAATTGCCTATGAGTTCGATTTGATAGCTTCTTTTGCTTGCACTCAAGTATCATTATTAGTTTGCAGTGAACATCAGGCTCTCATGGAGGTACTTTCAACTCATTAAAGTCTGTTTTCAGACTGACGAGTCCATCACCTTCAAAGCCCTTTGCAATTAATGTACCTCAATGGAAAATGTATTAACAACAATTCAAAATCAAAAACTTGATAGCTATTAGTAACTTAGTTCAAAAAAAGACCGATTTGTGTGGGCATAAATCTCTTAGTCGTAATTGGACAATTACGGTGCCGTCTTGTTTGTTTCTATTATTCCTTAATTACTTAGCACATATTTTTATACCATTCTACATACAACGTGCAGAAGATTTATAATCCAGATGTGAGTTTATGCTGAATAAACTTTCGATTGTTTAATTGAAAATATCCATCATTGAGGAAATATTAATCAAAAAAAAAGAACGATACTAAAATTTTTGACTGTTTGCAACACAGATTGTAAGAAAGCTAGAGCCAAATTTGAGCTGGTGATATTAATTTGTACGAATCTACATATTCGATCTTGACACAAACAAAGCATCTTGTTTCAGATTAACAAGTTTTTTGTGTAATGTTTCAGCTATCCATTTACGGTAAGTTATACTTTGGTAGCAATGTAACAAAGACTATCACGTGTTGTTTAGGGCTGTAAACCTTGGTGATTTTCCTAGTTTTGTGTAGTCCAACAAGCGATTATTACTAGTGAAAAATTATTTCCATCTATGAAGTAGAGAGCTTTGTCGTGAACTTAATCATCCACATATACTACATAAAATCAATAAACAACAATGGTATGTTCAAGATCACATTCAACATGGCGAACATTTTGGATGAATAAGTGTTGATAGAGTACTAAAAATGCATATTGGGAGTCGAAAAGACAACTTGAAGTGAAGGAAGTCATCATCAAAATTTATCAAAACTAGGATCAAGTCATGCATCATTATTCGACCCTCAGCTTTTCATTTACGATTGAAAATACTTTTAAATAGTGAAAGAATTTAGATTCAGATATTCCAGATGATTGTTCTAAAACCATAAAAAATTATTGAGGTAGATCAATGCACATCAATATCAACCGAATTGAACTATAATTAAGTTTTCGAAACGGAAGTCTTTATCCATGGATTTTATGATATCACTTTTTCATTGAAAATGTAATAAATGGACCAAGAATACTAACTCATTCTTTTTAGTCTTCCAAATCTCAAAACCCAATGCGTGAATTACGTATTGAAAAATTAGTTTTAAACATTTGTGTTGGTGAATCAGGTGATAGATTAACCAGAGCATCAAAAGTTTTAGAACAATTATCAGGTCAAACCCCAGTCCAATCAAAAGCAAGATACACAGTCAGAACATTCGGTATTAGAAGAAATGAAAAAATTGCCGTACATGTTACTATCAGAGGTCCAAAAGCTGAAGAAATTTTAGAAAGAGGATTAAAAGTTAAAGAATATCAATTAAGAAACAGAAACTTTTCCGCTACTGGTAACTTCGGTTTCGGTATTGATGAACATATTGATTTAGGTATTAAATATGATCCTTCTATTGGAATTTACGGTATGGATTTCTACGTTGTCATGGGAAGAGCCGGTGTCAGAGTAACAAGAAGAAAGAGAGTTAGATCAACTGTTGGTAACAATCATAAAACTAATAAAGACGATACCATCCAATGGTTCAAAACCAGATACGATGCTGATGTTTTAGATAAATAAATTCATTAAGTATTGCGTCATTAATATAAAAACTAATAATCTGTTATTCGTTGCAAGAGGACTTGTCAGGCTAGTTACCGCTTGTCTCCCAAATTTCTTGAGTCAAAGAGCCGTACGTTTAGAATTATATGATCCTCTAATTTTATTCAAAGTAACAACTCTGCTTATTCTGTTGGTCTCCAAATCCATTTTTAATCGAAATACAAAATTGGTGATGCTTTGTTGTGATGATAATGGATCGTTTGACGTTGTCCAGCGGGACCAATACATGTTCTCAAAAACCTTCATTTTTCAGCTCGATTTTATCAACAATTTTTTACAGAAATTGAAAAAAAACTGCTTTCAGCTGTTAAGTAAGTGCTAAATAGCACTGTATAATAAGTTTTTGGAGAATCGGATCGTTTTTGATTGTTGTATAGCTGTTTCAAATGTAGTCCAATTTTGATGAAAATGACCCAAAAATAGAGAATTCGTCGATACAGACCTGATAATTTTTGAAAAATATCGATTTTTTAGCACAACAAAATTAGTTTTGGTGCTTTGATCATTAGTTCCTCACCGTCGGTTAATAATGACATTAGGATCCTCCTCAAATCATCAAACACAACTTATTTGTGATTCTACAATTGTTAGGCCGTCATTAAAAAAATCGGTTTTGCTCGATTTGTGCCTCATACAAAAACTTTAAAGCTTGGTTTTTTACTTCATAAATTGGAATTTCACTCTGGCTTTTTACTGAATGCAACAAATTTGAGAGAATGTTTGTTTTCAAGAGTCAAATTGGTGAAAACGAGTTTTGTTGCAAATAATTGGTCTAAAACATCAACTTAATTTTTGACTTGAGTCTGGTAATCGCACGACTAAAAATAATGTATTGCGGTAAGGATGTGTATGGCAATAACTTTGTTACAAGTCATTTGAGCCTAAACCATCAATTGCATGAAGTATGTAATAAGTTCTTGACGATGTCTACTTATATGACGTACAAAATGTGGCGCTCATGTCTATCTATTTGTAAAAACTTGATTTTGAAATTACATATTTTGGCAAAAAAATTTTGAAAATTTCAAGATTGTAAGTTGCCAATGATCTCAAACGAAGGTTATATTGAAAGTGAAGCAAAGATGGAGCTACTCAACTAGTACGTTCTTTTCAAAGGCTTCAGATATTCTGAAATCCAAAGTAACCTTATTAAGGGTGTCGATTCAGAATTTGGATCAAGTTATGTTGAACTGATAATGACCGAAACATTAGAATGACCAAATATTTGGTAATTCGAAGGAGTAGAATTCCTATTCAGATCAGTCCGGAAAATTCGCAATTAAGTTTAGCTGTGCTTGTCAAATCAAATCACATTTGAAACTGTTGAAGCGAAATCTATCTTAGGAGATATTTCAGAGCGAAGTTGAATTTTTTAGAACTCACCTTCAAACTCTTACCTCTCTTTTTCATTCAGAACATTGCATTCAAATATAAACAATTTCAAGAATTTTTCAATTAATTTTGTACCCTTGTTACTTCCTTTATTCTGTATTGAAGATGATTCAATTTTTTTAAAAAAGAATTTAAACTTTGAAAATGACACAAAATCTAAGATTTCGTTATAGTTGTAATCTTTTTGCAATCTATATTAAAAAAAAGGTGACATCACCAATATTACATCTTTAATCATAATACACAACAGAAAACAATTTAATACTAAATTAAATAGAAACTATGGATTCAACAAAATTTTTTTTTGGTTAGAGTTGTTAGACCTAAAATCGAAACGAATATTTAGATCTATGATTTCAATCAAATATTTATAAAACTCATTGAATTTTACATTAAATTTCCAAGTAAGCAGCAACTTTGTAAATTTTGCAATCATTCACTTATCAAAATCATTAATATTTAATTTAACAATAAACAAAAATTTGATAAACATTGTGGTGTCAAACTCGTTTCATATTAAAGCATAATAAACTGCTGCTTAATATATTTTTATCATTATCTAACTCCACAACTACCAAAATCAAATCAACTAGCATATTGTTTGAACAAAGACCACAAACCAAAGCATTTCATAATACAACTATAAATATGGGAAGAGAAAATATATTACAATATCTTCAAGAACAAGCGGATTCAAATTTTAAAGATATAGAAAAAGAATTGTTATCAAAATCAGAATCAACCACTCCAACAGAAGAAGAAATTAAACCTAATCTTAAGAGAGAAGTAAAACAACATTCTAATTTCCCATTCACATTATCACCAGAATCAACAATACAAGATTATTTAAATAATAATAAATTTTATATTGATTCTATAAAACACAATCACAATGATCAAATATTTGATTTAAATAGTAAAGGTCAATCACCTCATACCTTATGGATAGGTTGTAGTGATTCACGAGCTGGAGAACAATGTTTAGCAACTTTACCTGGAGAAATATTTGTTCATAGAAATATTGCAAATATAGTAAATTCAAATGATATAAGTTCTCAAGGTGTTATACAATTTGCAATTGATGTTTTAAAAGTTAAAAAAATTATTGTTTGTGGTCATACTGATTGTGGTGGAATATGGGCTTCATTGAGTAGTAAAAAAATTGGAGGTGTCTTAGATTTATGGTTAAATCCAATAAGACAAATAAGAGCTGTAAACTTGAAAACATTAAATCAATATAATGATCAACCAAAATTGAAAGCTAAAAAATTAGCAGAGTTAAACATTATAAATTCTGTAATTGCTTTAAAAAGACATCCAAGTGCAAGTTCTGCTTTGAAAGAAGGTAAAATCGAAGTTTGGGGAATGATATATGATGTATCTACAGGTTATTTATCAGAGATTGAAATTCCAAAAGATGAGTTTCATGATTTATTTCAAATTTCAGATGAAGATGATGAACAAGCTCACAATCCTCATTAAATGAAATTAAGGTCTAAAATTTCATGCTTGCATATAAGATACACATTGTTAATCGAACTCAAGGTGATCTTTTCTCTTCTATTTCTTTATTACGTCTTAGTTTTTATTTACTACATTTTAATATTTATAATTTAATAGAATATTTGATAGAACATGATATTATTAACTGTAAAAATTTGATATTACTGAACAGCGCGCTTAACCATTTTATTACCAAATAGGAAATTGGACGGATCTATGATTAGAACCGTTACAAGTGACGTTATTATAGTCAAACTCAATCCTAGTTCAAACTGAAGGTTAAATAGATTTCCAAAAACATTGAATAGAGTTCAAAATTGATTAATTAGTTCTATTATTGAAATACTTATAAACTCTACGAAAATCAAACAAACTTGTTCAGAAACTCCGAAACCTTTCTAAAAAAACGCACAATGCTTAAAGATGCTCTAACCTACAAATTTAGCAATATGATCTAAGTAGTATCCCAATTCAAATTGAAAGTTCCCTTAGTAGGTGTATAGTTTTCGACCAATTCAATTACTTCTTCTACAGTAGTAGCTACTTCAATAATTTTTCCATTTTGTGGAGAAATGAATTGATTTGAAACACAATCATTTATAAACTTTAAGAAATTATCATAAAATCCATCAATATTAAATAAAATAACTTGTTTGTTATGAATTGATAACTGTTTCCAAGTTATAATCTCCAAAATTTCTTCAAGGGTTCCAAATCCACCAGGTAATGCAATAAATGTTCTGTTTGTTTTTTGACCCATTAATTTTTTTCTTGTATGCATATCATTAACTAAAATAGTTTTACCATACTTGGTTGAATCAGGAATAGGTGTAGATCCATCATGATTATTTATACTTTCTTTTAATTTAGCATTTAATGAATCTGATTCATCATTACTTGTATCAATTTCATCCTTTCTTTCTCTTGAAATCAAAGCTTTTGGAATGATACCAACAACATCCCCACCAGAGCTAGAACAACCATTAGCTACTGCTCCCATTAAACCGGTAGATCCTCCTCCATAAACCAATCCCCAATTTTTTGATCCAATTGTTTCTCCTAATTTTCTAGCGTTTTCTTCATATTTGGGATCTTTACCAAATGAAGATCCACAAAATACACATACTGAAATTTGTTCTTGAGTCATGATGTATCCGTTATTTAGCTTTTAAGTTGAAGTATGTCTAGTGAATGACAGCTATTTTGCTTTTGTTGTTAATAATTGAGCTTAGTCTTCAATGATTGCAACAATTGAAACTGAACTTTTGCTTATTTTATAAATTGTAGAAAAAAGAATAAATAATGTAAATGACTAAATGTTACTTATTTATATCGTTGGTGTTGGTTTTACAAATTGTGTTGTAAAGTCAACTTTGAAACGCAAACTTTAAATTTAACTATGAAGTTTATAACAAAAAAGCGTTTATTCCGTCGGAACTTGAGTCACGTTTTTCTAATCATGTAGTTACAAGTTACATTCTTGACTTCAATATCGTCTTCGCAATGAAAAGGTAGTTATCTATCTTTCGACCTTCGGAAGAGAATCAATGATAGTACCGAATGTTTTCTAATGTTCTGTGTCTGAATTATTCAAGCAATTGATTGGAATATTGGATAGAAAGATAAAAGACATGGAGTAGAAAATTTGAACAAATGTGAAGCTAATCGCAAATTGTACCGAAAGTGGAGTTCTGTAAGACCAACCTTTATGCTGACTATCTAACCAAAACAATTTTTGAAACGAAATTACTGAACTATCGTTGTCGTTCAGTTCTTTGTAGTATTGAAACATTAATATTACAATTTCAATTTCGCGAAACGGAGTTTTAACAAAAAAATTTGACATGCATGAAAAATGTCAATGGTCTAACAAAGAGAATTTCGTAACTCTAAAATTCAATTGATAGCCAAACAAGTATATGGAATAAATCAAGATGAAGACTCAGAATCCTGGAGAAAGTGAGGGTATGTTCAAAGTTTTAAATGGTAACCACGAGAAATTTTGTCAAACTTTATACTAACCACCAACTATAGAAGATAGATTTAAACAAAAATGTAAAGACCTTCAAAAGAGAATAAAGGAAGTGGAAGAAAGCAATGAAATAGCAACTATAGCATATAGTAGAACCCAATCAAGTATAAGAAGATTAAGATTAGAATATGCAATACTAATGGAAAGATTAGAAGAAAGATCACAACATTTACCTGATGGAATAGTACATTTTGAAGAAATGGCAGGTCCACCAACTCCAAATATTTTAGATGAATCAATAGTTAAAAACTCCAAAAACGGATCATTAGGGTCAAGTAGTGGGGGAACTGGAAGCAATAGTAAAAAATCGTCAAGTAAGAAAAGTACAAAATCATCATCATCACCTAATCAATCATCTTCCACTAATGGAAACCAAAACTCCTCAAACAAGAATAATAGAGATCCAGATTTACCCAAAAGGCCGACAAATGCATATTTGCTATTTTGTGAACAAGAAAAAGAAAAATTAAAAAATGATGAATCAAATAATAACAAAGACTTATCAAAATTAATGACCGAAGCATGGAAAAATTTGAATGAAGAGGATAGAAAACCTTTCTATAAACTTTATGAGGATGACAAATTAAGATATCAAAGGGAAATGACAGAATACAACGAAAAGAAAGAACTAGAGGAGCAATCACTTCAAAATAACCTAGATGAAGGAAACGGACAAAATGAAAATACTGAACATGATCAGACCAAAGAGGAAGAAGGAAATGAAGATGATGAAGAAAGAGATGTTAAACGACAGAAGTTAGAGCAACCAGAGGAGGCTGATTTTACTATTTTCAAAGAAGAAGAGGAAGGGGCATTGGAATTACCAGAATTCAATGAACCAGAAGCTCCAATTGAACCATCATTGCCAAATGAGTCAATAGTAAACGAAACTATCAATGAAGAGTAAAACCTTAATTTCAAAATTGTATTAATTATAAATAAAAAAGTGATGTGCTACATACATTTTAAATCACTCTTTTTTTCTTACTTTTATAATATCCATTTTCATCACGTTCGTTTTTCCTTTTCTCTCTAAACCTTTCATGCTTTTTGAAATTCCTTTTAGCAGCTATAACGGGAGCATTCAAAGTTAATTGAGCCTTTTTAGCTTTTCTACTTCTCCTTCTTGCATCTACTTCTTGTTTAATTTTAGCAAATAATGAAGTGTATTCAGTTATACCTATTTTTTCTTTAATTAAGTTTAAAGTTTCTAATGATAAATTCGTCAATTCATCACTTTCCATAGTTCTAGCGTATTCTGAATCAGTGAAATTATATAATGCTGCTATTATCTTTTCTGAAATTTTTATTGATTTAGAACCACTTATGACTTGTAAAAATAAATTCAAAAACTTAATTGACATTTTTTTAGCAATAATTGATTGAAAATTCTCTTGTTTTATTACACCACATATTTTATTCACCAAAAAGTCGTTTGCATGTATCTTATCATTTGATTCATTTTCAATGTATGTGTCATTAGCTTCCCATTTTATCGCAATGAACACCAAATTTTTGATACAAACATTCCCCAATTCTTCAGATAACGAGGGAGTTCTCAATTGATGAATCAACTTGATCATTATTAATTCTAATTGAGCGCCTTTAATTTTACTCTTGTCTAAATTTGCGAGCGGGATTGAAATTAACTTACAACAGATGAGTCTAATCCATGAATGTGGATACAACAAACAATCAATTATCGAGACCCAGATAGTTTGAAATTTAGCCTCGAATGTTTGGTCCTTCACATCGGATGCAATTGAACTGAAAGCAGAAAGGGCAGAATAAATTAATTCCCATTCAACGTCATTTCCTTCATCAGAAAATTGAGCATCTTTCAAAATTGCTTGAATATTGTCTAAAACCAATTTATTTAATTGTTCGTTATGCTTATACCCAAACACAGATATGATCAATTTGTAAATTTGGAATCCACATCTTTTCAATAAAACCTTTGACTGTTTCAACCAACCGGAACAATAATCTTCCATAAATTTAATATTTTTAACCTTTTTCATCAAATTTATCAACAACGAACTAGCCATCTCTCTTGATCTTGCTGAACTATCCATTATCAACACATTGGACAAGGCTATAAAAAACGAAGAATTCAATTTTTCTAATAAGTCTTTACCAGCTTTCATGATAATCAAATGAATTAACTCCATAACTGATTGTCTTCCTTCTTCAGTCGGATATGACAAATTATTCACCAAAAACTTAAATTGTTTCTCTAACCTGCCTTTACTTTGATCATACTCCATGAGAAATTGAAAATAAACTGATCTTGACATATCTCTAATTTCTTTTGTATGATTAACAATCATTAATTTCGAGACACTTTCCATAATATCATAAATCTCAGGCAACATTAAATGTTGAGAAACGACAGCTTTTAAAAATTGAAAAGCTAATCCTTGTCTATTTGGCTCTTCCAAATCTGGTTGAATTCTACTCAAAACATAACTTATTGCTGATTCTTTCAATACTACTTTTGGGTTGTGTTTTATAGTTGTAGCTAAAAACTTTAAAGCAGATTGGACTATATCTGAATTTGTAGTGGGTGAATCTTTTATAATAATTAATGCTTTTCTAACACAAGTTTTTAAAATGTTTTGAGTTTCTTCGTCAAATGGTAATCTCACAACTATTGATAGTACTTTTAATGAAGCCAAAATGACACCTTCATTTTCTGAATATATAGCAGTAGTTAATAATGGAATAAATCCTTTCATATTTGACGTATTTAATAACAGTTCATGACGTGATATCGCAGTTCTTAATAATTCCAACGAAAGTTTTTGCATAGTTTGTTTGTAAATAGATTTATCAATGTGTGTCTTAACTTTCCTGTCCAAAACAGTCAAGAAGTGAGCTTCTGTAGCACTGATCAATTTTTCTTTCTCTTCTTCATTATCAATTGACATCATGAAAATTTCATAACATAAATGTAAAATCTTCACATTCGATGCATCAACATTATGATGTAAACCCATCGATAGTTTCCTCAAAACTTCATCTAATTTAACTTGAACTTTATGATTGACAACTTCTTTTAATAATAATCTAATAGGTGCAATCAATTCACCAAATTCATTCAAAGTTATATTTGATGCTAAAATTTCACATGTATCAAAACTTTTTTTAAATTTAACTTCCTTCATCTTACTAGTATAACCATCCGCGTCCTTTTCTTGACCAGCAGCACCAAATATATCTTCCATCACAACATTCATAACTAATGGCACTGATTCATTCAAATCCCCATGCTTCAACTCTTTTGATAAACATTGTAACAAATAATTCGTAGTGAAACTTAAAACATGAATTTGAGAACCTCTTGATAATGCAGTCTGCAATTCTTTTAAAATGAATATTAAATAATGAGAACCTAATGATGTAGTAATTTTACCTAGAGTCTTTCTTACAGCATCTCTCAACTCTTCTGATCTTGACCTCATAACTTGACACAAATTGGTTAAGACTTTGGGTAATTCATCATTGATTTTTTCAGGTGTGATACACATTATTAAATTAATGGCAGCTTCAGCTAATGGGGCTCTTGCAACTATTGTATTGTCATCACGCACTTGCAAAATTTTTGTGAGTGTTGGTAGAATTTCCATCAAAACAAATTTATCAAACTCATCTTGCATTGACAACATCTTCAACTCTTTCAAAACAGTTGATATTGCTACTATTAGGTTAACTTTCTGTCTCAAAACATCCGTTTCTAGTTTTAGCCCACTTATATATCGTTTAAAAATTGCTTTGTATTGATTCCAACTAACAGATTCTGCCAAAACTTTAATAGCCTCTAATGATTCAAGACCAATGTTCCTGAATTTCTCTTCCTTGGAAACAGCATATTTTTCAAGTAACGGTAATATATAATGAGATATACTATTATCATTCAATTTGCCTCGATGTTCTAATAATCTTCGTATTGATCTTTGACGTAAATGTAATTGAATATGATTTATATTTTTGAAAAATTGCAGCTCTTCGTCTTCATCATCACCGATTAATATCTGCATATCACTTAATTCATTAAAGAATTTATCTTCTTGCACAATATACTCTAATAGTGATACATATTCGCTTTGAATATCTTCATTTTCTTTCCTCAAACCGACTCTAAGTATTGGTAAAATTGTATCTTTCAACAAATGTATGTATGGAGCAGCTTCCTCAAAAGTTGTTTTTGAGTTATAACAGTCTACAAATCTTTTCAACATGAAAGTGGCATTTTCTCTAATAACTAATTCTGTAGGATCATTGATGAAAAACAAACCAGCATTGACTAAGGGAGTCCATTGTAATACATCAAAAGACTTGTAATATTCTTCATTAATCAATTTAAACGCATTTAATCGTTTTTCAAAATCATACTCACTCATTCTTGTGGTGTATGCATTTAAATCAGAAATTAATTCAGACACTAATTTCAATTCATGAAATTTAAGACCAAAGGAAACAAATAAAGTTGACAAAGTCTCACGAATTTCTCTAGTTGGAAATATTCTTAAAAGTTTGGAACAAGCAAGGTATAACGGTTCAATATCTTCAAATGAACATTCATAGGACCCGATCAAAGATGACAATGATATAAGGATATTTGCTTTATCTTTGAGATCAATGTGTTGATTACTTTTCTCGAGTGCAAAAGTCAATGAGTTTATTAAGACCAGTTTTGACTCATTTGTATCTATGTATTCTCCTTCAATCATCAATAATAAAATTCTGATTGCTTTCGACCCAACATCACGGTTATAAATACGATCAATGGTAATAGGTAATGTTTGTAATAAAGAATCAACAACAATTGCTAGTAATGTGTAATAATCATCATTTGATTCATTTTTCTTCTCTAGCGCTTTTATCGCGAAATCCAAAACTTCGGAGACAACAGATTCTTTTGCATCTTTCTTTTCCAAGATAGACAACACAGCTTTAACAGGTTCAAAATCATTAGCGAAAAGGAATGGTAATGTATTAAATTGATTTATCCATGAGCATATCAAAAGTAATGCCGCCGACGGTTGCTGGGAGTTTTCATTTGCAAAATTATTTAAACGTGGTTGTATTAAATTATTCGAAATAACTTGGACGTAATTCTTCCAATTAAAGTCTGGACCTAAAATCGTGAACAATTCTTTTAAATTTCTCATACCAATCAGTCTTATACTTTTTGCCATTTTGACACCAACAATTTCCTCATCGTCTTTTTCCTCAACATCAGCCACAATGTCCGATGAACAATCTAGTCTATTTTGAGCAGCTAATAATGAATAAATCAATGGTTCAATTGTAACAGACAAAACAGATGCATAATTTTTACTCAAAAGTTCGTACATTTGATGAAGTAAATTCATATAACCAGTAATTTTGTTCAACTCACCTTTAACCAAACCCAAGCTCGCCAAAGGAGCTCTTCCTTCAAAATAATCTTCATAATTCAATTTCTCTGAACCTATATTTATGAATGAGATGATATCCGCGTCATTGAAATTTGGTAAACTTGACAATGCAGCATTTCTATAACCTAATTTACTCTTACTTGAAGGTTTACCTTGTACTTTCCCAAATAATATTCTAATCACTAATGGCATGATATGTGATTTATCCTCAATTTCAAATGGGCTGTTTAAATCAGTAAATTTTGATATTTCATCACTAAAAGTTACATCATCCAATAAATTTTTTAAGTTATCTCTATATTTGTTGATTATCGGGTCATGAAATGCAAATATGACATCTAGCGATAATTGCTGAACTTTCGAATATGAACTGGACAAAAGTGATAACATTCTTGCATACAATTTCTCACTATCTTTCAACTTTCTTAAATTCTTCAATTTTGATATCAAAACTAGAGAATCATTTTTGTCATTCTTGGACCAGTTTTGAAAATTCTCGCTATTTTGACCTTGACCTAAGAATAAATCAACTAATTCAGATTGATTGACTATGTCTGGGGAAGCTTGTAAAGCATGTAGAACATTAGAGCGTAACATGACTTCGAATGAATTTCCATTGCAAGCAGCATTACATAAATTTGAGATCGAGGCATTGATATTCCTGAATGGACCCAAATAGTTGGTTTCATAAAATTCAAAATTTTGTATCAATTTAGTACTTTGGGGTTGCCAGTCTATCAAATTTGAAAACTTTTCGTCCTCAAAACCATTGGTTGATGTCTCATTATAGTAATCCATAGTTAAAAGTGTATAAGCATTCTCCCATAATTCTGATTTACATGAGCTTGATATTGTTGGCAAAGCTTCAAAAACGGCTTTCCAACTTGGTTGAAATTTATTAGACAATAATCCAAAAAAGTATTTTGAGATCAATATTTTATCGAATTTTGATGGACTTATTTCTTTTTGAAAGCTGTTTGCTAAATTTCTGATCCTCAATGTGAGATCTCTTCCAGTATGTAGTGACAATGGAATTTCTTCTATTATTTTTATTTGTGATAGAGTCTCCGATACAGCCTCATTATTTAACCTTAGTATAAGTTCTATCAACTCAATAGCATCTGACTTTGATTGATGACTCGGTAGTAAAAGACAATTTAAAACGTTGTCCATAAAAATCTTTGAATTTTCGGAAAGTTTAATTAATTCTGATAATGCTGGTAGGAAACTTTTGGACTTTTGGAATCTTTTGAAATTATTCACAAAAAATTCAACCATTTCATTTAAAATGTGGGATGACGATGTTAAAATTGGCATCAAAAGGTACATGGTGAGACACACAAGCTCATTACCTAAGGTTGTGTCTGGTGATTCAAACAAAAGTTTGCTCAAAATAGTTTCATCAACTTTTATGTTTTTGGAATGTTTAATTAATATCAATTTCCATGAAATATCAAAAAACCTTTGATGCTCAATATCATCCAAAAGGGTTCCAACTAATTTGTTAGCAGTTGAATTAGGAAAACTAAATTTTGTTTCTTTTGAAATTTCGAGGAAAAATGCCTCTCTTTTAAACACCTCCTCGTCATCACTAAATTTATTCATGTAATCTTGTATGTACAGGTTTATGCCAAATTCTGATAGTTTCGAATACTTGTTGTTTAATCCTGAAAACATGAATGGTAAGAATCCAGCACCATTATTGATGACCATGATGTTATCAATGAAACGCTTTTGATACTTTATTAATGCCTGCGTTGGAACATTTCTAAAAACAACCAGTAATAAATAGACAATGGATTCATTTAGTTCTATTGAGATTGACTCCTTAGTTTGCATAAGCACAATAATTTGATCAATCAATTGTAAAATTTTACTCCAATTTGAGACTTTTTTCCCCGAATCGGTGAAACAAAGGGTGGAAAGAATTTGACAACTCATCAATAGCACAACTTCATCTTGATTTTCCTGTATTAGTCTACTTAATTCTTCTGAAATTAAATTATAGAAGCTTTCACAAGCTTCTGCTTCTCCGTGGTGTAGCACGTCCAATAATATATCCGAAAGTAGACTGACAATTTTCAGTTGAGCCTCTGTGTGTATTTCATTGATAACACAATCCAATATTATTGTAAGAATTGTCCTAGACTTTGTGTGGAAAGTACCTTTTGTATTTTTCATTGACTCACTGAATATTATTTTGATTGATTCCAAGTAATTTGCATTAGTCATGATTGCATCAACTTGATCATACAATGCATATCGTATGAAACTTCTAACCACATCTGGACTCAGCTTTCTGACTAAAAATGATAGCGATTCTGCACAAAATCTGGAAATATATTGTTTATTCGTTAATTTCAATAAAGGTATTAACTCCAGAAATGTTGGTATTAAGTCTTCTGTCAAATATTTCACCAAGTATTTGAATGTAAATGCTAATGTACTAAATGCCCAGTCTAATGCATTCGATGAATTTCGACTATTTTGAAGATCATTTGGATTAACTGTTAATACTATTTCGCTTATTAAATTCAAAGTTTTTGGATAATATGGTAAAAAATCTGGTCCCAAATCGTGAATAAACTGACTAAGTACTTCAAATAATGGTTGTAGTGAATGTATATCGTTTGATTTAATTGCTTCGTATATTGCTTCATATATTTTATCTTTATGATGGATAACTTGTGGTAATGACTGACACGAATCTATTATATCATCTATTAAACCTGTGAAAGTTCCTGATAAATTTAATTCTTGCCAATGTTCCAAAGTTGAGAGAGTATGTGAAGATTCAACATCATCATATACTCGTTTATTTAATCTTTTACTTGGTTCTATTTTGATTGAATCAACCCTTTCTTTAAATGAGACGAAACCATGTCTTCTACTTGATTCAGTTGTTTTATTCTTCGGCATGATTATACTTCTTTATTTACTATTTCATTTAGATTTAAAAATCTCTTCTTCCTTTTTATTTGGTCTTTATATTTCTTGTATGAATGCCTTTAATTAGTAGTTTTAAATATACTAAATTTAGTTTATTGAACTCTGTTAATAAATCATCTCTTCATAGAATAACTATTATATTTTTATTACACAAAAACGCTTATTGTACTTCAAAACGGTTTTATTTTAGACTGAGAAATATTAAGCCAAAGAACAACATAAGAGAAGAAAGCAAAATTAGTGCAATACTTCCTAGACAAGTCTTTGTCCATTCTCAAGTTAGTCTTTCGATGTACAAGGAGAGTTGAAAATCAAGTACAGTTATTTGCAAGATCACTTATTTTTAAAATTTAAAACACAATTGGAATAACTTTCAAATTAGCAATAAGATGTCCACTAATGAAGACACTGATAAAACTCCCCTACTATCTCAACAAGGAACCTCAGAAAATGCACTCTCTCCAGCTACATCCTCCTCATCCAAACTGAACCCTAGCAATAGTGCTGAAAATACAGTCAAAACAAAAGCATTAATTCCAAATCGTTTACCACCAAAATCTTTAAATAATACGAATTCGACATCATCAACTAAAATCCATTCAAAAATTTCAAACTCAAATAAGATTGGCTTACAGAGGACTAGTAGAACTTCTCAAAAATTAAAATTGTTACCCGAAGATCCAGATTTCCATAGCATAAATAACAATGATCAAGTCAACGCTGGCGATGACGATGATGATGATGACGAAGATGATGACGATGAAACAAGAAGTAAAAGACGTACGAGAGTGTATTCCCAAGCTAAAATGATCACTGACTCAACTGCGAGAAAAGATGCTGAAACATTGGGGAAACTGCATCGAGATTTATTACCAAGAGTTACAGCCTATTGCACTTGTGCTTCCTATAAAATGAAGGACTTATTAAGATGGTTGAAAGACAGAAAAAGAATCCATAGTACAAGCCCAAAATTATTTGATGAATGTCTATATACACCTTTCGAATATAAAGATTGGAGAGGTGATAGTAATGGTAATAATAACGAGGAAGAAGATGGACATAAATTAATACGATTAGCAGATGAAGGTGGTGAAATAGATATTGGAAAGAAATCAGATATCTTCATATTTGAGTATGGTGTAGTCATAATGTGGGGTTACACTCAAAAGGAAGAGATTTCTTTTTTGAGTGATTTAGCAAAATTCGAGAGTGAAAAATTATCAGAAGAAGATATTCAAATTGAGGAATTCAATTACTATATCACGAAATCATATCAACCAAGAATTTATAATGATTTTATAACTTTGAGGGATGATGATAATTACATGTTAAAATTATCCATATCTCATGCATTAGCTCAATCTGTTAAAATATCATTATTCGAAGAATTAGTAGACAATACCATAGAGGACACTCAGGATATACCGCAACAAATAGCACAAACAGGTAAAGTTGAAATGACAAGAGACGAAATAATGAAATCAATAGGTGAATTATTCATCTTAAGAATAAATATAAATTTACATGGATCAGTACTAGATTCACCAGAATTGATGTGGGCCGAACCTCATTTGGAACCTATTTATCAAGCAACAAGAGGTTATTTGGAAATAAATCAAAGAGTTGAATTGTTGAATCAAAGGTTGGAGGTTATTTCGGATCTCTTACAAATGTTGAAAGAACAATTGGGTCATTCTCATGAAGAGAATTTGGAGTTCATTGTGGTAGTATTGGTAGGAGTTCAAGTTTTGGTCAGTATAATTAACATTATTATTGATGTTTTGACTTATAAGTAATATAATTGCATAAAAATCTTTAGATAGCCCATTAATAGTTTCAAGTCAACTTTCATTACAAATTTTAAATATTTGGATATTAATAGGTTATATTCATTTCACTTGCTCAATTCCTGTTCTCTTCGCTATCTTGATATGAATTCGTCGAGCTTCTAGATGATGCTTTATTGAAAAGAAAATATTAAGACGACGTAAGCATTCTGAACGCCATTTGTACCTATCCTATTTTTCAGATTGATGATGGATCGATATTGAGCGGGGTTAGGTCTGAAATGCATTCATGCTCTCGTTTGAAATAGATTTTTTTTAGGTCGTATACTTTATGTACTTGTATTTTCTAAAAGCTATTTATTTCGTACTATCTTCGGATAGTACATTTGTCAAATTTAACAATACAGAGAAGATTAGCATTGTCCTTGCATAAAGATGACACGCATTACAAAGAGATTTAATATTTTTTTTGCAATTTTGAAATTATAGACTGGTTAGTCTATGCCGCAATGAAAAGTTTGTAATATATTGAAGGATTCTAGTGGTAATAAGCGTGTTCAATGATACATAGCCTTGGTTTCGAACAGGTCAATAATCAGTTTTAATTTTTTGCATGTCGTGAAAATATTTGACACGTCTTGCTTTTTCTTTTTTCAGACACTGATTCACCCAATTGTAATCATTTAAATTCTACTTACAAATGTTTCACTTTGTACTACAAAACCAAATAATTTACTATGTAATGACTGCTCTTCAAACATAAAGCCCTTAAAGTCAAGCACAATTGAGGGGGGTTTTAGTACGACGTTGAAATTTTATTAATGGTAAAACCCAGTAAAGTGCTTCTCCGATTATATAACTTTTGTATCTCTAACGACAAAACTCTTTAAATTAAAGTAATAAGTAAAACATAAAAATAAATTTCGCTAGCGAAAAAATCATCTATCAGATATTGAACCAATTACTTGAAAAGATTTTGAATTTTTCATCAATTTTAATTAAAGGACCCAAATTAATTCAACAACAACATTTCAAACATACATTCTAATTAAGATTCAATTTCAATAACTAAATTTCACATAAATTGTTTTTATGATTACTTTTGCATCAAAATAGTTTATTTTATTTATTCGTTTATTCATTCAAAATTTTTTTAAAAAAGACTGTCATTATTTCAATAACATCTCATAATTTCCAATAATGATTCCAACACTTAAAAGGGCGGTTCAAAGGGCTCCAAGATCAATATCAACTCAATCGAAACCATCAACCTCAATAGCATCCTCAACCTCATCAACATCACCAATAATAAAATCATGTCGTTCATTTTCAAATACATTAATTTCACGAATTGCACATGAAGAAGATTTGGTAAATCTTAATGAATTACCAAGAAAAGAAGAACCAGAGATCTATGTACCATTAGTAAATCCAACTGAAAAATATAAAAATCAAATTGAAGAATTACATAAATTTGGTACTTATATAATGTCATGTTTACCAAAATATATTCAACAATTTTCAGTTTGGAAAGATGAATTAACTATATATGTTGCACCAAGTGCAATAAGACCAGTAATGTCATTTTTAAAAAATCATACCCCAGCACAATTTAAAGCTTGTATGGATGTTACTGCTGCTGATTATCCTTCAAGAACTAATAGATTTGATGTTGTATATAATTTATTATCAGTTAAACATAATTCAAGAATTAGAGTTAAAACTTATGCTAATGAAACTAGTCCTGTTCCATCAGTTACACCATTATATAATGGAGCAAATTGGTATGAAAGAGAAACTTATGACTTATTTGGTATTTTTTTCACAGGTCATCCAGATTTAAGAAGAATTATGACAGATTATGGATTTGAAGGTCATCCACTAAGAAAAGATTTCCCAACAACTGGTTATACAGAATTAAGATATGATGAAGAAAAGAAAAGAGTTGTTTATGAACCTTTAGAATTAACTCAAGCTTGGAGAAATTTTACTGTTGGTTCATCTGTTTGGGAACAAGTTGGAGACGGTAAAGATTTTACTCCAGAAAATTTTAAATTACCAAAACCAGAACCAGAACCAGAAACGGATGAAAAAGATGGTAAAAAGAAATAGATATATAATCTAATAAAAGTTAATTAAATTATAGATGAATGATGTTTTGTTAGTTTAGGATATTCCTTGAAATTATTGAAGCCTAGCCTCGATAATTACCTTTTCGAAAACTTTTATTAAACTTAATCTACAAACATTCTATATAAGTGTCTTTTATTGTAGTGCAGATATTTCTTGATTTAATTTATTCAATTCTTGTTTTCGAGATTCCAAATATTCTTGTAATGATTCAACTTGAGTTTCTAAATCTTTTATATCATTTTCAACTTTTATTAAATCTTCTCCATCATCTAATTGTTGCTTTTTATATTGTTCTTGTTTATATTTTAATAATTGTTCAAATTCATATTTTATTAAATTTTGTTTTTCATTTTCTTTTTTTTCTGATTCAGACCTTGTTGAAACTTCTTTTATTAAATTTTCTAAATCTATTAATTCTCTTTTTAATCTTGCTTCTTCCCAATCTGTACCTTCAACTCCTGAAAAATCTGTTCCTTTATCTGATATTGTATTGTTTTGACCTAATTTAGTTAAATAATCATTTGCAAAAGATCGTTTTGAAGCTTGAGTTTGTGTGTTATAAGAAGGTTTATTTTGAGCTTTTAAATCATAACTGGGAACTTCTTTTGAAAAAGTAGCTCTTAAACTTGCTGGTACTCCACGAGGAATTCTTTTACCATTTTCTCTTTGATTTAAAATATGTAAAAATACTAATGTTTGATCTTTATCTATTGTTTCAAATGATTTTGGGTTAACTAAATTCCATGCTGATGATATATCACTTGTGGGGACATTTCTTAATGTTGAATATAATGAATTTAATGAATCAAATCTTATTCTACCAAAATTATCATTTTTTGATTGATATATAGTTTCATAAGTTGATTTATCCTTTGGTGAAATATACCAATCAAAATTTTCACTTAAACCATCTTCATCATCTTCATAATCTACTCCTATATTTCTTCCTTGAGTTACTGCTTGGTTGGCTTGAATTAAAGCAGCTTTTGATGAAGGAATTAACCAAGAAGGTAATTGATCAGGTACTTCAGCTATAGAACCATTCACAAGATCAAAGATTAATCTCATCGTTATACAAAACTCTTCAAAGTCTAGACTTCCATCATTATCGATATCACTTAATGCCCATATTGATGATAATTGTTGTTGAGGTAATCTTGAATTCTTTAATACTGGAGCAACTGTATCACCACTTACTTTGTTATCAATTGGTTTTAGACCTTGAAAAATTTGCCAATATTTTTTGATTTCTGACTCTTCCAATCGTGGCATGGTTTAGTGTTGTGTTTTAAGGTTATAGGTGGTATAATTGAGCCGGTAATTGAAATTGAATGAATATAGAATCCGTTGCTAAGTTTAGGTCTTGGTGATATTTTTTCGATAGTGTGTCTTGTCGTGGAAGTTGAAACTCAGACAACTTTGGATGAAACATTTTACCTGCAATTCCATTCCACTTTAACAAATTCATGTTATCATATCTTTTTAATTTAAAAAGCTGAGATTATTTAAGACAATTCTATATAAGACATCGATATTGTGTTAAGCTGACATCTTGTCAGTCCAGAAAGTTGACATCATTACTCTGTTCAATCTTGCACCTATCATTTCAATCTCAAAATTTGAAACCCAACTTGAGTGTGGTGTGATTTTTTATCACACTTTTAACATGCCATCTACAGTTTTTAATCATTTCAAGTCTTTACAATCATGAAAATTTCCAACGTTGATTCAAGTGAATCTAAAAGAGATATGCAGTCAGTCAAGTATAAGTCACCTACTTGTCATTAGTAGTGATAGTTGTTCTTGATCTGCTATGATTGAGGCGAAGTATTTTTAACACGAGATAAGACCACAATAAAATATATATCAAACTTCATATTTTTCAAATGTTGCACAACATAATTAATTGAAAATAATTTACGATCTGAGACAAAATATGTATTATGATAACAAATCAGTTGTACAAAAAAAAATAATATGTATGATACTTCCAAATAATAATATTTTTTTTGAAAGGAATTTATTCTTATCGTAAATCATTGAACTCCTATGTCAAAGAGAAGGAAAATGGAAAGGATTTGGCAGGTCCTTGACAAGGTTATTTGACATGATCTGTTGAATGGATAAAAAAAATGAAGTCGGTTTCGTGACATCATTTCTAATTTTAGTCTTTGACTCATATATATATTATGCTTCTATCGAGGGTCATCAGTAAGGCGGGCACTGTTTTAAATCATTATTTCTATAAACACCCTGATTTACAAGTATGAGAGAAAGATAAGAAAGTCATTGAACTTTTGGGTTTAAGGTACATTGTTTAAACTTTTTTACGCAACAAGAGTTCAAATATTCTTACAAATTTGAAAACCCACTACATCCAAAATGTAAGGTCATTGACTTTTTGAAAGATTGGATCGATGATTGATAGAATGAAACCAACCTAAGTATAATCAAAAATTTTATTAGAATATCAATAATGATTCAAAATCAGGGACTTTTTCAATTTAGGAACAACTCATCGAAAAAATTTCGAACTTCTTATTATTAAAAAATCTGAGACATGCATTTACACCCCTCGTATTTATACTTATTGTAAAAAAGCGGATAAAATTAAGGAAATAAAGTATTGTAAAAATTCCCCCAAGTTAAGTTAGATAAATTTGAATGAGACCCCCCGTTTAATTTCTTTTCATAAACTTCATAAAATTATTTTATTTGAGATTATTTATCAAAAAGAAGTGGCTGGTATAATAAAAGCTTCGTTTGGAAGTGGGAAAAAAAAGAAGGAATATCCACAAATCAAAATATCAATTTGATGGTAAGCAAAAAGACACAAAACCAAAATAAGATTTTTGTGTAATTTATGCGGTTTCACTTTAATGCAATCTTAATTAATTAGTAAACAATTAATTAACCACAATTTAAGGAAAGGAATGAAAATAAATAATTATACGGTTCAATCAATCAATCAACACATCTGAATAATTAATTCAAGAATAATTCAAACAAATTCAGGTTGTAGGTCTTACATTGTTTAATAATATTCTTTTCTTTTTATGCCCATAAGTCTTTTTAAAACACCCCCTCTCCTTCATTACAAATCAAATGAATCAATTAATCATTGAAAAGATAATTGTTTCGAGTGAAATAGATAGTACGGATTTAAATTAATTATCTAAATACACGGAGAATTCATCGACTATTAAAGTATTTGTTTATGAAAGAAACAACATAAATTATTGTTGATATCAATTGAGCTATTAAATCTGAGATTTGGATCATTACGAGATCTAGGGATCTTTCAAATTATAAACTTTAGCCTCAAAACCTACGACCTAAAGTCTCTGATGCATTTTTTGTGACTCTCCACGAGCTTGACGTTGTCAAAGAAAGGATTAATCGTTAGCAAATGTTGATTTCAAAAGTTGCTTAAGCTTGATAGACAAATTTTTATTCCCTATGTTTACCTTTTTCAATTCGGGATCTCATGTTTTTGACTTTTTAGTTCCGTAAATTAAAATCTTATGAATTTCGGAACACAAAATCTACATTCAATTATTATTTTTTTTCTTTCAGATTTCGCTAATCTGTTAATTTAGTCATTTGAAAAACCAACTTTTTAAGTAGTTTACACTAGCCCCAATTAAAATATTTTAGATATAAAAAATTTTATCGAAAAAATGGGAATCTAAACTTTTTATTCTCAATAATCAAATCATGAATTGTAGAAAATTAATCGGCAAATACTTTTTTTTTCCTTACTTCAATAAAAATGACAATCTTTACAGAAGTAATTTATTAAAAAACTGCATCAAGTTTTAAAATTGCATGTTAAATTTTACTTTTAAGAACAAATAAAAAAAAAATTGATTTAGTTCGTATCACAATACGAAATAAGGGGTGCAGTCGAACAATTTTTTTTTATTATTCTCCAGTTTTTCGGAAACTCGGAGTCTTGCTTTATGTTCCGACAAATTTGTGTAATTTTTGAATTCGGATTGATTTGAGAAGTGAATTAAAAAGAATGAATTCCATTTTCAGTATAAACTCCGAATAGCGTTGTCTAAACAGATTTATAAAAAGGTAATGAATCGTTTATAATGAAAATATCTCCACTTCAATCTCGTTTCTTATTATCTATTTCATATTTAAAAGAAGTCATCAAAATTTAAAAATAAGAAACATTGTCTCACAATTATAACTTCTATTTGCCACTACTCTCCAATTGAATTCGAATTAATAAAATGTTATTTGTTGAAAGTTTAAATATTAATTTAATCATACTTATACGACTATATTACCTTTTTTTTAATTCAATTTATAACATGAGAGATTATTAAATTAAACTTTAGGCTTTAAGTATCTAATATTGGCAAAACAAATTATCATTTTAATTATTAAAACGCAACTATGATTCTAGACATTCAAAGTTTCTTTAAAAGTGGAATGTTTGAATGACTGAACTGAATATGAACTGAATAGAATGAAAAAATGATAAATTTATAAAGTACTTAGGTATAGAATCTTAAAATTAATTTTAATCTTTATCTATTTAAATCTCATCAATTCAGTTTAAATTTATTGATATTTTTGGACTCATAAATGAATTAAGACAACCATGAGATAATATCCTATATAATTAACGTCGTATTCTTATGATTCCATTACAAATGAAGGTTTTAATTTCAATATAAATCAAAAGTATTGGCCACAACAGGCTTGGGTTTATAATAATTAAACTTTTTATAGAACTATGGTTAAAAATTAGTAACCAAGTAGACAACTTTTTACTACTATTTTAAAAATTTAACGAGATTTAATTATTGATTAAACTAAAAACTACTAACATTTAAACCGACCTGAGACAAGTTTTAATAATAGACATATTATTATTATTATTATTATTATATAACTCTGCAATGTTTATATTTAAAATCTCTATATTTACCTTTTTATTTTTTTTTCTTTAATCATCATTACTCCGGTTGGTATTCGAATGATTTGTTTTGGTTCGTACCAATTTTCTCACTAAAATCAATATGATTACACCCCCATAAAAATCGTGTTATCGAAAAAGAAAAAACAACAAGCCAAATATTTTTTTTTTTTAGTGAATTGATGTCAATAATAATAAATTCCTGTATATAATTAAAGTGAAACAACATCTTAACTAAAATTTATAAACTTTGCATGAATTTGTCTCACTTTTTTTTCGATTGTTATCAAGATTTGTATAAACTTAGTTAGTTATATAAATAAACCCAATATCCCTTGTAAGAATATCATTCTTTTTCTGAATTCTTGATGGAATTTTTTTCAAACTTCATATCAACAATCTATTCAAAATCATTTCATTAAACATATAAATTTCAAATAGGTATGTAATAACTAATATAACAACAAGATCCGATTCCAAATAAATTTTAATACCTTCAATATTTCAATAAATCCAGTAATTTCAAAAATTTCACTCCTTCCTGTCCGATTCCTTTTTTCCTTATACCAATTTCAATACCCTTCAACTATCAGATTTCTACTACTTTTACAAATTCTTTTCTACAAACACTCAAATCAAATTCAATTTATTGTGCAATTTATATGTAAAATTAAAAAAGTTTAATAAAATTTATTATCCCAAGTAGTGGCGAATGGTAAAAAAGCAATTTGAAATTTCAATTGAAAATTAATCTCCTTCATTCCATGAAGATTTATGATTTTAATGGAGTTTCCCTGTTTTTTGTTTTGTTATCATTCTATACCATGTTTCAATCATCAAATTCTTCAAATCAATAACTGTTTCATAGTGTGATTATAATAATGTATTTCATATTTTATATTTCATATTTTCCTAAATCAGTTTTATTATTATAAATTTAAGACATACACAAAATAGTATTTCTATTACACAAACTTAAAATATTACACAAAATAAGAGAAATATTACTATTCACACATTCACACATATAATGCACAACACAATAATTTATTAACTTAACTAATTGAACTCAATGCATAATTTATTATTCAATACTACTACTACTACTACTACTACTACTACTACCTACTTCATTCCATACACTCACACACACTCACGCACATTGTTCACAAAACTCATTTTAATTAAGACATGATTTTATTGTCTTTTTCTTTTTCTTTTTTTAAATGTCTTAGAATTTTGAAGATTTTATTTTTAAGGGAAATTGAAAATGAATATTAATTTTTTTACAACCAATATAAAATTTATAATCTTATGTTTTATATATCATTCATTTACTTTTCAAATTCAAAGTAGGGAAACAATAGTGGTATAATCAACTATCATCATTAAATTTCACTTAATAATAAATTTATTTTCAAAAATCATCATACATACATAAATTTGAGACACTGTTTTATATATACATATTAGGACGTTAGGGAATTAGAGATTCAGATCTTACATTATTTGCATAGATTTACAGGGAAATGGACCCTTTTATTCAATTTTAGAAGTAAAAGAATCAAAGAAGTTACTGGATATAAGGACTCATTCTACTTATTCGAAATCATTGGAGATACAATAATTAGAATCAAAGAAATACTAACTTTACAATATTTAGATTATTTTTACACATTTCATTACTATTCTCAAGAACAATACGAATTGATTAATCAAATTTTAAATATAAAATTATTCATAAAACTCAATAATGTCTGATATTTTACCAATATCATGTATATCATGTAGAAGAAGAAAAATTAAATGTAATAAGAAAAAACCATGTGATCAATGTAATAAAAGACAAATTAATTGTGAATTTCCTGCAACTTTTAGAAATATTAAAATTACAGAAGATGATTTTAAAGATGTTGAAAAAGAAAATAAAAATAAGAATAACCAAGATCAAATAGAGCTTGAGAAACAACAACAACAACAAAATCAAAAGATTAATGATAATAGTTCATCACAATTATATCAAAATTCATCATATTCACAATCACAAAATCATCCACAATTACTACATCATCATCATCAACCTCAACTACATCAACATCAACATCAACAACATCAACATCAACCTCAACTACATCAGCAACATCAACAACATCAACCTCAACTACATCAACAACATCAACAGCATCAACATCAAATCCATAACCAGCAACAGTATCAACATCAACACCAGCATCAGCATCAACATCAACATCCACATCTACATCCAAGTCATGTACTAGAGCAGCAACAACAACAACTTCAACATAATCAACAACAAATACAACATCAACAAAATCAAATATTACATCAACAAATGAGAAATCAACAACAATTACAACAAAATATAATAGATCATCAACAAAATCAACAAAATCAATCATCTAATTTACCAATACATCCCTCTCCAAAACCATTAAATCAAAATATAAGAAATAATTCATCATCTGCTGAAGATAGTAGTAGTGCAGGAGGTAGTTCAAATTCTGTATTAACATCGTCTGATTCTGGAAAAAATTCAATAACAACTTTACCAACATCAGTTGATTTAAACAGTTTTAAAGGAGATAATGAAAAATTTGGAAATTCAATATCATCTGATTCTAAATTAGATACAAATTCAAATTCTATTGAAGGTGGTACATCTGATTCTTCAAGTACTGGAAATTCTGTTACTTCATTACCAATGTATTCTTTAGGTGAATTTCAAAATAATAATAATAATACCAATAATAGCAGGAGACAACAAATAGAACTGAATCAAACTCAACAACAACAACCTCAACAACAAAAACAATCACCTCAACATACTCAACAGTCACAACAACAAGGGAATGATGCTCAAAATTTTGTTACTATGAAAGAAAATTTTGATATAATGAGAGCTGCAAATTCTCAATTAATAGATGAAAATAGAGTTTTAACTCAAAGATTAGAAGAAGTTTTACAAAGAGTGACAGTATCTGATTCAACACCATCTTCATCATCTTCATTACCTACAAGTAGTAGTAGTACTAGTAATACCACAAATACAAATACATCATCAACTGCAAATCCACCAACAACTAAAAAACAAACTAATGCAGTCAATGGAAATGCTGGAACTGTTGGAAAAAGAGATAGAACATCAGATTCATCAAGTGAAGATTTACCATATAAAAAGGAAAAAGTTGGATTTTTTGGTCATACAAAATCAAGTTTTCCAAATGATTCAGCAAGTGCAAATCAAGGAATGTATTCAACTAATTTACCATCAAATGATAATACAAATCAACCAAAAGAATCATCAAGTACTTCATCTGGAGGTAGTAGTAGTAGTGATGAAGTAATACAACAAATTTCATCTGAACAGCAACCATTACCTCGTGAATTAAAAACTTCTCAACAACAAAGAAAATTACATAAATTAAAAAGATCTAAAAATTCTATAACTGGTCATGGTGGAAATGAATCAAATCAAAATGATTGGGAAAAAGATATTGATGCTTATCATTATCAAGAAACTTTAAAATCAAATAAATTAAATGAAAGAAGTTCAAAAAAGAAAAGATTACCAATTTTACCATCATATTTATTAAAATATGAAGATCCAGATATTAGTACTGATTCAGATACTTATCAAGATGTATTTAGATTAAATTTTGAAGTTATAATGAATTTAATTTATAAATTTTTTGAAAAAAGTCCATTTTATAGAACTTTTATATCAGCTTCACATGTTGTTGGATTTTTAAAAAATTATGAAATTATAAATGATAGAGATTGGGATAATGATGATGATTTATTATTAGTTTATATGATTTTAAGTTTATCAATACAAAGATTATCACCAAAAGATTTTGTTGAATTAAATTTATTACCTGCTGGTTCAATAAGTACTTGTACAAAATATAGAAAATATTTAACAAGAAATGTATTACATAAAAATTTTGAAAAATTAAGAAATGGTTTAATTAATGAATCATTAATGTCAATACAATCATATATTTTATGTACTGAATGGTATTTTTTAGAACAAAAATATGAAGAATGTTGGACAATGATGTTTCATACTTGTTCAATATCTTATTCAATTGGTTTACATATAATGGGTAATTATAGATTACAAGAAGCAAAATCTGGTAAACAATTTAATAATCTTATAAGTGCAACAGCTGAAGATTCTGATGTTAGTGATAAAAAGGAATCTTCAGGTTCTGATGAAGATGATAAAACTCAAGATGAAGAATTAGATTCAAGTAGATATAAATTATGGTTTGCTTTAAAATTTCATGTTTCTGTTATATGTTCAATTTTTGGTAGACCAAATCCAATTTCGGTACAAGTTGGAATGTATGGATCAAATAGTGGATTAGGATTTGATATACCAAATAAAAAAGCTCATATATTATTTAAAGTTGGTGTTTCAGAATCTTTAAGATTATCAAATTTAATGTTAATTGAAAATTTTATGATTGATTTTACATTACCTGATTTATTAAATTTATCACAAAAATTTGATAATGAAATTAAATTATTAGAATCAACATTACAAGAAGAAAATGATAAAAGTAGTAATAGTGGAAATGATAATGCTGGTGATTCAAATAATGATGATCAAATGTCTGCATCAATTAATGATATAGATTATTTAATGACTGATGATTTCACTGGTAAAGAATTAGAAATTTCAAAATTAGATTTATTATCAGATATTATTATATTATATATTAATAATGCAAAATTATATGAACCATTTATAAGTAAATTTGAAAGTGTTGATGGTTATAATAAAGTTGTTGAAGAACAAATTAGATCAATTTCAGAATTCTTAGTGTTGTTAAATACATTTGTTGAAAAATTTTTAAAACAATATATAAATGATAATTTAAGAGATGTTATTGGTGGTGGTAATAACAATACTAATAATACTGGAAGTGAAGATGATAAACAAAGTGATAGTAGTAATAGTTCTCATGCATATCAAGCATTAAATTTTGGACCAGTTAAATTTGGAAAATTATTTAAAACTTATTATCCTTATCTTAATTCATTTATTTGTCAAGGTATAATAGTTGTATTTACATTATTACATTATAAATCAAAAGATTTTGTTGCAAATGATAATAATTCAGTATTAAATAATCAATTTTTATCATTAGTTGAAACAAATTTAAAATCATTATTAAGTTTTGAACAAAGATTATCAACAAAATATATTACTACATCAAGAATGTGGTCATCAAATATGGTATATTTAATTAATAGAGTATTAAATTTAATTAAATTATTACATGAAAAACAAGAAGATGAATCAATTGCTGAAGAATTAAAAAATAGAAAATCTAAATCAAATGAATCAACTCCTGATAATTTACCAAATAATTTACCAATTACAACTTCAAGAGGAAATTTATCATATTTATTAAATACAAATCCATTTGGTGATCCATCACAATTTGAATATCTTAATGGTTTCCATTTAAATGATCCATTTTGGTTAACTGTACCTGACAATTTACCTTATTATTTAGGTTCTCCAAGTGAAGATATAAGACAACAAAATAGATCAATTGCAGGTTTTAAACAATATAATCCACAAGTAAGAAGTGATAGTATTAATCAATCATCATCATCAAATTCAAATAATAATGTAAATAATGGATCCGGTGGTGGTTCAACTATTTCAAGTACTAATTCTCAACAACAATCTGATATGTTTGGTTTACAAAATTATCTGAATTGGAATGAAGTTGGTAATATGCAAGGTATGAGACAAACTCCAATTAGTATTTCATCATCAAATAATACACCAACTGTTAGTAATAATTTAACTTCAAATTTTAATCCACGCAGAGGTGGTCCATTATCAGCTGGTTTACCTCCTCCAATTCCAACACCAACTTTACAACAACAACAAAATCAATCACAACAACAAACTCATCCTCCAGCTCCTCAATTTCAACAAGGAAATCAACAATCAACACAATCAAATCAACCATTACCATCATTACCACAATTACAACCTCAATTAACTACTACAAAACAACATCAACCACAACCACAACAACCATCACAATATATGCCAAGTTTTGTTGGAGGAGGATATATGTTTCCACAACAATTAAATTTCAATCAAAATAATTATTCAAATGATTATTTTAATCAAACTAGTAGACCTCCACCAATTCAACAACAACAATCACAACAATCTCAACAACAACAACAACTGCAACAACAAGCTCAACAACAACAACAACTGGTGAATCAACAGGATAAGATGACTGATTGAGAATATTTAATGACTTTTTTTTAATGAGATAGATATATTTTTATTATATAGATAGACTTTTAAAACGTTTAAATAAATATTTATGTTAATGACTTTTGAATAACAAATTTTAACTACAATCTCTACAATTTATAATACCATCAATTACTATTTAATTCAAAATGATTCGACTTTCAAAAACAAATTTCAACTACAATCGTTACAATCAAAAATACCATGAATGATTTCTTATAAAAATATACCTCAATATATATACAAACTGTTTATTGATTTCTATAAATTCTATTTCGAAATACAAAAAAGACCAAAACTTTAAAATTTTAAAGATTTTAAAATGTTTAATTTTAAATTTAATAAATCAATAGTTAAAGAATCTAATTTTTCAAAATCTTCATTAAGTATAAATTGAATTCTATTAAATTCTAAATTTAAAAATTTAGTACCATAATTTAAACTTTCAAGTATTAATTTATAAAATTCCAGTGATTTATTATTATCACTTATTTTATCTAATTTGGCATATATTTCATCAATTTTAGTTTCTCCATTTTTGATATATTCAGTAATTGAAGAACTAATATCTGATAAAACTCCAGCATCTTTTTTTAATGTACCATCAATTTCTCTGGATAATCCATAAAACAAATTAATAGAATTTACAATTCTATCAAATTTTCTAACATCTCCATTATAAATTATAGGTTTATTTATATCACCATTTTTAAAAAATAATAAACTTGGTAAATTTTTAAGACCGTAGGAACTAACAATTTTTTGACTTTCTTCATCATCAACTATTATCTCTGCGAATTTTAAATTTTCAAAATCTTTACCAAATGTTTCTATTGTTAATTGTTTATATAAATGTTCAAAATCTTGACATGCATTACAATATTCAGAACTGAATAAAACTACTATATTTGGATTAGTTTCAATTGTTTTTTTAAACAGATCAGCAGTTAATTCAATTATATGACTGTCTTCTTCATTATTTTCTTCTTCAGTTTGTAAAATTTGTTGCTTATGTGAAACATTATCATTATCATTACTCAGATTCTCAATGTCTAAATCTTCATTAACTTTATCACCTAACCTTATCCCACTTAAAAGTTGAATAAATTTACTAAAAGTTTCTAAATCTCTAATCCCTTGAAATTCAGTATGTTTTCCAGTATCATCAAAAAATAATAAAGTAGGATAACCAATTTCAACATATTTTTTACTTAATTTTTTACCATCTTTATCACCATTAATTTTTAAAATTTGAATTTGAGGATAATCTTGAAATAATATAGATAATTCATCTATAATTGGTGATAATTTTTTACAATGTCTACACCAATCTGCATAAAAATCAACAAATGTAAATTTTCCTGGTGTTTTAATTAATTGATTAAAATTTTGATCATTTGCTTGTATTATTTTTGATGATGAATATGCTGCTATTGTTAATGATATTAAATTTATTAAAAATATTAGTATTGAAGATAGTCTCATTGTTTCTTTATTTAAAATGCTGTGATTCCATGAAATTTATGTTCAAAACTTGGCAAATGATTGAGTCCAATCGATAGGTATTGAAAATATGAGTTAGCTATTTGAAGAGTATGGTGAAGTAAGTTTGGACTCTTAGCAATATGATTATCAAAACCAGGACGGACTTAAAACAAAATCGCAACGAAATAGGTTAAATGCGCATTCTATCAGATCTAAAGAACTTGCAAGCAAAATCGAGATTGACTCTATTTCTACCTTCAAAGAAGAATCATGAGTTGATTTTGAGGAAAGTTTAGCATAAGATTGTCTTGCTCTCTTAATTTGTTGAAATAGACAGTATTTTTGAAATCTTTTGAGCCTAATATACAAATATTTTGATCATATCAGAAAACAAGTTGCTGAGATGAACGACATCATTGAGTTGACTTAATCTCTTTTTCACTGGAATTAGGTCATTCAATTTGTCACACTAAAGATCAGATTGGAAAATGGATTGTTTTCCATTCAGTGCTACAAGGGTTGTTTAAGCTAAGATATTAATATTATGAACCGATTCTCTGCCTTTCATGATATCACTTGTTTATAACACTGTAACACAACCTAATTGCAACTAAAAGCAAAATTACTAAGACTACAACAGAAAAGACGACACCAAATAAAACTATTGATTCAGTTCATTTTCAGAATCGAGCTAATTAGAAAAAGTACGTCGAATATCGAAAACTATCGGTCGAACAAAAGACAAAAAACGGAACACATTTGAAAAACGTCTATTATTAAACACATCATCATTATAATCCCACTGTCCTACTTAACACTAAAGAATCAGATTTGAAAATTTGAACCCGAGAAGGTCAATCAACAACTTTAATCTCAACTCTTTGTAAAATAACAAAAAGTCTTAATTAAGCAGTAACGGCACTGGCTTCTTTCTTTTTATCCTCACTATAATGAAATTTAACCCATCTAAAACCTTGAGTTAATTGAGCAATTTCATTTACAAAATGACAACCAAATAATAAATAATTTTTTGGAGTTACAGCTACAGCATATTTCATAAATACTAATGAATATAAAATTAACGAACCGGTCATTGGACCTGAAATTAATTCTGGATTTTTCTTTAAATCCATTACTGCTGCTATTGGTATACCAAAATTAGATACTGGTCCCCAAAAATGAGTTGTACACATGTATTTCAAAGTCTTTTTTGAAAATATTGAATCAAAAATTTTTTTAGCACTTGACATTATGATTGTATATTAGTTGTAATTGGTTGTTGAAATAAATTATAAGTTATGATTTTATATAATAAAATAAATATATGAATTGTCTTAATAAATAGTTGAACCGGAGTTTTATCTGATTAGTGATATAGGAATAGATATGATTATCGAATACTTCTAAACTTTTTATTTAATTTTATATGAAGTGGTTTGAACGAAAATCTCAATAATAACAAGCACTCAGGATAAGTATGTCGTGATTAGATAAGTATGTGGTGATTGCTTTAAAAGTATCGTGATAAATGTAGTAGGTTATCAAACAATAGTAGCTATGGTTTGATTTATCCTTGATACTAAATATTTTTTTTTGTTGAAACTAAAACCCCAATAAAATTTTTCGGTCTAATAACTCCATTACAATAAGTACTTTGAAGGATTGGATCTCATTACTGTCAAGACTTTGATACTATACGTTGAAATTGAACCTGTAGATAAAAGATTGTCATCAACTGATGTTGCAAAGTTTTAACTGTCGAACCTTACATTAAGCTCATATACTATTGGCTTGTTGTATAAATTTTATAACCTTTTATAACCGACTCCATACTAATTTTTTAGCTAGTTAAGTAAAATACTTTCAAGAGCTCAATCTTTGACCCAAAAATTCGCTGAAGTGCATTTGATGTAGTATCACTGTATTCGCATTGTTTGAAAATGGCAGTTGTAGAATCTTATTGTTTCTCAGTCCAACAGCTGCATTATTCTACTTTATTGTAGTTAATAGAAAATAAGAATTATTGTATACTAACAAAATTAGTGACAATCCTTTTTAATTTACTTGTTGAAATTCATTTAAATTACGAGAATGATTCAAATTTTCGTCAAAAGCTGGATTGGGTGTATATCAGAGAACTTGTGAGAATTCATATTGCCAACAATTTTTAAATGATGGAGATGTTGTATATTGAACTTGAAAATTTAGTATCTACACCACTCAAATTCAATCCCCACATTCTTATTTTCGTATTCAAATTTCACAATCACAATAATAAGCAAATTTCTTAACTTTACAATTAGATTATTACATGCTGATACGGTTCACATGTTGATTTTTACATCTTGGTCAAAAAATATTTTTTGCATCAATTGTCAAATCCTAATTTGGTAAATTTCATGTTTGAAAAAACATATTTGTGGCAAAATGTGTCACAAAATCTGGCTTAATATTTTGATCCAAGTTTAATGGGTTTTGTTCGTTAATTTGATTAATTAATCAAGCTTAAAGAAACACTTCAAGAATTTCAGTTTGTGATGATCGTCTAAACCATCAACATTAGAACATAGATATTGATGAGTTTAGACGAAAGTTAATTTTTTTGGGGTACAATTGTCTAATCCAAATTGAGTAAAATTTCATGTTGTTAAATTGAATTTTGAAACAAATTAATTCAAAATTTTTTGGTACCAATTTATTCTCAAATAATTAAATCAAATTACATGTACAAAATTAAATAACTTAACAAAGGCTTCAAAGATTCATAATCGAACAAATTGATATAAATAAACCCAAATCCTTCAACTGTTTCAACTCAATTTTATTTTTCATCACTAACAAACAAACAAATACAATCTAATATAATTAAAAATGGCTGCTCAACAATCAAACAACAACAACAACACTGATTCAAAAGCTTCAAACAATGCTAAAAAACAAAATGCTGGTAAAGACAATTGGGCTGCTCCAGTTAATGGTGGTTTTATTGGTTCAAATTGTACTATTGTTTAATTTTAGAAAACAAAATCGTTTGAGACTTTATTAATGGACATTATATGAATGCTTTTGGGGTCAATTTTTTTTTTTTAAGATGCTTCTAGCTAATGCAATTGGTGACTTACTTTTTTTTTATTTTGTCTTTTAAGTATTTGTATACTTTCTTTAATATAAAACCTTTTATAATTAAATTGACTTCTTGCAGCCAACTTCTATGATCAGATTTATATCGAAAATAGATTTTGCTTACGAATTCATCAATTTTCCTCTATACTTTTTCAAACCTTGAAGTTATCACAATTGATTTCTTTTAAGGATGTTTTAAGACTTTATTTGTCAAAGTGAGCTGAACATATTTGAAATTATTTACGTTAAATTGAGATCATCAAAATTAAAAAAATGAAAATAGTGATGATAACAACCCCCTAACTGCTGCAAGTAACTCAACACATTTTATACTCGCTACCAATCAATACCATGAGATTTAACTATCCTTGATTTCGAATTTTATTAATTATAAATTACAAATCGTCAAGTATGAATTATATACAAGTACGTATCACACTTTATTAATGAACTTTCAAGGTAACTTCAAAAGATACGGAAAGAGGAAACACGTTGGAAGACAATACCGAGATTCAAACTGGTACTACAAATCTTACATCAACATATAATTTTGAAGATATTGATTATGAATGATTCTAAATCTCGACCAGTTTTGTACTTTGTTTTTAAACTCATTTAAAGGAGAGCTTGTTGGAGAAGTCTCACCTGACATGCAATAGATCCATTCTATTCGTAAAATGAGCTGAATTGTTGTAATTGACCATGAAATCACTATCGAAATTGTTAACAGACTCATTTGGTTTAGAAGTTTTACTCAAATTCATATTTCTTTATTAAATACAAATATGAATGAAATGAAGATACCGTATTTTAAGAATATAAATTTGAGAAATTTACCTTAGCTAGTTGATTCTGTCCATGATTTTGATTGTTCTTCTATGGATAATAACACAGTTCGGCTCATTTCATTGTTTTATGTCAAGTTACTTTTACAACACTAATTATTTCTTTGGTTTGTTCTTGCATGTCAGAAACTTTATAATCAATTATTTAAATATAAAATTATACATATATATAATTTATCAACGGTATTACCACCGATATGGAACAATAGATACTCGTCGTATTTGAATCATAATAACTGTATAACATAGTGATCATGTAAATCATCGTCATCATTGTTCGTTAATTTATACATAGATGCTACGAATATAAAACAGGCTCTTATTCTATGTATATTCATTCTCTATATAATAATACATCAAATTCTATAAAGCAAAAAGAAAAAAATGAAATCTATTATCTTATTATCCTACCCATTTTAAAAAAGATCAACTACCATTCAATAGGATCAAATTTTTGTAAAATTCTAACTTTATTTGGCCAAACTTTCCCCTTTTCCAAAATACATTGATCAATTATAGGTTTACAATTATTTGGTTTACATAAACCTAACCAAATATTTTGACCAGTTGATTTAATATATATTATAACATTTGCTGCAAATTTATGACCACCAATATGATTTATAAATGCAACTGATATTCCATTAGGTGTTTGATCACCATAATCTCTATAATATCCTATATCTCTTAAATATAAATCCATTTCTTTTTTCATTATTGGTGCTGTTATACCACATCTTTTATCTCTTGTTTTATGTGAACAAAAAAATATATAAGATAAATTTATATCTTCTTCAATTGTTGGTAATTTTGATTTTATATACTCAAATTTTAAGTCTTTACGATTATTTACAATATCTCCATTATCTTCACCCTTTTCTTTCTCTAGTTCTTTATTTTTTAAATTATGTTCGTTAAATATTGATAATAAAATATTAAATTTTTCATCCACTTCATCTAACTTAATGCCTCTCAACCATAGAAAATATGGCATTATTAAAACATCTCCCTTTTTTTGATTTATATAATCATCATCAATAATTAAATTATCATTACTTAATGAAGAACATGTAACTTTTATATTTCCAATACTTGTTTTACCAGATTCTTCCAGAGCCCAATTACTAATTTTATTTGATAATGTACCTTCAATACCTGTTGCATCATGAGGCCAATCTGATTTACCAGTTGATATTATTAAATGTAAACCAAAAGGTTTTGTTGAATTCCATAAAGGTTCAGTTTCTTCAAATTTTAAAGATTTTGGATATGATATTGTACAATCATCACAAATTTCTGAACAATCACTTATTTCAAATCCAGATTGTATTATTTGTTCATCTATTGATTTTTCTTTTAATTCTTTATTTGATTCTTTGTTATCTGATATATTTAGATTAAGTAGTTTATTTAATATTGCCATTTTTCAATAGATTGTTGTGTAGATGATGATTTGATTTTGCTCTTATTAGAAAAGAAGATAAGTGGAGTCTTTGAATGATTTGAATGATACGTAGTTGAAATTTAAGTTATACTGAATTAAGGAAAACTTCTATGAGTTAAAAAACTTCGTTAACTGAATTTATTATAATTTGATTAAAAATTTCGAGACGGAATTAACTAAACACCGTGTAATAGTAATGAGTATATCAACTTTAGTTTTAATTAAAGTGTTATCTATTTAATCTATTAATCATTACTATTATTATTACTAATTTTATTAATCATTTCTATAATTAGTAGAATATAGAATTGATAATTTAGTACAAAAACAAATCGGATGAGCTAACTTTATTTTTCTCGGAAATCGTATCGCATACGGGGCGAAATTTAAGAAAATCTTAATTAAAGTGAATGGATGGATGAATAGAATAGAGTAGAGCCATACTATAGTTTGGCTAAATTTTTAACAGTTATATTATCAAATGAGTTAAGGAGTTTCTTAAATCATTCAAATTGATTATTGAAACGCGTGAACTGTATAAAGCCGTTTTATACTGGCTGAAAATATGTTTATCTCTATTAATCTTGGTCTTAAACATTATAACTTGTTTTAAATGAAATGCTTATACCAAGTGCTTAATTTACGCTAGCTTGTCAAAAAAGAACAGTTTATTGGAGATTGAGATGGTGAGCTTAGGGGATCTCAAATACTCTGATTCAACTTTCATTAAATCCTTCTCATATCTCAATAAATGGGTACGTAAAGATGAACTCCAGTAGTTTTTCTTCAAACGATGAGAAAGAATATAGAATAAACCAGATGAATCTAAAAAGTGATATTCGATCAAACACAAAGGTATAAATAAATCAACAAACTAGTAATAATACGCGTATTTATTCTATAATAAGGGGCCCAAGCAATTATTTACAAAATTTTCAATTACTTTGTGTAGCATTAGGATGGATTTATAAATTAGAAACGAAAGAGATGGATTATGTGATATAGTTATTGACATGAATTATCCGATATGGAGTAAAGGTCCATAGTTTATAAATATATGAAGTAACTGTGAAGATAATATAACGTAATGATAAATATAAACCATGAAATGAAATAATAATACAGCCGTATAAAAAGTAATTTTAAAACTTTACTTTTTATATAATTTATAAGTTTACTTATTGTTTTAAACTTCGGATAAATGATACTTTATTCATATTATAATATATGTACGTCATTTTGTTTAATAAGTTTGTAATATTAAAATTATTGAATGATCGTTTTGATATTCCAAGAAAATAAAGATGAGTAATAATAATTTATATATACTTTCAAGGGTTGAATACTAAATGAAACATGTTTTGATTATCTAAATGTTGATGTTGTTGCTGTTGTAAATGAATTTATTTGACGTTGTAGTAGTAGCCAATACATTAGTCTTAAGTAAAGTAGTAGTATGTAGTGATAGTATATGCTACCATTTGTGTTTCTTATTTTACTCTATTAGTACTACTTAATTGGTAGCCACACCAATACATAGTAAAAAATGAAAATTTCAGATAACAAAAGTACAAAGAAAAAAGAATCAAGAATTATTATAGAAAATATAATAAACTAAGAGTTACAATACATACAAATAATAAACGAAAAAAAAAAGGCAACCAATTTTAATTTACATCAACATATCATTTACAGCCACTTAGCTTGTGTCTTTTTCTTCTCAAAACTACATCAGATACAGTTTTAATCTTATGGGATATTAAAAACTAACTGATTAAATCAAAAACTTCACAAAGTTAAGAATATCCACAAGTTAAGAAATAACAAATTAATTTACAGCCAACCATTCAACAACTTAAATAAACAATTGAATCCATCGGTTGGTTCATAAATAAATGATACAACTATCTAATAATCAACCATTAACTACTTCAACAACAAATATAATAAAAAATAATCATGATTTAAAACATATATCATCACCAAAATTAAGTGCTAAAACTTCAACTACGGAATTCCCTGATTCATCTCCATCATCAATATCTACTACTTCAATTTCAAGTAAAGAAGATCAACTTTTATTGAATGGTAAACAACAACAACCACCAGTACCATCATCTCCACAACAACATAACCAATCAAATCCAAATTCAAATTTCATAGAGGATGAAAAAATCAAACAGAATCGATCTTCAATAAAATCAACACAATCAATAAAAGACGGCAATATGATCAATAATTATCCTTATCAAAATTATGAACTAGGGAATAATCATAACAACACAGATGATTCAATTTCAATAATACAAAATAATTCAGCTCAATCAACTATAAATTATTCTCATTCAATAACAACAAATGAAACTTTAAAATTACCATTACCACAATTAACATCAAAAAATTTAAAACAACAAGATGAAAATAATTTAAATTTTAATTTAAATTCTTCTTCATTAACTTCTTCAAAATCAAATAATAATGATCATTATTCAATAAATGGTTCAACAAATAATTTAAATCTAAGGACTCATCAAACTCTTAGTCCTCATTTACCAATAAATAATGAATCAAATGATAACACCCATAATAACAACAATAATTCGCCATCAACTCCTACCTCTTTTAAAGGATCAAGATCAGAAGTATCTGATTTATCTCATGATACAATACCTTCATCAATAGAAAATTTAGATGATGATAATGATTTAGATTCAATCAATCAACCAACTATAATAAATTCAAGAATTATTGAAACTCCTTCTGGTGAACATTCTCAATTTCAATTTCAATTACATTTTAATAATTCAAATAATACCGGTAGTAATGGCAATATTAATTCTAAAGCTCCAAGAGTCTCATTAGATAGTAATATTGGGCCATTAGAAATTGATTCATATTTTAAAAATACTTTAACCAATAATAAGAATAAAACTGATAATGATGAAGCAACTATTAAAGAATCACCATTAGAAATGAACAAAACAAATCAAAATTCCCAACAAAGTAAGGAATCATTACAACCTATAGAATCATCACAATTAAAAACATCGATACTGAAAAATGAAATTCCAAAAAAAAGTCATATTGTAACAAATGCATCAAATAATCCATCATTAGAAAAACCAATTTCAAATCGTCGTCATACTTCACCATCTACCAATATTTTACTTAAAAGATCTTCAACAACTTCTGAAAACAACAACATTGACAAAAAATCAACTAAATTTTCAATTGATACATCAACAAATTTATCAAGAAAATCATTAAATATAGAAAGAAGACCAACTCAAAGTAAAACTTTCCCCATTTCATCAATAAGATCATCATCACACTATGATTTACCAAGAACATCAGGATCTGATTTTAAAAGAATGAGAGATTCAATAGTTCATAGAAAAAATCATACCACCAGCAAAAAACAAAATTTATTAGATGATGATAAAGTAATAGTTGGAAATAAAATAAGTGAAGGACATGAAAATTTTGTAATGGCATATAATATGTTAACAGGTATAAGAGTAGCAGTTAGTAGATGTTCAGGAGTAATGAGACGATTAAATGATGAAAATTTTAAAAATTATCAAAAATTAAGTTTTAATGTTGAAGGAAATGAATTAACTCCAAGTTCAAAATATGATTTTAAATTTAAAGATTATTGTCCTGAAGTATTTAGAGAATTAAGAGCATGTTTTGGTATTGATCCTGCTGATTATTTAATTTCTATAACTGGAAAATATATATTATCAGAATTAGGTTCACCAGGAAAATCAGGATCATTTTTTTATTATTCAAGAGATTATAGATTTATTATAAAAACTATACATCATTCTGAACATAAACAATTATTAAAAATGTTAAAACCTTATTATGAACATGTTAAACAAAATCCAAATACTTTGTTATCACAATTTTATGGATTACATAGAGTTAAAATGTCAATGTTTGGTAGAAAATCAAAAAAAGTTCATTTTGTTGTAATGAATAATTTATTCCCACCACATAAAGGAATTCATATAAAATATGATTTAAAAGGTTCAACATGGGGTAGATTTACCACTGTGAAACCCGAAGATTTGAAAAAACATGAATTATCACAATATACATTAAAAGATCAAAATTGGTTAATCAACAAGGAAAAAATTAAATTTGGACCTGAAAAAAGATCAATTTTTTTAAATCAATTAGAAAAAGATGTTTCTTTATTAAAAAAAGTAAATGTAATGGATTATTCTTTATTATTAGGTATTCATGATGTTAAAAAGGGTAAAAATGATCAAGATAATATAGGAAATAAATTATCAGTATTTGAACCAAAATCAACAAAAAAATCAGCAATAATAAATACAAATCCAAGAGATATAAATAGATTAGAAGATTTACCAAATGATGTATTTCCTGGTAGATCAAAATATATATTTTATGGACATGATGGTGGTATAAGAGCAACTAATATAGAAAATTTACCAATGGGAGAAATTTATTATTTAGGTATAATTGATTGTTTAACAAATTATAATTTTAAAAAATGGTTAGAAACTTTTTTTAGATCTTTTGCTCATCCAAAATCTCAAATTTCTGCTATACCTTCAAAAGATTATGGTGATAGATTTTATAATTTTATTAAAAATGGTATTACTAATGATAAACAAAAACAAAATTGATTATCATTATTTCAAAAAGTTCTTTTTTATAAATCTTAAATAACTATTCAATATATTATTACATGATTTTTTTCATATCCCTGTTTTGGTACTAATTCTTCTTTATTCAATAAATATATAAAATAAGCATTAGAAAAAACTAACTTTTAATAATATTTCATGTATTATATTTTTCATTGATTTATCACATTTAGGATTATATTTTTTAAAAATTTCTATATTACAATAAAAAGTTGCATACATTAATTCTTCTGCTTCGTAGTCATTTAAATTCAGATCATTTAAACTCATATCTCCTCTCTTCGTTGAGCCACTAAGTGTTCCTTATTGTATTCTTTTGATTTTCCAATTATTGACTCAATTTTCAACCAATTAGTTGCAAATATTTTAAAACACAAAAATGAAATCTTTATTATTTTTTCAACTTATTCATTTAAAGTTCAAACAACCAAACTAATTCCCCTGGTAAATTCTTCACAACTTCAAGAGATGATACGAAGTAGCAAGTTTCAGATCATAAATCAATTGACTAACCGATTGCTAAATTCATCATCAATCACTACTAAAAGGTATATTTCAATCAATCAATTTAGTAATAACACCGAAGATACTAAACAAGATTTAAATGAATTAAATCAAACAACAACAAATCTTGAAAATATTCAAAATGTAAATACTTTAGTTCCTTACAAGACAATAGAAACTGCAAAATTTAAAACTATAGAAATACCCCCAACTTTATTATCTATTGATTCACCACCTTCTGTACCTATATATTTAAAAAGAGGTTCATTAATTTCAATATTTGGTTTAAAAAATTATAATAATACCACTAATAATTCCATTTCAAATATAAGAAATACTATTGAATACCCCCACTTTTGGCAAAAATTATGGTTATTCAATGGATTAATTCAACCATTTCAAAAAATTATTTCAACTATTCCCTTTTCAATATTAGTAAGTACAAATACTAAAATCACAACACTTAATGAAAAAACATTTATAAATTTAATTATTGATGGTAAAACAGATTGGGCAATATTAAACCCCAATTCAATTCATGTATATACTGGAAATTCATTAATTATAACATTACATTCAATACCAAAATTTATATCAAAACAATTAAGTAAACAATTAAAATTAAAAAAAAGAATTGAAACTGGTTTAAAATCTTTTAAAACAAAAGGTTATTCCCTTGTAAGTGGTAGAGGACAAATTGCTCTCACAGGTAATGGAGAAATTTATCAAATAAATTTAAAACAAGATGAAGAAATTATTTTAAATAAAAATTTCTTGTTGGGTATTACAGTAAATGGACCATTTGATTTAGAAAATTGTATTTTAATTGATAATTCATTATCTAATTCAATTTCAACTAACAATCCAATAATCAAGTCACCAGCAAAAGATATAGATACTAATGTTGTCGTAGTAGAAGACATAGATTCTAAGAAACCTATTCCTAAAAATCAACCAGTATTAGTTCAACCATCAGCATGGGATCAAATTAAAATATCATTTGCAAAAACAAAAGCAATATTACACAATATCCTGAATCATATACATCATTATTATAATATCCTTAAATTAAAGTGGAACAATTTTTATTTAGGAAACTCTCAGTTTATAAAAATTATTGGACCAAGAAATATTTTAATTCAATCATCACCTGGTATTAATTCATCGTTGAGACAACTGATTTTTTCTAATTCAAGCACAACGAAAAAGATAAAAACTTATGAACAAATTATTTCAGAACCAATTACATCTAAATCAAACCTATCATCAAAAGATTATTTAAGTTATGTTACAATTGATTCAAAAGATAATAATGTTAAATTTGAAAATACTCCAAATTTTAAAGATTCCATTGAAGAAATTGAAAAATCATCAAAAAAGTAAGTCGAGACTTCAATAGACCAAAAACATATAATATAGAAAATATCAAATACTTTAAATATTGAATAGATTAAATACAAAAAGTACGTTTTGATTTATTTCACTTGTTTTATCTTCCCTGACTCTGCGAATGATTAAACTTGTAATGAACTACATAACTCTTGGAAAACGAAACTGAATGATTTGTTGCAAATAAGTTATGATATTGAAGTAGTTCTTAAGCTGGGTTGTAGGTCTAAGTTTTTGCATACAAACCTTTTATTATTTCTCTTCAGAACAAGTAGTTTATTGGCTTTGTCTGTCTATTTTGACCGCTACTACGTTTAAAAGGACTCTAACTGGTCCACCGAGGTGTTTGTCACAATGTATACTTATTAGTCTCGTAAGTAATAAATTCATCATCCTAATAGCATTTGGTGAAGTTTCATTTACTCTAACTATGCACGTATTAGTTAGTCTCTTATATTTGCAACTTCATACCAATATGCAGGATTAATACTGTAAAATAGTTTCAGGATTATCATGGAACAAAAGTTGACGCGCAATTTCTGTCTCAATATTTGAAAGAATATATAAAGTTTAGTCTACTAATACAATCTCCTCAATCAAAAAAACCAGTACCAATTGTATTGCTCAAATGAGAGTTGTTTTACAAAAAGTTAAAAATGCATCAGTCACAGTTGATAATAAAATAATCTCATCGTATGTTTGATTTCATCTTTTCACTTTATTGAAAAAACATTCATCAACTAACATTAATGCTAACTAAAACTAATGTTTCAATAGTATCGGAAATGGATTAATGTTATTAGTAGGTATATCAACTACAGATACAATAGAAGATGTAACAAAATTAAGTAAAAAAATCCTATCCATTAGAGTATTTGAAGATATAACAAAAGAATCAAATACAAATACAGAGTGGGTAGGTAAACCATGGAGTAAAAATATAAAAGATGTAAATGGAGAAATACTTTCAGTTTCACAATTTACATTATATGGAACTTTAAAAAAGGGTAATAAACCTGATTTTCATAAAGCTGCAAAGGGAGATATAGCAATTGAATTATATAATTTATTTTTAAATCAATTAAAAGAAGGTTTAGGAGAAGAGAAAGTTAAAGATGGTGAATTTGGAGCTATGATGGAAGTAAATTTACAGAATACAGGTCCTGTTACTTTAGTTTGGGATACTCAAGATACTACGTTGTAGAATGAATTTTTTTATTTGGTGCTCGAGCTTACCAGAATCTTATAGTTATAATGTTATAGATGTGATAGACGATGTTTCTCAATTTCATTAACTAAGCTAGTTCCTTAAAACTTCTGAATTAATACTATTATACATTCATTAATCTATTCAAATTCTATAATCTAAAGAGCATTACTAACACAACTAAACGGTTTTCCGTATAAACTATCTTGATAAGACCAAATAATACTTTGAATAGTAGCATATAATCCTGGTCCTAAAATATAAACACCTAAACCAAATATTATGATATTTAATACGAATTCAAATTTTGATACCACGGAAGATCTATTAAATAATTCCCAAAATCCAATTTTAATACCTTCTTTTTTATAATAATATAATCTTCTTAATTTGAAATATGCTAATGCCCAAAATATAAAACCAAAAAAGCAATCAAATAATGAACTCATTAATGATAAAAGATCTGAGAAAAATGGAATAACTTCTGCTAAAACGAAAGCAATAGCCCAAAGTACTAAATTTAATAAAGTCCAGACTCCCCAACCAACTGCTGTATGTTCATTTCTATGTTTACTTGATTTATTAAAAATTTGATGGAAAAGAAATTGTGATGATACATTACTGTATAATGATCCCAAGAATAAAATAGTTGGTAATGCAAAACTAAATGCGATTTTCTTAAAATTACCAGTTAATGAACCAAATGCTGGAGCTGTAATATATGCATTTCCAACATAAACATAAACAATTGATCCAGCTAACGCAAAAGTAATTAATTCACAAATTGTAACAACTATTAAAGCTTTTCTAAATTCTCTTGGTTTTTTCATTTGTGAAATAAAAGAAGGATAAGTAATTTGTCCAACAAATGTATAAACAATATTTAAAACAGCTGACATAATATCAACATATTTTGCATCTGATGCTGGCCATGCAGTCCAATGAACTGGAGTTGATGGATCATATTTAAAAGGATGTGATTGAATACCTGCAAAAACCATTGCTAATATAACAGCAATAAACATTGTTATAGCTGAAAAATAACCAACACCAGACATATGACTAAAAGTTCTTGGTAAAGATAATAAAAAACATATTATAGCAGTTATAACTCCAAATACAACTGAACAAATAGTTGTATTATCACTAATAGTATTCCAATATTTTGCACCAACTAAAACATGTAAAGCTTGAATTAAAGTATTATTTAATAAAAATGCTGCAGCAGTAGCATACCAAACCCATTTTGAACCAAATATTAAATGTTGACCAATATCACAAACATTTGTAAGATGAGGATAAGCTGCACAATAATCACATATTATTAAACCAGTATAAAGACATAATAATGATACAATAACTGTTACAATTAAACCTAATCCTAACCCTAAAACTGAATAAGACCAAGGAAATGACATAATTGCTAAACAAATATATTCACTAAATAATAAACCTGCAGTTTTTTGCCATGAACAATTTCTATAATTAATATTATTTTGAGAATCTTCATCTAATTCCTTTTGTAAAAATGAATCTGGATCAAATGATGAAACATCAGATTGTTCTGATAACTCTAGTTTTGAGTCTTTTATTGATGATGATGACATTGTATGAGTTATGAAGCTGATGATCTATTGATGATGAAGAGTTTTTCAAAACTTAATTCAATTAAAATTACATCGTGGAGAAGATCTTATCTTGTATTTATGTGAAAAGGTTCATTGTGAATATTTTTGATACTTTATCTAATTAAGGCCCTATTTTAAGATGCATTTATCTTAAACCACTATGCATTAATAATTCTATTGTTCAAAACTAATGAAAATTCGTTAAAAAAGAAATAATTTTAATTCACCTTCATTATTTGTACGTCACTTTCCAGTATAATCGTAATTAGTTACAAAATTGATTATGGTTTTTGGTTAGTACTAATTAAATTAGCTAAAACTATGGCTAATATTATTAATATTACGTGATAGCAATGTCATTTTAATAAAAACTTATATCGCCTTAGCCTGAAGTTTTTCACTATTTTTTCGTCCATCTCATATTTTGAAACAATTTTTCCATTAGTTTCATGTAGACTTCCATTTGTGGATTCATTTACGGATTCTACCGTTTAATCTCTTCATCTCTTTACTGAATGTTAGAAACATCAGTCACAAGATGCTAACACAAAAAAAGGCGGACAACGTTTTTTGTAATAGAATTTGTTATACTATGGAATCCTCGTAAATGTATACCTTTGTAAATTTCAAATCCACAGTTGTACAGGCATTCTCCACTCATTGGTCTGATATCATGTATTATCTACCTATTAGATTTTTATTACACTTACAAGTCCATCTTCTTAAGTTTGTGTAAAATCTATCGCAGATTCAAATTTTCGGATATACCTCTCGTAAATGAAACCTCATTAACGAAATCTCAAACTAAATTGGATTTTTAAATTTATCCGTCTCAAACTTCCACTATACCATAGCGAACCTTTTCTGTAAAGAGATTCAGGGTATATTATTGAATTCTGAACTCTCCCAATTCCAACAAACAATGCCGCGAAACAAATTAACTTGTTTGTTTACTTCCTTTCATTGCATGAAATTGTTTTACATGTATTTGATTCAGAATTTATATTATCATTTCCAAAAAGTATCATTGATGATGAGAAGTTAACATTGACGATAAATCATAATCGCAAAATGGTTCAACCAAGCCCGTATATAAATATATAGTTTGTTCTTCTAATCTATGTAGATAATGAATAGTACAATAACAAAGATGTAATTCATAGGAGTATGACAAGTATGATACTTAACTGAAAAATATTTGATCTAGATGAATAGATTAAGATATAGCATATACAGAATAGAAATGGGAGTCCTGAATTTGAAGATAAATTTATGTTCAGTGGTTTAAATTATAACATCAAATTATTAGTCAAAGTGTTATAAAAAACTTCATTCAAATTGTGTGCAAACAAATATAGACAAAAATAAATACTTTTTAAAGAAATTCATAATTTATGTTTCAAAGTTAGAACTAACAAAAAATCATCATTGTACACCAAACTCAAACAAATAAAAATTGTTATTGAAAAGTCGTTTTGAATCGTGGAGTTTGTTGTGTTATCTTGTAGGAAACTTTTATTTTCATCTATACTGCAGCATTTGGAGAATTCATTATCATTGCTGGCATGAAGTTTGTTAATGAAATTTGAAATGGTAAATTTTGATCTTTGTCATTTTGATTTTCAATCAGTCTTTCTTTAAATTGGTCTAACTGATTTTGATTCATAGGTGAGGTTGACAGATTAAACTCGAGATTACTTTTTTTGAAGAAATTTAACTCGGTAGATCTACGTACGAATTCAATTGCTCATTATAAGCAGCATTATCATTTTTGATGTAGTCTGATAACCCAGTTGCGTAACCAGCTGTATTCAAAAAACGTTCATGCCAACAAGAAAATTGATATTCTGATGTTAATTTATATTCATCAGGTGTGTTAAATGCATCTGGATTAATGTTACCAGAGTTACTGTTCATACCCAGAGACTGGTTTGACTTATCTTGTTGGCTCATAATCTAGAGCTACTAAACGTGCTTTGTATCTTCCATCACTTTTTAAAGCATATACCCATTTAGTACCAATAGCCTTTTTATGAGATGGTAATGTTGTTAATAATGAACAATTAGATTCGTACGTTCAGCTTCATCTTGTTTCAAACCAAATATAAACTTTTTAAGATGATCTGGTTGGTTGTCCAATTTTCGCCACGACTTCCAAACAACTGTTCTGGAATCCTAAGGCTAGACTATTACCCACTCAAAACATCAGATTATAAAATAGATGTCAGTCACATACCAAATGGAAAATGTTTGAAATTATGAAAATTATTACAAAAGCCTAAAATATTATTCATGTACCGTAGTAGATAATAGTTTTCAATTTGTTCATTTGCTTAAATTTGTTGTCCAATGATGAATGTTTGTCATGCCCAATTTTTTATCCTAGATAATGAACTTCTGATAAAAGTTTCTGATTTTTTTTTGACTATGTTAGTTTGCAGACCATTTAAATGAAGCATTTGAAGTACTTTACATACCTTACCTAATAATTTGATACCTTCAATTAGTTTGATAGTGAGCATCAATATCTTTTCTATATAGTAAAAAATTAAAGTCCAATGAGAATTTATTGTGTCAACCTTAACCAATACTCCGTTCAACATTGAAGCCGAAACATTACACACTGACAACGAGTTAGAGGATACAAACAGTTTCTTGGATTTTTGTTAACTTCCGTATTACCTTCATCGTGTTTTAAAATTTCATCTTCAAAAATGAACCTTATAGTGCCCGTCCATTTAGATCTCGAATACGACTTACTTCCTTGTTATCATCTTCGTCATCTTCATTTGTTTGATAATTTAAGACTTCTGACTCTTTTTCCACATCACATTCTGATTTATCTTCAACATTTTCAACAATTTCTTCATTTTCAGATTCTCATTTAGCATATTCAGTATTGCCTTCACCTTCAGGTTCAATATGTTCTCTTTCCTCACTTTCTGATCTCAAATCTGATTTTACTTCAGCACTTTTTTCTTTGATGTCTGGATTTAAACAGGTCTGACCAAATCCTGCACTAGAATCCCAATTTTTTATTAAGAGTATTGAACAAACTTGAATATTGATTAGTTGAGATTCAAAGATAGTGATGTCTTGAATCTTGTATACTGATGCCGATTTTATTGGTAAACAATTGTTGCCGATTTTATTGGTAAACAATTGTTGTTGATGTAACAGTATCTTGATTTATCTCCATAATTCAATGAAACAATGGTTGAGTTTTCTCTTGGTTGTCAAGTTATGAAAATCAACAAAATTAAAAAAAAAAGAAACTCTTTGTAAACTCCGATCCGTTGCCCATGTGCAATATTTTGACTTTTATTGAGTTGAGTATTAATTAAGGTTAACACATTCTTTGAATTCTTGATGAATTTCCTCCTTTGTTTTGTTTCTTCAAAGTATTAACGTAAGCTCATTTACTAATAATGGTGAATATCCAAAAAAAAAAAAGATTATAGTGGTCAATCCCTCTGAATTTAGAGGTGGCAGTAGCTGGTTGGAATTCTTCATTCATTTGTAGATTTGAATTATGAAAATGCAATTATGGATATGAAAATGCAATTATGGATATGAAAATGAATTATGACATGACATGAAGTAATTATTGTAATAGTTGAATGAAAATGATATGACTGTCCATTGTGGATCAGTTATAGCTAAATTCTAATGTATGATAAAACAGTCAGAATACATAATATATTCGGTGCTTCAAGGAAACAAAATCATAAAATTGTGTTTCAAATTGTATTTAAATGTCGTGCGAAAACAAGTTTGAAAAATATGGTAGCCCTTATATTTTTTATTACTACTAACTTTTTTTTTATTGGTTTATATTTTTAATAGTGAAGATGAAAAATCAAGTATCATTAACGGTACATAAGTCTAATCTAGATAAACAAATCATCTAATTCAAAGTTCCACACTCAAGATACACCTACCATTATACCTTCAAACAACGTTACGAACCAATCTTTTACTTTATCTTTAATCAAAACACAAATAAATTTCAAACTATAACTAGAACAATCATAAAATGTCTGGAGGACCAGTTCCAGTTTGGAAAAAATATACAACAAGACCACAAGGTATATGGGAAAAATTAAGACAACTATTAGTATTAGTTCCAAACAGATCATCTGGTAATCCTTTAGTATCATTATTTAGACAAATTCCACCAGGAGAAAGAATTAAAGAAGCAAAAAATTATAAAGATCCAATAACAATACCAGCAGGAGATATAAAGGGCAATCCATATTATAAAAGAGATTATAGAAGAAATTATCCTCAATTACATGGATTTAATCAAACTAAAATTTCAGGTTTATTAAATTTAGGATCAGAACAAAAACCAAGAATTTCAATAGGTAAAAAGGGAGAAGAAGAATTAGTAGTATATAAACAACCAAATCAAGAAATAAGTTTATCTACAACTTTAACTAATTTACCTGAAAACATAATAAAAGGTGAAATTTTAGGTAATGAAGGTGAACCAATAATAGCTCCAAGTCTTAATAAATTTAAATGGGAAATATTATCTGAAAATGTTTCTGGAATGTATACAGATAAATATCCATGTCGTATGTTTACTGATAAAAAAGTTGCATCATCAGCTGGTGCATCTGTATAAATTTATTTATAGACGAGAGAGACATTAATACAAGTAAATGCATGATTTTTAATTAAATTGATATTCATCACATATTCCATTTACAATATGGTAGATCTTAATGAAAACTCTTGTAAAACAGACGGCAATCCGTACAAATTAAACCAAATCTTGAGATAATTTAAGGTGAACTCATCATGACTATCTATTTTCAAATCTCTCCCATTACCTTCGTAATATGTCATTAAATGCTCTTTCATCGTATTTGAAGTTTCACATGGATGTATTTGAAACCAAGGATTTTGTAATATATGATGATCTGTTAATAGAATATCAACATCTTCCTCAAGGCAAATGTATTTTTTCAAATCTTCTAAATCAAATATTAATTTCGTGTTGATATAAATTCGAAAATTGAAAATAGGTACAATGTAGAATCTATCAAATGATACAGTGAATTCAATGCCAACTGAATTTCCATTTTTGATTGTCGTTAGATAGACAAATACCACTAATTGATTGCATACTTCTTTTATTCTTAAGTTACTTATTTTGAAATCGAGACTCCTGTCCTTACAATGTAGGTCCTGGGTGATTGTCTCCTTTAACTTCCCAATGCAGCGGTCAAACTCTTCAATTGTAATCAAAAAATCCTCATTATTTGTCATATTAAACGAATTGACTCATCTTGACCCCTGATAGATATTTAAAGGTCAGTAAAACTTAATAAAAAGTAGGATATTTTAATCAATTCTTTTCGCATATAGGTCCGAATTAATTTTGAGCACAATAAGTAAATTTTGGAAAGCATTGGATTTGCAAGCTGTGCTCTAGAGGTATAAAAATATCACTACATTCATCAATTATGCAAGAACTATAACATGATACTATACAAAACTAAAAAAAAAAGTCAAAAAAATAGCTACTATTAACCTAAATTCGAGACTCCTCAAACCACCTCTTGAAAATTACTCCTTTGTTTCATCAACTATTTTATCATTATCTTTCTTTAATAAAATATTTTCTCCCGTTATTTTATTAGGAGTACTTTCATTTAATAACCCACTTTTACCATTTGCAAAAATTTGAGCATTTGTTGCACTTATACTATTTCTAACAGACATTTCTTTCATTCTTTCAGCATTTGGATGTCTCATTGGAATTTGACCTGATATTCCATTATTCCCACCTAAATTTGATGAGTATCCACCTTTACCTCCTTTTTGTTGTTTTTGCATTGCATAATCTCCACTATCAAAATATTTTTTATCATGAAATTTTGAACTAAGGATTTGTGATGTTGTTGGTAATTTCCCATACATTTTATATATTTTTAATTCTTGTGGTGATAATTTTGATAAATCTATATGTTGAGTATTTTTAGGTTCTGATAATGGATCTTCATCTTGATAATCTTTATTAGTTGACATTAGAAAAGTGTTATGTTTGCGATACTTAACAGGAACTTGTATATGTATGATATAGAATTGAAAATTATGTTAAGTCAATTTGTATATGACTAACTAATTGAACTTTATCTCAAATTGATAAATATCTTGTTAAAATGGTTTTTGATAATTGTATGTATAGAATGTAATGATACATTACTTGATAATTCTACTTATAAATTTAAATTGGGGAAAATATGCAGGCGGTTATTTAATAATTGAGGTACGGATGTCATAATGTATCTAGAACATAAAGACACATCAGCCTCACGTTTTCATCCTGAATTGAAGAATTACAAAAGTCACATTCAAAAGCAAAGAGCTAAACGTGTCTCTCATTACATGTCTATAAATTCTATAAACCAAACATGTATCTAATTAAATTAAATTGAGTAATAATTAATATCACCATATCAACAACAAATAAAACAAAATCATATAACTCTAAAGGAATGGGGAGATATCTATTTGGTAATTTCGAAATGAACAATTGGAACTTCAATTGGTCATTCTCCAGTAAATATTTTATTGGATCATAAGTCTTTCCAAAAAATTCATAATCAATTCTTAAATATAAATCTAATTCATTTGGATTTTCCTTCTCTTCACTCTTATATAAATTTGTAGTAACTAGATATTCTTCATTTAATTTAAAATCATAAGGCAATGTAGCCGGCCAACATAATTTTATATTTAATAAATCATTATTTTGAAAAATTGAATTGTTATAATTATTAATTTTAACAAGTAAAGTTTTTTGAATTGGAATTTTAGTATTATAATTTAATGATATTACATTTTTATTTCTATTTATTGACTTATCAATTGTATTTATTGGGAAATTTTGTATAATTGATAATGTTGAATTATATTCTTCTATTTGTATTGTTTCATGATTTTTAGGAATTGATTTTAAAATTGGTATATTATAATAATTTGGAATTTTTATTAAAATTGTCTCTGTGTTAGCTAAACATATTGAAAATATATAAAATAGTATGATTAATAGTGTCTTCATTCACAGAATTAGTGAGCATGAAAAAATGGAATTTGATTGCAAAATTTGTATGATGTTTTGTATTTTATTTGGTTTAGAGAATTCAAAAAAAATTATTATTTGATTTCTCGTATAATCTTATTGTTGAATGGAAGGACCTCCATTTTTCTTTGGAACAGCTGATGCAACGACATAATGTTGAACAGTTGATGGTTCCATCAAGTTCAAATCGAGTAATCGTTGAACTTCTGATTCAAGAAATTGTTGTGCAGTTGCAGAATATTTTGAATTGAATTGTTACCTGTTGCTCAACGTGAAAGCAATAGATCTTTACCTAAATATTCTGCATCTGCACAACAATTTATTTCAAGTTTTACACAACTTTATTCAAAATTTCGTGTCATAAATTACATTGCTAGTGTTATATGGTTGATATCTTGTTAAAATATTTGCAATATCATTCTACTTATATAATAAAAAGTTGGACTGATATATTTTTTGCATATATTTTATCAAGGTGTCAACCGGATTACATTCACAATGTAATTGGCGAATGATGATGAAAGGTCAAATGATTAGAGTCGCAGAACCAGTGATCAAAAGTATATTTTGACCCACTGCTTCTGCCACGTTTGCAATTTACTTTGTGAATTCATGTTCAAAAAGATGAAGTATAGTACAGATTTACTAAAGTGTTTATTAGGTGACTTAATTTTAATCATATACGTAGAAATATTCATTCAGCATGTATAAAGCTATCTATAAAGTCTCTATTTTAGAACACACATCTATACAAAATCATGAAATTCTTCAAAATTAGTTGATCAAAAGACTCTAACCAAATAGGTAGTCAAATAAATCAGTATATACCTTAAAAAAATCTATACATGTTGAGTTTCATTCCAACCATCAATAAATTTAATTTTAAAATCTAAATTTGGATTTTCTTCTTTACATTGATTTTGAATAAATAAAATTTTCATCAATAAAATGGAATTAGGATTATAATACATATGAGAAATAAATCTATAATTTATAATTTGAATATAAATCTTGGTAATTGATGATTTGGAATTTTTAATACAATTTGTAAAATTTTCTTGTGAACAATGTAATTTCCAATTTATTAATGATAAATTTCGTAGGTTAGGTAAATGATCTGGTGAAACTAATAACTTGTTCAAAATATTATCATTTAATGTCCTCTTGGGAATTGGATCATCATTACTTATTGGTGAATTATCAAATTTTATAGTTAAGTTTTCCAAAGTATTTAAATTAAATCCATTATTGTTGTTATCATTAAATGCTAAAAAATCAGAATATCTTTCTGAAAATAAAAGATGATTAAAATTTTGAGATAATTCAACTTTTAAATCCTTTAAAGAATTATTATAATTAAAATATGATAATTGAAATGGATATGACCAATCACAATCTTTTAAAGCTAACTTTTCCAACATTAATACAGGATAAACAATTGAATTTGAATCCCAATTTAATTCATAACAATTTAATGATAAAGTATTCAACATTTTAAAATTACTTAAATGTTCAATATTAAATACTTTTTTAATCGGTCGTGAATGACCATATCTATCTTGCAATGGTATATCTCTTGATTGATTCGGATCATAATATAAATCCAAGCTAGTGATTCTATCATTTGATCTATATTTTAACCAACCACTTGAATTTTTAGTATTATATATAATTTTTCTTAATTTCAGAAAATTCCAAAAAAAATCTTCAAATATATCTAAATTCCAATCACCATTCAGATAACTATCTATTATTCTTATTTGAGTAGTTGTATGTTTAAAAGTTTTTATAAGTTTTGAATTATCATCAGGATTTATTAAATGTGACCAAGATATTTTTATTTTGTAGAAAATCTTATTGAACCAAAATGATCTATATGTTTTATTTAATGTTGATAGTTTGATAAAATTTTGGACATCGAGTTGATTTGATATTAAATTGATTATATCTAGTGGTAAAGATATTAATGTTAGATTTGATTCCAGATCGAAAATAGGTGAGTATTGATCATTTAGACCATTGGGTGTATCTATACTCATATAAATAGTCTATCTTGCTTTATTGTAAGGAAATCAATTATTACCATGTCGTGAGTGGGGGTTTAGTACAATGTACTAATGAGAATGATTGACTGCTGGTGTATGTGAATTATTCAGAAATGATTATTGATTACCAAAAGATACGTGATCTTAAATTTTCGTAATCTCTTAAGGGGGTTTTTAAGTAAGAAAATTAAATACCCCTTAACCCACATTTTTTAAAAAGGGAGAAAAAATTATCATTAAAAATTGCCAACAAATTTTATTAAGATAGACTATCGTTTTTTTACAACCAAAACAAACTTACTTCATTAGTGTATCTATAACCAGAACATATTTCTAGACCAACACATTATTTATCAAATGATATAGGTTAAGAGTTTGTGATCATTACTGTACCTAAGTTTTCACTAAATTTCCAATCAAAAATTTAAGGATAATGAATTTTTAATCATTCGACCCAATAAAAAAAGTTTAATCAACAATGATAAATTATCTGAATTTAACTTCAATCATAATAAATAATATAAGAAATGATATAATAGCTAATTTTGTAACAAATATACCATTAATTTTAATATTAAATCCAGAATCATTTGATCCACCATTTACAAATGGATTTGATGAATATTTAAAATTATCAACAAATTCAATCAACGCAAACAATACTTTGATAGTTTTTATAAATATATTATTTGCTACATTAGATATAATTTATAGTATAATTAGATTATGTTTTAGTGCATTATTTATTGGATTATTATTTTCAATTATTATATTTTGTTCTATTTGGTTTATTGTAACTATAACAAGAAGATGGAAATTAATTACTATGATTATTAGAAATAATGAATTTGAAGGAATTTGGTAGGACTTATTTATATGAATGGAGAATATTATAAACTCGTTTTAAAACGTAAAAAAATTTCAGCTCAATGAGGTCAGGTGTCGATTTCAATCAGGTTGAAAGTTTCATCAAAAGTCAAGGCTAATATCAATTCAATATGATTTCAGAATTATACTACCGACTCCTTGAATATTGTATTCATTACATATGCATAAACAATATCACCATCAGATCAAGTGAACATGAACAATTTGTCCTTTTATTTGATCTTGTGACACTTTAATTTAATGTTAAGTTGCAATTGGTAGTGAAGCTTCGCTTAAATTTTACTTCAATTCGATGTACTTTTCAACATTAATGTGAAATAAATTATATAGCAACTAATAACTAAATAAATGATACCGTGTTTAAACCTGAATCTATTCTTTAGATCTATAGGGTGTCTTCTGTGTGCTAATCTTTATGTAATTTTATACTGTTGTTATCGTATCTTTTATATTGTAAGTATTGGTGAACCCTAATTACGTAATACATTATCTACCTAATTATTAATAATAAGATTTAAAACATATCAAATTAGTTTTCTATATTTTTTAGCAACCATTGATAAATTCAAATCTACAATCAAACTCATTCAAAAATTGTTATTATTCAATATTTAACTAGGTTTATTATACGGTTGTCATAAACTGAACTAATAGTCTAATTTTTTATGTGGTTAAGATTATAGATCATTAATAATCAAATATCTTTTAAAAAAAAGTAATTTATCATTTGATTTTTATACATACAAAATTTTTTGCCACCAACACAGTTTCGTATCTAAGTTCATTAGTTAATACTTTGTTCATCGTTCACATTATGCAAATTAGTTTTGTTTCAAATAAGGTTTAAAAATCTTTGAATCAATAAGTTTCATGTCAAGATGAATAATGATAATTTTAACTCCGACAATAATGAATCAAATCGACAAAATTCATCAAGAACTCAAAGAAGATTAAGAAGACAACAACTAAGAGAACAAAGCATATTTCCAAGAATTCTTAATTATCAAGAAAGTCAAGAACAAGCATCATTATCAAATAATAATGAAAGTGAAACTAGAGAAGTAACGCCACTTTCACGTTTAATAAGACGATCAACATCTCCTTCAAGTCCTATAAACCAAACAACTTCATTTGATGAAACAGGACCAAATTCATTATTATTAGAACCACCACCTCCTCCTTATACAGATGCAGATATTCCTGAATCAAGACCATATGTAAATACTTTAAGAAGAGGACCAAGAAGTAATATATTTACACCATTTCGTGATACTCGTTATACACGTTCATCCACTCAATCAGCTCAAGCAAATAATCCCAATATCTCAGATAATAACACCAATAGTAATGCTTCAAGGACCAATAATGCTTCAAGGACCAACAATACTTCACGTACAAATAATACTTCACGTACCAATAATACTTCACGTACCAATAATACTTCACGTACGAATAATACTTCACGTACCAATAATACATCAAATAATGCTTCAAGGACCAACAACACGTCAAATGGAGAAGTAGATTTACATGAAAGAGCAATAGTAATAACAGTAAATTATTTATTTTCAGATGAAAATAGACCAAATAATCCAAATAGATCAGGATCATTAGTTTTATCATTACCAAATAATTCAAATAATAGAGATCCAAATGCAATTCAAGAATTTATTAGAATTGCAACTTCAATGGCTTATCAATTAGTTATTCAAGGTTTAAATAATATGAATCAACAAAAAGGAATTACATTAAATAAATTTAAATCGTTTGAAAAAATTATGAAATTAAGTCAATTAAATTTTAATAATAATGATGATACAAGTGGTGAAGAAGTACCAGATTCTTCTAAAATTTGTCCTATTTGTTTTGAAGAATTTTTATTTTTAGAAAATGAATTAGGTAAAGATGATTTGAAAACGGAACTGTTAACAAATGAAAATGACAATTTAAGTGAAGAAGATGATGAAAATGAAAGTGCAATGGATGATGAAAGTTTTATTACAAGTAAAAGAAGAAGATTAGTTGATAAAACATCAAGATTATTTAGAAGATTTTCAAGATCAAGAACTGAAAATGTAAATAGAGAAGAACTTGTTAGAAATCAAGATAGTCTTAACAACAACAATGAACAAGATGTTTCAACGACACACCAAGATGGTAATGATAATGAACCAACTACAACAACTAATGATCCAAATACAAATAATGAACCTAATAATGCACAAACATCATATCAATCAACTCAAAACGAACAACAACAACAACAACAACAACAACCAATATATTTAATTGATTTTAAAGAACCATTTCAACATATCCCCATCAAGATGCCATGTAATCATATTTTTGGTCAAGATTGTTTATGTGAATGGCTTAAATCAAATTCAACATGTCCATTATGTAGATTTTCAGTTGCAGAACCTATAAATACAAGTGGTGGTGATAACACTACTGGAAGAAATATTAATCCACCTAATATTAATAGTGAAAATCTAAATAATGTTACTCCAAGATATCAAAGAATTAATGGACAAAATTTTACATTTTATACTATTTCAAATAATATGATTAATTCTCAAGGTGATAATAATAATAATAATGGTAATGATTCTACAAATTCAAATAATAATACAAACAACAACAACAATACTCAAACGAATCAGTCTAATCAATCTACAAGTCAAATTAATGTTACAAATCAATTAGCAAATTTATTAAGACCTGCATTAATGGGATTAAATGGTGTTGGAGGAAGAGAAGGAGATAATAATAGATCATCTAATAATAATTCAAATCAAAATAATTTATCTACTCCACCACCTATTCCTGGAACATTTATGAATAGATCAAATACAACAGGACTGATTTTAACAATTCATAATGATAATTCTTCGAATAATAATAGTAATAGTAATCAATTTTTACCTGGAAATAATCATAATCATAATCATACTCATAATCATAATCATACATCATCTATAAATTCTTCAAATAATGATTCAACAAATGTTATACCTGGATATTCTGATATTTTAAATTATATAAGACATGGATTTTCAAGATCAATGAATCCTTCAAATAATAATGACAACACAACTACTGATAATGATCAAACTTCAACAGATAATCAAAATGAAACTACTATTCATCAATCCTCATCTATTACCAATGTTAATGAAAATAATGATAATACCACAAGAAGAAGATCAATGTTAAATAATTTATTTCCTATTGGAATAAGTAGTAGACGTACTTCAAATGGAGTTGAAACTACAACAACTGAAAATAATAATTTATTTGAAAATAATCAGCAACAAAGAGAACTTTATCAAGAAGAAGATGATGGACCAGAAATTGGTAGTTTATTTGATGAAGTAATTTAAAAGATTAAATCTCTACATATAGCTAAATAAATAATTACAAATGAATTAAGAAAGTATTAAATATTAAATATTATTATTAATTAGAACTATATATAGAAGAAACTTATCAAAAGCTCTCTTTAATTGAAAATCTATAAACTAAACCATTAAAACTAGTAAAAAAATCAATTATGATCCCAAATTTTTTAAAATTATTATTAGTATGAAGCAAAAACAGTTAATATTGTAAAAGTATGAAGTAATGTAGTAGTTAAAATAAATCTGCAAATTCTGCAATATGAGGATGAACTAAATCAACATATCTTAATTCATTAAATTGATAAGCATTATCTGGATTATTATTTTCATTTTTAATATGTTGTAGATCTAATTGATGTTTATTTTGAAACATTTCAGGTGTATTAATTTGATTATTAAAATCATTTTTAAAATAATTAAATCCAAAATCTTTTGATCTTTGTTGATTTTGTTGTTGTTGATAAAATATTGAAGATTGAGATAAGGCTCTTCTAAATGTTGGAGCTTTAACAATTGATAAGTTTTGTCTTTTAATTGTATTGATCATCATTCTTGGTCGTATAAATATTAGTTGATGTTTGTTGTAATGTAATTATGACTAAGTTTAGTAAAACGATTGAATTTTGATTATTAATATTGATTGATTGAGTTGATACTTCTTAATCAGATTCAAATAACCAAATTTAAAGGAAAATTTGATGGATTATATATGCTCAACATGAAATGATTTACTGTTAGTTATCGTATACGTTTAAAATTTATTTGCAACTTGTTTTTAATTTTGTTACTCATAATAATTTACCCCTCCCTTTTAAAACTCAGTCAAAAAACAAGTGTCATAATTTTACTCCTCTTTCAATAATTTAATAATGCGACAAGTAGAAGTATACGACGGGAGTTTAATCATAACATCGACCTAAAAAAGGGCTGTGGTATCGTTGTGGATATCTATTTTTACCCTAAGACCAACAGAAATTTTTAAGTGTCCCAAAAAAAAAAAAAAAAAATAATAATAAAAGGAGGGGAGTAACAATGTGTAATACCTATATTATTAACAACTTATACGATACTAGAGTTATGGTTAATGAACAACAAATTAATGGTAGAGTCTCTAATTATTGCTCCTATGCCTCCTTTCCATTATTTTTTTCATCTTTTTAAAAATCATTCGATGATGATATATCAAAATCAGCAAGGATTTGACCAGCATTATCAGACCGTATAGATCACGTGAATCTTCACAGCCTTATCCTATAATCAGATTTGAAAAAATAATAATATGTCAAACACATAATTATAAAAGCTTACGGGTAAATGGAGCATCAGATTTTGAAAAATGGATTTATAGAATCGTTTAATTTAAGCTTACGTTGAATAGACTTTTCTCAGATGAGTTTGTTTACAATTTGGACTATTTTTGAAAAGGGGGGTTTTTAAACTTTTCAACAATTTTTCATCATTACTTAAGCTTAAGGGGGGTAAAATAAAGTGAAACACTCACCAAAAATAAGAAGTAACGCAATACTATTAAATAATAAATATTACAGCCTTGTATTTATCCTTGGATACGTCCTTACATCTCATTATCTTATATTTACGGTTTTTTGAAACTCAACTCAACAGTTTCCTATTCAAATGTTTCGTTACAATCAAACAGTAGCATAAGTTTATATTAACTATTAACCACTTACTATTGTAATTTATTTAAAATTCTTTTACCATAAGGTGTATTTTTAATTTGTGGTAAAAAAGGTAACAATAAATCATTTAATTTTTTAAATTGATTTAAATTTGCAAAATTTAAACAAGTTTGTAAAACATAATTTCCATAAGAATCTTTTAATATAAAATTTAAATCTAATTTATTTAATTTTAAAATTTCATTTATTATTATATTTTGATTTTGATTTGTTGTGTTTGCTGTAGAATTTGAAGTTGTATTTGAAGTTGTTGTAGTTGTTGTTTTTAATGATTTTTCAATTACATTTGAACTAAATTTATGAGTTGATACTTTAACTAAATTTAATTTTATATATTCAATGATTTTATTTATACTTGATTGTAATTCTTTATTAATTGAATCATCATTATCATTATCATTATTATTATCATTATTATTATCATCTAAAATATATTGAATAACATAATTTCCATAAGGATCATAAATTAAAATTTCAACATTTTTAGAAATTTCTTTAAATAAATTTATTTTTTGTTTTAATGAAGCAAAATCTAATGATTTTTGTATAACACAACATCCATGACGATGACAACTTATTAAAATAATATTTTTTAGTAGTATATCATATATAAATTGATTTTGATGTGATGTAAATTTAATTAAACATTTTTGTATTACATGATTTCCATTTATATTATTACTTAATTCTTTTACATATGGTTTTAAAGCAGATATCACTAAATCAATTTCTTCATCTGTGGTACAACAATCTATTAATTTTTGTAAAGTTCTTGTACCATGAGAATTTATTGAAATATTATAAAATTCATTTTTTGTAATTTCAATTAATTTTAATTTTTGCAGTATAGTTAAATAATTTATTAATTTTTGAATTAAATAATTTCCAAATGGATCAATCATTAAATCAATTAATTTATTTTGAATTTCATTAAAAATTAAATTTGCAACTTGATTTTTACTTTCCTTAGGATTATTATTATCTATTAATTCTTCCTTATTCTGTTCATTTAAATTTTCTGCTTCTTCTAATTCCTTTTGTAAAAATCTACATCCATGTTGATCTATACATAAATTTAAAATAGATCCTTTAAAATCAATTGCTTTATGATTAAAATATTTACTTGCATCTTCTCCTCTTTTTTGATAATATGATCGATTTTGATGATGGCCATTATTATTATTATAATGATGATTGCCATTATAATTTCTATAATTTTTTCTATTATTATGATTTCCATTAGGATAAAATGTATTAAGATTGTTATTGTTATTGTTTAAAAAATTATTGAGTTGATGAGGATGTGATTGTTGAAAATGTTTATGTCCATTAAAATTAGTGTTATGTCTTTGATTGAATCCATTTGAAGTGTTTTGTGGATTTTGGAAGTTCTGTCTATTATTATTGTTCCACATTGATTCCCCATTCATAGGTGGTTGAAAAGTCGAAGGATTAGGAGGTAAGGGTCCTACATTTATATCAAAATTATGATAATCAATGGGACTTTGACGATGATTTAAATGTGGAGGTGGAGGTGGTCCATAGTTAAACGGCATAATTGGAGGTGGTGGAGCACCTGGATGACCAATTGGACTTGGTGGGAATGGATTGAATTGATGAGGATGCATATGTGGAGGTGGAAAATTTAATTTTTGTTCTTTTACCTGTTCTGTTTTTGTAGTTTCTGATAGACCATTTAGATTTGTGCTGAAAGAATTCAGATTAGATTGTGCTCCTTCTTTTGTTTCTTCTAGTTCATGAGCCGGTTCTGTGAGTGGAATATTGGATCTTTTTTCTTGTTCTAATTTCAAAAATGGTGTTGAAGATGGTCCAAATTCATTTCCTATCATTCCATTATAGTATGTCTGTGAATTTGAATTGTTCCAATTCAAAGATGATGGAAGGTTGGTACTATTATTCTCGTTCAATGGATGTACGTTAAATGGTTTTTGATTAGGAAAAGGTGGAGGAGGAAAGTGGTAAGGTTGTTGAGGTAAAGCAGGTTTTATTGATTGTGAATTTGAATAACTCTTGAAAGATGAAGAAGTATCACTTGTATTTTCAGATTTTGGTTCCAAATTATCCGAACTTGAAGTTGTTTTCAAATCATTTAAATCATCATCTTCTTCTTCATCTAAATGCAAATTACTTATCGCCCCAACAATATCTATTTCTTTTTCAGGTGTCGTTTCTGTTTCATTCAATAATTCTTGATTTTTATCATTGTTTGAATCTGATTCGTGATCCAGTATCGTTGTCGAATTATTTCTTATATGATTGTTGAAAAATGATGACCCACCAATCAGTGCGCTCCTTATATTACTATATGAACTTGAATTGGTTTTATTATTCAGACTAGAAATACCCGAGATTGATACTGACCTTGACATGTGTTTTAATTTTATGATATCGTTTGACTTATTTTTGTTGAATTCAAATATAGAAGTAGGAAGTAAATGAATGGATTATATATATACAGAATGATGCAAACAATGACTAGGGTGGTTGATGAAGTTTGTCATATAAGTGATTGGCTCAATCTTAGTTTCAATTATGAGTTGAAATTGTGAATATTGACTAACTAAGTAGATTGTGTTGCAAATCTTAAATTCAAATATTCAAAACTTAAATTATTAAGTTGGAAAAAAAAAGAATATTTGAAAATATAAATCTAGTTTTCACAAAATCAAACAACAACAACTTGTGATATGTATATAGAGTTGTTGATCATTTGAGCCAAAACATCATGGAGTGGATCATTCTATCTGAGAACAATTGATTAATTCACATGTATCATCATTCAGTTTCTCAAAAAAAAGAGTATAGCGATTTAAATAAAATAAAAGATCTCAAATCTGTATCTACTTTGGAGAATTTTAAACTTAAACTAAGATTCGCAGCTGTGATTGATGAATTATGCGTATAAAAAAGCTTCGGCTGGGTATTATAGCTCTCTGATAACTCTTGTACAGCGAATTGTATGAATTGAATTGCAGTAGCTCGACATCCAGATACCTCCTGCACTCAATGTCCTTTTTTTTGATTAGACAATGAATGATTGCTCAAATTCCATTTATATAAGGTCTTCACATTAGGCTCTTATAGGGTTTAAGCTGTAAACTTGGACCTGATCATGATTTAGTCCTTAGATTTCATCAAAAGTTAATTTTAGTTGATTATGAATCTCGTAAATATGAACAAAATACGAGAGATAATTTCTTATATACAGAACGAGCTGAGTTTGGTAGCTTTTTTATCTCGGTGGTTAAATTTATTTATTGATTTATTATAATTTCATCTACCAATCCCATTAGTTATCAGAAAGTCTTAAATCTTGAAATCATATCTGTATATTTCAATTGATAGCTATTCAAATTTAGCTTACTACAACAACAAAGGATTGAATCCCCCTGCCCTTTTATAATCACATTTCATTGGCTTGACATTATTCAACAACATATCCACCAGTTCATCAAATAAAGCCTGACTTCAAATATACAAAGTGCTTTTTGATCCCATATTTACAAAATCGATTCCCTCAAATTTCAATACTTATACAAATTTATTCAGTCAATTTTCATTTCAAACCATTAACTAACACATTGACATTGATCTCTCAATGTCAAACAACGATTACAATTTAAAATATAAACCAGCTCCATGGTATAGATTACTTAGTTACGACTTTTTATTATGGGCTTTATCAATTGTCTTTGATTGTTTTTTCAGAGAGATTCGACCTAGAGGAGCATTCAAAATTCCAAGAGATGGTCCAGTAATGTTTGTTGCAGCTCCTCATCATAATCAATTTGTTGATCCTATAATTTTAATGAATCAAGTTAAAAAAGAAGCTAATAGACGTATATCATTTTTAATTGCTGCAAAATCTTATCAAAAGAAAATAGTTGGTTCATTAGCGAAATGTCAATTAAGTATACCAGTTGTTAGACCTCAAGATACTTTGGTGAAAGGAACAGGTAAGATTTACGCTGATTCGGATGATCCTTGCAGAATTTATGGTAAGGGCACCAAGTTTACAACAGAGTGTATGGATAGAGGATTAATAGCATTGCCTCAATCATTAGGAGCAACTGAAATATCAGAAGTCATATCGGATACAGAATTGTTTGTACGTAAAGAATTTAAACAAACCCAACAAATTAAGTTATTATTATCTCAAGGAACATCTTTTAAAAAAGCTGATAAAATTGATCAAAAAGATGTTTACAAAATGGTTTTTGATCATTTATCTGATAATAATTGTATTGGAATTTTCCCTGAAGGTGGTTCACACGATCGTCCTACAATTGGTCAAATTAAAGCAGGTTCGGTAATTATGGCATTGGGAGCAATGGAAGCTGATCCAAATTGTGATGTGAAAATTGTTCCATGTGGTATGAATTATTTTAATGCTCATAGATTCAGATCGAGAGCAGTAATTGAATTTGGAGATCCAATAACGATACCAAGGGAGCTAGTTAAAAAATATTCAAATCCTGAAACTCGTAAAGAAGCAATTAAAGATTTATTAGATACTATAACTGATGGTTTAAAAGCTGTTACAGTATCTTGTGAAGATTATGAAACCTTAATGTTGGTTCAAGCAGCAAGAAGATTATACGCAGGAAATTTTGCTCAACAATTACCATTACCTTTAATTGTTGAAATGAATAGAAGATTATTAATTGGTTATCAACATTATTCGAATGAACCTAAAATTATAGAAGTTAAAGAGAAAGTATTGGAATATAATGAATTATTGAAAAGTTTGTATTTACCAGATCATCATGTTGAAGATTGTCAAGAAGAAGTTAACAAAGCAAAGATTATTCCTATTCTTATTTATAGAGTTCTTAAGTTGATCATTTTGTTTACGCTAGCCTTACCTGGGGCTACTTTATTTTCACCAGTGTTTTTAAGTTCTAAAGTTATATCACAACAAAAGGCAAAGGAAGCATTAGCTAATTCGACAGTAAAAATAAAAGGTAATGATGTTATCGCGACTTGGAAAATCTTAGTTGCTTTATTAATTGCACCAATTGTTTATTCATTTTATGCTACATTAGGAACTTATTATTGTGCAACTCACAATTATTTATCATCATTTGGATTATTAACGATGTGGATTTTCCTTTACTTATGTGGTGTACTTGTGACATATAGTGCTTTATTAACAGGAGAACAAGGAGTTGATTTATTTAAATCAATTAGACCATTGTATTTATCAATTACATCTGGATCATCCATCAAACGACTTAAAAAAATGAGACATGAATTGAGTGAAGAAATTACTGAATTAGTCAATGAATTTGGTCCTCAATTGTTCCCTAAAGATTTCAATTTGTTAGAAATTAAAAAATCATTAAACTTGACAGATGACATCAACTATGTTGATTCGGATGAAGAAGAAGAGAAAAAGACTCAAGATTTAAGAAGTAGAAGACTTGAACATAAAAAATTACAGAAAAGATTAAGAGAAAATACAAAGAATCACAATTTAGAACCGGAACTTATGTCAGAAAGTATATCTCATTCATCTTCAATATCAGATGGTATTTCATTACTTGACTCTACTGCAAATTCATACACTAATTTGCCTATTTTCAGCGACCATAGTTTACATCAAAATGTTAACAACAAAGCTTTAACACTAGATCCTCAATCAAATTTCAATTCAAGCCTTTCCTTATACGATGATCACAAGCATCATCTTGATCCTAATCAATCACATAATAATTTAAACCATAGTTATGTTAGTTCTCCATTAAGAGGTAAATCTGCCACATTAAATTCTAATTCAAGTTCGTCGTTATCAAATATGAAAAGAATTCCTTCTGAAGATCATATGGAATTAAATTTTACGAATAAAAATATGTCTTTAAAAAACAGGATTAAAGATAAAATGAGAAAAAACAGACAACTTTGAAACCTTCATCAAATTCATTAGCATTAATAAATATGTACAATCTAAAACTTTATATATTTTTTCTAACCACCACTAACATGTTGTTGACGCTCATAAAATTCAGCAACTTCAGTCGAACTAGTAGCATCTTCTACTCCCTTATCATCTCTGACTCTAATAAAACGTGGAAATCTTAATGATATACCTTTACCATATTGTTGATGAGCAGCTTTATAAATTGGACTTAATGATAAATCAGCAGTCAAAATTTCAAATAACATTGATGGATCAAACCAAACATCAGGTTTGGCATTAGCATTATTTTTGTCATATACAATATTTGATTTAGGATTACTTACTTCAGTTGGATGTAATTTTTGATATAAATTAGCTAAATCTTCATCACTAAATCCTGTACCAATTTTACAAGTTGTTTCTAAATCACCTGTATCTTGATTATAAGAAGCTAATAAAAATCCACCATAAGCACCAGTTCTTTTACCTTTACCATTATATGCACCAATAACAACTAAATCAAGTGAATCTCCTACACCATCTAAATAATCTTTTTTCAATTTTAACCAATTTCTTGATCTTTTTGATGGTTCATAATAGGATTCCGTACCTTCTAACATTTTCACCATTAATCCTTCACATGAGTCACGAATACTTTGATCTAAAAACTGTTGTAATACTTCCAATGAAGTAGAATCTTTTGCTGTTGCAAATTGAAATTTACCTTCTAATGGTTTTAAATGTTTTATCATGATTTCTCTTCTTTCATTTAATGGTTTGGTTATTAATGATTGATCGTTGTAATATAACAAATCAAAAGCAAATAAACAAATGTGAACTTTAATATCTTTTTCTTCAACATCTTTTCTTTTTCTAGTTGAAAGAACTTGGAATGGTAAGATTTTTTCATTTATTCTATCCCAAGCAACAGCTTCACAATCTAAAATCATAGAAGTATGTTCTTGAGTTTTACTAAATTCTTTAATCACGGTGATTAAATCAGGATATCTTTCTGACATATTTTCAGAATTTCTGGAATAAATTCTAACTGTACCATCAGGTAATAAATGAACTTGAGCTCTTTCACCATCATATTTATATTCACAAGTAAATTTTTCATCTTGAAATCTATCTAAGACTTCACCCATTGATTTGGTAGGTTTTGCCAACATTGGTTTCAAAGGAATACCTGGAGTTATATGACAATGATCTAGTAAATTTAATATACCATGTTCGTAAGCTTTTTCAATCAATATTTGATAATTTGGTAATACTGTAAATGCTTCTTTGAATATATCTACTGCTTTTTCAATTTCTGTAGGATTTACTCTTTTGTTTCCATTCCCATTTTTTTCATTTTCATGTAATAACAATGCTTGTGCTAATCCAGTTAAAACAGTTTTATCAGCTAACCCAATTCTTAATTTACCCTCCAATGATCTTATTAAAAATTTTGCTTCAAACAGTTTGGCATCACATGAATTTAACATCTTATTAATTATTCCAATTTTTCTACTTTGAGAATCTTTACCAGTTGATTTAGCGATTTTTGTTAAATTGTCAAACACTGTATCAATATCTAATGATACAGGTTTAAACATAGTTGATTGACGACTTCGTGATTTTTGAGCAACTAAACCTAAATCTCCTAATTTTTTTAGTTCTTCTTTAACTTTACTTGGTGATCTTCCATAACATTCACTTATAGCTTTGACTAATAAAGTTTCTCCCAATCCTAATTCCAAATCAGGTTCATAATCTGGTCCTAGTCTGTTGATAAATAAATAAACTATTTTTATCAATTTCATGATATCTTTATGGTTGTTCAAAATTTCAAGAAAGTATTGACTTATAATTTCAATCATTTTTAATCTTCCTGGTTCGTTTTCTATTTTTTCCATTACATCAGTTAATGAGGAATAAGGAATTTTTGATGATGAAGAAGGTGGAGCTGGATTTGTTTGAGCCTCTTCATTTTTGTTTTCAACTGGTTTTACAATTATTTCTTCCAAATTAGTAGTCAATGGTTTCGCTTTTGCATTTTCTTTTTCATCATCTCCAAGTTTTTGTTTTTTCAAAGCAGGTGATGATGGTGGAGATATTTTATGCTTAGTAGGACTTGATTTAACTACTGGGGCAGCTGATCCTCCGAAAAATCTACCTATCGTTTGTTGCTTTCCTGCCATATATTTTGGAATAATTGCTTTGGTTTTGAAGTTTATAAATTTGATGGGCTGGATTGGTATTCGCTTGACTATGAACATCCAAAGAGGAGTATAAGTCTTGAATACAAAGTAGTTGGAAAAATGTGAAGTTGTATATATATTATTAGTTTCAAAATATAATATTTTGAGTTTATGGGTTGACGCGTCTCGTTTTTAACACAAATCTGAAACATCTTAATTCTACACTTGAGAGATAAAATCATTGATGTTCAAGTAATAAATTCTATTCAATCTATATACTAACGTCCCAAATACTTTGAGGTCCTCTTTCTTCATACATTTCAGAACTAACAAACAATTCTTTATTATGATGATGTAAACTACCAGAAAATATTTGTTTTGCATAAATTTCTCCACCAAGGAAATAACAATCATGCCATGAACCTTGTTTATTCTTTGGTTTTTTCCATTCGGGAAAATAATCTGGAAGCTTACATAATTTTATACTATATGGTACTTGATTAATATTTGATTGTGCATCAGCATCGCCATTACTCACATCTGTTTGTTGATATTTCGCTATTGTTGATCCAATATCTTTTTCTGACGATTGTCCATTTGCAGTTGGTTCTCGAACTAAATATTCATTTATTAATCTTGTGATTATTAATTGTTTTAAACCGGGAATTTGGAAAATCGAACCAACTAAGATTATGTTATCATAACAATCTTGCCTTTTTTCGAGATCATTGATTTTGAGAAGGGATTGATATATTCCAGATGCAATTATATCTATTATTTTTGAGTTAGTTGTAAATCGTTCTTTACCTAACCATACTTTTTCCTGATTTGTTGGATCAATAAAGAAATTTTTTTCCAATTCTTTATTAGATTTTGTTGGTTGATTTTCATCTTCATTACCTTCTTGTTCTGTAACTAATTTTGCAACGTCTAATTCATCGTCATTGTCATCCATATCGACATCTATTTCTCCTATTGATTCTTCACCTTCTAATAAAAATTCAAATATTCCACTTATTTTCAACTCTTCAATTTGTTCATCATTAAAATTTGGAAATTTAATCTTCAATTCCTCTGTTATAGTTTTGCCTCCCAGTCCTGTGATATATTTACTTGCAAATTTAATACTTTGGTACCCGAGTACAGGAACAATTTGTATACTATCTTCACCTGCATAAACAACGACAGAATTCACAATACCGGCGAAGCTGAAAGTTGAAGCAAGACTTAAATCCAATATATTAAAAGCTGTAATCTCTAAACTTTCAAATAAATATTTCGTTATATATTCGATTTGTTTTCTCGACCAAGTTAATGATGGAGCGATGATTAATAAAGGAATTGATGTAATTGTGACAATAGGATGTTGTTGAATTACACTTGATAGTATAATTTTAATTAAGGCATTGAAAGCATCCAAATCCACAATTTTTGATTCTCTTATTGGATAAATAGGTGTAGTATTTTCTGATTCTGTCGATAAATATTGTTTATTTTCTGAATCTTGATATACAACCGTTGGAATTGTAAATTGTGGAGGTGCTAGTGAATCTTTTAATCCAAATGAAAAATAGGTATACTGTGAGTTCAAATTTATTATAAGGAAATTGTCTTCTTTGTATAGTGGCATATTGGAAATTGATGGTGTTATTGATTTGGTAATAGCTCTGGTTACTTGAAAAACAATTTTGTTGATACTTTTTGTTTATTATTTTTAAGTGAGAAAAGTAGTGTGCAATGTGCAACTTTCTGAAACAACATCAATAATTTACAGGACATCATCCTCAATATAGAAGAGGATTAATTTAATGATTGAAGTGGTCAATAGCTAAGTGGATTGTTTTATTTTAAAAGAGTGCACTGATATTCATCACAGTAACTATATTAATTCAGAGTTTCAAAATCTCGATTAATTGAAAATTGAATACTTTATTACATTACTTTGAAATTTACAACACGTTGATACTGAAATATCGATGATAAGTCAAATATTTTAAAATCTCCAGAGTTAAAGTACTTTTTATCATTGCAAATGCCTTAAATTGTTAAAGGCTGATTTGTTCAATATAATTTTCATTTCCAATGAATACGATTCAAAGTTATATTTTAATATTTCTATATGTCATCAATATTCATTAAACTATGTAATTAAAAAGTCATCTATACAGTTTGTGAAGATATATTTCGTAAATCATCATAATCATCAATTTAAAGCATACCTAGAGATTTTTAATAATCTTTCCATTTTTGAACTTTTTTAATAGATGGTAATTTCTCTTTTGGAACATTATTATCTTGTAAAATAGGTAGTTCAATATTATTTTTAGGAGATTGAATTTGTTGTTGTTGTTGAAATTCTTGTTTTAATAGTTGAGAAATTGGAGGTAATTTTGTTGAAATTTGTTGTTGATTTTGATTCATAAATTTTTTATCATTATTATTATCAAAATATTGTGATGTTTCATTATTTCTAATTTGTTGGTGGTGGTTGTTATGAGTTGATGAATTAGGAGATGGAGTTGATGAATGAATTTTTGGTGAACGATGATGTTTTAATTTTAAATGATTATGATTTTTATGTTTTAATTTTTGCTTTTGTTTCTTATTATATAAATCTCTTTTTGTTGAATCTGGTTCTATAATTTTACCATTTCCATCTTGATCAATATCCATATTATCATTTTTATTGGTTTTTATTTTCTCATTAATTTCTCCATCACTTTCCATTGATCCATCTTCATCTTCATCTCCATCTTCTTCATAAGCATATTCAGATATTGGTGATTGATGTTGATCAATTAAATCTCTTAAATGACTTCTTGAACCATTACCATTACCATTCCCATTACTAGTTGTATCAAGTTTTAAAGGAGCAAATTTAGGATTAAAATAACCAGCTGATGAATTTGATCTTGATGAAACTTGACTTGAATTTCCTGAATCTTTATTAAGTGATAAAAGACTATTTGAATCTTTTGACATTAAAGATTCACTACCTGAAGCACCACTTTTAACACCACTACTACCTGATGAATTACCACTATTTTTTGAATCTCCCGAAGAAGCACTTGCAATATCATCATTACTTGAAGAACGATCTGATCCAGAATTTTGATCACCTTCTTTGGAAGGTGATGGACTATCAGAATATTGTTTATCATTTTCTTTTATATTGATTTTTTTATCATCTGATGGTCTTGATTCTAATTTCTTACGTTGAGATTGAGATGAAGCTAAAGCTAAGGAAGGATCAATTGATGATTTGTCATTATCATTGTCATTATCATTTGGTGTTGTATCATTTGAAGAAGCTGATGATTCTGTACGATTTTGATTCGATGAATCCGATGGAGTTGTATAATTTTTACTTGATTCACTTGGAGAATCTATTGATGAATTGGGTTCTGAATTTGAATTTGCTGTTAAATGTGTTAATCTTGGTTGAGGTAAAGGGAAACCAACTTGTGGTAAATGAGGTGGTGGCAATGATCTAGAAGTAGCACTGTTGTTAATCGATAATGAACCATTACTTAAGGATGATTGTGGATATGTGTGACTATTATAAACTGGTGGTTTTGAAAACGGAGTAACTGAACCAAATCTGGAAGGATTATGTTTAATAGCTCTTAATCTTTCAAAAGGTCCACTCAGTTCATCAGCACTTGTGGTGGTATCACTTGGAGAATTACTTTGATTGCTGTCATAATTTGAAGCTCTAGATGATGGATTAGGGAATGAAGATGAAACGGGAATCGGAATTGATGACTTATGTTGTGGAGGTATTGCACCATTGAGGTTTTGATTTAAATGTGAGGAATGATTAGTTGGTTGATTATTATTAGGTGTATTTCCTTGATTATTCTCATTTGTTCTAGTGTAAATTGTATATCCGTTATTACCATTGGAAGACCCATTACTACCATTATTATTGTCGAGGTTTTGATAATTTGTCGAGCCAGAAGAAGTAGATGAAGAAGATGAGTTCCATATGTTGTTTGTAGCAGGTAACGGAGATGAACTCACAACATAATACTTTGACATAACCTTAGTAATAGCTTTACCTAAATCACTCCAATTAAAAACTTTCAAATCTTTTTCTATATTTCTAGGTCTTGGATTCTCCATACTCATTATTAAACTAAAAAATTCACGATCAGTCTTATTAGATCTTGAAACAGTTGTAGGTTTTAAACTTTGTAAATTTCTTCTTATTCTATTTTTTTCTTCAATTCCAAAACTTTGATGAACTAAATATTCTAATAACAAGATTATATCAACTGATGTACATATGAATTTATTTTTTTCTTTCCAATAAATACATGATATTATAGCTTGAACATTATCAAAATCAATTGATCGTATAGGTTCAAAATTAATACATTGCATAGAAGTTTGAGGATCATTATAAAAATCAAATTTAATTAATCTTCTACTGTTCTTTATCTCATCTTGATTCCAACTTTGAGTCATTGTATTTAAATCTTTTGTAAATTTTAAATTGACTGCAAAATTTGGATTTAAATGATGCAGAAATTGACGAACATATTGAACATTTGATGGTGATTGTTGTCCCATATGATATGATTGTGATTGAAATTTATCATCATCTTCATTAGTAGAGTAATTATTGGAATTATTACTATCATTTCGTATATGACCAAAAGTTTGTGATTTAGATGACAATGGTGGTTGTAGTGGTTGAGGTGATTGATGATGAGCGCTAGAATGAGTTGAATGTGAAGAATCATGTCGCTGTTGTTGTTGCTGCTGTTGCTGCTGTGATGATGACGGTATTTGAATTTGTGGATGTGAATAAGTATGTATAGGAACTGGTTGTAGTCTTTGAACAGGTTGAAAAGATGAATATGAATGATTTGGATTGTAAGGTTCATTATAATGTTGTAAAACATTTCCATCACCATTGGAATTTATATGATGATTATTACTATGATTGTTAAATATTAGTGGTGGTGGAGTATGTTGACTATTCATTGCAGACGTTATTGGTGGAGGTAAAGACATTAATGAGTGATGTGGTGGTTGTGGTATAGTTGTTGCTTGTAATGTAGGATTGGGATTATTCATAAATCCAACACTTGGTAAATATGAACCACCATTATACGTTGAACCATTTAACATATCAGGTTTATTTATATCATAGTTATTTGATGGTAAATTGTGATTGAAATTTGAATAATTAGACGGAGATGACCTATTAGGTATTCTATTATCGTTTGACAGATAATCCACCATGACTAAGCTTAATATTTGTATGCTTTGTTATGTATTGAATATACTCTATTTGTTATAATGTGATAATTGTAATGTATATGTTGATCTTTAAACTTTCATTTGATTGAATGTTTCAACTCTTAAACAAAAATAACTTAGTTGTAATGAAAAACACCCCTTGTAAAAAAAAATGAATTTGATATATGTTAGAAATTAACATTGATTGAAATATTGTAATATATATATACATTAAAGAAATTTGGCAAGGTATTAAATAAATTAAAATGTTTCAAATAAAGTATTTTAAATTTAAAAATGAAAGAAAAAAAAAAAAACCTAAAGCAATCAGCCAAATTAAAACAATGTCTCGCTGGAATTCAGAATTAAATAATTTAAAGTATGAAGAATTATGGGTAAATCCAAACTTTTTAATCCATCCTACTTCAAATATCTTGATATGTTTTTTAGTCCTTGTCTTGAAATTTATTAGTTTTGTAATTTTTTTAAATTTTTTTTTTTTTTAAATTGAAGTCCGTTTCATTTTAAGTGGGTAAATAATTCCGATTAATAGTCTATTCAGTCAAATCTTCGAAACAACATATAAATGATAGAGACTACACGATGTTTTCACAGTAGCTCATAATCCAGATTATTTGCATGGAACATGTATTGATCACTTTACTCAGTGAAAAGTATCAAATACTTCTCAATTTTTCTCATTTTTCAAGTTTGCTTTTAATCCAATTTGTATCATTTTTTTATTTTTTTCAAGTCCGTGATGAATTAAATCTTGAAAGATACATTCATTTGAGACATACGGAGTACAACTTATATTGCACTCTTATCAACTAGTCCGACACGAAATCAAAACATCAGATCTGGTTGTTATTTAAATACTTGAAGGTGATTTAAGATGAACATGCTCTAGCTTAATGATGAGTTAGTTTATCCAGTCTTCTACATTTGATATAGTTCAGTAGATGTACTAATTGATGGAGAGTACACAAAACCTTATTTAAAGTTTAAATTAGATTATGGAATTATACTTGATATTAATAAAATTTTCCAACCTTGAATTAATAGAATAAAACCCCTTTTTTTTTGGAAAAAAAATGTATAAACACTGTCTCAAAAAGTTACTTCTTTGTAGTTGAGCTAAAGTCATTCTAGTTATACAAACATTTTTACTACAAATCATAAAGGGTTTTATTTCACTAGTCTTTCGAGATTTCACACTAATGTACGAAAACTTAAATCTTTGGTATTGATAGAATAGGTTCCTTGACACATCAAAATGTTTAAGTAGAACAACACAGGTTATATGCTTGAATACAACAACTACTACCGTAGTAAGATTCCCTCTACTCACCAATAAAACGGTTGATTCATGAACTTTCAAAACCTTGTCTCAAACTATAATCGTAATTTTATAAAATATAAATCAATTTAAAAATTTAAACTTTAAAGTTTGAAACCGCATGATAATGGAAAAAAAGTTTAATTTTTTATTTTGCTAATTAAATTAAATTTTGATTACTTTAAATTTCGTATTTTAAAACTTTGAAACCTTAAAATCAATTGGAACGGACTTCATTGATTGTATCAACAAATATTTCATCATTGTCCCATATATCTTTTGACGTTATCGTAACTGGTGAGAACCCATAGGCATAGTGAAGAATCACCACCAGCAATAGACATGATGCTGATTTTTAGATCAAGTCCAGGACAAATTTAAATTGTAGTCAAGATGATACAATAACATTTAGTAGATTGAACGAATGAAACACGATTAAAGGTACTCCTTTTTTCATAATAACATAAAGATGTTTTTAAATGATGATGTTTTACATCATACAACATACATGCAACATACATCAAATAAAATCAATCTTATTAATCGTCCCTAGTTATGTTTCAAAATAATTTAATATCACACTTTTTTTTCATCTACAATATCATCGTTACCATCTCCAAGTGAGGAGATATAATTGTAGAAGATCTTTCATATTTTCCTGAACTCAACATAAATTATATTGGTCTTCATGAATACTCATTTGATAAGTAAGACCATGGACAACGGGACTTTCTATATCTTGCATCTCAAAATCTATAAATCGAGACAAAATCGTAGATCTAGGTGGAATCAAATTCAAGATCTGGAGATACGGAAGGAAAAAACAGTGAACCGAATCTCCATGGGGTTCGGTCTAGCTTCAATTCAGAAAAAAAAGCTTAAAAAATTTTAATCGCGCTCCATAAAGCAACGGATCGTTAAAAAATTGCTAGGTCTAACAACGAAATGAACGCTACAACGGAGTTCGACTGGATCAAGTCTAATTTTTTGGTAACCTTGAATTCCCCAATATTTTCTTTCCGAAATCTTGAAATTCATCAATCAACACAATTAAAATTGCAATGTTTCAATTATATTTGATACCATGTCTCACAATTTCAATGAGCAAAGCAAGCAATTATAAATCTTCGCCAAATGTGAGACCTTGTTTGAATAATGTTTTGAATTTGAAATCCGTCGTTGATCATCTGCATAGAATGTTTGACTCTTCTAACTAATTTTAGCACAATTCGTTCGGTAGGGTTATGGATTATTGATTGATCCGAAGAATTCATATGTCTATATGCTCATGAGTTGACACTCTTCAACTAATCACCTCCATTCAATTTCGAAACTGTATCCTGAGTTTTAAAAACTTGTGGATATGTAAGTCCATGAACCATAAACAATATAATAAATCCAATGCATCGAAATTCAACGTTTAGTTGGCTTCTAAAAAACTTTAAATTTAAAGTTTATGGTGAGTATTAGACTAGTTACAAAAATAGTTTTCTTTCTGTATGGCCAAATCTCGATTAAGCGTTGATGTACAAGTAGGCTCAAGTATTTCTAGCTATGTACCTGTATATGTAATTTTATGAATCTACATGCATGTACAATATGTCTTGTGTTATAAACACTTAAAACCCCGTATGATAGTTTAATTAATTTTCAAGTTAATTTTCAGTTATAGATTGTCTTTCTTGATTAATATTCTGAGATATATTGTAAAATATCTTCAAAAACTTTGAATTTTACCAGTCAAATATGGTATCGAAGCAGTTTTCAACATACTCATTGTAAAACAATTGAAGATAATGAGCTTGTAATTCTCCGACATTTGATAAACTTCTAGCTTCACTAGAAGTTTCATTATCATTATTAATAACATTTGGGTTTGATATAATATCTTGATCACTCATATTTGATTATAATTCTAGTTAGTTACAGTTTCATAATCAATCATTTACAAGAGATATCGAGCTCTATTTATAATCTTTTTCTACTAATATTAACTTATCCCTTGTTCTTAGTTCTTTAACAATTCTGTTAGTAATCAAGATATCATTAATACATTTTATCAACCCCACAAATCTTAATTCACATATCAATTCATTAAATCATATATTATTCTCATATATATGAAACTTAAACATTTAAACACATTATATAAAGTTCTTATCATCAGAACTTTAAAACACATTAACAAATCATATCATTTCAAACAATTTAAACTCATATAAATAAATCTTAAATTCATTTAAGATTTAAACACATTTATCACATTAAACTTCATAATCTCTTTTACAAGATTATTTCACATATCATATAAGATCTTGATTTTTTATCAAGATCCAATCACATTTCACATTAACAAACTTTATCTTTTCTTCACAACTTTATAAGATCTTAACTTCCTTTAAGATCCAATCACATTTTACTTTATCAAACTTTATCATTTCATCTAAACTTTCTTTTTCTCCACAACTTTAATCAATCATTATCTCACTTCATAATATCAACAGAGCTTTCGTTAATTTGCTTGATATCTTTTAAAATTCTGTTTCATAGTTAGCTCATGTCATTTCGCTATTTAAGTCAATCACTTTTTTAACTTATTTTGATGCAAAAAAATAATAATTGAAATTCTTGAAAGTAAAACAACCTTTATTACTTAAATTTGACTACTTGGAATACTTGAATTATAATGATTAAAGCGAGCAGAGTTCAACAAAATCGAATTCAGATTTCTCTTTGGCATATTTTCGCCAATGCGCTTTTGTATGTAACTCCAATCGGGTAATTGCGGCTCAATCTTCAAATTGAAAAGTTTCCTATTTGGATAAATTGACTGCGCTCAAACGAGAAAAAAAAAACAGGTTTATAATCAACATTACAAAGGTATTCAGGATTTAGAATTTCATTAAACAACAGTTATTCAAAAAAAACTGAATAAGGCGGGAATCGAACCCACAGCAGCTGCTTGCAAATAACCTTACAATTGAGGTCACGTGGAAGGCAGCTATGTTACCACTACACCACTTATCCGACTACGCGGGAATCGAACTCAGGAACTTCAATAAATGAGTAGCCACTAAGCCAAACGACCAAAAAAAAACAGGTTTATAATCAACATTACAAAGGTATTCAGGATTTAGAATTTCATTAAACAACAGTTATTCAAAAAAAACTGAATAAGGCGGGAATCGAACCCACAGCAGCTGCTTGCAAATAACCTTACAATTGAGGTCACGTGGAAGGCAGCTATGTTACCACTACACCACTTATCCGACTACGCGGGAATCGAACTCAGGAACTTCAATAAATGAGTAGCCACTAAGCCAAACGACCAAAAAAAAACAGGTTTATAATCAACATTACAAAGGTATTCAGGATTTAGAATTTCATTAAACAACAGTTATTCAAAAAAAACTGAATAAGGCGGGAATCGAACCCACAGCAGCTGCTTGCAAATAACCTTACAATTGAGGTCACGTGGAAGGCAGCTATGTTACCACTACACCACTTATCCGACTACGCGGGAATCGAACTCAGGAACTTCAATAAATGAGTAGCCACTAAGCCAAACGACCACTTTCTTGAAAAATGCATTTTTTGGAAGTATAACACGACTTGAAAAACGACAGAATTTTGGCCCAAGAATCGTACTATCTTTTGTTCCTCCTGTTGTATTATTCGAAGATTGAGATACAACTGGAGTATATGAGGAAAATTTGCTTATTTTTTTGGTTTTTGCTACCAAAAGACCGCAGCTTTTTGCGGTTGGTAGCACAATGTTCGCATCTGTTGAGAATTCTAGCATCGCGTTAAGCGCAAGTCTAAAATCAATGACAAGTTTATTAATTATATGAAACAAGGAGTTTTGAATAAAGTTTTACGTGATACTATTTATTGATAAAAGAGGAGTTTGAATGAAATTGGGGTAATGATGATTGTTACATTATATAAAGATCAAAAGTATCTTTGAAATGATAAATGAAATTATTAACTGTTTCTTTAACTCAAGTACAGATTATTATCAACTACTACAATTATTAGATTGTTATTCATTATTTATATTATATATATTAATATTACAAGTGTCAACTGCTGTTCTTATAATCATTAGTATTGAAGCAGTATTATTTATATATTAGAAACTATTATTGTCATTATCGCACGCATCTCTAGTCTGGTTTTCCAACAGCATCTAAGCACACATTAAAGTAAATTCGAGTAAAAATATTAAAGGGGTTTTAAGCATGTAATTTGGAAAAAAAAAAAAAGCCGCGGTTTACCCCTAAATTTTGGTGCACAGTGAGCACAAAACTTAAAACATGAAGTCAATGTAAAACAATGCATGTGCTAGGTTATAATGAGTGTATATTAGCTAAGCTAGGAACCAAAGGAAGAGAGTATATACTAATCGATAATGTTACATGATAATTACTGATAGATAAGGGAATATGATTCCTTGTATCTTGGTAGTTCAGATGATAATAAGGTAAAATAGCATATAGACTTCCAGACATCATGTTAAATCCCTGATTAGAGGTTATAAAATTTGTAAATTATTTCACCCACAAACCTCCTTGAACGAAATTTAGAGAATATTGAATGCCAGTCCTCAATTGGTGTCTAACTTCTTTCTATCGTTAATCTCAAGATGGCGATGGGTATCCAGTAATTGATTAATTGTCATAAAATCATGAAAATTTTGTTCCACTGTTGGTAAACAATAACCAAATTGTGAATCAGATTAAGATAATCTTTCATTATAATCACCAACACGTTTTATATGTGTGTTTTTGACAGCAGCAAATAATGCATCATAAGGTTTGACCTGAATCTGATACAAAATTGTAAATAATCATAATTTGGAAATACCATTCTTGATTTTTCAAACTTTAGCAGTCATGTTTGTGACTCTGGCTTGATACAAGTTATTGCATTCAGAACTAACTATATTGAACTAGTAGCAATTAATAATCTGATTTCTTTCAAATAATTCATGTTTTCTTTATTATCATCCATTACGACAATTGATCTACTAATAGCGAAACCAACTCTTTTTTCACCAGAATAATCATTTAAAATTTTCAAATAAGCTTCGGACCAATACTTCCTGAGCTGCATAAATATTGCGCCCTGTTGAACATCGTATATTTCACCTATATTTTGAGATACATGGTGAAAGCCTCTTTATCATTATCCGTTCCTTCATGCTGAACATTGTGTGTAATCCGATATCTCCAAATATTTTTTCTTTAATGAGAATTTATTTTGTTCCATAGTGAAATGGTCGAATCAGATCATTCAATGATGCCAGTATGAAACAAAAAATTTTGAATAAATTATAATTTTAATTTCTGTTACATCAACAATTAAAAATGCACATCTCCAACCGAATTTTTTTGTAGAGCTTGTATTTCATGGCTTGAATTTCACCTTTCAATTGATGATTCGCAAACGCATGAGCATTTGACTTTTCACAAAACTAGAACTTTCAGCTACATGAAATTTTGTAAATCCTGATCTTCAACCAAAATTTTGTAGAGCATGTATTTCATGGCATCCAAATGCTTATGCGTTTGCAAATCAGTTTATCTTTCAATGCCATGAAATACAAGTTTTTCAAAATCTTGGTTGAAGATGTTCATTTTCAATTGTTGATGTAGTTGAATATGAAAAGTCTTGAAACGATCCTTAAGTTTATCAACTGATGCGAAACCATTTCTATTTGATTTTGAATTTAAATTAGTGTTATTCATTCTTACATCAAAAAATATTCTGGTTTCAGAAGTAACTTTAATACAACCAAATAAATCAGCATTTTCATTAATCAATGTTTCACCATCAAGTATTAAATTATTCACAAACCCATTGATACTTTGAATGTTTCTTCAACAACTCTATCATCACCAAATTTTGCTTTTCTGATCTTGATGCATTCTTGAGTTTTATAATGTCTTGACAAATAAAACATCTTTTATCATCATGTACATCTTTACGATGTGCTTCGAGTTTTGAAACAGCATCATCATTGATTGCTGATAAAAAGAACAAGTAATTCTAGACAATTAATGCACTCACGTTCAGAAACAATTTAAAAATGATAGCGAAGTAATTCGAATACTTCATGTTCATTATAATAATTTTGATATTCATCCTCTGAATCTTGGCTATCACATCCAGCTTTGACAACAATATTGACCATTTGGAAGAATTTTGGTGGTGCTCCTACTCTTTTGGATTCCTCCCAATGCTTTTTTGCATGATCCTGAGCTCCAACATCGGTGAGCTTATACCTATGACCGCAATTCCTCGCTAAACATTTACAAAAAAATCTTTTATTATACAGTTCAGTTCAGTTCCCAAGCTTTCCATGAAGGTTATATATAACAAATCAAAGTTGATAAGATTTGGAATTAACTGAAGTGAATGATAAATAAAATACAATCGAGTTCTTGAATTGAATGAATAAATCAGTTAGTAATCATGATATTTGTAGGTTGATTACGAGTGGGTATCTTTTGATCGATTTGTTGAATGTTTTGATAAATAATTTCTGAAGTACTTACACACATTTTTTGATTAAAAAACTTTTACTATCATGTGACATTCAAAATATTATGTATAACAATTTTAGATAACCAAAGAAATCGAATCAACATTTAAACCAAGCATTAAAAATTTATGAGCATGTCCAAACTGATACTCTGGAGCTTAAAGGTCCTTGTATAAATTAAACCTATGATTAATAATTTTTATTTTAGATATTCTCATTCAATTTCTCTGATCTTTTCCAAACTTTAATCCACTTTAATCTTTTGATGTTGTCCATTGATTTTTTAACATGAACCTATCACCAAAAAACCTACTTTGGTCTTGTTGATGAAGCATTAATTATTTTTCAGGATATTGTACCTGTATTTTCTAGAAATGATATGAAATTATTGCCTGGTTATTCTACTGATAAGATAATAAAAATTAAAGCAAAAAGAAAAGCCCCTAAGCGATTTACCTCTTAAGATTAGTGATGAGTGAAATTTAGGAACATAAAATCAAATGTAAAACAATTCTTGTTAGATCCCTGATTAGAGACTACAACATTGTCGAATGTTTCATCCACAAACCTCATTAAACAACTTTTTGGAGGATCTACCGACTTATTTACCAAATCAAGAGTCCAATGAGCAAGATAAAGTAAATAACCAATCTCAGAACCAATCATCTCACTCAATTCCTTTTGAGTCCAAAGTTAAGGATAATGATGAATTCCAAACAAAGCAAAAACCAGAAGAAAAACTAGCTAAGTTCTACAAACCTGTGAAGATACCAGGAACCAACATAACACTACAGACAGAAGAAGACATTGCCAAATGGATTGAAGAACGTAAAAAGAACTGGCCATCCAAATCAAATATCGAAAAGAAAGAACAAATAAAAGCAGAAAAACGTAAAAAATATCAAGATAACACAACCTCAATCGGTCAAACAAAAAGAAAATTAGAAGAAAGCAATCAGAATGAATCTAGCAATAGTAATAAAAGAAGTAGAAATATATGTCGACATTTTCAACAATTTAAAAAATGTAAATTTGGAACCAAATGTAAGAATCTACATGAGATACCGAATGATCCAAATCCAATTGCTTCAAATTTTAAGAATGATTTAACTCATACGAAAAGGAAATTAAATGGTATAACTATACTAGTGCCAAAATTATATTCGAATAGGACTGAGAATACTCCTACATCTAAGTCATCTTTATTTAAGCATTTAATTACTCAAGATCAAGCTCAGAATGAAAATCAACTAGTGCTTGACTTTATAAAATACCTTGACGAAAAAGGATTGATCAATCATGATGTAATGAAATAGAAGTAATAAATGACGAACAAACTATGACCTGCTCTTAGCCTTACCTTAAATAATTTTCCTACTTTTCTATAACGTTATCTATTTAAATCAAAATAAATCTCCATCGTACTTTTTAGTAGCATCTAGTAATATCGAACACTGTTTACCAATATCTGCTAGTTTTCCAATAACGATGTCATTACCTTCACCAAATCCATATATTGAATAAGATAATCCAACTTTTTCACAAAACCTTATGACATAAGGTTGTGCTTGTCTTAGATTATGACGTGGTAAGCGAGGAAACAAATGATGTATAGCTTGAAATTGTAATCCACCATGAAAAAAATCAAACCATTCAGGACAATCGACATCCATTGTTGTTCTTATTTGTCTTGATGGAAATGATTCACTAACACCCAAATCAGAAGTTGACATTGCAAAATGTGATAAAGTAATTTGAACATGCACCAACATTGTTGCCATATGACTAACCATTACGTAATTAATCCTATTCCAACCACCTTCAATACTTTTGAAAACCAACAAATAAAAAAACCAATAAAAGAAAAAACTCAAACCTGCAAATTCAAAATATCTAAACCAAGCTGCTGAACCTTTTCTAGGACCTTCACCAAAAATGATATGACCCCATGATAATCTATACAAATTGAACCTACCAAAACATAATATAGGATAATAAAGATATTGTTGGAAAGGTATCAACTTTTGAGCAAACGCATCAAACCATAAAGTTTTATCATAATAAGTTGAAAAGACATTATCAAATAATCTAACACTTACTGCAAAGAAAGGTAAGTGTTGAATGTCTGGGTCATGTACAGGATCATTAGTTATTAAATGATGAACATTATGATTACGTTTCCACCAACCTAAACTCAAACCTCCAAACCAATCAGCAATTATTATACCAAAAATATTATCAATTTGATAATTATGACTCAAGGAAACATGTCCAGCATCGTGAGCTACAAAAGTACCTTGATGCCATGCCATTCCCATAAACAAAGCACTTAGAAATAACCAATTTAATTTGAGGAATGACAATGAATATAAAAATAATGATCCAATTTTAACAACTTCTCTAACATATGCCCAATAATTACATCGATACAAACCGGCGTCAATGATTTCTCTGTGTAAGTTATTATATTCGTCTCTCAATAATTGTTGAGTTTCATAGTCTAACGAAGGTATTGATAATAAATCTTTCTGGGATAGTCCATTATCGTAATTTTCCATCAAACGCTTTGGGTTGACTATCACTGAACTTGATTTTACAACAGGAAATATTTCATCTTTATTCAGCTGATTCACTAGAATGTTTTGCGGTACAACTGGTTTGACACTCTTATTATCAACTTTTTCGATATGTAATTCACTGAATTTGGTCATATAACCTTCTTCTTCTTCAGATGCAGAGCTTGTCATGGAGTCTAATTCCAAGTCTGATGCACTTTCGGAATAATTTACATCAATTTTCTTCTCTAAATCATTAGATTTTGATTTGTTAGAAACTGTTTTTCTATACTTTGCACCTTGAATTGGTGGTAGTAGATTTTCCCACTTTTGATCTAATTTTCCTATTCTCCAATTGTTAAAAATCTTGATAGTCTCTTCTCCATGATATGCATTCATTTCATCGGTCGCATCTCTTCCAATCATATGATACACTGCCTTGTCTCCTCCTGGATGTCGAGTAATCCATGATGTCAAATTCAACACATTGTCTTTATATATGACTATGACTTTTCCGTCTGCTAGAAGATTAATAACTTCAGTTCTGGATATTATTCTATGAGGTCTGGTAGTTGCCATTTTTCAGGTGTGTCTTGATTTAAACGATAAGACGCTAAACCGTGTTGTTTGATTATCAGGGTTTATTTTTTTTTCGAGTATGTACATAGTAATATAAACAAGAATCAGGTGATGAGATAGATTGTACAATAGAGCCGTTCAAAGCAATGTTTCAGGGGAATGTTTGTCTATACTATATTAACTAATAACATCTACTCAACAACTCGTATGCAATTGGAATGAATGTAGGAATTAAATAATTGTCATTAATGTTTGACGTACCTTCAAGAACACCACCTAATAAAATGGAAACCAAAGCATTTTCCCAATTGGTAATAGGCTCATAATCTTTGTTCTTAATATTATAATACTCTACGATGTTTATGGATATGAATGTAGTTATTATGAATGCAATTGTACCTTGTACTGACTTATTACTTCCTTTCCATTTTAAACTTCCGAATCTTCTACCAATTATGGATGCAAATGAATCACCAACCCCTAAAGCTATAAGTCCAAGGTATCTAATGATAGTCACTTTATTTTTGTTCATAAGGTAATCATAAACTATTGGAAGGATTACCCCACTTAACAAATATATATATGATAAATTAAATGGTCCTGAGTCTTTTAAATCTTGAAATTTATTTAATGAATTTTTTAAAAAGCTTCCAATAAAACTGATTTCATTGTACCTGATTATTTCTAAAATTAGGAAAACAATGATCATTCCTAATAATGATAATATTGTAAATTCTACTTGATTAAATAAGATGTTATTGCTGAATGTTAATGCCACAATAATAACTAAATGCCAAATTTTTCTTCTTGTGTTCAAACTGAATTTATCTGCTAAGTAGAAAATCAATGGTATGATAATTAATGCCAGTGAAACCCAAATTTTCAAAATTTGCACTTTTTCAGGATCATCTGAGACGTATTCATATAACCAGATTAAAGCGTTATTTCCAAGGATTGTTTGTAATTGAAATATGGTCAAGCCACAAAAAATTGCTCCAAAGACCCCTATATTGATTAAACCATTCAAGTATGAATGAATTGGGTATGCCAAAAACGAAGTGATTATCAAACTTATCAATAATTTCTGAAAAATTTGTAATGGAATAGAATCCTTTGTTATAGCAGGATTGAAAATAATGTTGACTATTAACAAACAAATTAATTGTATCTCTGAATTTCTCAAAGATTTTTCAAACACTAATTTATTGCTATTGTCATTTACTTTGTCTTTTTGACCCCCAAGTGCTTGAGCAGTATTAACAGAATGAAGTGCATAACTGAATAAAAAATGAGCAGCTGATATTTGTAAAAACTCAAATACAGTAATTGTATCACCTGACTCTTCTTTATAGATGACAAAAAATATAACACTTGATATTAAATTGAAAATCGGATGCATTTTGTCGACAATGAAATAGTTTAAGGAATTGTTAATTAACATCCAACTTGGATCGTAATGCACAATATTAAATAATGATGGAATCAAGATGCTATAGAAGTAGTTAAAGTCTGGAACATGAATAGTCTCTTCTTTGCTTTTTACAATACTCAAAACGGTACAAGAAAGCACACCAGCGCAACTAAAAAGCATCATTGGCAATGATTTTTTTGCATGATCGAATTTATCTTGTCTTAAATATATTAATTGTATGAAAAATCCGAAAACCAATAATTGTGCTGATTTCAAAAGATTCATGTGTTGATTTAAATAGTCCTGAAATTTATATATATAATTAAATGGAAAGCCTGCATCATTTATATCATCTTGTGAGTTGCCTAATGGTTCATTGGGCATGTCTACCTTCTCATCTTTATCGGTTTTTTTTCCTTCCTCTTGCAATATCAGATCGCTAGTTTTTATGTTCCTGAATATTGCAGCCGTTGATCTCGCTGTTCGGTCTCCATCATTCTCGATCAATTCTTTCCTCTTCTTAGCCATAGCTGGTAAAATTGTATAAGACGATCTCAATGAGATTGAAGCGTAATTGCAAATTTCGTATCTGGCTAGATTTGCAAAGAATTAATATGCAGTCATTTGACGTATTCAGAATCAATGACGTGAATTTTATTTTCAACACGGCATGGAACGCGTCTATCTATTGTCAATATATTTTAAATATTATTACGTGCATTTGTAAACACTAGATCCAATACATTCATGTATCAACTGTCACGTAACTATTATCACATTGTCAAATGCATATCAAGAAAATAGTTATACAAGGTTTCAAAACATACAAAGACCAGACAGTAATAGATGGTCTAAGTTCCAATTGTAATATAGTGGTTGGAAGAAATGGTTCAGGAAAGTCAAATTTTTTTGCAGCTATAAGATTTGTATTAAGTGATGCATATACTCATATGACTAGAGAAGAAAGACAAGGCTTATTGCATGATGGTTCTGGAACAATCATGTCTGCATATGTTGAAGTTATTTTTGATAATAGTGATGGAAGATTTCCTATTTCAAACACAGAAGTATCAATTAGAAGAACTATTGGGTTAAAGAAAGACGACTATTCATTAGATGGTAAATCAGCCACTAGATCTGATATTATGAATTTATTAGAAAGTGCTGGATTTTCAAGATCAAATCCATATTATATTGTACCTCAAGGAAGAATCACAAGTTTGACGAATTCAAAAGATCATGAAAGATTAACTTTATTAAAAGAAGTTAGTGGTGCAACGGTATTTGAAATTAAACTCAAAGAATCAATGAAGGAAATGAATCAATCGAATTTGAAAAGACAAAGAATTGATGAAGCATTGAAAAACATTGAGGAAAAAATAAGTGATTTACAAATTGAAAGTGATGATTTAAAAGAATTCCAGTCGTTGGAAAAACAAAAGAAAGTATTAGAATATAATATATTTGATAGGGAGTTTAATGATTTGAATGAAACATTGGAAGAATTAGAGCAAAACCATCAACAAATTTTACTAGAATCATCGAAAGATTTAAAGGAGATGGAAGAAAGAGAGAAATTATGTACGGATTTGCAGAATACAATGAATGAGTTGAACCTTAATTTGAATATTTTAAAAACTGAAAAAGAACAATCTGATTTAGATTGCAATCAAATCTTGAAATCAATTGCTGAAAAGGAAGTACAATTAAATGAATTACGAGAAAAATTAGATTCTTCGAATGAAAGATTTAATGAAATAGATGCTCAAATTAAAGAAAATTTAACCCAAATTTCTGAAATTTCTCAAGAAATCAAAAAGACAAAACCTCAACTTGAAAAATTACAATCACAAGAATCAAATTTGAAAAAAAACCTTCATGATATTCAAACAAAACAGAGAGCTCTTTATTCCAAACAATCAAGATTTCAGAAGCATGAATCGAAAGATAAAAGAGACGCTTGGTTGACTGAAGAAATATCAAATCTTAAATCTCAATCAAATGAAAAAGATCAGGATATACAACAATATGAAAGCGAGTTAAGAACAAAACAAATGTCTCAAGATTCAATAAAACAAAGACTTGAAGAAATAAATGGTACTTTAAATAGTGATGAATCTATAATTCAAATTGAAGATTTAAAGACCAGTATTCAAGATTTGAAAACCAGAATCAACCAATGTGTAGATCAAAGAAAAAGCATGTGGAGGGAAGAAGTCAAATTGAAAAGCATGTTTGATTCTTTAACTAATGATTTAAATAATGCATCAAGTTTAGTGTCAAAAACGATGGATCGTTCACAAGCACAAGGTATTGCTGCTGTTGATTCAATAACCAAAAGATTAAAACTAGAAGATCATGTATTTGGTACTGTTGCAGAATTATTTAGCGTCAATGAAAAATATAAAGTTGCTGCAGAAGTTATAGCTGGTAATTCTTTATTTCATGTTGTTGTTGATACTGACGAAACTGCTGCTATTTTAATAGAAGAATTGACTAGAACGAAACAAGGTAGAGTTACATTTATTCCTTTGAATAGAATCGATGTTGTTGTTGTTGAATATCCAGATCCACATGAAAATCAGTGTCTACCTTTAATCTCAAAACTAAAATTTAATCAGGAACAAGTTGGAAAAGCTATGAATCAAATTTTTGGTAAAGCTTTAGTTGTCAAAGAACTACAAAAGGGTTCCGAATTATCAAGAAAGTTTAAATTGACATGCACAACATTAGATGGTGATAGAGTTGATGTAAAAGGTGTTCTTTCCGGTGGTTACAGGGATTTTAAAACTTCAAGACTTGATGCAATTAAATTACAAGCTAAAAAGAAAAGTGAAATAGTAAAGACTGAATCAGAAATTAATCAATTAACCCAAGATTTAAATGATGTTAATCAAAAAATGACAAAATTGAATAATGATTTACAATTAAGTTTGAGAGATTTGGAAAATTTAACTCGAGCAAAAGAACCATTGGAAGTTGAATTATCCCAATTGACTGCTAAAAAGTTTAATGCAGATCAGGAAATACATGCATTAACATCAAATATTGATGCATTAAAATCGTCAAAGAACACTTTACTATCAAATATAAAACAATATGAAAATGAATTGAACTCAGAATTTACTCAAGCTCTTGATGAGGAAGAATTGAAATCTTTAGAAGAATATAATAAAGAAATTACCAAATTAGAATTGCAATTAGATGAAGTTGTAACGTCGGCGCTAGATTGGGACACTAAAGTTGGTGATTTAGAAACTGAATTAATCAATATTAAAAATGCTAATGCAGCTTTAAATTTAGAAAAGAAATCTTTGGGAGAACGTGTTTCGTTAAACTCAGATATTAATAGTATATCACAAGATTTGGAGACTTTACAGATTCAACTAGATTCAAACCAAACAAGAAATGACGAAATAACTAGAAATTATGCAAAAATTACTGAAGAACTTCGTGAAAATGAAAAAGTTTTAACAAATTCAAATGAACAACAATTGAAAACAATGGAAAATTTTGAAAAATTTAATGAAAAATCAATCAAATTATTAAATTTAAAACTGATAAAAGAACAAACTAGGGAAGAAATTAATTCAAAAATTAAAAATTTAGGTATGTTACCGGAGGAAGCATTTCAATCAGATAAATTTGAAAATTTTTCTGCTAATCAATTGATCACCAAATTAAACAAAATCTTAAAAGAATTGACCAAGTATCAACATATAAATAAAAGAGCAATGGAACAATATAACCAATTCAATAAACAAAAAGATGATTTAATTGCTAGAAAAGATGAATTAGATGAATCCAAGAGATCAATTGAAAATTTGATCAAAGTTTTACAAAAACAGAAAAAAGATTCAATTATGAACAGCTTTAAGCAAATTTCCAAAGCTTTCCATGAAATATTTGAAAAGTTAGTACCTCAAGGAACTGGTCATTTAATTTTACAAAAGAAGAATATTAATGAAAGTCAACATCTCACACAAACACAAATAACTGAAGAGGAAAATGGAGAAAACTCAAACCATTCAAGTTCAGATGATTTAGATTCAGATAATGAAGGGCAAGAAGATGATACAATAGATAACTACACTGGTGTATCAATATCAGTATCATTCAATTCGAAGGAAGATGAACAACAAAAAATTGAACAATTATCAGGAGGTCAAAAATCATTATGTGCAATTGCCCTTATTTTTGCAATACAACAATGTGATCCAGCACCATTTTATTTATTTGATGAAATTGATAGTAATTTAGATACTCAATATAGAACTTCAGTTGCGTCATTAATTAATTCATTGGGTGGAGGTGACCATGAAGATGATAATTCTACCGCTGCTACAGTTAATAGTAATAATGCTCAATTTATATGTACTACTTTCAGACCAGAGCTCATAAGTTTAGCTGGAGATAAATTTTATGGGGTTGTGTTTGCTAATAAAGTTAGTAATATTATTGAAATAAATAAAGCTGAAGCAATGAACTTTGTTGAAGGTCAAGTAAGAACTTGAAAAGTTTGTATGATATAGTTTTAAGTAGTTTTTACGAAAATTGAACGACTAATGGTTAATGTTAATTTTGAAATTTATTGAAAATTTAACCCCTGATTCACTTTGCTGCGGAATTTTAAATAATACTTCGAAAATAAAATATTATATTATTAACAAGGCGCCATTTGTCACATTATATATCACCTATGATCTACACTTCAGTTTAAGCGAGTCAAATGAAATAATAATCAGATTCGAGTCTATCTCAAATGCGCAAACAATTTATCTAGCTACTACACTAATAATACTTTTAATCAAAGCAAGGGAATTTTGAGGGTTGCAGAACAAAAGCAAATACAAGAATATTGGAAGGTCCAAAATGTGCAAAAATTAAGAAATTGAGTCTATTCAAGGCTGAGAATATTTAAAGTAATAAATCTCCATTAGATTATGAAACCAAGTGTAAGTTACAAAATGATCTCAAAGGTACAATGCAAGAAATTAAATTTAGTAACATTTAGATTTTGTGTAAGTTGCCAAAAAGAAAAGCAAAAATTGAAATTTCAGTTTTTAAAAATAAGGCTTAAACATTTTTAACCATCAACAAAAATTGATTCGAAAGTGGAAGTGGTCTTATATCATTTAAAACTTATTTTACAATTTCAATTCACTCAATCCAACAAAATTAACTAGATTCAACTAAAAAAGATGGTATGTTTTAGAAAGCTCATGGATCATTTAAGGGGGAATAATTCGAGGAAATTAAAGTTACGTCATGCATGAGATCGATTTGGACCACAAGTTACAATTCAATAGTGATCCATTGAATCTTCCAACGTTATCTAATTGGATAACAATCAAAGCAGAAAGGATGGAGAGTACAGAACAGAGAATTAAAATAGCATCGGCTCAATCAATCTGGAACTATACAGTAGTTGAATCAGTCCTGCTAAAAATAGCTTTAAAGATGTTGACTTTTCAATAATGATTCATAGTTTGAGCAATTTTAAATTCGTCCCCACATTGGAAGTAACCATGTACTAACAAAGCTTTCCCAGCCAAACTATTATCAGCAAGGACCACCACCTCCACAAGGTTATTATCAACAGGGTCCACCACCTCCACAAGGATACTATCAACAACAACAACCTATGTACGTACAACAACAACCACAAAGAGGTGGCGGAGGTGGATGTTGTTCCTCAATGTGTGGATGTTGTGCTGCTATAATATGTTGTTGTTGTGCTGAAGAATGTCTTGATGCTTTGTGTATGTGAGAATTGCATATGGAACTAGATAGTTTTAATTTTTCATCATCTCGGTTGTGAACATGTGAGAATTTTGTTGTAATCTACAATGCTTGATTATGTTGACAGATAAGTATATATTCAATATAAATGGTTATTCAAAACACTTGTGATCCCCTATTTTGGAGAAGTAAAACCACCATTTGCAAAAATATTTTGACCTGTAATCCAAGTACCTTCAGTGACCAAAAATCTAATAATTGGAACAATATCACTAACTTGAGTTAATCTACCATGTAAACCAACAGTTTTGAAGAAATCAACAGATTCTTTAGTTTCTGAATTTAATAGAAATGAGGTTTCCATTGGACCTGGTGAAACTATATTTGAAGTAATTCCCTTTGGTAATAATTCTTTTGAAGCAGCCTTTGAATAAAATTCTAATGGGGCTTTCGTACCTTGATAACCACCATAATATTCCGTATAAGCAGCTAATAAAGAAGTTCCAATAGAAATAATTCTACCGTTTTTGTTTAAATTTAATCCAGCATATTTAATGAAAAAAAATGCAACTTTATTATTCTTACTATCTAAGGAATTGAATTCTTCTTCTGTAATTTCAGTAATTGGTTTTTTAACAACTTGACCAACGTTGTTTATAGCAATATCTATACCATTTGAAAATTTGGATTTAGCTTCATCAAACAACTTTTTTAAACTTGCATCATCAGTTAAATCAGCTTGATAAAGTTCGATTTTAATATCTGGATATTTTGATGACAATTCTTTTTGAAAATCTTTAGCTTGTTGTTCATTTGATCTGTAATGTAAAAATAAGTTGGCTCCTAATCTTGCTAATTCTTTAGCTGTTTCACCACCTAAGTTTTTGGTACCACCAGTGACAATAGCAGTTTGACCTTTGATTTGATGTTCTGGAGCTAAAAATGATGATGCTGACATTTTTTTAGTAATCTGAAAATTTGCTACTTGTGATTGAGTTAATTATAAAGCTTGAGCTTGATTGATATTAGTTTTAGAAATGCAATTGAATGTGTAATTCGATTCTATTTATATTCTTTTCAACTTCAAACTGAGGTTTTAAAATTTAGCGAGCCCCATTTTTCGGAAATATAAATGTGTGTAAGCTGTCACCCTTATTTTACATATACATAATAAAAAGCAAAACAATTAATTCAATCTATCAAAGTTAAAGTAATAATTAGAATTATAATAGAACTTTCTACAATCCCTTTAGATTAACCTGACACGTTACACAAAAGTCGATTCAAATTTTGAAACATCTTGAAATTCTCTCTTACTTATAAAACAGGATTTAAATCGGATTTAATCAATAAATTGCAATAAATAATTAGAATCTTGTTTCAGATTAACATCATGGTTAAAATTTAGATTCATTTTGACATGGGCTACACAACCTACTTATTCACAACTTCGGCCGATCTCATCAAAAATCTTTGGGGAAGCCGATTTTTGAATAGAATATTGAGGAATGATGAGAAGTTAACGGTGGTATATCACTTATTTTTATCAAAAACCCCAATTATTCACAAAAGTCCAAGTTCTTTTGGATCTATAGCTTATTCCCGAGATTTTTGTTATTTCAACTCAAGTATACGGATCATAAATCATATGTTAGCCGCTGATCCAACTCCAAAGCAACAACATAGATAAATGCATATAGTTCCCCACCTATCTTTCTCATCCACACTTCTTGTATTGGAAGAACAACAACCGAAACACCAACTTGAACAACAATCACGACAACATATACTGCATTCATTCTCTTCTTGTTGAATTTGACGTCTTTTATGGTACTCTTGTGGTAGATCAGACTCTTGATCTGATGGTGTGGATTCAGCATATAGTGGTGGTTCAACTTGTGTGTATGATGATTCATTATTAATATTGAAATTATTCGTGACTTGGTTATCTCGAGATCTAGAATACTGTGGTGGTAGTGCTAACTCCTCGTTGTTGTTGACCTCTGACATATTGTTGACTCAACTTCAATCGAAGTGATTATTTCAAGGTATTCGTATTCATTGACTAGATGTACAGTTTGTTAAAGCCTTATAGAATTTTGAAAAGTACTTTTGTAAAGTAATTTTGTGACAAGTAAAAAAAAAATAAGCGAATTTTAGATATAATTTACAAGACATCAGAAGCTTCTATTACTATAATATTTAAGAATCAAGTGATTAGTTACTTTTAATCTAATTTTTTTCTTTAGCTGCTCTTTTAGTTGAAGTTGAATTTTTTGGTAATTCTTTAACATAAGGAATGAATTCAGGTTCACCAGGAATATATTTTCTTAAAACTTCAGGTACAACTAATCCATCCTCCTTTTGATAATTTTCTAATATACAACAAATAGCTCTTTGAGTAGCAGATAATGTAGAATTAAGACAATGAACATATTTTTTTTCAGTTTGATTTTGTTGTTTTACACCACATCTAATTTCTAAGTTTCTTGATTGATAATCAGTACAATTAGAACAAGAAACTAATTCTTTATATTCTTGTTGAAATGGGAACCAAGCTTCTAAATCATATTTTTTAGCAGCTGCATTATTTAATTCTCCTGAAACAATTCCAACAACTCTATATGGTAAACCCAAAGATTGATAAAATTCTTCAGATGCGTTAATCATATTATCAAATTCTTCCCATGATTTTTCTGGTTCTGTTAAAACAAATTGTTCAATTTTTTCAAATGCATGAACTCTAAAGATACCCCAAGCATCTTTTCCATGAGATCCAGCTTCTCTTCTGAAACATGATGAATAACCAGCATATTTTATTGGTAATTGATCTTGTGGTTTATCAAACCATTCTCCGGCATGGTAAGCACTAATTGGTTGTTCAGATGTTGCTATAAGATATTTTTCATCTTCTCCATCTATTACTTTATATAATTCTTCATCAAATTGTGATAATTGTGCAGTTTTAGCCATAACGTCTTTGTTCATCATAACAGGAGCTTGTAATGGAACATAACCTTTTTTAGCTAAAAATGAAAGACCATAGTTAATCAAAGCTTGATTCAAAAAAACACCATAGTTTCTTAAAAAGTAACCACGATGTCCCACTATTCTTACACCTCTTTCAGGATCATATCCATCTAATCTTAATAAAACTTCATGGTGTGATAATTTAGCTGGCTCGTTAGTTCCTGCTGCAACTTGTTCAGGTTTTGAATATCCTTCAGGTAACCAAGTTTTAATCAATTCATTATTAGCTTCGTCCATTGAATCAATAACTGAGTCATGCACTAAATTACCAATCTGATTGACTTTGAATCTCAACTGTTTATCAGCCTCTGCTTCTTTTTCAATTATGGTTTTTCTCTCTTCTGCTAATTCATCTTTTAGTTTCAATAACTCCGCTGGATCTTCTTTACTTCTATATTTCTGTCCAATTTCCTTTTGATTCTTATTTATTTTTTTATTTTGTTCATCTAGATCATATCTAAGACTTACCCAATCTTTATAATCTTTAATTATTTCATCCACTAATTCAACTGATGCACCTCTTTTTTTTTGTGATTCTTTGATCTTATCTGGGTTTCCACCTTTTTCAACTATAAATGAATTGATATCTAACATGTTGTTTAACTTGGATGACTCTCGTAATTGTAATTATATGGTGACTAAAATTTTTCGTCTCGTAATAGAGTCTAATAAATTTTTTCTTCATTGAAAAATTAATTTAAAATCAATTCCTTACGTGTTTGATATGAGACCTCGATAACGTGCAAATTCTTCACTTGTTGAATAGGTGTAATATCAAAAGCCTTTAATATACGAATAACCTACTAGAAGAGCTTTGTAGATTACAATTTTTAGCCAAAAAGTTGACAAAACTGTACTAGATTACGTGTTTATCTATCAATTTATGAGTACAGATGTCCCCAAACAACTGGTGAAAATTATTGCATTCATTAGACCAACGATATTCATTTTTTATACAAGCCGATATTACCTTATAAGAAGTTGACCTCTTTCTTGCCTTACATATAAAACAATCAATGGATTGAATTTATGCTTTGATAGAGTTGGTAGCAACCAATATAAAGATTACTTTATCTAATATCTTTATTCTAGCAATCTTTATGATCAAAGTCTAACAGTCAACAATAACGTTCAATAGATCAAAAATGTTATGCAATCCTTGTTATTAGATAGGAAACTAGGTTTAATTTCTCCCTTAAAATTCTCATCGTTAATCACTGAAAACTATTATTCTTCATTAATTCATCAAACAGCAAAATATAATGTATTTCCATCTAATTGTCATCATATTGCAAGTGTTAATAGTTTATCATTAGAAACCAATGACTTTAGATTTTTACTAAGTGGAAGCGGAGATTCAACAATAAAACTATGGGATCTTAGTGAAAACGAAGTGATTAGAGAAGAAAATGAAATTGATAAAAATTTAAATCAAGTTCAAAATCCTAATAAGTTTGATAACTTTGATTATGATAATCCTGTTAGCGTTTATGCCAATATTGCTACTATTCCAAGACGAGAATTTCATAAATTTGGTATTTCAGCATTACAATGGTGGCCATTTGATACTGGAATGTTTGTTTCTTCTTCCTTTGATCATACCGTGAAAATTTGGGATACGAATGAATTGAGTCCAGTTCATACTTTTGATTTGAATAATAGAGTTTACTCGATTGATATTTGTGGAAATAATTCACTAATTGCAACAGCTAGTGATCAACCTTTCATTAGGATTTTGGATATGAAATCTACTTCAAGTGCTCATACATTGACTGGTCATAAAGGTAAAACTTTAAGTGTAAAATGGCATCCAACTAACTCAAACTTGCTTGTATCTGGAGGTTACGATGGAGAAGTTAGAATATGGGATATAAGAAGAAGTAAAAGTCTTTTGTGTAGATTGGATATGTTGAGAACAAATACTTCACAATCAAATTCAGAAGGAGTTCATGAAAACCTAACGCAAAATTCAGTAAAAGCTCATCTGGGACCAGTTAATGGCTTGGTGTGGGACGAGTCGGGCACCATCTTATATACTTCTGGTAATGATGATAAAGTTAGAGTTTGGGATATGGCAAGCACATCTTATCCTCCGGTAAATAAATTAATCAATTTTGGGCCCTTGACACGAAATAAATATCCACAAACTATTCCAATTCTTTTAAACCCAAAAGGCGAAACAAGTGTACAATATTTGTTATTCCCATCAGAAAGTGGCGAAATTTTGATATTTAGAACTATTGATGGTAAGTTGGTTAATAGACTATCCAGAAGGGGTACTAAGAATGTTGGAAGAACTACGTCAATGTGTAATGGTGGACCCTTCACAGCTAAATATTTTGCTGGTACAAACGACGGTGAGATTATTCAGTGGAGTCCATTTTGGGAACATCCCGACCTTGAGGATTTACGCATTGAAAGCCGAAACGAAAACGATTCGGAAGACATTGATGAGCTACTATTGAAAAAGCATACATTGGCATTAAAAGCACAAGAGTTAATGAAAGACGCGGCTAACTTTTGAGAGGCAAGAAATAACTATTTGTTGTAATTAAGTAAAAGCGTATATACTTGTAATTGAACTATGTATAATAAATTAAATTGTAAGAAAGTTTATGCATGAGTTTGAACTTTGAGTAGTAGTGTTGATAGCACTTTATAGTCTCTTCATATCACGTCTCATGATTAAATTAAATTGGTGGATTTTAATATGTTACAAAAACATAAAGAGAAAAAAACGATCAGAAATTTAAACTTGTAAACAAACCGCAAAATTATTTATTCAAAACAAATTGAAACACATTAGAATTTCAAATCCAATTCAACAGATCCAATAATCTGAATCACAAACACTAATCCAATCTCATCATTTTCGATCTATCGTGCCAAGGTTGGATCTTTTCAGTAGATTTCTATGAAGATCTATGAAACTACTATCTTATCAATAAATACATCACAAATATACACATTACCTTAATTGATGAAATGGTCAAGACAAAGCTTCAAATAATTGTAATACCTAGAGAATATTCGCTATTGCTGACTGAAGATATAAATAGTTCTATATCGAAAAAGTTTCTACATCTTACAAGTCCGGAAAACACAATTAAAATATTACATGAAGAAGTAAGTGCTAGATACAAAAAATTATATCCAGATGGACCAAATATAACAATAATCAACTTCCAAGATCAGAATTCATGTGATCTTGATTATGAATATATAGTTGAAGATGTCTTTGAAAATAATGATGTGGTAAGAGTACTTGTTGATAATTTCTTTAGTGAAAATTTAGAGCTCGAATTTCATCCAAAACGTTCACGTGAAGAAGCAGATAGAGCATCAATTGAATACAATGTCACACCTACTAAGAATCCAAAAATCGGATCTGTTTCGCCTGTTTCATTAGCCCCACCTCCATCTATTCTACTGAACAAGATACCAAAGAAAAAATTTAATGAGACTCCTGGTTCAAAATCGCGAGTTAGAATTACATCTGGGATGCTTGAAAAACCTTCAACAAATTCTGAGTTGCCCAAAAATATTTCATCAAATCATGAGTTAAAAAACTCGAAACTGAATTTGGATCTGGACAAAAATAAGTCGAATCATATATCAAGAGATGAAAAGAAACCTTCAAACGCTCAAGTTGCAATGGACTCAAAGACGCCAAGGATCACTAAATCAGCTATTATGGACATGTATAAATTGAAAGCAAAGGAGTCTGCTCAAGAAGACGATCTTTTAAAAAGTTTAGAAATTGATACCGTTGAAGGTCACCCAAGATTAAGTAACAGGCAAAGAAGAAATGCAGGTATTGAAGCCGCCGCCAAAATAAAGAATGGTAATCAAAAAACATCTCCACCGAATTCTACTACTACGTCCCTTCCATCAACTAGATCGAAAACTAGATCATCAAACCCAACACGAAAAACATTAGACTCTGATAAATCTGCGTACTCGTTTGAACCCAACAAACGACCATCATCTAGTAACAAAAATAAAAAAGTGAAATACTATGACGAATATAAAGAAATGAATCTTTTAGAATACATCAGTGTCAGTTTAGATAGTTTCCGCGATGAACTTGAAACATTTAGAAAGAAAGATAGTATCGGTTACAATAAAGTTCCATCAAATTTTGGTTCAACTCCATATTATAATTCCAAAGCTTACACGGACCCAATCATCGATTGTCGTTTAAATCTCAGTGATGAACTAACACAAGAGAACTCAGAATCTGCTCCAAAGGCACCCCCTGTACTCGAAACAAGCTCCACGATCAAAATTGATACAAAAGCTCCAACAACAACACAGCAATCATCTTCAAGTGCTCCAAAACCGACATCGCAACCATCTTCAAATGTTCCAACACCAACTCCCCATACATCTTTAAAACTTCCGCGATCGTCACAAACTATAAAACCTACCTCCATACCTATGCATAATTCGTCAGCTAAATTTGATCCCAAAGAAGTGATTGAAATATCATCTGGTTCGAATTCTGAAGCAGAAGAAGAGAAAGGAGATGAAAAAAGTAAAAAATATGATCTGAAACTTACAGGTCTCATAAATTACAAAGATCTAAACTCAGAAGCAAATTCCAGCAGCATACGTTCTCATGTTATACCACACCCAATAAATCCAAGTAACAAGAGTGCTCTAGCTTCCCCAATTATTGGAGAAGGTGGGCCAGTTTATCTGAGAAAAAACAAAAATAATGGTGGGAAAATTTCAGGTCTCTTACCACCCAATTATTACAATTCAGTGGCAAATTCCAGCAGCATTCCTCCTCAAATAAAAAAACACCCAATAAATTCAAATAATATGAATGCTCTGGATACTAACAATACAAAAAAAAATGAACCAGATTCTTCAAAAAAATCACCCTTTAATTTTAATGTCAGCTCAAGGAGCTCAAACAGGATAAGAGTTTTACCATTAGAGTACTATAAAGCCCAAAATGGACACGATCCAAATTCAGAGTTTGTAGCTAGACCCATACCTCCTATAAATCAGGGGAATCAAGAGTATGACTCATTTTTCGTCGAGTCTAAAAAAACAACTTTAGAAGTGGTGGAAAATTTATTTTACAGTCCCGAAAATGAATCGAAAAAGAGAGGAATTGACAAAAATATTCTGTTACCTTCTGTTCCTGCTAAGGTCGACGGTACAAACGGGAACTCAGCCGCTTTTGGAGTTGGTGACTCATTTGGCGCAAGATCAAACCAAAACACTATTTCGTCAAAAGAGAGTGGAAGTCCTGAGAAAATAAACAATGACATCTCCAAAACCATGCTGTTGTCTCCTGCTGCTTCAATTTCGAATGAAACTTCTTCTAGAAAGCAAAGTCCAAATCCTTTGAGTGGTAGAGGTTCTTTACAATTATTTGCTAAGAAAGATTATAACAAATCATCTTCAGGATCCAGTGATGAGAATTCTGATGATGACGATGAAATGGAGGATAAATTTGCTATGCCCAAAAAAAGACTTGTTGCTTCAGTTCCAACAAACAGAAATTCACCAGCACCTCCTAATAATCCTCCTATTTCAAGTACTGCTCATTCATTTATTCCTTTTCAAAAAATGGAAGGTTCTCAATTTCCCCCTAATAATATGATTCCTGCAACTAGTATTAAGACATCGGTTCCTCAAAGCAAAATTCATGATGAATCAATCGTGAACTACGCTAATAAGCCAATGGTCACGCCAGTCAAAAGACCACTTTTATCATCTTTAATGGAATTAGGGAGTAGAGGTGTTCCAGAAGTGAAAGAAGTGGACCTGATCAAGAATAATAAGGAGGCAAGTAAAAGTAACAAAGTGGAGGAGAAGAAGGATGGAATATCTGGTTTGTCAACTGAAAGTGAAAGTGAAAGCTCAAGTTCAAGTTCAAGTTCAAGTGACGAAGATGATGATGGCTCAAATCGATTATTTTTATCCTCAAAAAAGGCAAAATCAACTAATAGAGTGAAGAAGAATTTGTTTACATGAAATGAATTACCATATGAAAGCAAGCAACAAGGTAAAATGAAATTAACGGATCATATGAATGAAAATTGTAAAACCCCTATCAACACCAAAACACGAGGTAGGCTAAGACCTGGATACAGGTTTACAAAAAAATGATGCTGACGACGAATGAAATGAATTTAGTAAATGGTAATGTTGTATAATATTTCAGAAGATTAATTTTTATAAAATTACTTGTTTTTGTTCTATTATTAACCACTCTTTATAAAAAGATGATGATAGCTGACGTGAAATAAACTGGAACAATCAGTGACTCATCAACGTAAATCAATTGCGATCAATATAATCAGAATAATTAAAAATTGTCTAGTCTTGATCCATTGATAGCTAATGTTGCGTTGTACGAAAAAATAGACAAGTTTTAACATTTCATAACAAGTAGATTCAAGTTTCAAAATATTTCTAAAGAGTAAATAAGGCTGTATTATAATTATGATAAATGATATTGTTTTTATTGATAAAGCAGAATAAACTAAACAAATCTAAATATATTATAAAATCAAATCAAATCAAATTAAACCATCCATGAAGAAATAAAAAAAAAAAAATCTCATTAAGTTGTATCAAACAACTTCTTTTTTACAATAAATGTTTCTACCTAAAATATTCATTGTCCAATTTTGATAAGTAACTTGAGGTGGTAAAGTTTCAGTTATAACAGATAATAATCTTTTATAAATTTCTCTTATAAATGCTTTAGCAATATTTGGTTGTTCAATTAATAAAGCTGCCATATAACTTTCAAAAAAATCACCTAAAAATTCTTCTTCATAAATTCTTACTTCATTTAAATCTTTTCCATCTACTAATTTACCTTGTGTTGTATATGGTACCCATTCATCTGAAATACGAGTGTTTATAATTGGATCATTTAAACCTTCATATAAATTATAACATTTTGTTAATTTTGACATAAGCGTGTTAGTAGCTAAAATTGTTTTAATAAGATTATATGTAGTTGAATTTACATTTAAATTTAATGAAGATAAATTTTCAGTACTTGTGGTTGTACATAAATCATAAATTAATTTTGAAGTTTCTTGAGCTAAAAAAAAATCTCCTAATCCATCAAGGAATGAAATTTCTTTTCTAACAATTCCATATTCACTTGGTGATAAATCATAATTATTTGATTTCATGGTTTTGGCAAATTTATGTCTTGGATCCAATAATACTCTATAGAATTCTTTATGCATTAAAGCTTTAACTAATAATTCTCTATTATGAATCCTTGGTAATGGTGGTAAATATATTTTTTTATTATTTGCTTCAGTAAATGAAACAAATCTACTCATTGATGATGATCCATATAATAAATCTTCTCTTATCCTTACATTATCAATATAATTTTGAAAAGCATTTAATGTAAAAATATCTCTTTCATCTCTAATTATTCTTATTTCATCAGGTGATAATCGATTTTTTCTAGCATTTAAATACATTTGAATAATATCATCTAAACATTCATGAACTTCTTCTTCATTATAAGTTTGTAACATATAACCAAATATAATATAAAGCCAATTTTTTAAACCAAATTGATGATCACATAAACACCAAATTTTTTCCTTTTTTTTCAAAATTGAATTATTTGAAGTTAAAAAATTTTTTAATTCTAAATGAACTCCAGATTTTTCATCATTTAATTCTCTTTTTAAAAAAGTTGATAAATCAAATACAATTTCTTTAATTAATGAACCTCCACCAACTGTAAATAATTGTTTAAATTTACGATATGATGATAACCTTATGAAATCACCACCAAGACTATGGAAATGATATTTGATATGTTTATCGGATTGTAATAATGAATTTAATTGAGACGGTATAAGCATTGACAGTTTAGATGTAGGTGTTTGAGTAGATTTATGAAAATACTGACATCTTTGATTGGGAGTTGTTGTTGAATCTAAAGTAGAGGACCTAGTCCTCGTAGATCGTGTTCTTCCATTTGTACTCATTGTAGTTTGTCGGAGTCTTATGGTGAACATAAACTTATGATAAAATAAATTTGATATTCTCAGTCAATTGAGTTTTAGTTTTGGATTTTAATTGGCTATTTTCAATATTGATGTTAAATATTCTTATGATAAGATAAAAGAAGAATACTTAGCCAATTATTTATAGTTTTTAAATCGCTTGAGTTTTAATGTTTTAGTTTTGATTTATAGAACTAAATGAAAACAATAATGACTTAAAATTGTATGACGTGTGTTATGAATTTTTATACGATGTTTTAGTTATTGTTTTTTGTATTGTTTTCATTATGATTTACCCCGTGCTCTCATAATTTATGTTGAGAGAATTATAAACACGATTTAACATTGCGCATTAGTTTACAGTATCATGTTTCAAATGAGTAGTCACATAATTAGCAAATTTAAGTCTTCGTTAATCGTCATTTCAAAGATTTGACTTAGACCAATATTTTATCATCAAACCCATAGTAATTATGTTAGTTGTTTACATTCAAATCCAGTGACTCTTATCTTATCTCGATTTATAACTTGGTGGTGTTTTGTGTAATTAAACTTTATTATTCAAAAATGTTTATGATAATAAAGCCGCCTAACAATTAGATATGAAGAATATTTATTAATCTAGGTATGACTAAATAAAGAATGTTCTCTGTTGTGAGTCGTAGTTTGATTATTGCTTAAGGTGGGTTCTTTTGGGCTATTTTGGCGTTATAATCTACACAATTGTCAATTTGATGAAAATTTCTGACAGTCAGACTCATATTCAATCATCTCACGAAATTTAATGACCATATGTAGCACCTGTTCATTCAATTTTGTAATCCGATCACTTATTAAGCTATGATCAATGTTATTGAAAGAGTTCAAAATATTAATTGATTAAATGTTTTGTTTGAAAATTTGAAGGTTTTTGTTGCTGCCAAAAATTTTTCTACTCGTTTGTTTCATCATTGACCAAGGCAACACTCAAAACAATCAAACAACAAAATTTCGTCTAAAGACTCCAATTGAGTTCTGTTTTCTCAATACTTATTGGTCGGTCAGAACTTCACGTACTTTCACTCAATTTTGTTGCTCAAAATTTTTCAAGAACTTGAATTTAATTAAATTAGTTAAGTTTTGCAACCAAAAACAATTACAATCAATCATGTCGACTCAAAACACATTAAACATATTAGATGAAAACCAATTTAAAATGAACCAACCTGATAAACAACAATTACTAAATGTTAGATTAATTCTAAATTCAAATAAAGAAAATGAAATGTCTATTGATAAAATTTTGCAACCAAATTTAATTCCTACAACAGATGAAGAAACTATAGAATCAACTAAAGAAGAAAGTATTGAACCAACTAATGAAGAAAAAATAGAATCAACTAATAATTTTGATACTGCTAGTTCAATATTTAGTGACAATCATTTAATTAAAATTTCTAAATCTCCAGAACTAAGTAAATTTAAAGTCAGACATCATAAAACAACGATATTAGAACCAACAACTATAAAAGTAAATTGGAATAATAGCTCAAATATGGATTTGAACTCTAATGGCAATGCAACTAAAATAAACTCAATATCATTCAATCAAACTTATTTCAAAAGAATTAACATGACTAAAATTATTCATGATATTAATACTAAGAATCATTATATTCAACAATACTTTGATAAACAAAAAAAATCAAATAAAAATCATGTTGTTCAATAATTTTGTAGTCTAATATGAATGTAATGCTTTGTTTGTTCAATTTTTCCATCCCCACTACTATTCCTCTTGACGGTATTTAGCTCGATCCAACCATAGGGCCGAAAATGAGAAGATTCAAACTAGCTCTCCCTAAAATTTGGGACAAACATTTTGGAGACTGGTTAAACAAAGACCTTCAACAAAACCAAGTTAGCCTGCGTGGCGAAATGGTTATCGCTTTTGACTTCTATTACTTTAAGTAATCAAAGGATTCCGGGTTCGAATCCCGGCGTGGGTTGTTTGCATCTTAGCTTACATTTAGCAGCTTTAGCTCACCTGGGAGAGCGTCAGACTGAAGATCTGGAGGTACTGTGTTCGAGCCACAGAAGCTGCATAGGTAATATCAGTTTGCCATTTTTTTTGTGTTGAACTTACTCAATTTTGGCAATTATCTTCAGTCAATTTTTTCTGAATTTGATAAATGAATAATATCATTCAATCGTGGTATTCATTAAAGTAAAAGCTACATAAATATATATCATAATCCATCTAATCGTCTGAGTTGTGTTGTAGTATTTTGATCTATTTTGATTTTTTTGGAATTTTAAATTTAAGTTGAGAGTCCATTAACAATATCAATATAATCATCAAATAATTCAAATTTAAAAAAATTAACTAATTCAATAAATTCAAAATTTAAAAAATTTTTGAGTGTATTTTCAAAATTATAATTTAAATTAAAATTAAAATTAAAATTAATTAAATAACAAAAACTAATTTCCAATTTCAATAAATCTTTTAAATTTAATCCAATAACATTTTTAAAAATTTTTTGTTTTTGATATAAATCATCTAAATTTTTTATATTTGTTCTTAAACTTGATATAATTAATCTATAACTATTTTCATTAGTTAGTGGTATAAAATTTAAAATTATTGAAATTTTATAAATTAAATATATTGAATTTATATATGCCACTTTAGAAATTGATGATGAATATTGATTTATTCTTAATAAAAAATTTTGAATTGATAAATTTGGTAATTTTATTAAATTAAAAATTTTTATTAGGTGTTGATGATTTATTGATGATTTGACTTTTTGTGAATTATAAATTTCTTTACTTAGCTTTTTAAGTTCTTTTTGATTATTTTCAGTTTCTAATTCTTCTGGAGTTTGTAAGTTCGTAGTTTCTATTAGTTTTTCTAATGGTATGTATACTGGTTCAGTTTTATTATCATTATTATCGTTATTATTGCCTTTGTATCTTATATCATCAATATTCTCATCTGCAAATATTGAAATATTTTTATCATTATTCATTAAAATTTCTCCAAAATTATGATCAAATTTTCTTACTTCTGTCAATGAATCATTACTATCATCATGTGAATGGTCTTTTAAAATTGTTAAATTCGGTTCATCCATCCTTATATTATTATTATTATCTTTTGGTTGATTATTTAAATCACTCGATGATGAAGTAGCTGAAGTAGTAGATGAAGATGATGATGACCCACTAGTTTCCGTATTTGTTGATATTGAAGTATTTGAAGAATTTAAATTATTAAATATTTGAGTATTTGAAGTATCAATTTTTAATCTTGTTTCATTATCATCACATATCGATGGAGATCGAGAAGAATGTGATTCTAACTCATTTAATAAATCTTTAACACCTAAATTTTCAATTACTTGATTTCTAAACTTTTCAAATAATTCAGGATGTTGTTGTAATTTAATTATAAATTTTAAAGTAATTGAATATATGAAAATAATATGTAAAATATGTAAATTATTTAAATTTTTTAATCCATTTTGTAAATCAAATACTAAATCATCTAAGTTTATCTCACTTAATGATGTTGGATCATCAACAAATGTTTCTTGGGGAGGTTTCAAACTCGGTATTTCCTTAATATCTTTTACAAAAGTTGTCATATTTATCTAACGGTTTTTCTTTCTTCAAATATGGGGTAATTTTGTTTGTTTGTAGCTTTCACTGTGTCATATAATGTAATAAGTATCTTTTACTAATCTATCACTACTGTATACTATGATGTATTTGATTCATATGGTTCTATCTTGAGTTTATTTAGTCACTGTTAAGTATATAGCCTTATAGAAATGGAATGATGAATTAGTAGATTATTTTTTTTATGTTTAGAAGCAACTTACGCTCGTAAATTTTTTCTTTACAGTTAAATACGTTTTTAGAAAGCTGAGTAATTTACTACACAATATTGCCTTACGTTATAGTTTCATTTCATCAAAAGAGTTCGTTAAATGTTTAAAGGACAAACGATGTGACCTAGTATATTGATTAAAACGAGGTTGGCCTCTATGTAGAAAGCAAGTCGTTTCATCGGCTCTCGTGAATTACGATGTTTAAAGTAAAAAAAATAAATTTGGACCCCACTTATTTTATGAACATAAATATTATAATTAGGTTAATCACGAGACTATACATAATACTTAAGAATAAGTATAATAATCTAATTGATCAATTATAATTTAAAACTTCAGAATCTGGAGAATTAAAAGTTCAGGGAAATTAAACTCTAAATGAAAAGTTCAGCTTTTATTTGAAAATTTTGTACAAGTATCTTAGTCACCTAATTGAGAAAGAAATCTAACCTTGTACTTACTAGGTTTAGAACTCAAAACAAGTTGTTTGCGGAGATTTTTACTCTTTCCTCATAATGCATATATTATCGCGCGAGAGTATATACTTAGTTATAGCATTTGTTTATTTGTTTGTATATTCCAATTCGAATAACGCGTATGAACTGTAAGACCGCGTTCGACCTAAAATATTTCATGTCGAGTGTCGTGTCATAAAATTTTAGAGTGACAAACGTATTAGCCCAGAATAATTTTGTGTAAGGATTGCACATGTAGATTAGAATAAAATAGCAAAGATTACATTCTATTAAAACCTCTTGATCCGAACTTAACCACATGTCTCAAATATCTCGAGATATTAGTGAAAGCAAACTGTATTCCATACATTTCGACTCAACCATTTTTTTTAAGAAGTATCGCGGTGAATTCAAATATGACAATGTATCTATAGCATTAAGACACAAAATCGAGATCTATATTTTGAGACAATACGAGATTTGATCAAATATTTAAATCATTAAACTAATTACTGAGGAGTGTTTCACTTTGGATAAACTTCAAATCAAATGGCTATAAGTATAATTCATGTGTTGAATTGCTGTATGTGTTTTACTGCTCCCCTTTTTTATATTTGATCTTACGCTATATTTGAGATAAATTAATTTATTTTTTTCTAGCGTATGAAGGGTTCGGAAATAGATCCATAAATTAAAAAGTAAAATCAGATTCTTTGGCTACATCGGGAAGGATTTTTGATCTAGCAATTACTTACCTATGTTTGAAGGTCCCTTGTAAACCTCGACCCAGCGATTTCTGCTGATTCCATTCCTTTTTATAATCTTATGGTAAGTACCTAAATTTAGAAAGTACAAACAAAACACTCAAATGCAATGAAATTATTTAAAAACCGATTTCATCAAATGTTTTTTAAACTTTGTATTTTAACCTTTAATACATGAAAATTAATAAGGTAGTCTATTAAATTTTCTTAAACTTCGATCCATTAAGAGATTCTCTTGAACTGATTGTTGTTTGTATCCAGCAAGTCATCATCAACAACTAATCCACTATAACCAAAAGCATTAGTCATTTAATCCATTAGTTGGTCAAATAATACTATTAAATTACGAGTTTCATTTAATATAATAAATTATTATAAACTTTTTTAAAGGGTTGTTTTAAACTTTCTTTAATTAATTTTTTTTTTTACTAAAGAACACTAATAATAACCTTCTTTTCTTTTCAAAACAGCCATTACAACAAGATTCTAGACATTCCAACAACTCAAATCATCATACAATCTAACTATAGAGAGGATATAAGAAATTCAAGAAGTAACCTAACAATCACAACCAAACTACAATCATTCGTTAAGAAAATATCAACTATATTTGCACAAAAAAAAATACATCAAAATCAATAGCTAAGAAAATAATATCAAAACATAGATCAGGAACCAAGAAGTATATAACATTCCATCAAGACACAGCCGTATTTAAATCATGATGATGCTATCTAGAAATTCAATACTATATTATTTTATAACAACCATATTATTTTTCACAACTTCAATAGAAGCAAGAAGAAAATTATCTGCAACATCATTAGTAACATGTATGCAAAATTCTCAAATAACTCCTCAACATTTTAATGTTACTTTTAATCCAGATGATAGATCTTTAAGATATGCATTAGATTTAACAACAGATATAAGTGCAAAAGTTTCTGCTCATGTTCAAGTTTATGCTTATGGATTTTTAATTATTGAAAAAGATGTTGATATGTGTTCTATTGGTTGGAAACAATTTTGTCCTATTTATCCAGGTGCTTTACAAGTTAATAGTGTTGAATATATAAGTTCAACTTATACAAGAATGATTCCAGGAATTGCTTATGAAGTTCCAGATATTGATGCAGTTGTAAAAGTTATTGTAAGAGATCAAGATTCTGGAGTTCAATTATCTTGTATTCAATCAAGTTTTTCAAATGGTAAAACTGTTAGTCAAACAGGTGTAAAATGGGCTACTGCTGTTATTGCAGGTTTGGGGTTATTAATTGCTGCAATTTTATCAACTTTTGGAAATTCAAATGCTGCTTCTCATATTTCTGCAAATTCAGTTAGTTTATTTTTATATTTTCAAAGTGTTGTTGTTGTTTCAATGCAAGCAGTTGAAAGAATGCCTCCAATAGCAAGTGCATGGGCTGAAAATTTAGCTTGGAGTATGGGATTAATTAGAATAACATTTATGCAAGAAATTTTTAGATGGTATGTTCAAAGTACTGGTGGAACTCCAACAACTTATTTTATTTCAGAAGTTAAACAAATTTTAGTTCAAAAAAGAAAAAGATCAGAAGATTATTTATGGGGTCAGGCTGGTGAAAGATCTTTAGATTATGTTTATGGTATTGGTAAAAGAGCTTTAGATTATGCTTTAAGACCGAATAAAAATTTAATTATATTAAGAGGTATAAAAAGAATTGGTTATAATACTCATATTGAACCAACATCAATAGTTCCAACTGGTTATACTTGGTTTATTTTAATGGGATATGTATTGGTTGTTGCATTAGTTTTAATTAAATCATGTATTGTTTTATTAACAAGAGCCAAAAAAGTAAATCCAAATAATTTTACCATATTTAGAGGAAGTTTTAGTAATATTGTTAAAGGTTCAATTTTAAGATATATTTATATTGGTTTTACTCAATTAGTTATTTTTTCATTTTGGGAATTTACTCAAGTTGATTCAGCAGCATTAGTTGTATTAGCTTGTTTATTTATTCTTTTAATATTTGGAATGATTGGTTGGTCCTTGTTGAAAGTTTTAAGAATTGGTCATCATTCTAAAAAACAATTTAATAATCCTGCTGCTTTATTATATGGTGATAATAAAATTTTAGAAAGATATGGATTTTGTTATACAATGTTTCATGCAAATAAATATTGGTTCGGAAGTGTTATAATAGGTTATAATTTATTTAAATCAGTATTTATTGCATTTTGTCAAGGTTCAGGAGGTGGTAAAGTATCAGTTTGGCCAGTTTTCATTGCTGATTTAGTTTACACCATCTTCTTGATTTGGAAATCACCATATTTAAATAAACCTACAAATATTTTAAATTATATGGTTGCAATTGTAACAACTATAAATTCATTTTTATTTTTATTTTTTTCAGATATTTTTGGTCAACCGGCACCAGTTAGTTCAATTATGGGATGGGTATTTTTTATTTTAAATGCTGCTTTTTCATTAATTTTATTAATTTTCATTATTGTTTTAATTGTATTTTCCATATTATCTAAAAATCCAGATGCAAGATTTGCTCCAGCAAAAGATGATCGTTTTTCATTCCAAAGAAAATCTTCAGTTAAAAATAAAACTAAATCAGCAATGTATGCTGGTGGATCAGGAGCTGCTGGATATAATGGAGGTGCTGGTGGAGGAGCAGGAGAATTAGCTGCTTTAGGTATTGCTGCACAAGATCATTCACAAGATTGGGAATCACAAATGTATAAATTAAATGATGTTTCAAAAGATGGAGAAGATTATAATGAAACTTCAAATTCGAATTCAAATTCAAATTTAACACCAGATCATATAACTCCTAATAGAGATTATTTTCAAGATGATAATATCTTGGAAAATGCTTCATCAGTATATTCTAATGATGCTAAATTAGCTGCTGCTGGTGCAACACCTGCTAAGAATCAATCATTTGGTACAAAATTGAAAAACACGATAGCAAGAAAATTATCTAAAAAATCAAATAAACCAACATCAACAAATGAAAAGGGCGATCATAAAAATGTATCAAGAGTAAGTGATACATTAGTAAATGATACTTATTATGATGATGAAGATGATGTAAGTTCAGATGAAAAAAGAGAATTAAATAGACAAGATCAATCACAACAACTTCATCATCCAATAATAACAAGGGTTTCAAATCCTTATTTAAATAATAATAGTCAATATCATCAACAGCATAATAATCAACATAGTAGAAATGAATCTACAACTTCACAAATTAATAATAAATATCCAACAAATACTAAAGATTTTCTTTAGTTAATTCAATTTTTTATTATAACGTTATAATAAAGAAAAAGAAAAAATAAAAAAATCGTACTTTTTCCATCGTTTTTTTGTTTGTATTAATAGACTTATTTATATAATCAGTATAAATCATATCAATAAATTAATCTTTGATTTTTGATAATTGTTTTTCAAACCTCGTTAGAACGGTATTGACTAATTTATTGTTACCAAACTTATTCATTACTAAATATACTTTCTGATCAAAAGATAACCAATTAAAATTCTTCTTCTCATTCAAAGTAGCACTTAAAATATTTGGATCTTCTTTTGCATCACCTTTGCTTAATTTATTCCAAAATAAATCAAAATCAATAGGAGCAATCAATTTATTTAAAAAATTAGTAAAATAATTTATAAATTTAGTTAAAAAATGTAAATCAGCTTCATCAAATAAATAATTTTCATTTATTTCAATCTTGGTTGCCCATGTATCTTTAAACATATCTGAAGTTTCATACATTGAAAATCTTAAATTTATTGGAGTTGTAGTTGATAAATAAGGAATATTCTGTAAAATATAAGGATTTAAAAAATTGAATAGGTTATTTGTGAACCATTGATTTGTTGAATCTTCTGCTATTAATGGTGAAATTGGTCTTGATAAAATTGGATCACATTTGAAAGATGATGAAGAAGTTAATGATTGAATTAAAAATATTGAATTTAAATTTTGTAGGTTGTTATCTTCTTCATTTAATATATTTTGAAACATTTGATTTTTTATATCTGATGATACTAAACATTCAAATATTCCACCAACAAAAGTATAAGGCATAAAGAATGATATCTTGCGTTTGGCATATTTTTTACGTCTTGCTAATTTATAACATATAAGATTTGAATCTTCTAGATTTTTAAATGAATTTTGTAAATTATTTATATTAAAATTTATATGTTGTTGATTATTATTATTATTATTATTTGTTTTAAAATTTTCAAATGTTTCAGATTTGGATTTACCACTATATTCAATCCATTTCCCATTTGTTAATTTCTCCAAAACTAAATCAATTTTTTTCCTCAATAGCTTCTTCAACTTGATTGATTTATTATTAACATAACTTAATAATTCCAAATTTAATTGATCACTAATAGGTTCTGGATCATCAATATTAAAAGAATTTAAAGTAATTAATTTCTCACCTAATTTTGGTTTTAATAAACATATTGGTATTGACCAATCAACTTCTGAACTTTTTGTAGTTCTTATAACTTTTTGATAATCTATTTGACCATGATTACAATGAGCTAATGTAAGAAAATGCATTGACATTGGATTTTTATAACCTGATATTTTATATTGTCTAAATATCTTAAAACCCGTAAATGGTATTATTGATTTTGGATTTGGATTACATATTTTGTTTGGAGTTTGTAAAAGTTTTGTTGCAATTGTTGACGTAATTAGGTAAAGACATGCACTCAGTGATAGTTTCATAACTCATTTCTGAAGTTTGGTATTCAAAGTTTCATCTTTGGTATGTTTTGAATAAAAATTAAGGGGTAGAAAAGAGTTAACGCTCCACCCCGTAAATTTTTTTATCGCACAAAACCAACTCTTCGCTTCAAGATGAGAGAATGAAAAATAAATAATCATTTTACAACCAAATCCAACCTTAATCAAAGACAATAACAACGACTCCGTATGGATCAGCAACAACAATCCAATAAGGCCCATAGAGGAGCCACTAAAAAGACAGGGGCCAAGAAGAAACTACATCAAAATGGTCAAAATAAAAAGGCTTTTGCTGTAGCAGCACCAAGAAAGTTGGAAAGAATGGCAAGACGATCTCATGATGTTAATGAAAAAAAATTACATGTACCTATGGTAGATAGAACACCAGATGATGATCCACCACCTGTGATAGTTGCGGTTGTTGGACCACCTGGAACTGGTAAATCTACTTTAATCAAATCATTAATAAGAAGATTAACTAAAACTACATTAAATGATATAAATGGTCCAATTACAGTTGTAAGTGGTAAAAGAAGAAGATTAACTTTTATTGAAGTAAATAATGATTTAAATTCAATGATTGATGTTGCCAAGATTGCAGATTTAGTTTTATTATTAATTGATGGAAATTATGGATTAGAAATGGAAACTATGGAATTTTTAAATATTGCACAACATCATGGTATGCCTAGAGTATTAGGAGTTGCAACTCATTTAGATTTATTTAAATCACAATCAACTTTAAGAACTTCAAAAAAGAGATTAAAACATAGATTTTGGACTGAAGTTTATCAAGGTGCAAAATTATTTTATTTATCAGGTGTTATGAATGGTCGTTATCCAGATCGAGAAATTTTAAATTTAAGTAGATTTATATCAGTTATGAAATTCCGACCTTTAAAATGGAGAAATGAACATCCTTATTTATTAGGTGATCGTATAACTGATTTGACTCATCCACAATTAATAACAGATAATCCAAAATGTGATAGAAAAGTTGCCATATATGGTTATTTACATGGTACTCCGTTACCTTATAAAGACGCAAATATTCATATTGCAGGAGTTGGAGATTATAAAGTTTCAAATGTTGAAAAATTACCAGATCCTTGTCCAACACCATATTTTGAACAAAAAATTGAAGAAATAGAAAGAGAAAGAATAAAAGCAGCAGCAGAACTGGGTGAACCGCTTGCTAAAACTACAAGAAGAAGGAAAAGATTAGAAGATAAACAAAAAATCATATATGCACCAATGTCAGATGTTGGTGGAGTTTTAGTTGATAAAGATGCAGTTTATATTGACATTGGTGGTAAAGAAAGTTTCAATAATAATGAACCATCTGATGAACCAAGAGGTGAAGGAGAAACAATGGTGACTGATTTACAAGATGTTACTAAAACAATGAGTGAAAGATTTGAAGATGGTCCTGGTTTACAATTATTTTCAAATTCAAATGTAATAAAAGAAATAGATGATGAGGAGGATGAAAGTGAAGAAAATGGTCTTCTATCAGATGATGAAGAAACGATAGTGGATACAGGAAGAACATCTTTGAGAAAAGCTAGAGTTTATGGGAAATCAATATCTGAAGATGATGAATTTGATGATATAGAATCTGGTGATGAGGAAGAAGAAGAAGATTTTGATGAAGATGGTGAACCAAGATTGGTGGAAGTAGATTTTGACAGCAATAAATATAATGATAAAGAATTGGAATATGTGGAAGATTCTGCTTTATCATCAGATGAGGAAGATAATAATTCATTAAAGGCAACAGCAGCAAGATTGAAAGGATCTACTAAAAGGAAATGGGATATAAATAAATTAATTTACATGACAAATGTTGATCCATCGGACGTTTTAAAAAGATGGAGAGGAGAAGTTGATGATGATGACGAAGAAGAAGAAGATATTGAAAATGATGATGAAGATTTTTTCAAAAAGAGAAGCATAAAAGAAACCAGTGAAGACTTAGATACTTTTAAACCCAAATTTCCATCGCTAGAGGTCTTAAAATCTAGATTCAATCCAGATGCAGGTAGCGATGATGAGTATGAAAATGGGTACAGCATTTTAAAAGAAAGACTATTAACTGCTCCTCAGCTAAATGATGATGATGAGGAGGAAGGGGATGGTAAATCGAAAGGTGGTGATGATGATGAAGAAGACGAAGTTTATGGTGATTTTGAAGATTTAGAGGATGAAAATGGGACTTCTGCTAATGGTTCATCAGTAGGTAATAAGGTAGAAGCTGAAGCTGAGGATGATTTTGCAGATTTTGATGCAGAAGAAGAAAAAGAAGGTGATAGTGATAATAATGAAGAAGATGAAGAAGAAAACGAAAATATGACTGTTGAAGAGAGGAGAAGGTTAAATGCTGCTAAAAAAGCAAAATTGAAAACTCAATTCGAGGAAGAAGAAGATCGAGAGTTTGGAGCAGATGATCCAGAAGGTGATACTGAAGCAGAAACATGGTATGAATTTCAAAAAAATAAAATGGCCAAACAATTGGAAATTAATAAAGCACATTATGAGGAAATGGATCAACAACAACGTTTAAAAATTGAAGGTTATAAAGCTGGTTCTTATGTTAAAATAGTTTTCAATAATTTACCTTGTGAATTTGTTGAAAATTTTACACCTGAATATCCTTTAGTCCTTGGAGGATTATTACCTACTGAAATGAGATTTGGTATTATGAATGCAAGAGTTAGAAGACATAGATGGCATAAAAAGATATTGAAATCACAAGATCCGTTAATTTTATCATTGGGATGGAGAAGGTTTCAAACTTTACCCATTTACACAACATCAGATTCAAGAACTAGAAATAGAATGTTGAAATATACACCTGAACATGCTTATTGTTTTGCTTCATTTTATGGACCATTAGTTGCACCTAACACAACATTTGTTGGGTTCAACATTGTTGACAACAAATCCACAACAGGAGCTTTTAGAGTTGCTGCAACTGGTATTATAGAAGATTTGAATTCATCAGTTGAAATAGTGAAAAAATTGAAATTAGTAGGTTATCCCTATAAAATTTATAGAAACACAGCATTTATTAAAGATATGTTTTCAAATGCATTAGAAGTTGCAAAATTCGAAGGTGCTCAAATCAGAACAGTTTCAGGAATTAGGGGTGAAATTAAAAGAGCATTATCTAAACCTGATGGTTATTTCAGAGCTACTTTTGAAGACAAAATTTTAATGTCAGATACAATTTTCTTAAAGACTTGGTATCCAATTAAAATCAAAAAATTTTATAATCCAGTTACATCATTGTTGTTAAATCATCATTCCGAATGGAAAGGTATGAGATTAACTGGTCAAGTGCGTGCAGCTAATGACATTGCAACACCATTACAATCAGATTCTCAATATAAAAAAATTGAAAGAGTTGAAAGAAGATTTAACCCACTTCGTGTACCAAAATCAATTAAAAGTGATCTTCCATTCAAATCACAAATTCATGAAATGAAACCACAAAAGAAACAAACTTATTTAAATAAAAGAGCTGTAGTATTAGGTGGTGAAGAAAAGAAAGCAAGAGAATTGATTCAAAAAATTAATACTATAAGAAAAGAAAAAGATGTTAAACGTAAAACTAAAAAAGATGAGAAATTTAAAGATAAGTTAAAGAAAATTGCAAAGACTGAAGAATTAAGGAAACAAAAGGAAAGGGAAAGAAAGAAAGAATATTTCGCTAGAGAAGGTAAAAAAAGAAAAAACAATGATGATGGTGGTCAGGCTCATAAAAAGAGGAGATAAAACTAAAAGATATAGAATTAGTGTTTAATTTAAACTCAAAATATATATTTATGAATTAGCTTTTGCGGAAGCTGTGTATATTTTAGTCCAAGCTCATTTAGCAATTCTTTCAATTCTACCATCTACGACTAGCGGTTCAGTTTTGCAGACCCTATTACAAGAAAAATAAATCGCGAGAGTAAAGAAGTTATATTAGAGATCTCTGTAACACAAGAGCTAATCATTATTAAAAATTATTGTTTATTAAGTAAAACTAAATGATGAAAAACAAAAAAAAAACAGCATAACCCGTTGAAAAAAAGGTATTCCCAGCACTTATTAAAACCTAATACAGCATTTTAATCAGAACCTGATTAATTTAAACGATAGTACAGTTTGAACCAATGAAACCACCATCAACTTTTTTAGCCCAGTTTTCTTTACCAGCATTTTGTTTTTTAGCATTAGCGTTTGAAGCGTTTGAAGCGTTGTTTGATTGTTGTTGAGCAGCCATTTTAGATAATAAAGATAGTAATTTAGTTTGTTGATGTAAAATGAAAATAAAATTGTTCAAAAAGTGATGAAATTGTTGGATATTTATAGTAAAATTAAATGGTGAAGATTGCAAATTTAATCAAAGGATATTTAATGGATTAACTTAAATGATCAATTTTTTTGCACGTTTCAAACCTGAAAATACTACATTGTTTGACGATTTGTTTCAAAATTTCATTTTAAAATCATAATTTTCTTGATCAACAACCAATTTTTCCCATAAATTATCAAAATCACCTTGTGAAATTTCACATTTGACTTCATGATTAATTAATTGCATTAAATAATATTTTTGATCAACTATTCAACTAATTTATAGCTGCAATAATTTCTTTTTCAATTTGTTTTGCAGCTATTTTTGCAACTTATTTTTTACCTATTTGGGATTTGACAATGAATGCAAGTTGACCTTTGGAAAAATATTATATTTGAATCAATCAAATTTCAAATTAAAAACAAATTTTGACAAGAATTTTGATAAGATAAATTGATTGTAAATCTTATTGATTTGTTTATTTTGATATTGAATCAAGTAGTTTTTTTGTTCAATTAGATATGAAACATTAAACTTTTGCGTGTGTGTTTCATATTATTTTAAGCATCACCGCTATTCACTTATCGTCATCACAGGATCGCTCTATTCACTACAATTCAACAAATGAAACAAACGTACTCCTTTAGATCTCCTTTGCGGTGAAATGATCATCCGTCAATTAAGAATTCCAAAATTGGTAAAAAATTTTGAAACAACTTATGATAGTTTTAATCGGTTGTTATAGGCTGTTGTTGTCGTGAAAATGCTTTTCCTGTCGTTTTCTAAAACAAAATGTTCGGATTTATGAAAGCTTTTTGAATGAAATAACTTTCAGCTATAGTAATACATTATCACTACAACTCTGGCTGCAGACTCCAATACCCATTCGTACTTAATTATTCAAATTTTAACACGAATGTGGGCGAACTAAGATCAATTTTGTTACGAGACAGTTCTCCATTATTCGACTGAATTATGATTGCAATTTTCGTGATAGGATGTGTATCAATTTCAGTTTTGAAGAATCAATCTATTATCATAGTCAAATCATTGTATGAATATGATCAAATAGAAGCGGCATTAAATTCCAATTGTTCATGGTTTTCATTTTGTTCATAATCTTTTGTACCTCATATTTTACCTTACATAATTTATAAATACTTTCACAACTTCAGCACTTATATCCTCATATGAATTATAGCAATTCTTTCCTTCACACCATTACATTCACCTTTTCATTTATTCAATCTTTACATCATGAATCTACTAAGTATATTGTATATTTTATCAATGAATTTATTACTGATCAAATTTATTGAATGCTTTATTTTAAATGGAATTAAATATGAGAGATTTGGGAAATGAAACAATACAATTACAAGAGAAGTGAAATTTGACAATTATGATTTAGAAAATAATTCTACATCAATAGAAGATTACTTTATTGTGAAATTGTGAATTTAGATGCTGTTGAACATTTATATAATCTTGGAGCAAATCATACCAAAAATGCAACTACGGAAGAACTTGTTCAATTCGCTCAACGATTTATTCGTACCAGGTACTGCAAAACACAATACGAAATAGACGAAGAAATAAGAAATAGAATACACGTTTAGAGATCAAGTTACGTAACACGAACATGTCAGAGGATTTTTATTTGCTTTTCGAACTAAAATTTCATGTAATTGATCATCTACTGATGCAAAATTATCTAAAGGTAAACTTGTTTTTTCATCAGCTGTAAATTCAGTTAATTCTTGTTTGATATCTTCTAATTCATGTTCATTTAAATTTTCTTTAGAAGAATTGCAACGTTAGCAACATCAACTAAAACAAGACCAAGATATCTCTTGTACAAGTTGATATTGCCAACGTTGTAATTCTTCTTTACATTATATATTACAAATTTAATATGTTGGAATCCAGACGGAAAAATTCTGGTGACTGATATTATCCAACATTGTCAGTATTGTCAAATACGTCCCAATTTATCATCAGTTACTCGACAACTTCAACCACCTGAACCCACACCTGCATTTTCACGATGGGGATTAGATTATATGGGACCCTTAATTAACTCAGATAATTGTTCATATATTTTAATTGCTATCGAACATGTCACAATGATTACAGTTTTAACAAATTATATTTGAAACAAAGACTTTGTTGGTATTGTTAAGTAGAGCAAGTTGAATGAAAAACTATTGTCAATGCAATGTTAAATTTCCTAGATGTTGCTCTTGTCAAAAGGATAGACTTAGAAAGATTCTTGAATACAGTACTATAAATGAAAATAATCATTAATTAATTAAATAATACATATATAATTTACAAACATTGAATCATAAAAGAAGCTTAAAAATAAACAGAATAAACTTTTTATTGGAGTGAAAACACTCGAACCTTTTTAAAGCCAATCTTGACCTCTTAATCTTCTAGCTAATTGCATATCTTTTTGCATAATAGTAACTCTTTTAGCATGAATAGCACATAAATTAGTATCTTCTAATAAATGAATTAAAAAACTTTCACTTGCTTCTTGTAATGCTAATATAGCATTTGATTGCCATCTTAACCCATATTCAGTACCAACAAATTCTAAAGAAATTTCTCTAACTAATCTTGCAAATGGTAATTTTCTAATTAATAATTCTGTTGATTTTTGAAATTTTCTAATTTCTCTAATTGCTAATGTTCCTGGTCTATATCTTTTTGTTACTCTTGCTGTTGTTCTTGTTGTGGTCGTGCCTAATCCTCCTAATGCTGGAGTTCTCGTTGTTGATTGTCTAGTTGAAGTTGATTGATTAGGTCTTACTCTTGTAGTTGTTGTTGTATCATTATCAGATCGTGGTCCTCTTGTTCTAGTGGTAGATCGATCTTGTGCTGATTGAGGTCCTCTTCTTGAAGTTGATGTTGTTGCTGTTGTTCGTCGATCTCTTTCCAGTTGTAATACATTTTCTACTCGTTGTTCAGATTCTCTTTCTCTTTCTCTCTCCCTTTCTATTATTCCTCGTTGTCTAGATTCTGTTGATCCTGGTAAAGTTTTTCTTCCTGTCGTACCTCGTAGAGTTGATTGTTGTGGTTGTCGCGGCGGTGCTGATGCATTTGCTCGAGATGATGTTGATTCAGTTGGTATTGTTCTACGTGGTGGTGATAAAGTTAATGGAGTTCTTGAAGGTTGTCTTTGTTGTGGAGTAGGTTGATCTGTTAATGGCCGTATATTGGTTGTAGCTGCTGTTGCAGAAGTTGAAGTAGTTGTTGCTCGAAACGCACCTGGACTTCCTTCTATTCTAGTTGTAGAAGTTGCTCTTCTTAATGCTTCAGATGATGCTAAATTTACATTTATAGGTCTTGGTGATGGTCTTGGAAATTGTCCAGTTGATCCTCCTCTAGTAGCTGAGCTAGGTATTAGTCCTTCTTCTCTTCCAATTCTACTTCCACCACTACCTTGAGGAGATGGTCTGTTCAGTGAATGTTGTAATGGAGATATTAATCTTTGTTGAGCAATTTGAGCTCTTAATTGTTGTTGTCTTCTTAACTCTTGTCTTTGTTTTCTTAACTCATCCAATTGTCTTTCTTGAGCAGATCGTACTTGTTCTATGGGACTTTGTTGTGGAGGTTGTGGTGGAGGTAGAGCTGTATCTACTGATGAACTACTACTTGGTGAATCAGCCATTTTGTTCTATTCTTTTGTGTATTTATTTATTGACGAGACTTAAATTTTGATCTTGAAAGATGAAATCATATAGGGTCTGTTTATTTGTGATAGGGTATTGTATTATAATTGATGATAATTCATTTGATTTTAAAGTAAGATGGTTAAATTACAATTGATAAGTGTATTAAAAAATTACAAAATTAAGTTTGAGATCAAAAAGAGTTAAATTAATTTTTTTTCTTTCGTTTCGTGTTTCAAAAGTGAAACAGCCAGCCATTTTTGTGATTTAAAATTATTGCAAAATATTATTCCAAAGTATTTTCATACACCATCAGTTAATATGGACTCTATTTAAAGGAGGGTATCAATGAATAAAGCTATACACTGTATATGATTTTACTAGTAAAGAGATGTTGATAGATTTTTCGATTTACAGGCTCTGTGACATTAACAATCTAAAAGTGAACAGCAGGTGCAAATTGGCTCAAATTATCCACTACATACAAATCTGGTCTAAGATTTACGGATCATTGCCTTGATGCTGCGTACCTCAATCGATTTACTCACGTCTTTTTTTCAATTGGCCATATCCTTTTCAGTCTTGAAAGTTTCAGTTTCAACTTAGTGAATCATAAAGTCTATTGCAACTGAAATATTGACATTGCTAATGAAATTGCAAAAATCTTCAAGAGATTGGTTTAAAATTGCACTCTCAGCAAATGAAGAACGAAGATTTACGTTCTTACCCAATTTTATCAGAATGAAAAATTTATTCTTTAAACTCATAGCTGAAGCCATTGGTAAATCATGAGACAAATGTATCATCTCCGAGACACACAAATCAAACAAGTTTTGCTTCTGAGGACTAAGTACGTCTGTAATTTTCTACTGTAACGACACATTTTCTCACCACTTTTCATGAATATTGAATCGTGAACTCAAAAGTTTAAGTGGTTATTTTAATTTCATTTGTTTAACTAATATTACATCATAATTAAGTTAAATCGTATCTTAATAGTCCCAACAATAAAATAATGAAATTTCCTAATTAGTTCAAATTATAACCTAAAATAGGTTAATAAATAAACATATCTATTATGCAGTATTTTGGGCCAGTTTTAGATTTTGTAGACAAACCGAGTTAAATTCGGTATCAATTGATCTCGTGACATATCTTTCTAGACGACAAAACCACTATACTAAACTACACTTTTGTACTATTTAATCACGTGGTGGTATATTCTTTATTAATGTATATGTTTCTGAAAAAATATTGAACGAAATTGACAAATATAATAAATCTGAAGGGACAAAGATCTTGATTGAATGAATCTCTCTCAAAATCTAGATTCGTCTTTCATGTAATTGATGAGTCTTGCAAATAGGATATTCAACAGTAGATTGACAAAGTCCTGAAGTTGTCGACGGTTTGATAAAAAATTGATTAAATTTACGATAGAAAAAATATCACAAATAATGTAGAGCATGCGGCTTCAATAATGAAGCAGTAAATATTTGGTCACTATTACTGATTAAATCAACTGATTAAGAGAAATAGACAGTATTTAACCAAAACGACTGATGGTCAACTAAACTAATTGACTTAAGCAACTTTTCCAATTACATCTAACTGACATGATAAGGGTCATTATTATCATGAGGGATAGAAACAAATATCTCAATCTTTCTTATTCTTTTCTATTACTTCAATTTTGTATCACTTTCTTGTATTGATAATAAAATTTAAAATATTATTGCTTCTATTCTATAAAGAATAATTACTTAAATTTTAAGTTTGCTACATAAGGTCACTCAAGTACTATAATTGGATTAAGAAAAGTAAAGTGTTTTATCCCTTTACCGTATTCAAACAGAGTCCCGCCCTATTTCCTGAACAATTAATACAACAATCTTCCTTGGTAATTAGTATACAATACCTCATCAATATTCAAAGTTGTGGTACTTAACAATTACATAATTTAAACTTTTTTATATTAAATTAAATTTCTAAAATTTCATTTTATTCTTTCAGAAACTAAAAAAATTAAAGTATTCACAACCATCCATTTTTTTTCTTTTTTAATCAACTTTTAATTTACAAACAGACAACATCTTTCTTTTTTTAATTGATTGTATTCAAGTTTCGTTCTGTATTCATCGTTATCATTAAAAGTTTATTAATCAATTGACTATTTTACAGTTGTATCATTCATTTAATATCATTATTTTCAACAACTACAATTCAATTCACAATTCAGATAAGTTAACAATTGAGATAACAGTCAACAAGTAAAGTATTTAAATAATTCAAATCAATTCATTAAAATTTCAACCAATTTATTCCTATAATGTCTCATTCATCAGTTTATCAAACTTCTGGTAAACCATTATCAAAAGAAGCATTATATCATCAAAGATTAAAATCTGGATATTTCCAATCTCCTAGTGGAACAATAGTTGGTGTAAATAGTAATGCTTCAGATACTGCTGCATTATTAGCTGCATCATCAGATTTATCAGTTAAACCATCTTATGAACGTTCAATTGCTCCTGAAGCTCAAACTGCTGCTTTAGCTGCCAAAAAACAAGAATTAAAAGATGTTGAAAGAATAGAACAACAACAAAGAGCCCAATCATTATCAAGTAATTATACTGCAAATGGTACTCCTTATACCACTGTTAGAATTGGACTTCCTTCTGCTTTAGATCAAGGTTCAATTTACAAAGCAGCACAAGAAAAATCATCAAATACAATGACTTCAAGAATTGACCCTATAAGAGATATTAAAAGATCAGGTATTCAATCAAAACAAGGTTCTTCACCTTTAAATATTGATAAAATTAATAAATTAGCAACTAAAAATTCTTCAAAATCTTTAAATTCAAGATTTAATCCAGATTTGGATTATAGATCTGGTTTAAAAAAACAAAAACCAACAGAATTTTTAGATCAAGAAGAAGAAGATTTAGCAGCTTCAGGTGCTGCTGCTTCTTTAAAACATACTCCTTCAATTCCAGATTATGCAACTCAAACAAGAACAAGTACTTTTAAAGCTCATGAAGTTGTTAATTCCCAATTATTAGCTGCTGCTGCTGCAAAAGCAAATGATCGTTTAAAAACTTTAAATAGTAATACTCCTCAATCATTAAAACAACAAGCTCAATTATATGCTAATGCATTAGCTCTTGCTCAAAAGAATAGTGATGAAAGAGCTAAAAATAGAACTGCTGGAGTTATTAATTTAGGAGGTGGTTTAACTATTACTCAAGCTGAATTAAATAAATTAGCTTCAACTTATGTTCAACCAGTTATTGATGATATTGAACATAAAGCAGACACCAAGAGACAATTTGATCAATCAAGAAAACAAAGAAAATTAGAATTAAAAGCAGCTCATGAAAAAGCTAAACAAGAAGAATATGCAGCAAAATTAAAAGAAAAACAAGATATTGAAAAAGCTAAAGAAGAAAGAATTAAAGAAAATGAAGAATTAAAAAAATCTGAAGATGCAAAATTAGTTGCTCATGAAAAAGTTGAAAATTCAAAAGTTGATGCTCAACAAAAGGAATTTGAAGAATTAGAGAAAAAACATGCAAGTGAAAAAGAAGTTTTATTGAAAGAGAAAAAAGATAATCAAGATAAAATTGATGAAGAAGAAACTGGTTTAAAAAATGAAAGAAAAGAAGAATTAAAAAAATTACAAGAAGAAAAAGATGAAATTTTAAAACCAGTATTAGCTGAATTAACTGAAGAAAATTCTAAATTAAAAGAAGTTACTGATGCAAGAGATGAATTAGCAAAAGAAGTAAAATCTGCAGAAGATCAAAAAGCAGAATATGATTCAAAAGTTGAAAAATTACAAAAAGAATTAGAAGAAACTAAATCAAGTATTGATAAATATGAAACTGATTTAGAAACTGCTATCAACAAACATGAAACTACTGATAAAGAATTAAGTGATTTGAAAATTAGACATGATGAAATTAAAACTAAATCAGATGAAACTCATAAAGAATTAGATTCAGAAATCGCAAAATTAGAAAAAGAGAAAAAGGATAAAACTGAAGAAAAAGCGATAAAGAAGAAAGAAATTATAACTGGATTGGATCAAAAAGTTAAAGATGAACATAAAATAAATGATGAATTACCTCCACATTTAAAACGTGAGATCAATGATAGTAAATTAAAAGATACTAGTTCATTATTTTCAGTTGAAGAACCAAAACCAAAAACAACAACAACAACTTCAACCACTGCTACTAAAGAAAAACCTACTACTACATCAGCTCCTAAAGCAAATGGTGATTCAAATATTAAATCAGTACCGTTAATTTCATCAGCTGAAAAAGAAGCTAAACCAAAAACAAGTGATACTAAAAAAGAAACAGTTCCAAAAACCGGGACCACCACTAAAGATAGTAAAATAGCAACTCCAACTCCTCAAAAGAAAGAAGTTACTAAACCATCTACCGCCGCTACTAAAGCTGACGCAAGTGGTACTAAAAGACCAGTAACTCCAACTGCTCAAACTTCACCTTCAAAAAAGGATAAAAAATCATTTTCAAAAAGATTTTCTGATTTTTTTAAAGATCAATCAAAAAATCCAACACCAAAATCTCCAAGACAAACTACTGGAGCTAAAACTACTGGAGCTGCAGCTACTAAAACTACTGCAAAACCAACAACTACCACTACAACTACTCCAAAAAAATTAGATGAATCAAAAAAAACAACAACAACAACTCCAACCACTAAACCGAAAGTAGCAGAAAAAGAAGAAGTTAAAAAACCAACAACAACAACTGAAGCAAAACCTAAAACAACCACCACCGAATCAAAACCAAAAACCACTACAGCAGCAACTAAAGCTCCTGCTACTACAAGTTCAAAACAACCAGCTGCTAAAGATGCAGAAAAAGAAGCAAAAAATAATTCATCAACAACAAATCATTCAGAAGATGGAGAATATGGAGATTTTGATGATGAATTATCATTAAATAAAAAAAATCAAGGAGGAGTATTTAAAGAAGAAATTTTATAATAAAAATTTTTAATTGATTGATTGATTGTTTGTAAAAGTATTTTGAGGAAAAGATAAAAGATAAAAAAAAAAGAAAGAGGTCGTTAATTTTCAAGACTTCACTTATTCGTGATTGATTTTTGCTTTGTTTGTTTGATTTGATTGTTTTGTTAATTTGTTAAATTTTAATTTTATAATTTTAATATTTCAAAGTTTATATTTGTTTGTCTTTTTTATTAGTTGAATTATCATTAGTTTTAATTATCATTAGTTTGAGAAAGTTTATTGTTGTAAGATTTCAAAAATCTCTGTATCTAGATTTAAGATCTCTCACGTTTCAGAGTTTTGACATCACCATATAGATTCGTAAATTTAGATGCAAAAAATATTTGAAAAAATATGCTGATACGAAATTAAACAAAGAATCAGCTTCGATTTCAATTCAATGTCAGACATACTTCACAAGTTAAATTTCAAAATAGCAGATGCTTCATCAGAATATAAAACTCGTAGAGCAAATCAAATGATAAGATTTTTCACTTTCAGTGCATTATCAATATTTACATTAAGAATAATAAATAAACAAACAATAATAAGACAATATATTCCAACATTATTTCAACAAAATCATTCACCACCAACATCATATAATTTTACAACTGATGCAGCTGTTGCTGTTGGTGCGGGCACATTAGCTTGTGGATCCATATCTGGTATGTTTATATTTGGGTTAGCTTGGATATTAGATGTTTCAAATTTTAAAGAATTTGGATATAGGATGAAACTGATTATGGGTGGGTATGAAAATTTACAAAAATTAAATGAAATGGAAATGGATGAAGAACTGAAATTAATTCAAGATGGTTTAAATGATTTATTAGATGGAAAATTTGATAATAATAATGAAGAAGATATAAAGCTGGAAATTTTAAATAAAATTAAAGAAAAGAAAATTAATTAATTAAGGGATTTCAAAACTTGATTGATTGAATGTAAGATCCTTGAAAAGTTTTACATTGGTTGATCAATTTCCAAATTTATGGTTTCATAAGGTAAAAGAGTCAGAAGAGAATCATTCATAATGAAAACTGTATAAATTTTATAATGACAACTTGTAAATATACATTTAACGACAATTTAGGGGATACAGAGAGTTATTCTAGTTGCTCGAGACTTGGAGTGTATATTTTAATAATGGTGGCTTCCCAGGCATTTCAAAGTCAATCAAATACTTGAGCAACCACCATCGTTATTATACCCAATCCAAGTTCCAAGTGCAATTTTTTAAAGCCATTGTTTGGTCATAAATTGTTTATGTTTTAGATCCAACAATTGGAAGGCTGGTTCAAACCATATGAAGCTTTGTTTAAGTTGAAATTTTGATTTTCTTCCATATGTACACCCAGTGATACTCTAATATAAATAAATCATCAGCATCCAATAAGGTTTATAACATTAGAAGAAAAATTAGCTGCACATAAATTATGACGACTTTATAGATGCCGTAGTTGTCCTTGACACATTCATTTGACGTCAAGTAATTATATTGTATATATCAATAGTTCTATCAATGAATCTATAATTCCAGTCGATGCTTTTAGTGTTGATCCAAGGATTTTAAGAATAGAGTTGAAACTTGAATAGTATAGCAAGGATGGAACATACTCTATCAAATCAAGTTTTCCTTAATTAAATACATACAAATCTTATCTCTGACTTTTAAAAATAAAGCAAATCATCGGATCTCCTTAAATCTACCTTTGTTAATAATATTGAATATATAGTAATCATCTTACTTGAAGACTCACCTTGAAATGATATCATTATATGAATTTCGGTTAAAGCTGTCAATACATTGGAAATGATGTTCAACTTATTCTTTATCTTGTGAAATTTGATGAACAAAGAGTGGCAAAAGTTCTTTTTTTACGCACATACTTTAGTAGTAATATTATCCCCACATAATAAAATTATTATTATCTAATCAGTCGATTAAACTTACCATTCAATAATTATTAATTAATTTTCAAACAACTAATAAAGTAAGACATTTATTTTTACAACCAACAAATACATTGATTCAGGACTAAAATTATAGCTATATAAGACAAAGGATAGGAGTATTATTATAGCAGCAACTACTAAAACATTATAAATTTCACTTCATTTTCCTTTAATTTTCAAAAAAATCAGATTTTAACAACAAACATTTACAAAACAAATGGGAAGATATACCAAAAATTCATCAAAATCTTCAAATAATTCAAATAATAAATCATCATTAATTCAACAAGTTGTTTTACCAACTTATAAATTAGATTCAAATCTTGTTTTATTACCTGGTATAATATATAATGTTACTTTTTCAAGATTTAAAGCTGCTGCTTTATTATATCGTTTTAAAGATTTAGTATCTCAAGTTTCTGTTATAAATAATTTATTAAATGAATATAATTTTGATGAAACTGTTGCTTCTAAAGATGGGAATACAAATGATTTAAACCCAAGTGTAATTTCAAATGATGCTGTAAATGGTATTACTCAATTTTTTAATCTTGATAATTCAATAAATAAAAAAGCTTTTCAAGATGTTAAAATTGTTGATGATGATGGAACTAGTGAAAAAGATTTAAATGGTGAATTAGGTCCAATAAATGAATTTGATTGGTTAACTTTAGCTATATCACCAAATTTAGATAGAATAAAAGATACAAATGGTCCATTAAAAATTGAAGATTATTCAAATGTTGTAACAGTTGTAAAAATTGTTGGTATAGTTGATGATACAACAAATATTAAATTAACTTTACAAGCTATTACAAGAGGTATAAAAATAAAAGAATCAATAATTAAATCAAAAAATAATGAAAGTGCAATTTTAATTGATTGGAATAATGATATACCAGATTTAAAATTAAAATTTAAAATATTAAAATCAAATTATTATCAACTTTATAAATCTATTGATAAATTTTTAATTGATTATAGACAAGCTTTAAATAATAATTCAAGTTCTATAAAAAGTGGGAATTTAACTTTAGCTAAGGATAATAAAGATAAAGATAATAATAAAAATAATAATAATTCAATACTAGACACAAAGCAAGATTTATTGACTTTAAACCCTTTAGCAAATGCATTATATTTACAATTAGCAGGATCAAAAGATTTTAATAAAGCTTTTCATAATTTACAAAAATTATATTCACAATTTCATTCAAGTTCAACCACTACTACATCGGCTGAAGATTTAAAAATAAACAACAAGACTTATTTAAGATTAGTCGATTTAACAACTGCTATTTTACCATTTCCAAATTATGAAAAATTAAAACTTTTAAATAAATATAAAGTTGAAGATAGAATTGAATATATTAATGAAATGATGTCATTATTAAATAAAATATTTGAAAATTTACTGGAAAATAATTCATTTGCTAATAATTGGTTTCATAATGAAGCTTCAAATATGCAAAGAGCTAATATTGTTGCAAATCAATTAAAATCTATTAGAATTTTGTTAGAAGGTATGACAAGACAAAAAGCTAACCAACTAAGACAACAACAGCAACAACAACAACGATCGAATCAAAATAATAATCAACAAAGACAATCAAAAACTTCAAACACTGGTAAACCTGGAGATCAAGATTTTGAAGATATGGAAGATGAAAATGATGAATTAAAAGCAATTACAAATTTTATAAAAAATAAATTACCTGGAATTACTACATTATCTCCAGATTCCAAAAGATTAATTATAAAAGATTATAAAAGAATAAAATCATCAGCAAATTCACCAGGTGGTGGTGGGAATTCAGATTTTCATGTTTTAAGAAATTATTTAGAAATTGTTATGGATATACCTTGGGATAGATATGTTACAAAATTTAAAACTAATAAAGATATTGATTTAAAATCTGCTAAAACTCAATTAGATAAAGATCATTATGGTTTAGAACATGTTAAAAAAAGATTAATTCAATATTTAGTTGTATTAAAATTATTAGGTATTAATGCATCAACAACAAAGAATGAATCTTCATTATCAACAACTCCTGAAAAAACCACAGATTCAAAGAATAATTATTCAACTGATGGAAATATAATTATTGCAAATGGTGATGAAGCTTATCAAATTAAACAAAAAGCTTCAAATCAAAATAAACAATCAATAAATGATTCAACATTAGATAATGATGGTGTATTAGAATCAATTAAAATTTCCAAAAACAATAAATCTCCCATTATTGCTTTGGCAGGTCCTCCAGGTATTGGTAAAACTTCTATTGCAAAATCTATAGCATCAGCATTAGGTAGAAATTTTCAAAGATTATCATTAGGTGGTATTAAAGATGAAAGTGAAATAAGAGGTCATAGAAGAACTTATGTAGGAGCAATGCCTGGATTAATAATACAAGCTCTTAGAAAAGCAAGATGTATGAATCCTGTTATATTGCTTGATGAAATAGATAAAGTTGTTGGTGGTAATTCTGGTGGTTCAAAATATAATGGAGATCCATCAGCTGCTTTACTTGAAGTTCTTGATCCTGAACAAAATTCAACTTTTATTGATCATTATATTGGTTTTCCAGTTGATTTATCACAAGTTATATTTATATGTACAGCTAATGAACCATATAATATGACAAGACCTTTATTAGATAGATTAGAAATGATTGAAATGGGAGCTTATGATTATAATGAAAAATTAATAATTGGAAAAAGATATTTATTACCAAGACAAATTAAACGTAATGGATTTCCAGTAAATGAAAACGAGCCACAAAATTTAGAAAATTTTATAAAAATTAATAATTTTACATTAAAAAAAATTATAATTGATTATACAAGAGAAGCAGGTGTTAGAAATTTTGAAAGAAAATTAGGTACAATATGTAGATTTAAAGCAGTTGAATATTGTGAAAGTTTAAGTGATACAACAAAGTCATATAATCCAATAATTGATGAAAATGATTTATCTATTTATTTAGGAGTTCCATTTGCTACGGGAGATTTAACATCAAATGATCAAACAACTATAGGAGATTCTAAAATTGGTGTTGTTAATGGTTTATCATACAATTCAGAAGGTTCTGGATCTGTATTAGTATTCGAAAGTATTGGATTTGATAGAAGAACTGGTAATTCAAATTCAGATTCAGATAGTGTTGGTTCTGGTGCTACATTAAGTATGACTGGTAGATTAGGTGAAACATTAATGGAAAGTGGTAAAATAGGATTAATTTTTATAAAACTGATGATTTATAAAAATTTATTAAAATCACCCCAAGGTAATAAAAATTTCTTACTTAATAAATTTAATAATTTAGATATTAATATGCATGTACCAATGGGAGGTATACCAAAAGATGGACCATCAGCAGGAATAACAATGACTTTATCATTTCTATCTGTACTTTTAGAAAAACCAATACCATCAAATATTGCAATGACTGGAGAAATTACTTTAAGAGGTTTAGTTTTACCAATTGGAGGAATCAAGGAAAAATTATTAGGAGCTCATTTAAATAAAGGAATAAATAAAATGATTGTACCAAGAGAAAATAGAAAAGATTTAATTGAAGATTATATCAAGCTGGTTCAAGAAGATGGCACAACCATTAACAACAATTTAATTAATGAAATCCTAAAAGATAATGAATTTAAAAATTTTAAATTAAATATTATTGAAAATTTTTATTTAAAAAAATATGGTATTGAATTGAATTATGCTTTTGAATTTTATGATGTTATTAAAATTGTTTTTGAAGATGAATTTGATGAAATTTTACAAGATAATTCAAATCAAAGATTAATTGAATATAGAATTTAATTTTTAGTATATAAATCGTTTATAGTGTTTTTTAAAAATAAACTTGTTAATATAATTTGTTCTTTAATCTATAGTTGTTTGTTTTGACAATAAATTTCAAAGCGATCATTTTAACCAAAACATGCGATGAAATATGGAAAAAGGGAAGGAAAGTCTATTCGGTCGAATGTAGTAAGAGTTGAGTCGAAGGCAGTAGGGTTCGAGTCAACTGAAATTGACTCTTTCTGTCCAATAGATTTTGGTCCTGTCACGTTGTGAGAGGTATTCACAACTGATATTTGAATAATACAATAGACTATTTTATAACCTATAACTTTTGAATTTGTAATTAAACCAATAATATTCAATTATATTTCCTCCCTTATCTACATTGGTAGTTTACGTACCCCTTAAAATATATTTAAACCCGGATCTAACTACCCCACATTTTTTGTTTGTTGGTCTAACTCAACATCCCTATTTTTGAAACTTTTCATCAAATGGCTGGCTATGAAAATTAATTTTCATTACATATTACACCACCACAAGGTGATGGATTATAAGTAACATGGCTTTGGTCCCCTGATTTTGTTTCACTTTTAAGAACAATAGTCTAGCTATAAAATAATAATTTGATAAAGAGGTTTGATTTTGTGTTTTTAATTCATCGTCTAATTGGAATAGCCTATATAATTATTTGATTGATATATCATTATGTACAATAGTTTAATTTTTATGCCACATTCAAAAAGATAAGAAGGTGATCTTTTGTTGTAATTGACGATAAAATTTGGACTCATCAAAACTATCTTAATACTTCTTTTTTAATCCATTCTATAAACAGTTAAAGTTTAATTTCAATTGGGTCATTTGATTGTAACTTAATGAATTTAATTACACAAATTCTTCGTATCTTAAAAATTAGGGTTTTTTTATCATTGAACATGAGTTTTATTTAAGACTTAATCTAATTGAAGAAATAATTATATTAAACCATAAAATTAAACTATTAGTTAACTCAAATGTTTGGACCATTTTATTCGGAGCCTCTCCCTTAATTTAGTTACTTTAATTACTGAATAGTCAAGTGTTATCAAAAAACTAAGTTTCATATCGTAATATATTAAGATCCTTACTCGCGCTATTTGATAAAAAAAGCTTAAAATAAGATTAATACGGGTTGTTAAGAAAGGATTGGGAGTAACTTTTAAGGTTTGGTAGTGGTAATAAGAATTTGTGTACTTTCGTGAATTGATATATAAGTATGTTTTGTGTATATCATTACACTGAATTGATACTTATAACTAAACCATAAATTATTATTAATTAATTATGTGCGATAAGTAAAATCTTATTAGTGTATTGAAAAATTAATTTAAATTATTAATAAACGATCTTACAAAATTTATATATATCAATTTAACAATTACTTTCAAACTATTCATTCGTTTTATTAAATGTTCATTTCATCACCTCAAGTATGACTACCTCAGCAACAACAACTACAACTAAGAAGAAGAAAAAACTTGTATATAAACAAGATTCAGATGGTGTTTTTAGATTAAAAAAGGATACTGATAATTTAGATAATACTAATAATAATGATAATTCATCAATAACAACAAATGAAATAATTGATAAAAAAAGAAAAGTAGATAATTATTTAAATGAATTAATGGATTGTTCATATACTATAATGGATGATTTAAGTAATAATAATCAACAACAACAAGATGATAAGGATAGACCAAATTATGGTGGCACACGATCAAAATCATTGTCTTATTTAAATAATAAGAATAAAAATTTGGTAGTAGGAGAAAAAGATAAACAAAAAAAATTAATTAATAGAACTTCATCAATTAATACCAATAATAAAACATCAACATCATTAAGAGATACTGAGTTAGCAAGGACTTCATCAGATACTACAAATAATAAAACTAAGTCATCATCACCACCATCAAAATCACCTCCAAAAGTTAAATCTAAATCTAAACAATCCAAAACCCAAAAAAATTCATTTTTCAAAAATTTAATCAAATTTCCAAATTTTTCTAATTTATTACCAAAATTCCCCAATTTACAACCAACAATGAGTCAAATTAAACAAACTAGTTCAAATTTACTTAAATTTCATATTCCAAGTTTTTTATTAGGTATAATTTTAACTATAATATCAGTTATATTTAGAAAACAATTGATCTTGTTGACTATTGGATTAATTGTTATTGGAATAGTATTGTTAATTTTAAGTACTGGTGGAATAATTTTGGCATTAAAAATTGGATTTTTAAAACAACAAGATATTGCAATTGTTGATCAAATTATTACATTTATGCAATTAAAATTTAATTTATTTAAACCTAAAGAAATTGAAGAAAGTGAAGAAGAAGAAGAAGAAGAACCAATTGATCAAACTAGTGAAGTTGAAAGTAATATCATACAAAATTATATGAGAGAAGATAATAATTCATTTCATACCAAAAGACCAACACCACCATCCCAACCAAAAATTAAAGAACGTAGACAATCAAATATAAGAGTTACTCCATTTAGATATGAAAGAGAAAATACAACAAATAGTGTACCAAATATTAATAATTATACAAAATCATTTGAATATCAACAACAAGAACCTAATCAATTAAAAAGATTAAATACTGAACCAATTCAACTTAAAAAAAGAAATTCACCACCTTCATCCAAATTTAAATCTAAAATTAATTCATCTTCAAATATTCCAATTCAAAAAAAATTACCAATAACTCCTCAATCATTAAATAATGATGAATTACCTTTTATAAATGAAGTCAAATTAGTAGATTCTTTAGAACAACAAGAAAACAATGATCAAGATTCTTACTCACATCATCCCAATCAACTTCGAAATGGTAAACCTCGTCCATCACGTGAATACGAATATTTTCAAGATTATAATAATAATGGTCAAAATCAAGATGAATTTTATATAAATGATGAATTCGAAAATGATAGCATATATACTTCCAACAACAACAAAAATAATATCAATAATGGTAATTTTAATTCTAATGGTCATTCTACTGGTAATCATACTGATTTCATGAGACAACAATCAATTTTAGGTACAAGAGCAAATTATAAAAAATTTTTAGCTAATGTTGATCATTAGTTAAAAACATACAAACCAATTTCAATTGGTCTACATATTCACTCTTCTTTACACACAATTTGTATAGTTCTCACGTAGATTTCATTTTTAAATACAAAAGTTCTAGATAATTTCTAATTTTAGATTGAATCTCTACCAACAAGGGTTTCAGATCTGTAATCTTGCCTAATTTGGACAGTTTAGATTTTGTGTTCCACGTAGATTTTCAAAATTTTGACCTTTTTAAAATTTTAAATTGTTCAATTTGTTTAATGGAAGTTTGAAGGATAAAAAGAATGGTAAAAATGGAGTGGAGTTTGTATGAAGAAATTTTCAAAAAGTTGACTAATTTTATGGTTATTTCTGTCTGAAGATTAATATGTAGTTACGGAGGTCTCTCAGATCTATAATCTTGCCTAATTGGGACGTTTAGATTTTGTGTTCCACGTAGATTTTCAAATTCTCGATCATTTTAAAATTGTCAATTGGTTAAATTGTTGAATGAAAGTAGCAACGGTGAAAAAAATGGTGAAAATGGAATGAAAATTGTATGAAGAATTTTTCAAAATATTGAATAATTTCAGCAGTTATATCTATCTGAAGATTAATATGTAGTTACGGAGGTCCCTTAGATCTATAATCTAGCCTAATTGGGACAGTTTAGATTTTGTGTTCCACGTAGATTTTCAAAATTTTGACCGTCTTAAAATTCTCAATTGTTCAATTGGTCTAATGAAAGTAAGAATGGTGGAAAGAATAGTGAAAATGGAATGAAAATTGTATGAAGAAGTTCTCCAAAAGTTGAATCAATTCAGCAGTTTTTTCTGTCCGTAGTTTAATATGTAGTTACGGAGGTCTTAGACAATTTTGATATGGATCTATATGATCTAGCATAACAAAAATAACATTTTAGCATATCAAAATAAACAATTTAGCATATCAAAAGATGTAAAGACCTCCGAACCTACATACTAAACTAAAATGTTATATAAATCTATCAATATCACGAAATTAAAAACTTTTTGCATGCAAATTATACTTATTTTTCAAACCTTTTACCCAAGAAATCAACTGGCATTTACAGTCAATTAAAATGAAAAATTTTCTTGAGATAAAAAAAGCCAAATCTCAGTAGATCGTACCGTATCTCAAGCACCCGAATCTAAAATCTAAGGGACAACAAGTGAATCTAGTAGAAGATACGACATAAGTAGATTCTTATCTAATAAACAATTAGTTTTGAAAAAAAAAATAAATACAAAACAGACCTATTCGATATTGGAGCCCAATGTTGAAAAGGTTAGCTTATTTGTTTCAGTTCAATTAATGGGACTTGATTCTAACTATTATTTAGTGGTGGAGTAAGAGATACAACAACAACAAAGTAAATGAATTCCCTCTTACCAGACGTATACGTAAACATTACAACTCATAGTTTTGGATGAAACACACTTATATTTAAGTACTCAGAATAAGTCATCAGAAATAATTTTGCAATTTCGAATAAAAGTAATTTAATTTGTATTGATTATATTAAAGTATAAACTTGTAAAGATGTATAAATTGCGAATATCCAATATTCAAGCAAAACTTAGCATCAGTGGTCTAGTTGCATTTAAACGATAGTACAATTTGATCCAATAAAACCACCATCAACTTTTTTAGCCCAGTTTTCTTTACCAGCATTTTGTTTTTTAGCATTAGCATTAGCGTTTGAGTTTGAAGCGTTGTTTGATTGTTGTTGAGCAGCCATTTTAATTAATTAGTGAATGTATTTGTAATTAGTAATGAGTGTATTTGTTATTGATTGATATAACTAAAAAAATTGAAAGACTTGGAATATGCCAACTATTTATAAAGTTTTCAATCTCAATCAAAACCATATTAACATATGTTGACCCCTTTGGAATAGTAATTAACAACTATATTAAACTCCAAGCAATTCGCAAGTAAGTTTCATAAGTACCTGAAAAGTATCAAAAAAATACATAACAATTACTCTTTTTGGCACTGTCAATGGGCCAACGATCCCCACATTAAAAATTTCAAGATTGATGATCATGCCTAGATCTTGTTGATATATCAATCAATTTTTAATTAATTAGATGCATAAATAATATTTTGAAATTTGATTTGCAGCAAAAATTATTTTTTTTTGCAACATATTCTGAAACATAAAAATTACCGTTTTGGGACTTGACAATGAGAAATTTCAATTAATTTATTAAGAATATTATAATTGCAAAGTAGGTTAAATTGAGAGATAAATTGACATGTAGATATGGTAAAACTTGAAATTAATTTAATTAAAGCTGATAATACACTAATTTTGATTCAATAATCGTCGTGTAATATTCATATTATATTTAAGGATTTATGATCGTCAATCTTCATTACATGGTGATTTTGTTCACAAGCTTATGAAACAATCGATTAGCAAGTAATGAATTTTGCAATTTCAAACTAAGCTTTGAATTCACATGTTAATATTAGTTCATAGTGCCATTGCCAACTCCTAATTTGGTAATTTTTAATGTTTCATTTGGCGGCCCCTTTGTTTCATAATATCTTGAAATTTGAACATCAATAAGATACCAAATATTATATTGCAAAAGCTCAAATCTAGTACTTCACTTTAATTTCCTCAAAGTAAAAAAAACAATATAAATACAGCTTAATCTTCAAGAATTTGATTGCAATTTTTTGTTTTCATCAACAAACTAAATTACAATCTTTAATATCTAAAATGGCTGCTCAACAACAATCAAACAACGCTTCAAACGCTAACACTAACGCTAACGCTAAAAAACAAAATGCTGGTAAAGAAAATTGGGCTAAAAAAGTTGACGGCGGTTTCATCGGTTCAAACTGTACTATCGTTTAAATAAAATAGCTGCTTATATGATTACCAACAAAATTGTTTAGGTTTATCTACAGTTTATATTGAAACATTGAATAAATATGTTTATTACTAATATACCATATCTTTTCGCCTCTCCTAACGATCATCACTCAAAATAAACTCACAAAAATATTTAATAGCACTAACAATTTCATCTCCTACCGGTTCTATATATTTGGATGGTAATAAGAATCCATGAGAACCAGTATCTCTTAATTTTAATTGATAAGCCCAATAAGCTTTATTATGATACATATAATCTAAACTTGATCCACTTCCTAAATCAGGTAATAAATCACTATCTTTATCAATACAAGCAGGTAAAACTTGATAATTACTACCTGATTTTAAACGTATAGATTTAGCTATACCCCATGCCAATTCAATCAAATTTTCTTCATCTCTTGGTTGTTGATTGCATGAGTACGCATAAGGATATAAAATTTCTTGTGAATAAGAATGTAAATCTAAGTATCCATAAATTTTATGTTCTTGATTGGTTTCATTAAGGTAATTATCCCAAATTTTTGATTCAAAAGCTTCAAATGGGATATCTCCACTATATTCTTCACCACATGCCCAATCAGTAGATTTTGTCCAATGATAATCATAAGAATGATCAATGTCAATACCAAAACATTTAGGAATTGGGGTTTCTTGTCTATTTTTACGCCATAATCTATCAGTCGTCCATGTATATTCGTAACCATCTGGATTGAAAACTGGTATAAATAAGAAGTTCAATTGTGTTAAAATTTTGGAACCTGGCCATGTATTATATAATCGAATCAATTGATAGATCAAATATAAAGTAGTTGATACCGATATCCATTCCCTTGCATGGACTCCACCAGTTATTACTATAGTCTTTTTAGATTTATGGTCTATGTCGTTTGGTACTTGAAAATGAACCACTTTGAGTTTTTTGTGTTCGTATGTGTCACCTATTTCTTCAATATTTATGACTTGAGGATATGTAATTTGTAATAAATTCAACCATGATTCGATTGTATTTAAATTTCTATACTCTTCGAAAAATAACTCTGATTGAGCATGAAAATCCAAATCGTTCGAAATTGTAAAATCATTTGATTTGGGAAATGTTTCATAAGCAGTTTGAGATAAGTCTTCAATAATGATTTCATATTTTAAATTTGGAAATTTTGTCAATAAATTGTTATAAAAATCTGATTTTTTAATTTGAATATCCATTGTTCTAGCATTGTTATTTTGTGCCCACTTGTTGAATTTAATATCTTTCTGAAGTAACAAGTACTCTTTCAAGTGTTTTTCATATGATAATCTAACAACTATATCATCTTCATATTGAGATAAATTAATTGGGATATCATCATGTTTCAAAGTTGAGTAATGTGGTTGATTCAACAGTAAATCAGATTGAAATACTTTAGGTAACTGTCCCAAATTGAATGGAAGTTGAAAAGCATCTATAGTTTGTAGTAGTAGTATGGCCGTTGATAATATTGTGTATTTCATGCTGAACTATAACGATGGTGAATAAAAATGTATAACAACTAAATTAGATGAAAGTAATATGATAGCAAGTATCGGTCTTTGTAAAATTACTAAAATGTCTGATAAGATAAGTATCTGGTCGATAGTGAGTAAGTTCGTTAATATTGATAAAAGAAAGTGATATATGTTGCAGACTTTGCTATCCATTAATATTTTTCTCCTTCTAACTTAGTAAAAAGCTAAGAAATATCTACCAAAATCAAGCATTCTATAAAACTAAGATTAAAAACAATAATTTACTCAAATGTTTCGATACGACTACAGCAGTTGGTCAACTCTAAAAGTTGGCTCATGTTTGATTCAATGCTTTTTAAGACCTACTCTACGATTTTAACATCAATCTTTGAATGCGTGGGGTCTCTTCTACATCGACTTCTCCAGATAATCCTTGCCCAGTTTGTGTACCAGCCACTACTAAAAATTTATTGAGTATGATAGCCCTATGTTCATCTTAGTGTGAAGCTCCATTTCTCTATTTCTGCTTTAGTAGAAGTAAATCTGGTCTGTATGATTCACAAATTCTATGACGGAAAAGTGTTTATACTGCATATAAGTAATTTGTAAAACAATTTTGATCTTGAGTCAAATTTATTACCTAATAAAATTAATTTTCAGTTTTGTTGCACCAAACATTGAATCATCTTAAGCTTGATCTTCCTCAACCAAATATGTATAAAAGACTAAGGGCTCTAAGACAAGCTAGTAACTCACTTAAAGCAAACATTGGGTTACATACGAATGTAGCAACACAATTTGCACGCGTAAATCCGACAGTCTCACAAATTTCAAAATATTCAACTGCAAAATCCGTTCCATACACAGCAGACACATATGCATCAAAGGTATCAAGAGATCCGAAATACAAACAAATCGAAAACAAAGACTTAGAGTATTTCAGTTCAGTAATACCTGAACAAAGTATAATTTTTAATAACGAGAATGATTTATTATTTTATAATGAAGATTGGATGAGAAAATATAAAGGACAATCAAAATTAGTATTGAAACCAAAAACCACAGAGCAAGTTTCACAAATTTTAAAATATTGTAACGATAATAACTTAGCTGTTGTTCCACAAGGTGGTAATACAGGTTTGGTTGGAGGATCTATCCCAATTTTTGATGAAATTATTATATCATTAAGTTCAATGAATTCAATAAGATCTTTTGATCCTGTTAGTGGGATATTGAAATGTGACGCAGGTGTCATATTGGAAAATGCTGATCAATATTTAAGAGATGAAGGATACATTTTTCCATTGGATTTAGGAGCTAAAGGTTCTTGTCAAATTGGTGGAAATGTTGCCTGTAATGCTGGAGGATTAAGATTATTGAGATATGGATCATTACATGGAAGTGTATTGGGATTAGAGGTAGTTTTACCTGATGGACAAATATATAATTCAATGCATTCGTTGAGAAAAGATAACACTGGATATGATTTAAAACAATTATTTATTGGATCTGAAGGTACTTTGGGAATAATTACAGGTGTTTCTATATTATGTCCGTCTAGACCACAAGCTTCGAACGTTGCATTTTTAGCTGTAAAAGATTATGAAACTGTACAGAAAGTATTTGTTGAATCAAGAAAAGAGTTAAGTGAAATATTATCAGCGTTCGAATTCATGGATTTAAAATCTCAACAATTAACTGCAAAACATTTGGGATTGGAACATCCTATTGAGAGTGGAGAATATCCATTTTATATTTTGATTGAAACTTCTGGATCAAATAAAGATCATGATGATGAAAAACTAGAAACTTTCTTAGGTAATGCTATGGAGAATGGGTTAGTTGAAGATGGTATAATAGCACAAGACGAGTCACAGATTCAAAGTTTGTGGTCATGGAGAGAAAGTATACCTGAAGCAAGTACAATGAACGGTGGTGTATATAAGTATGATGTATCAATACCATTAAAAGATCTTTATGGACTAGTTGAAGATGTAAATACTAAATTAGCTGAGGCTAATATAGTTGATTTTGAAGATGGATCAAAACCAGTAGTATCAGCGATAGGTTATGGACACATTGGTGATGGTAATTTACATTTAAATGTTTGTGTAAGAGAATACTCACCTGAGATTGAAAAAGTTTTAGAACCATTTGTTTATGAATGGATTTCATCAAAGAATGGTTCAATATCTGCTGAACATGGATTGGGATTCCAAAAGAAAAACTATATTGGGTACTCGAAAAACGATCAAGAAATTCAAATGATGAAACAAATAAAAAACCATTATGATCCAAACGGTATAATGAATCCTTATAAATATATTTAATTAATAGAACATGACACTTATTTATATTACAAAAATCGCATTTAAAATATACACTCTATCACTCAATCTATTTAGTAGCAAGAATTTGCTTAACTGAATCAACAACAGACTTCTCTAAAGGAACATAATCAAATCCTAAAATTTCCCTTGTAGCACTAAAATCAAACTTTTGACCTTTGTCTTTAATTTCTTTATCGGAAAGTTCAATTGAACCTTTGGCGATTTTTAAATCAGGGAAATTCTTGTTTATTATATGAGCAATTAATGGATTGGTCCAGTAGGTATTAGCTGTGACCAATCTTTTCCCGTTAGTTTTATCAGCAATTTCAAATGCTTTTAAATGAGCATGAGCTACATCTCTTACATCAATAAAAGTTCCTACCTGTTCAGGTAAAGTATCGCCTGGTTTTGACTTCAATACCTGGTTGACGATCTCAGCTGAATGGTTCAATTGATTAGGGTCTTTCACTTCAAATGCTTGTGGACCAAAAACATAAGTTGGTAAAACTGATGTAATTGTAAAATGAGGATTCGAATTCTCGAAGAACTTAACAACTTCCTTACCAGCTAATGTTTTACTTAAGCTATAACCAAGCTGACCATCACTAGGACTTTTCAAGTCATCATGAGTGATTGGATTCCATGATTTTTCTGTAACGAGTTCAGTTGATGGCCTGTTACCAGTAGTATCTTGTACTGTTGCTGTTGAAGAAGTTATAACCAAATGTTTTATATTTTTATGTTGTTGAGCAGAACTTAATATGTTCTTAGTTCCAATAACTGCTGGATCAACTAATCCCTTTTGAACATCTTTAACTGAAAAGTCAACTGGAGAAGCAGTATGCAAAACCACAGTGATTTCTGGATTCTCCTCAAAAACTTTATCAAATGATTCCTTTTTAATTATATCTGGAACAACCACATAACTAAATAATTTTGAATCTAATCCAGCTTGTTTGATTAATGACTTTAAATTTTCACCTTTTTCATTTGATCTAACTGATCCAATTGTTTTATATCCTTTTTCAATCAATTGCTTGACAATATGTTGAGCAATAAAACCAGTGGCACCAGTGACAAATACAGTTTCAGTTGACATATTTAATTATGTTTTTGAACAATTTTAATATTGAATTGAAACTGGTATTTTGGTCCTTATTTATATTAATTCAAATGTGGCTTTGATTGTGGTTCAAATATTTTACATTAGTCAGACTAACTCGGTATAAAAATTAATGTTTGGTGTGTGGTTTGTTTAATTTGGATTAGTAAGACAAACTCCGATTAAAGGTTTGGACCGAACTATGTGTCTTACGATTGTAAGTTGGTAGGGTGATCTACATCGGTTTTAGGAGAGTACCTAAATGAAGATGAAAAACTAATTTAAATTCGTAATACTTAAGATTTAGAGTGTTTGGCAGAGCATCAATATTCAGTTCAAATCCATCATGATATTACTATTGATATTACAAATCAACCACAAGTTTGCAATTGAATTCTCAAAATGTATCAAAATGTATATTCAGTCAAAACTTGTTTCAAAATTTCCGGATACCATTTTTTAGCTACATCTTGATGTGATTTAATTCTATTCCTAAATACAGCATATCCCACTGGCTCTTTACTAATATCAGGTTTGAATTGGAATCCAACATCAACAGCCCAATCTTTTATTTTTTGATCTCTTCTATTCTTTTGTTCAATGATATCTTCAGGTATATTTTGTACTGCACTTTTTGAACAATCTAAATCAATAGTTTGAAAAAAGGGAACAGATATCCTTGTTCCACTACCCGCTTTCGGAATGAGTACTCTATGAATAGTTGCTTTACATACACCTTGTGTTATGGCCTCCAAAGTCTGACCATTGTTGATAACCAAATGATTAGGTATATTTGGTACAGTAATCCATTGACCTTGGAAATTTTGAACTTGTAAAGAATCTTGATGATCAGTAGCTTGATAAATATAAGTTATTAAATCTGAATCTCTATGTGGTCCAACGCCTTGATTTGAAGAAGGAGTATCTTCAAGAGCAATTGATTTTGCATTGGATAATGAATCTAAATCTGGATAAGCTATTAATTTCATTTTACATTGTTGATTAGGTTTGAAATATCCATTCAACGCGTCTGCTTTTAAACCAATTGACTCCAATACCAAGTATCTGAATATGGTACTCAATTTTGTCATCTTGGAAATATAATTTTCAACTATTGGTCTGAAATGTGGGATCTCAGCGGAATCAGGCCATTGATTTGGTCCTTCTATATTTTTATATAATGGTTCATCAGATGATGGTGGAGGTAGTTCAGTCCCTAAATCTAATTGCTCTCTCCAATCAACTTTTGATGCAGTTATTTCATTTGCTATTCTTGAATATCCTAAAAAATGCTTTGAATTTATCATTTCGATTTTTAATTTAACTTCATCAGGCAACTCAAAAAACTTCAAAGATTGTTCTTTAATATCCAATAGTTCTTGAGCAGTGGGCCCTATAGACTCATAATTTTTCAATAGTAAGAATCCAACATTTATCATTGCATTACTTAGCTCCTTCAAAAATTGAGGTTTTGTTTCTGGATTAAAAGCATCGTTTAGATCTAAAATTGGTATTTCTTGAAATGACATTATATGATTGATGAAGTAGTATACAATTTCTCAACTTCGTTTAACGATGCCTTGCAAAATTGAACCTTTAAAAGATAATCTGATTAATGATCTGATCATTTTGTTCCTGAAGCTTGAGGGGGCCAGAGCCACAATTATTATGCGGACTTTTCAATTTTTGTATTATAATTTTAAAGTACACTAAGCGCTAAAAATCTCTTACGATTTAAAAAAATGAATCAAGTAGAAGTTAGATATTATGGTCCAATAACCCTAAGGAAATTGTCACTAAACAGGTGATTTTTATTGCAGTTGATTCAGAATTTGTTTCTAGAATCATAGTACAATATATCTATTCCACGACTAATCTAATTCTATAATACAGCTACCCATACCTGGTTTACTATCAATTATAGCATCATTCAACTCATCATCAGTTATATTTGGAAATTCTTGTTTATAATAACTCCTCAAATTATCAACTAGGTTTGGTAATTTCTCAACATTAGTCAAATGAACAATTGAACCACCCCAACCGGCACCTGTAACTCTTGATCCAAAACTTCCATGTGTCAAAGCAATTGAACAAATATCATTTAATTTAGTGTTTGATGATTCATTCAACTGAGTTAAATCTTGTTGTGACTCATTCATTAATTGACCAAACGTATTGAAGAATTCGGCTGCATTTGTGGAATTTGAAGATAATAATTTTATCACTTTTAAAACTCGAAGGCTTTCTTTATATACGTGTAATGATCTTTGATATAATTTTAATTTGTCAAATTGTACTGGAAATTTAGTTAAGTATTTTGATTTGAATTCTTCTGGTGTAATTTGAAATTCCTTGCATATTTCATCAACGGAATAACCTTCTTTATTAGTTAAGTTCAATTCAACTACTTCAATCATTTTATTCAAATTTGTAATACCGCTTTCAACGTCGTCATCTTCCCAATCACCACAGAAGCCTTCCATGACCCCTCTCAAAGAAACTCCACCAATGTTTGAATCTTTTACTAAGTTCTTCTCATCCAATTTTAATTTTTTGGCTAATAAATCACTAGAAATCGCCATTTCAACAACTCTCAAGTTATAATGAAAAGGGGCAGTTTCCTGTTTATTTGAAACTTGTAAACTATTTGTAATCAAGAACACTATATTATTGACAGGAAAACTGAAAGGTATTCCTTTTATCACCGGTTTAAATTGAATCTGTAATGCTTTTCCTTGTTCTCCATATATCGAAGCACATTGATCCATTCCACCATTATTTAAACCAACATAATGTTCACTAACCACGGTGATTCTAGTTAAATCAGATTTTGTGATCTTGCTGATTCCATTAGCATATAGTATTGCAAGTGTAGAAGCAACACAAAATGCTGCACTCGAAGATAATCCACCACCAGTGGGTACTGTCCCATTAAATGTAATGCTCATTCCTTTTAAAGTTGAAATTGATGTTGTTTCTTTTATAAATTTTGATGCAACGATTAATCCACATTTGAAGTAGTTACCCCATGAATGATTTTCATCCATTTTTATATCATTATCAATATTCTCCAAATCTGATGGTAGGTCTATTATATACTTTTTAAACGACGGGTCTGTGTTGGTGATGATTATATTAGACCTATTATTTATTGAAACAGCAGCAATAACATCAACTTCAATAGCCATTGGAAGTACAGGAAAATAATTATAATCTATATGATCTCCAATTAGATTAACTCTACCTGGCGACCGAGCTATGAAATCAATTTTTTCATCGGAAAAGTTGGTTTTGAAGGTTTTAGTAAGTTCATCATATCTAACTTTTTGATCACTTGGGTTTGAATAGAAAGAGAGGTCTTTAAATATGGGTATTAAAGACATGATCAGGACTTAAAATTAAAAATTATTGTTAATTGTTTAAGTAGCTTTAAGATTTGAGTGATTGAAATATATTCAAATTTAAGTAATGAGTTTCACCCTTATATTCACATTTATCAAAATCAGGAATATATGAATATGTCTAATCTTGATCCAACTAATCAACATAAGTTATTTAATTTATTTTTCAATGTCTGAATTCAGATTTGAAAAAAGAATTAAGTACAAACAACTCCAAGACACAAAATCTGTAAATCTCGGAACATTCAAACATTTTAGTTCGACAATACTTAAAAAATAATGTAACGTTACATTTTGCTAAACAAGTTTTATAACTTTCAATTTAAACAGATCAAGATCTGTCTAAAATCTTATACTACGGTATTGGTGTCAAATGAAAGCTACGACTACCATCTCATGTACAGTTCAAAGCTTATAAACTAGTAAATTGATTCTAAAGGCAGAGCCCAGTTTGAGTTTTAAATTCTTTTTTTGATCAGTCAAAACAAGGCGATTTTCTTTTGTTGATTTTAATAAGCTATACTATAAAAATTTATGATGAGGCACAATAGTTGAATATGGTGGAGACAATTTGCCCAGAATTAGAGAAAGTATTGGGGTAATACTACTAGTTTCAAGTTATTATTAGCAATTTTGTGATTATCATAGGGTTGAGTTCTTCCCTTCACTTAATAATAGTTTCGGAAAATTTTTTTAGTGTTGACATATTATATTTTAAAGTCTGCATTTATCATAGTTAAAAATTCAAAACATGATGTAATTTATTCTTTATTTAGAAACCATTATTAAAAACGTTGAGCAAACGCAATAACATTATCCAAATATTTGACATGTCTATTCTAGACTTGTCTTTTACATAGTTAATCCCATTGCAACGTTACATTTCAGGTTGAAGATCTCGTATTTATTAAATTGACATAGAACATTAAATTTTAATATAAAATTAACTTAATATACATTTTTCAATTATTCCATCAACTAATACAAAACAAATAATCAAGAATCGAAACATGTCTTCAGAAGATCAATATATCTTAGTAACCGGTGGAGCAGGCTATATCGGCTCACATACAGTCATTGAACTAATCAATAATGGATACAAAGTTATAATAGTTGATAATTTATCAAATTCTTCATATGATGCGGTAGCAAGGATCGAATATATTGTGAATCAACATATTTTATTTTATAATATCAATTTAAAAGATACTGAAAAATTGGATGAAGTTTTTAAAAAACATAAAATTATAGGAGTTATTCATTTTGCTGCACTCAAAGCTGTAGGAGAAAGTGGACAAATTCCTTTAAAATATTACGATAACAATGTTGGTGGTACAATTTCATTATTAAATGTATGTACTGAAAATAACGTTAAAACAGTTGTATTTTCATCAAGTGCAACTGTTTATGGTGATGTTACTAGATTTGATGATGACAGATATATTCCAATACCTGAAGAATGTCCAAATGATCCAACTAATCCTTATGGTAAAACTAAATATATAATTGAACAAATATTGAAAGATGTTCATGATAGTGACCCCAAGAATTGGAAAGTTGCAATATTGAGATATTTTAATCCAATTGGTGCTCATCCTTCAGGTTTAATAGGTGAAGATCCTCTTGGTATACCTAATAATTTATTACCTTATTTATCTCAAGTTGCTATAGGTAGAAGAGAAAAATTATCTGTTTTTGGAAATGATTATAATTCTAAAGATGGTACCCCAATAAGAGATTATATACATGTGGTTGATTTGGCAAAAGGTCATATCGCTGCTTTAAATTATTTAAAAAGATTTGAAAAAGATATTAAAAACCAAAATGGACTTTATAGAGAATGGAATTTGGGTACTGGTAAAGGTTCAACAGTTTTTGAAGTATATGAAGCATTTTGTAAAGCTGTTGGCAAAGAATTACCATATGAAGTTGTTGGAAGAAGAAAAGGAGACGTTTTAAATCTCACTGCTAAACCAGACAGAGCCAATACAGAACTAGAATGGAAAGCTGAATTGAATGTTGAAGATGCTTGTAAAGATCTTTGGAAATGGACTACTGAAAATCCTTTTGGATTTGAGATCAAAAATTATGAATGGACTAAATTTAACGATTTGAATAATAGGTTACATCGATTCGTATTAGGAGACTTTGAAGTTAAATTTTGTAATAGAGGAGCATTGATCCAAAGTATAAATCTTGGAGATGAAGAATTAGTATGCGGATTCAATGATGCTGAAGAATACGAATCTGAAACAAATCCATTTTTTGGAACAACAATTGGAAGATTTACAAATAGAATTAAAGACAGCAGTTTTCAACTCGATGGTGAAACTTTTAAATTGACATCAAATGAAAATGGTAATACATTACATTCAGGCTCCCATGGATTTGATAAACAAAATTTCTTTGGGCCAGTCGTCAAATCAAAAAATGGTGAATTTGATATCAAATTTAAATTAATTGATGAAGATGGAAATGATGGATTCCCCGGAAAATTGGAGACTATTGTTCATTATGTCATTCAGAATGAATCTAATCCAAGTATAACTATAGAATATGAAAGTAAATTGTTGACAAAATCTTCAACTATTATCAATTTAACTAATCACTCATATTTCAATCTATCCAATAACTCAACAATTGACGGTACTGATATCAAAATTTACACCAATAAAGTTTTAGAATTGAACTCAAATGGTTTACCGACCGGAAAAATAGTAACAAGAGAAAATATTCCAACGAAATTGACTCCAGAGACTAATTTTGATGATTGTTTCGTTGTTAGTGAAAATAGTCAAATTGATACAAGATCAAATAGCTTGAACAAAATTTTTGAAGCGAGTCACCCAAATTCACAAACAAAGTTAGTGATATCAACAACTGAACCAAGTTTCCAATTCTACACTGGTGATGCAATTAATACTCATGGATTTGGTAAAAGAAGTGGATTTTGTGTTGAACCTTCTAGATTTGTTGATGCTATCCATTTAAAGAAATATGAAAATCAAGTCATTTTACTAAAGGATGATGTTTATGGAGCTAAATCAAAGATGGAATTCATTAAGAAATAGATTGTAATAACTTAAATAAAAATGAAATGATTGATTTTTTTCATGTACTCTTTTTTCTTGATAGGGATCGTATTACTGTAGCACAAAAAATACGAAAAACTCTTTTTCAATATCTAGTGCTTTGATTTTATCGATAAATCAATCGACGAAATAACAATTATCACTAGGAATGAAAGTCTATTTGTTACTAATACTAAACAAATCAGGTGGTCTTATATACCAAAAGGAATTTCAATCAGGTCTATCCAAACTCACTGCTAATGACTACTTAGTATTAGCAGGTACATTACATGGGGTTCATGCCATTGGAGCAAAACTTACTTCAAATATAATAGATAAAAATTTTAAAGGTAACAACACTTTAGAAGAGTTGAATTCACAACATAATGCTCAGATTTTATCAACTGGAAAACAACAAAATTCAAACTGTAATATTTATGGCCTCAAGAATATTGAAACTGAGTTTTTTAATTTATATATTTATCAAACTGTTAGTGGATTAAAATTTATTATAATTACAAAACCAAATTTAAATCCTATGGAATTGAATATTTTGAACGATGAATTCAAGAATTTATATGTTGCTTATAGTGATTATGTGATGAAAAATCCATTTTATTCGTTGGATATGCCGATTAAGAGTCAATTATTTGATAATAAAGTGAAAGAGATATTGATATAAGGGGTAAGAGTTGTGCCGTATAACTTTGAAGTCACTAACTGTATACGTGTTCTAATTTACCTAAGGAGTGAATTTCATTAGGTGATGGTTGGTGTATTCAATATAATCAGGAGCTTGGTTACTTTGCTTCAGCTTATCATGTCGATAATCATTCTATATGACGGTTTTGAACACTTGAGTTGCGTAATCGAGATTATTCAGAGATGCATAAGCTGCAATCAGCTCAGCAAAAATTCGATCAATCAGATCAACATGGTGTTAACATGTTTTCATTCTTCAATGGGACTACTCTTGCAAGATCTACCAAACGTACTTGTATTCCTTTCCTTAGATGAAAAGGCAATGAAAAAAAATTGAAGTGGATAGAATCAAGAGTAACAGAGACTAGTTGATAATTCGCTCATTGTACTGACGCTCTAGTTGTTTCGTCTGCTTTAAACCGTTACGTTAGAGACAATCGGTCTATAAGTGTTCAAAAATCTGAGAGACGTTCATTGATTTGTTTATGTAGACTGCACGTTTATTAATCATTCAACCATTGAATTATCAACATCTGTATGTAAAGTATAATAGTGGGTACGAATATTTTCACATTTTGCTTGAAACTCTATATTCTAATCAAATCTAACTAGGGGTATATTTTAGACTTTTATATAGTGAGTGCCATTTCTCAATAACAGAATAGAGTTCATTTCTACAATATTTAACTCATTCTTTACATTTCAGCCAGTTTCACTATTGATTTTATAATTAATTAGTTTTGAAAACAAGAAAGAAGGTGTCTCGCCAGACATACATATTTTAAAAAAATGTAACGTTACATTAAGTAGCTCCATACATTAGACACTGAAGTTACACAAACGCCATTATAAGAAAGTGTCTGCATAAAAAATATATAAAAATATTCCGAAAACATCACAAATTCAATTTTATTATAAAATCAACAAAACAAATAATAGAATGTAATTAAAGATATTTTTTGATTTGAGATAATTTTGTCCACCCAATTCACTATTCAAAACAAAAACAGAAGGTTGTACTTTTACAATTTTTTGTATCGTGGATTTTTCAATTTGCATTTCCCAAAATTATATAAAAATACATATTTAATATTACTTCAATAATCTTTTTCAAATGTCAATTCAAAATCTACTAAATCCTATCACATCAACACCAACGTATATAAAAATGTCACAGCAATTTGATTTCACAAATCATTCACATAGACGTTATAATCCTTTGACGAACAGATTTGTATTATGTTCACCACATAGAGCTAAAAGACCATGGCAAGGAGCAAAAGAAGAAATTAAAAAAACTCAGCTACCTGATTATGATCCTAAATGTTATTTGTGTCCTGGAAATATCAGAGCAACTGGTGATGTTAATCCTAAATATGAATCAACATATATTTTTCCTAATGATTATCCTGCTGTTAAATTAGATCAACCAGATTATAATGATGAGGAGGGTGAAACAAACCCACTTAAAAGAAAATTGTTTAAGACGGAAGGAGTCAAAGGGAAATGTTTTGTCATCTGTTTTTCACCGAAACATAATCTAACAATACCAATAATGTCACTTCCTGAGATTGAAAACGTAGTAAATACTTGGCAGAATTTATATGTTGAGTTATTACAAGACCTGATCACCAAGAAAGCACCTTACAAATATTTGCAAATATTTGAAAATAAGGGTTTTGCTATGGGCTGCTCAAATCCTCATCCACACGGTCAAGCTTGGTGTTTAGATATTATACCCACTGAAGTACAAGATGAAATCACAAATATGAATCAATATCATAAAGAAAATAATAGTCATTTATTGGGAGATTACGCGAAGCTTGAGTTGGAAGAAAAACAAAGAATAGTATTGGAAAATGATTCTTTCATTGTTGTTGTACCTTATTGGGCATTATGGCCATTTGAAACATTATTAGTTTCAAAACAACATTTAAAATCAATTCATGAATTTAATTCCAAGCAAAAACAAGATTTAGCTTCAATTTTGAAAAGATTGACTACAAAATATGATAACTTGTTCAATACTTCATTTCCATATTCAATGGGGATTCATCAAGCTCCATTTAGTAGTGATTATTCCGAGGAATATGAATGTTCTTGGTTTCATATTCATTTTTATCCACCTTTATTAAGATCAGCTACAGTGAAAAAATTTTGTGTTGGATTTGAAATGTTAGGGGAAGCTCAAAGAGATCTAACCAGTGAACAAGCAGCTAGTAGATTGCAGGATTTAGATAGTGATGTACATTATACAAGCTTAATAGAGTAAAACATTAATTAAAATAATGTAAAACAATTTCTTAAGTAAAATAAATTTCTAAATTTTTTTCTTTTGCAGTCAAAAGTTGCATCGTAATACCATTAAAACACCAAAAAATGTCAAAAGAATACATAGAGTCCACCCCAGACATAGACACAGCTTCTGATCCCATAATAAAGCAACAAAAACCACCCTTAGATTCAAGAATAGGTAAAGATTCTCCTTTTGTATTTGGACAAAGATATTTAACTCAAGAAGATGATGTTTTCAATCATAATGCATGGGATCATGTAGAATGGGGTCAAGAACAAATTGAACAAGCTCAATCACTAATAGCTAAACAATATGATGATCCAGTCAAAGAATTTGATAAAAATTTATATAATTCAAATCCAGCTAAATATTGGGATATTTTTTATAAGAATAATAGGGAAAATTTTTTTAAAGATCGAAATTGGTTGAAAATTGAATTTCCATCATTATATGAAGTAACTTCAAAAGATTATCAAGAGCCAACTACGATATTAGAGATTGGTTGTGGTGCAGGTAATACATTTTATCCTATACTAAGTCAAAATGAAAATGAAAATTTAAAAATATTTGGTTGTGATTATTCCAAAAATGCTGTGAAATTAGTTCGTGAAAATAAAATTTTTGAAGAACAACTGCAAAAGGGAATTGCATTTAGTTCAGTTTGGGATTTAGCTAATCCTGAAGGGAAATTACCAGATGATTTGGAACCTAATTCAGTAGATATTGTAATTATGATTTTTGTATTTTCTGCATTACATCCAAATCAATGGTCACAGGCTGTTTCGAACTTATCCAAGTGTTTAAAACCAGGTGGACAAATATTATTTCGAGATTACGGAAGATATGATTTAGCTCAAGTTAGATTTAAAAAGAATAGATTATTAGATGATAATTTTTATATACGAGGTGATGGTACAAGAGTTTATTTCTTTACGGAAGAAGAGTTGGAACAAATTTTCTGTGAAGATGGACCATTTGAAAAACTTAAGATTGCTACTGACAGAAGATTATTGGTGAATAGAAAAAGACAATTGAAAATGTATCGAAATTGGTTGCAAGGTGTATTCAAAGCGAAAAATTAAACTAAGATCTAACCATCATTGTTATATATAGAATATTATCCAAGTATTTCAAGTGCTCCCAAATTTCAATCAACTTTAATTCATATAGGGACAGTACATTTATACCATGAACTATCGGTTTCGCAATTTCATTTAATTTAACACAATTAAAATTTAAAAATTCTTTCAATGTGATGGACGGCAGACAAGATAATTGAATCATGTTGCCGCCATCACTAGGTATTATTAGCTTTATTGGGATGTTTTTCACAGTCTTTAGGATCAATTTATTCAAATAAGTATACTCATTCAAATTCCTATATTTAATAGATTTCCATAATTTCCTAGAATTGGTTTCACTCAATTGCATTATAGGTTTTGAAGTACCATTTATAACAAAACTTGATTGTTTCAATTGATTTACAATTATTTCATTCAAATGCATTTCATATTTATTTTCATCAAAATTTCTGAATGGTATGATATAATCCTGAGGAAACTTTTGCAGAGCCGTTTCTATTTTCAAGGTTAAATTCCATATATGTGATTGACTTTCGTAGTTACCCGGTAGATATAGATAATCATATAGAACTCCTATGGGATAATTCCACTTTAACGGCACTTCTTCATACTCTAACCAGATATTTTCGAAATTCACATCTTGATCAGTGATAAAGTTTTCGAAGAAATTAATTAACTTTTCGTAAATGAATGGGAAATAAGAATTTCGAAACACTTGAATTAAATACTCTATACTTTCATTTCTATTATTAGTGTATACTATTTTCAAATTGATTGATCCCATCCATAATTTCTTTTTAATTTCAATAACATTCTCAATTGTTCTGATACTAGACATAAATCTGGTCTAGATCATTTATGACTACTGCTCGATTTTGTATAATTCTAAGACGATACTACCGAAATTGGAATAAATGTTAAAATCTATTGATTTGAAACAATATTAAACCAGCCATGTTTTTTGTGTTACCATAATTAGAAATTCGCAAAATACCAGCAAAAAGTTAATTATTTCATCAACTAAACCTTAAATTTAACCCCAGATGCCTTGATTGAAACTACCACATTGATGCTTATTCATTATTAATTTAAGGATCATGCGAGATAAGAAGTGTTTACATGGAGTGTAATTGTAAAGCTATAAAATCAGGATGAATTCCGAAAATTGCATGGGGGTAATAACAACCACTAGAAATCAGCGATTCATTCAAAAATGAGAAGTAGGGAAGTCAAAAAGCAACTCCTTTCACCATTGGATATACCACAAACTGTACCATCATTAAATTTGAATAATTTGAATCACGCAGTTGATACGTTTACTCCAAGCTTTTATGATTTGAATGATTTACCTAACTTAATCCCAATATATAACAACGATGGAGGTAAAAAGAAAAAATATATCAAAAGAAGAATTGTTAGTGCTCCACCCGTTGTTGGGAACTTTTCATTGGATGTTAATTCGAATAAGATTGAAAAAAAGGATTTACCAGCCATACCTTCTATTGGAGCTTACAATGAAAGGAGCCTCTTGCAGCCCAAAGTGAAACCATATCGGGACTTTAGCATGCCTGTAAATACCAATAGCTGTTCTGATCACTACTATCAACAAACTTTAGATCCAAAAATATATACAGAAGAAACAACAAATACTTCCTATAAATCTTCAAGCAAAGACATTCTTGATCCAACTCGGTTATCAAGCAGCATTAGTAATGGAACAAATCATCAAATACCAAGTACGAGAACAACTGCTATACAACTGCTCGGATCGTCAAACTATAGTTTGTTGGACAGCTTAACCTCAAAAGATGCACAACATCTGTCAATGAAAGAGTCGCCTGTTATCCATCCTGAGACTAAAGTATTGCCCAAAGCGCGTACCAAGAAGCAAACTTTCTATACACAGCCAAATGCTCTTAAAGCGATCTTGCCAGAGAATTATTATTCAACCAGTTCTCGCATTTATTCAGAGTCGAGATTCCCGAGAACTGTAGTGAATCCTAATAAATTTCATCATGAATCAACAAGGGCAACCTCCAAACTCCAACTGAGAGCTGTGTCTGATCAAATCAATGAACAATCTACGAAATATGCATTGCCAATAGCAAACTCAATTCAAAGACCAAATTCAGTTGAAATGAAAAGACACATAAGTGCTTTCATTGGACGTTGGAAAACTAAAGAAATTGAGAAAAATAGTCACGAAGGTAATGTAAGTAAAGCTAAAGAGCTACCGAGAATCCCAAGTCATTATGAAAGAGAGAATAGATTTGGTAATAGACAATTATATACATAATAGTGGATATACAAAGAAACTTTAGTTTAGATTTCTCTGAAACATCAGTTAGTTTGACTTCCTCTCTACAATTTAACTATAAGATCATCCCCTTTATATTTACCTAGAACATCTTCAATACCATACTTTTTAGCAATCGTCGGAGTAATGAATCTACCACCTAAATAATGAGATTTATGTTCACCTTTCTCATCACCTAATTTTATGAACTTCTGAGCGCAAGGTTTTGGAGCAGTTAGACTTACCAACATACTTGAGTTAATATCGGTATCTACAGGACCTTCATCAACGTCCCATCCTGATGGTATATCAATGGATACTATTGGTGGTAACGATTTGTGGTTTTCAGATAAATAATTTATCAAGTCTTTGAATGGCTCTCTAATTGGTGGCTTGAATGAAAATCCGAATAATGAATCTAAAATTAAAGCAATTCCACTATGTGATTTATCATTTAAAAGTTCAATAATCTTTTCCAATGTTGAAACTTCTTCGGCTCCCAAATTTTCCAATTGTTTAACCAAGTTACCATATAATTGATTCTTAGTTGATCTTTTTGGATAATAAATTATAGGTTCATAAGCATTCCATAATTTTAAATGTCTAGCTGCTACTAATCCATCACCTCCATTATTTCCTGGTCCAACTAGTACTAAAATCTTTGGCAAAGCGCTTCCTTGATTTGGTGCCAGTGGATATTCTTTGTATATTGCTTTTGCTACGGCTAATCCTGCTAATTCCATTAATTGATCTATTGAATATGCGCCTGTTGACATTAATTCTTGATCTAATTGAGCAGCAAGTTTTGCAGATAATGTTTTAAATGACATTTTTTTACCGTCTTTGAACTGATTGTAACCAATTTTAGTGTTTTTATCTCAATTGAAGTGTTCAATCAAGCTGTTGCCCACTAAAAGTATGCTTTATTCATATTTTCAGAATTATCACTTGATTTTGAAGCAAACTTAAGCTTATACCGAATTTAGGGGGTATCGGAAACACGTAAATAGAACCCTATTTGGTAGCCACGGTACGTCAATAATGTTTAGGACCAAGTAAAGTTAATTCTGTCCGCCTAATATTTTCATTTACGCCAGTTCGAATGGATTTTTATCATTTCTTTCATGGTGAGTCTTTTGCCAAAGTGATCATGACAAATTCGTCAGTTAATGTAATTATGTTTTGGTTTGTTGAGCCAAAATATCGTCCAAATCTAAATGGAAGTGTTTATTTCGTACCTTAATTTATGGGACAATTGATAAATAATAGTTTTTACGTGTAGTCCTGTATATAACAAAATTCAAAGAATAACAAAAAATTTTGAGGAAACAAATGGAGAACGATAAACAAATCAAATAATACTATCAACCAATTTATAAGCCTAGATCAATATAGGAGCTTAAGATCCAGGTATTAATTACTACAGATTAAGTACTTTGCTAATTAAATCAAACTTAATAGTCGAATTAAGATTCAAAAAAATACAAATACCTACTTCTATTTTTATCCTCAAATTTTCAGATTCTATAAAATCAGATCTAGGGACACGTTAATTGAATTTTCACAACTAGTGGTAATATAAAGTCATAATATTATAACAAATTAGGCAGAATAACTAATGGCAACCACGACTCAATACAAAAATCCTGACTCTTCATATATGAGAAACGGTAATAGTCAATCACATCATTCACCAATTATTAATTATAGAAAAGATGCCAAAAAAGCAGTTAAATTTACATTTATGGTAGTTGGAGAACTGGGAACAGGTAAAACTACTTTCATCAATAGTTTATTGAATAAAAAAGTTTTGAATCATCGATATGAAAATGATTTTACTAGAACTGCAGCAAATGGAGAAACCAAAACATTAACATTTACGTCAGCAAATTCAGTTGCATTACCAAATACTTCAATGCTAACAAGAAACGAATTTAATGCAAATACAATTCACGAAGAACCTGGTATAGCATTAACTGAAACAAAAGTTGAAATAATTGATGATGACAATTTGAAATTAATTTTGAATATTATTGATACACCTGGATTTGGAGAAAATTTAAATAATGAGTTATGTTTTATTGAAATTGAAAATTACTTAAAACAACAGTTTGATTTGGTGTTAGCTGAAGAAACCAGAATCAAAAGAAACCCGAGATTTACGGATACAAGAGTTCATGTAATGTTATATTTTATAACTCCAACTGGTCATGGATTGAGAGAAATTGATGTACAATGTATGAAAAGATTATCAAAATACGTAAACATAATACCGATCATTGGAAAAGCTGACTCATTTACACCAAAAGAGTTGCAATATTTTAAACAACAAGTTAAGAATGATATTGAAAAGTTCAATGTACCTGTTTTTCAGTTTGATAATTTTTTAGATGAATATGATGAAGAGGAAGACTATGATCTAATTCAAGAATGTAAATTTTATGCAAATTTACAACCTTTTGCTATTATAACTTCTGAGGAAACTTTTGAAGTTAAAGATAAAAAAACTGGAGCTTTTAAAATTATAAAGGCTAGAAATTATCCATGGGGATTAGTCGACATTAATGATACTAGTGTAAGTGACTTTCCATATTTAAAATCTGTTTTATTAGGATCACATTTACAAGATTTGAAAGATTTAACTCATGACTTTTTGTATGAAACATATAGAACTGAAAGATTAACCAATGTTACTGGTGGTGGTGTTGGTTTAGATGATGAAGAGTACGATGAAGACAATGAATTCCATGATACCGTTGAACATCATCAAAATGAAGATAAAGGTAATGGTGCATTAGCCAACTCCACCATTCCGTCATTATCCAATTTAGCTCAACTAACAAATACTCCGTTATTATCAAATAATAACAATCATGGAGGCTCAAATTTTTATGATCAAGATTCAAGGCGTTCATCAAGTTCATCAATTAAAAAATCATCCTCAATGTTGTTAGATGACGATCATTCTTCAGCATCATTATCAAAACATGGAGCTACATCAACTGCCAATAATCACACCCATAAAAGCAGTTATGATTTTACACCAAATACTTCATCAATATCAATAAATGAAAGAGCACCAAATAATGATGCCTTCAAAAGATTATCAATTGGACCACAAAGAAATCAATTACGTCAAATTTCAGAAACTGTTCCATATGTTATAAGACACGAAAGAAATATAGAAAGACAAAACAAATTAGAAGAAATGGAAAAAGCAAGTGCAAAAGAATTAGCAACTAGAGCTGCTCTTTTGGAAAAGAAAGCTCAAGAATTAAAATTAAAAGAAAGAGCTCTAATGAAACAATTGGAATTGGCTAAACAAAAATCTTTAAGTTCCGCAGCTTCTTCTCCTTCTATAAGAAGACTGAATTCAAATGTTGAGATCATTAATGATGATGAAGAACCGGGCAATGGTATACAAGGTAGATCATATCAACAACAAGGTAATGGACATTCCACAAGTGTTAATGAGGGTGGAAGTGGGTTACAAAAAGACGAAACTTTGACTGATATACATTCTATAGTCAGTGAGAAAACTCACCAACCTCATCATCAACAACAACAAGCTCAAGCTCATCAACATCAACAATCACAATATAATCAGAACGAATATTATCACCCTCGTTAATTTTACAATGAAGTTTAAACATTAAGTTAAATAGTTTATATAATACCCGAAATTGAGAGATATTTTTTTTTCCCCTTTTCATCTAATTTCAGCCTTTCGTAGATTATTTTCATTACTCTAGATTATATTAATATCGTCAACTATTAATTAGGTGTCGTATTTTTTCATGAATCAAATTTCGTGTATTAATTGAAGACGGTGCGAATTGGGAAAAGACAAAACAAATTATTAACGATATTGTGTAAAAGGGCAAGAATAAATTGCCTTAGAACAACTCTAAAAACTCTACTTCTTTCTTGAACCCTTGACCTGATCGATATTTAGTAAACATAAATCAAGAAATAAACTTTAAAGATAATAAATAATTAAAGTAAGTACTCTTTAAATCGTAATGTAATTACTAAAATTGGTTGATTTAATTCAGTATCACAAATCCAAATTTTGATCAGAAATAATTTTTTCTTCTATTTTGATTAGAATCAATAAAATTAACAATTAAATCATACCCAATACCTGACTGTATTTACAGAACGATAAAGAAGAAGATCACCATCAATACACTGTCATATTTTATTCAAAAAAGACTGAATCAAGATGGATATTCTTCAATTATTGGAAAATGCGATTTTGAGTCCAGATCCAACTCAAAGAACTCAAGCAGAAATTGAATTAAATGAGGCAGCAAATAACCATTTTCCTCAATATATTTCTTTATTGATTGAAGCTTTAAATAATAATGATGCCAAAACTGAAGTAAGACAATTAGCAGGTATTGGTTTAAAGAATCAATTAGTTTCAAAAGATCCAAGAACAAAATTAGCTCAGCAAGATCGTTGGTTAAAATTAGACATTGATTTAAAAACTAAGATAAAAAATCAAGCAGTTTTAGGTTTGAACAGTGATATTCAAAAAGTTGCTAGCACAGCAGCTCAATTGGTCGCCGCCATAGCAGATATAGAATTACCAAGGGGAGAATGGCCAGAATTGATTCCTATAATAATTCAAAATACAAAACTGGAAAATCCCGAGAATGTAAAAAGAGCTTCTCAATTAGCTATAGGTTATATATGTGAAACATCTGATCACACGAATCCAAATATTTTATCACAAGCTTCAGGAATCTTGATTGCTATTATTCAAGGTGTTCAAAGTAATGAACCATCGACTAATGTTAGAATCACTGCTTTAAATGCTTTGGTTAATTCATTAGAATTTATCAAATTCAATTTTGAAAATGAAGGTGAAAGAAATTATATCATGCAAGTAGTATGTGAAGCTACCCAAGCAGATAATTCTGAATTACAAGCAAGTGCATTTGGTTGTTTAGCAAGAATAATGTCATTATATTATAGATTTATGTCACTTTATATGGAAAAGGCTCTTTATGGATTAACAGTTTCAGGAATGCAAAGCTCAGATGAAAAAGTTGCTTGTATGGCAGTAGAATTTTGGTCAACTGTTTGTGAAGAAGAATTAGAAATTGCCTTACAAAGACATGATTTAGGTTTAGATCCTTTACAAAATGCTACATCGCCTGATTTGGTTACTTTTAATTTTGCATTGATTGCTTCAAGTGAAGTATTACCAACTTTATTGACTTTATTAACTAGACAAAATGAAGATCCTGAAGACGATGATTGGTCAGTCGCTATGGCAGCAGGTGCTTGTTTACAATTATATGCTCAAAATATAGGTGCTTATGTTGTTGATCCAACTATAAATTTCGTAAGCACTAACATTACAAAAGATAATTGGAGATCCAGAGAAGCTGCAGTAATGGCTTTTGGCTCAATCTTGGATGGACCAAATCATGATCAATTGAAAAATACGATAAAGGATGCATTAAGTCCTATATTAGCTTTAATCAATGATCCAAATTTACAAGTTAAAGAGACAGTAGCTTGGTGTCTAGGTAGAATTGCAGATATGGTAGTTGATGCGATTGATATTGAAACTCAATTGCCTCAATTGTTAGAAGCTTTAGTCAAAGGTTTACAGGATCATCCAAAAGTTTCAACAAATTGTTGTTGGACATTAATGAATTTGGTTGAACAATTATGCTCAGAGCAAGATCAAGAAACAAATGTTATGTCACCATACTATCCAACTATAATTCCAGTATTAATGCAAGTTTCAGGTAGACCAGATAATGAGAATAGTTCAAGAGCTTCTGCATATGAAGCATTATCAACTTTTGTAACGTATAGTGCATTAGATACCATGGGAATAGTACAAAATATAGCATCAGAAATTCTTTCCAGGTTGGAATCCACAATAGAATTACAATCACAAGTATCTACAACCGAAGACAAAGGTAATTTGGAAGAATTACAAACCAATATATTATCATTATTGACGAATGTTATAAGAAAATTAGGATCAAATGTAATAAATGCAGCAGATAATTTGATGGACAGATTCATAAAGTTATTAAATGCTCAAGAACCCAATTCAGTTATTGAAGAAGATTTATTTATAGCTATATCAGCATTAGCAAGTGCAATCGGTGATGGATTTATGAAATACTTGGAAGCATTTTTACCATATTTAACAAGAGCTTTAGAGAATGTTGATTCACCAACTTGTTTTACTGCTATTGGATTAGTGGGAGATTTGGCACAAAGTTTAGGCTTACAAATTACAGAATATCTCAATGGATTGATGACGATTTTAGGAAATAATTTAAGTAACCCTGACATTAAAAGAGAATTAAGACCAGCTATAGTATCAGCATTTGGTGATGTTGCGGCAGCTATAGGAACCAAATTTGCACCATACCTTGAGTACGTCATGAATATATGTACAGAAGCTGCAAACATAGAACCACAAGATAATTCATTGGAAACCATGGATTATGTATTAGGTGTTCAAGAAGCAGTATTAGATTGCTTTGTTGGTATCACTGCAGGCTTTTCAGATCAACCTCAAACTTTATATCCTGTAGTTGGAACAATATTACAATTCTTGCAAAAAATCTCACAAGACTCAACATTATCAAATAATGAATCAGTTGCAAGATCAGCCACTGGGTTAATTGGTGACTTAGCTGCTATGTATCCACAAGGTCAATTTAAACAGTATTTCGAAAATGACTGGGTCACTGAATTTATCAAAAAGACAAGATCGAACGTCATGTTTGAAGAAAAAACAAAAGATGCTGCAAGATGGGCAAGAGACCAACAAAAAAGACAACAACAAATACCATCTCCAATGGGTTAAGCTTCAGTTAAATTGATCCTCCACAAATTGTTAAAGCATATCTTAATTTCATCAAAATCTTCATGGAAAGAATCAAGTTCAAAAGTTAGGTCAAGTCTATTTACATGGACTTTTCAACATACTTTCCGATCACGAAGTACCTCAAGAATAATTTTATTCACACATCTCTCATGAACTCTAATGTCCTCTTATATATAAGTTTATTATAATATACAACATATTTAATAATAATTACAAATACAATTTTGATGACACCTTAGTTTAGATGGCTTATTTCGGTGAGTAAGAAGTATGCAGCTCCAACATCTTCATTCAATACCCACTGCTTCGAATTTTTCTACATTTGTTTTGTTTTTGTAGTTCAAAATTGGCAAACGAGTCTACTCTAGCTTCCTAATGCAATAAATTATTTTCTAATTAGTTGGACTTTTTGGTGCATTATTTGACTTATTAAAAACTTATTGCGATGTGAGAATTTTAAATTCAAATAAAGAGAACTTTTATACAAAAGTCCATTGTACAAATCGTATAGTCACAAATCAATCAACAAGCCATACGAAGGAATACATTTAAAGTCTGCTGGGCTGGTGGTGTTTGAAAATGAGATTTTTCTAATTTTTCACTGATTTGTGTTAGAGTAAATACAACGCGAGAAAATCTAATTTTTGCAACATCCATCTACTTCTGCAAAAAAAGCTGTTTTGATTAATGTCAAATTTAAATCCCCAAGTGATACCCCAATATGTTCCATTTGATCAAACATACGTACTATACGATCCCAATGACATAGTATCAATTGTCTCAGTTCAATTTACCTTGTTGCCAATATATATCATGGTATTCTACACGCTGTGGTTTTTAATAACTAGAGAAATAGAACCTGTAATAGTAGTTGGGGGCCATTTATTTTCAGAAATTTTAAATAAGATCATAAAAAAATTAGTCAAAAATCCAAGACCTGATTTTCATTTACAATTTGGTGGTATTGGGACTGATTTGAATTACGGAATGCCCAGTGCTCATTCACAATTTATTGGATTCTTTGTTGCTTATTTCACATGTATTATATTCAAAAAAATCCCAAATTTAAATAAAAGAATTAAAATTGGAAGTGGGTTGGTGTTCGGTTTTGTCGCTCTTGGGGTAACTAGTTCACGAGTTTATTTGCAATATCATACATGGCAACAAGTAATTGTTGGAGTTGACTTGGGACTACTAATAGGTTTATTTTGGTTTTTAGTAAGTACATTTGTAAGAGATGTGGGAATAGTAGACTGGGTTTTGAATTGGCCAATTGTACGAGTGTTTTACGTGAAAGATTCTTATTATTATAATTATAAAACTTTTAAAGATGAATATAACTTGTATATAAAAGATAAACAAAATAGAAATAAGAAGAGATAGATTTATAGAAATTTAACAAAACACCAATTGTATTAATATACAAAAATTCTATGTAAAATATTTATTCAAAAATCATCCCATTTCTCTTCATCATCATGCTTTGGTCCACCGGATAAACTTTCATATTTCACACCACTGTCATTCTTCTTATATCCAAAAGCAGTAGGAACATCACCGTTTTCATTTTTACCCCATAAACCATTAAATCTATGATCAATGGTTTTATTCAATCCATTTTCATTAATTTCTTTTGTAAAGTTCTGAAAAGTTTCTTGCCCATATTTACCAGTTTCTTGCATCTTTTGTCCAAATTGGGCCATTGCCTTTTTAGCTTCATTACCAAATTCACTTTCATTAAATGTATTTAAACCTGGTTTTATAACGCTGTTATTAACTTCTTGGACCGATTTGGCAACTGATGATGAAAATAATCCCCAACCTTTTGTGAAAGTTCCCAAAGGATCTTTTTGAAAATTATCAACTGTGAAACCTGATAATGATGAATTAGTATTATTTGATGAATTTGATTGTGGGGTATTACCAAATCCACTGTATTTACCACCTTGATTCGGAGGTAAATCATCTGGTCTTGACTCATTTTTGGCTCCCAAATTAGCAAAATATGCTTCATTCTTCTGTCTTTGGTCATGACTTGAACCATTTTGGTTTAATCCAGATCTGGTATTTGACGCTGATGAAGATGAATTTTTATTATTTAAAGATGAAGAACTCGATTTTATCGAGTTTGCCTCACTATTTTTATCAGGCAAGGTTTCACCGGAATGATCTTTTGGCACAAACTCTTTACCTTCAACTTCACATGTTAAAATCTCTTTATAATCTTCAGCAACATAGTTGTCATATTTTAATTTAGCAGGTAAAGTTAAATCAATACCATTTTCCACAAAATATTTCTTCAATCTTTCATTCCCACCAATTTCCATTCTCAAAGTTTCTTCAGGTTTAAACTGATCCATTGTAATTGATCGTACAAACGATATATGAACCCCCAAACCTCTATGTATACCAGCACATTCTAAACAGATAAATATACCGAATTTCGGTGATGCCCATTGAGGATTTGGTGCCGAACAATCAAAACATCTTTTATTTTCACCAGTCTTTTGTAAATTCAATAATTTTCTTCGAGTTTCCGGATCAATTGACATTTTCTTGAAACAAGTGTATAGAAAAGCTAAATGTTATTTGAATTTGAGTGTGGTATAAATGGATCAAATTTCGAATATAAGCTATCTAACCTTACTCTGTTTTTGACGGTAATTGTTAAATAGTTGTTTCGAATTTCATTGATAACAAAAAAATTTGAGATTCCATTTGGTAGCTTTGGTGATCTCGTATTTCAATTTTGTACTATACTCGCGAACGCCTTTTCTTTGAATGTGGGTATGCTACATCAGAGATTTAGAATCGTTCAAAAACAAAAATTACATATTTAAGTTAGATTACAAACTGAGAGAACGTCTATAATTTGGCACCAGGAGCTGCCAAAGCTTTCTTTAAGGTTACAGGATAATCTTGTGAGCCAGCACCTTGGGAAACTTGCCATGAACCTCCATCAACAACTAATACATCTCCTGTAACAAATTCTGCAGCTGGTGAGAATAAATATACGGTTGCATCAGCAATATCTTGTTTTGTTCCCAACCTTTGTAATGGAATTTTTGACTTGACGGACTCTAAACCCTTTGGTGCCAACCTTGACATACCTTCAGTGCCTTCAATTGGTCCTGGTGCAATACAATTTGATCTAACACCAATTGGACCAAACTCAACAGCTAAGGCATTTGATAATGCATCAACACCAGCTTTTGCAGCTCCTACATGAATTTGAAATGGAACACCATAGTAATGTAAAGTAGCACTTACGAAAATTATAGCACCTTTATTCTTTCTTAATTCTTCAAAACATGCTTTAACCGTATTATAAGAACCCAATAAATCTATTGAAACAACTGATTTAAAAGCATTTGATGATAAATGATTAAAATCTGCTAAAAAGTTTCCAGCAGCTCCTGCGATTACAAAATCTATTCTACCTAATTCAGCAACTGTTTTTTTAACTGCTTCAGCTAATTGTTTAACATCTCTTACATCAACATCTGGTAATGAAACAACTTTTGACCCTTTTCTTAAAGATTGAATGTCTTTCGCAGCTTCATCCGTCTTTTGTTTATTTCTTCCAACAATGGCCGCATTTGCACCTAATAAAACCATAGCTTCAGTTTGTACTCTACATATTGATCCAGCTCCTCCTGTTACAAATACTACTTTCCCTTCAAACAAATTGGGTCTCCAACTTCCTTTGGTTACATAAGTTTCATTTAATGTTGGCATTTTGTGTGATGATTTAAACTTGAATGATTCAATGAGGTGTATGTATAAATTGATTAAAAATTTGAACCGGTCTTTATAAGTATGTCACTACACTATAATTTAGATTTTGAAATAATCCTATGGAATGCTAAGTTACATCAATTTTCTTAGAGCGTGAGTTTTGATCTCCACATTTCGCGCTATTATTTGGTAGCCCCGTCTCAATCCCTCGGGAGAAGTATTCCATCCAAATATATATCATGACTTAAATTTTTTTCAGCTATTTTCTGTCGTCTTTAAAATTGCAAAATGTTCTTGTAATCATCGACTGAAGCCTATACGCTTTTCAGAATTTGATTGAAAAGAGAAAACGGAAAAGTTTTAGAACGGCGATCTGCAAACCAAATTTTTGCAGCTTTTAATATAATTTTGAACATGCTAAAGTAGATACGAAACGAGAAAGAAAAACTCTCTATTAACCAATTTTTGAAAAAGCTTTATAAAAACTGAATAATTAATTATTAATACATAAATATAGAACAAAAACAGTGGAATGAAGTTCAACATACGGACAGTAACAAAAAACAATGATCAAACAAAAAATCCGAAATTGATCAACGACTCGATCTTTAGCGATCGTTCACATTCCTATCACTAACAGCATTCACTAAAACTTTATTCATACTTGATTCAAGTTTATCTGAATTCAAGACTGGTGATGATCCAATGTAAGACTTTTTGATGCTATAAAGTTCAGATGACGAGTCTTCTGATACATTTTCATCCTCGTCTCTTGATATTTCTCTTGGTCTTTTCTGTCCTATGCTGAAAGAGTCGTTCTGCTCTTCTTCATCTTTCAGAGTTTCCTCTTTATCTTGATCCATCTTCTTGACGATTGCTTCATCTTCATCACTAATAGGATTAGAAGCATTTCTTTCCAAAATATCTTTTTCATCATCTGATACTATGATTTCATCAATTTTGATTAATTCTGATTCCTCAACATCCACGTTCTTCACCGTTAATTTTATATCATTATTCTCATTATTCTCATAAATTTCGTTATCATCATCGTCGTCATCATCATCATCATCGTCATCATCATTATCATTGACATTAATACGCTCTATAATTTCGGTATTCTCATTAAAATTATCACCAACTAAAGTTACCAATTTTTGACCAGTATCTGTATAATCAATGCTCATGAGGCAGGCATAATATTTGTTCGCTAAGTAAGCAGCTATTCGTTTGTAATTTGTTCTACTTTCATAATTCGAAGCATCACTCAATCGTATTATAGATTCGAAAAAATCAAGAAAAGTTGAATTGATTAGTGCATTTTCATTTGAAATTTCCTTGAAATACTCCATCAAGTATTCAAGTATATGGTCCTCAATTATGTGTTTTGTGTATAAGTCATCATTTAACAAAACAATATCTCTTATACACCTTATGATATGTAATTTCAAAACTTTCGTACTATTTGACAGTAGTAGCTTCACAAATCCTTTTAGAATGCTATTTTGTATTATGAAGGGTCTTGAAAATGTAATATCATACTCCTTTGAGCAATATGAGACTAATTCACACAAAATCTGCATTAGCTTTTGATCTTTTCTTGATATATCTAATGGAGAATCTAATGCATCGGCGATTTTGCTCATTGGTTTAAATAAAATTGGTGCTACTTCCGCATAAAATAGTTGAAAGTACTTTTTAATACCATTTTTATCATAAACATTTGTTGAAGGTGTGCTTGACTCGATGATTGTTGGATGAACTTTCACACTCATTAAATCGTTGTTGTTATTGTCAGAAGTTTTGTAATTAGCATCTAGCAATGATTTTATGGCTTCAAAGGCTTGCATTTTTAAACTTAAATTGCTGTCACTCACTAGTAAATTACTTAATGTAGACACTAATTTCATGTTATTGGGGATAGATTTTCGACACGTTTCATTAAACTCTTGAACCTTGTCTACTTTTAAGTCGCATTCATTCCTAGTGTTTGTTGTTTGCTTGGAATCTGATGAAAAGTTTGATTTGATTATTGGTGTTTCCTCCTCAAATTTGGATATTAATGAAATATCTTGATCAATTATCATGACAATCAATTCAGTACCCAAAATTCTTATTGCACTATGTTCATCATGTAAAGCGAAATTGATCATTTTGAATAAGCCCGAGCTCACCAAAACCGCAAAGAAGTCATTCTTTTGTAACGATTTTGCTGTAACTAAATACTGATGTAGCATCTTTATTCCTTCTCTTTTCAATTGTATGTCAGCGTCATTATCATCATAAATTTTAAATACTTGTTCCATCACACTTTCCTTTTTTAAATACTCGAAGATTTTCATTTGGTTTGAAAATACTATATTATTGAATACACTGTGAGCTTGATCATCTAAATATTTCGGTAGCACTAAGTCCTGCAAAGTGGTTAAATAATAATCATTTTTGAATATTGCAAATTCGTCAACTGGTATTATAGTTTTAAAAGATTTATCGTTGAAAAGATCTTTGTAACTGGTTTTGGAATCTGGACACTCTGAATCATATTCAAATATACCTACCAATGCTAATATCCTTTCTTCAGTTGCAACTAAATCCTCGATCAACAACGATTCTCCGTAAGCAAATAATATTTTGTAGATATCACTCAATGAGCAAAGCATGGTTGTATTTTTCTCTGAATTTGCTTTCTTATATAAATTTATTAATTTATCACAATATTTTGTATCGATTAAATATTCTGCAATTCGAACACGTGTGAATTGAGAACTCAAACCTTGATTCAAATTCTCAAAAATTGATGTTATATTTTCATTTGATGGAGTTAAAGGTGGATATCGTATAGGACCAGTGATTAATTCTGTTAAATCTTCTCCTCCATCTTGTATATTCGATATCACGTAATACAATGAAATATTTGGACTAATGTTCCCCTGTTGAACATTTATTATAAAATCACATAAATCAGCACATCCATCTGTTTCTTGAAAAGATAAAGCTAAGTCAGTACCATTGGAATCAGTCCATACAATTAATGTTTCTTGTTGCCTTTGATATTGTATTGTACCTTCAAGGTAAGATTTCAAGATTATGTCCTTTTCGTTATTTTCTTTTCTAACTAAAAAGTATGGTCTATTACTTCCTTCCTCTATGTTACCAGTACAAAATCCTGTTCCGTTATCTATCCAATCTTCACCATTCAATAAATATACTTTGACTCTTCTTGATACACGCTCTTGTATTTTTCGTTTTAATTCAACTAGTTTTGATTTATCAATAATTTCACCTTCATTCAATTTTTCTTCTATACTTTTATCTTTATCTTTATCTTTATCTTTATCATTCATTATCCATAGAGAAGTTGGATTCTCTCGATCTCTTATTTGTTGACCTACTTGGTTTATTTGGTAATTCTATCTAATTTGGCAGTTTCACTAATGGTCGTTATTGTTTATCGAATATGATCAACCTGCTTCGATGAGTATATTCTCGTTGGTTGTTTGTATAAGTTAAGTTTATAATAACGCTTTTGCAACACAATAAATATTTAATTGTTTTTATTTTTAGATTTACGCGTAATGATATCAATTTATCAATTAATATACATCATACAAAATGATTACTTCAATTCTATATCACTCTATCGACTATGCTATTCTATTTACACACCCAATCAATGACTTACAAGAGCAGCACCAGCTAGACTTCTTAACCATTCTCTTTGTTCAACATCATGGGTGTCCTCAACTTCTCCCCATCTACTAGTTTGTATAATTGTTTCCAAATTACCTAATTCTATAATTTCTTCAACAGATTTATACCAAAATTTATCTTGAGTATCTTTGTTTATTTGAAATACATCTTTCATTCGCTTTGGATCAGTCACATTTGATCTTAATATTGAAATACCACAAAGAAAAGATTTTGTTGTTAAAACTGTTTTCTCTAATGCTATAAGTTCAAATATACTAATTTCATTTAACCAATTCATTACTACTTCCTTTGTCTTGAGTGATTGTTTATTACCTCTTAATCCATCTTTTTCACAATCCAAAAAGTTTAATTTTATCGATTCATCATTTTTCAATAACCCTTTAAATTTTCCATATTTAGTGAAAAATTCATCATATTCCTTGATCAAAGGTATGTATAATTCATCTTGTTTTTGTCTCAATAATCCATCACAATCTTTTACTCCTGCAAATATAAGACACGTATCAGTATCAAGATAATTTAATAAACCTAATTTCAAATCGTCAATGGCAATTAACTCTTTAACTTTTTCATTCTCTGTTTCATTTATTTTATGAGCCGATTCTAAATCTATTGCTCTCGCAGCCAATTCAGTTAATGGTAAAGCACTTGATTTTACTGATACACTTGGTAAATTTGTCCATTCATGAGATATTAAATATGCTAATTGTTTCTTAGTGTTTGGTAGTGTCAATGGTAATCCTAAAGGTGTTCGCAATGTTTTACCATCCAATTGTACTTCATATCTGTTAGTTGCTTCGTTATAGAACACATTACCTTTATCCCAAAATCTCTTGCCAGTTTTAGCTAATCGATTTGTTTCTGATTGAATATTATGTTCTGGTATTTTATTGTGCAAAGAACCTTGATTTATTTGATGTAGCCTTGAGCATATTAAAAAAGATCTAGAAGATGTGAAAACACACCTTTGAATTGGTGATTTTAAAAGCATTGATGATGATTTTTGATAATGGTTGTGAAAAACAATTGAAAAAAAAATAATTCCATAAATTTCCACAATCATCAACCACAATCACAGCACAACCAAATTAAAAATGAATCAAGAGGCATTGCAAAAGGTTCTAATAGAAATGGACAATCAGCTTAATAAATCAAGAGCAGAATTGTCAATGGTGAATTTACAGCTAGATAGAGTTAACACAAATTTAAATGTAATAAATTCAACGAATAAACGATTAAACAAGTTAAATAAACAGGATGAACAAATCTGGCAAGGAGTGGGTAAAGCATTTATAGCTAATACTACCAAAAATTATCTCGATGAATTAGCCACAAATGAAAAAGAATATAAGTCAACTGAGAAAAACCTAAAGATAAAACAAGATTATTTACAAACTACTCTTGAAAAGACAATTGATAGTATGACGAAAATAGTGGGAAATGGGGAAGAAAAAAAATGAGGCTAGTAATCGATCAAGTATTCAAAATAAATAATCATCAACGTTAAATTACAAATGTCCTGTAAATTAATTTTAGAAGTACGGTGAGACGGTAGTGACTAAATATTGAGCCAATTGACCTCATTCAAACGTCAATGATGTAACGTCTGATTCCTAAGTAATGCATAGACTCCATAGACTCTGTAATTTGAATCTTAATAGCAACAGATGGTTCAATTCAAGTATAGTAATAAATCAATCTTCTTCATTTTCTTCGACACCTTCATCTAAAACTTTTCTCTCAATATCGTCATCTCCATTTTCATTATTGGTCTTTTCTAATTTCATTCGATCCGTTAGAAATTCATTAATTTGATCTTGCAAAGTAGTTATAGCAGCTCTCAAATTACCAAGGGGTGTATCATTATGTTCGCTTGGTTTATCTCGATCTTCTCCACCTGCATTTATAACTATATCTGAAATTTGAGTTGTTTTACCATTTGTTGTATGTGGACCATCACCTGGGTCGAACGAATGTTCTATATCATTCGACTTATATGTAGCCGTAGGCTTGAGACTCATTAACAGAGTAAAAAGTTCATGATTTGATTGTGCGTAATATTTTTTTTTGTTTAAATTATGGATTCGTTAACTATCATACAAGTATCTATTTACTCAACCTTTTCATCAAAATCTTTTATCTTAATTCTATTAGCAGTATTTGAATAAGCATTAAATTTTATCTCAATTATCTCATCTGTTTTAAAATTCAATGTCGGAATATCATAACATGAACAAGATAATAAGTAACCATACAACACTTTTAATATCGTATCATCAGCTATGATTAATATATCACCACTCATTCTTTCCATTTCTAAAATTAAAGGTTCAATCTTTATAGCTAAATCATGATAACTTTCAGCTCTTGAAAATCTGTAATGATATGGATCCTTTATATATTGACTATATTCATCTGGATATTTTTCTGCAATTTCTTCATCAGACATACTTCCAACTATACCTGGATTTTTCTGGGACAATTGTATTCTATGTCTTACATTTATATTCTTTTCTTTCAAAAATTGTGTTGTTTCAACAGTCCTCTTCTTGACTGATGTCCATATAACTAACGAATTATCATCTACTCCATCCATTCCTAATGCAGGTTGTCTTTCATCAACCGATAATTCTCTTTGAAGTTTTGGTTTACTTGTTGGAACTATTTTTTCCAAATATGTTTTACCTTCGGATTTTAATTGTTCAATTAAAGTGTTTGTTAAATTTTTAGCATATCTAGTTCCTTCATCATCTAGTGGTGGATCAAAATTGTAATCTAAGGAATTCTTATAACATCTTGCCAAAAACACTGAACCTGATTTGATACTACCATTCATTAAATAAAATACGACTTTATTTATCAAATACCCATAATTTGAATTATGCAATTCTATTCTTTCACCGAAATTAATGAATTTGATGTATGATAATTGCTTTTCTAAATCATTACTTTGCATTTCTTGATAATATGGCGCTAGAGCATTAATTCTTTCACTATAATCCTTATATGCTTTTTCATAATCCCAATCTTTATAATCTGGAGAAGATCTAGCTGCTTCTTCTATATTTTTCATAACTATTGAATCATCAGTTACTAAACTTTCAATAAATAATACTTGAATATTTAATTTACTAAATTTTTCATGTAATTGAATTCTAAATTCTGGTTTTGCATTTACTGCATCATAAATTGCAACTTGTCCCTTATCATTCTTAAAAAAATTTAAAATATCATTTAAACATTCATTTACTACTTTTTCTCTTAATGCATGAGCTTTATCACTCTTTGGAGTTGGTACAAATAAATCATGAGTTAAATCATCTTCAGCACTTGCTCTTCTATAATCACCTAAATGGAAAGAATGAGTTTTAACACCTAACCATCGTAAATATCTTGTTAATGAAACAGATAAATGTGTTTTACCTCTTCCAGGTAATCCAGCTAATGCTATAATGATTTTCCCAGCATGAAATAATCTACCTGATTCAGTAGAATATAATTGAGCTCCACCCAATTCACTTAATGGATCAATTTGTTTATGTACTCCATCTACTCCAGTTATGTCACTTAATCTTCTAGGAATAGCCTGTAGTGGTGAATCTACAAGATTAGGTTTTGAATTTTCGTGGAATGACCATCTTTTTCGTGTCCTCATTTGATTCCTACTAATAGGTTGTGAACCAAATCCATTATATAGTTCTACAGAATCTTCTTCTTCATCGGATATTACTGTTGGGTGAGACATTGTACAATATGAATTAATTTCTTGATTGATAAGTTTGAGTTTTAAAATTTAAAATGGATCGTTTTTGTGAAGTTAGAATCGACTGAAGATTTGATCGGTAACTTAAGAATTTTCATCTATCCTTATCGCTCAATTATGTGACATTATTATCAACGCATATAGATTGTTTGAAACCGAAGATGCTACCAATGTTCTTTTCAGATTAGTGGGGTTGCTGATGAACCGGTAATAAAGATATCAAGTTTGAGGTGGATGATTTAAAATGGGAAGCTCCTAATCCACTTGGAGAAGAGAATATTCATCATGAGGATTGAGAAGAATTGTATCATCAATCGACCAAATTCGATGAGAATTAATAAAGCACAGAGTTTACCCAGAGATCTCATCAAAAAATCCATCGTTTCGTTAAATGGAGATTAAAAATGGGCGAAAATGAGTGAGCTTTTTGGTCTGTGAGTTCATCCTCTTTAAACATGGTAAGTGTTTGAACTCAGTTTAAATTGATGTATTGGTATACATAGAGATATTTGAGAATCTTACACTACCTATGCATCAGTACTGCACATAACCTTGATGAAAAATTTCTTTACAATTTTCATTTTTTAAATTTTTCATTTAACTTTTAGTACAAAAAAAATTTTTCACTTGAAGAGTAGTATTAACCACAATCAATCAATAATACCTAACAAAAATGGCTAAAATCTCACAAGGTATGTGATGATCGAAATGGACTAAGGGAAATACTTTATGTCAAACTAAATGCTGAATGTTGAAATAAGAATTTTGAAGTAGCATCATCACCATTTGGAACGACGTTGTTCAAATCAAGATTTGTTGAATTACACCATCCAGAACAATAGCTTAAGATAAACGAGACTATAGCAGCGAAAACTTAAGAAAAGATAGGATTCAAACAAATAGAAAATTCAGCTCATGTCAATCTAAGTTTCTTCCCCTCCCATCTTTTTTGAATCCCATATACTAACATATATATTTTTTTAGACGTTTCATCATCAAGATCAAAATCAAGAAAAGCTCACTTTTCATCTTCATCAGTTGAAAGAAGAGCCATCATGTCAGCTCCATTATCAAAAGATTTAAAAACCAAATATAATATCAAATCATTACCAATTAGACAAAATGATGAAGTTTTAATTGTTAGAGGTTCTAAAAAGGGATCAGAAGGTAAAGTTAATTCAGTATATAGATTAAAATTTTCAATTCAATTAGATAAATTACAAAAAGAAAAATCAAATGGTGCTTCAGTTCCAATTAATATTAATCCTTCAAAAGTTGTCATCACTAAATTACATTTAGATAAAGATAGAAAAGCTTTAATTGAAAGAAAAGGTGGTAAATCAGAATAAATTTTGAGATTATAAAGTTTAGCTTGATTTAAGCAAGAAGGAAGAAGTGTATAACAGATGAAAATAATATATTATTAATTATTTTTGGATATAATGTCTTAATAAACTTTTCAACGAAACAAATGAATATTTTCTTTAAGTATGTAGACTTTTTGATCCTCTAGATTAAGACAATAAAAAAAAGAGAGCTCAATTATTAAGTAAAAAAAACATTTTAATAATGTCTTTCTTCTCAGTAATAATAGCTCAAAAATACATTTAAATGTACACTGGTTAACAAATACTAGGCCCCCGGCGGGACTCGAACCCGCGATCATTAACTCCGGAAACTAATACCTTAACCAACTAGGCCACGGGGGCATGTTTGTAAAACCAAAGTAGGCTTGTTTGATAGTGACCATGTTAAATTGTGGCCCTTGTGTCGACCTACAACTTAATCGTGTGACCTTAATCTTCGTAGTAAATGTTCCCCGAAAAAAAAAACATCTCTAAACTTCCTTCCAATTGCTTCAACTTAATCATCATCATCATCGAACAACAATGTTTAAACAAATAGGATATAGCTCAATGAGGCTAAATAGATTTGGTAAACAATCAATGACACCAATTAAACTAATAAATAGATCATATATGATCAAATCATCAATTATAAAACCATTAATTTCAACAACTCCAAATTTTAAATCATCTATATTAAATATATATAGAAATTATTCACTAAAAGATACTCCAATACCACCTCAACCACCAAAAGATAAAAATTTAAAAGGCAAAAAAATTTTAAATAGAATAAATCGAGCATTTACATTTTCATTATCAACAATTTTAGTTATATTTGCATCAGCTATATCTTTGTTAGTTATATATTTAATATTATCTGAATTATTATTACCATCAGGAGATACAAGAACTTTTAATAAAGCTGTAAAAATAATAGAAAATTCAAAAGATGCTCAAACAATATTAAATTTCCCTCAGGGTGAAAGATTAAAAGCTTATGGTATAGTAGCAGCAGATAAATGGATTAGAAATAGACCTGTTCAAAGTATCAAAAAAAGATCAACAATAGATGATAAAGATCATTTGTTTATGCAATTTCAAGTTGAAACTAATCAAGGTAAAATTGGTATTGTTAATTTAGAACAATTAGATTATACTTTATTTAAAACAAAATTTGAATATATTTCTTTAGATGTTCCTGGTGAAAAAAGAATTTGGGTTATTGAACCTGAAGGATTATTAAGAAGACAATTAATGGGGAATTCAAGCACGAGAACTGGTAGTGGATTTTTAGGATTAAATTGGGGTCCAAAAAAAGATTAATAGAGGGAAGTAGTAGGCAAAATGTATATAAATTTTGAATCAATATCGTTAATCAATTATCTCATTAAGACAAAATACAAAATACAAACATGGAAAATTGAACTTATTAGTCTTTTTGGTGATAATTTATTACCAATACTTTTCTTTTTCGATTTCCGATTAATTGGTGGTGGATTTAAAAGTTCTGGTTCAATAATTTCAGATGATTCTAATGATTCATTACTAGATTTATTAGGTTCAATTTTAACATCTTTCTCATTATGAAATTTTATAGTTTTTTCATTTGAATCAATTTCATCATTTAATAAATTAAAACAAATATCTTCTTGATCTTTCAGTAAACTCTGATTTTGTAATTCACCTCTATTTTGTAAAGTACAAATTTCTTCTTTTTCACCAGTTTGTAAATAATATTGATTTAAAGCAAAAGAAGCTCTAATTAATGGTGAACAATCACTATATTTTCCATATTGACCAATTTTTCCATTACAATTTATTTCAAAACAATCAATTTTATAACATAAATTTTTTATAAATTCTTCTTCATCAAATGAATTTTGGGAATTTGGTAAAATTATACATTTTAATGAATTATATAAACAATCACATTTTAATGAATTAGGAGTTTGTGGTAAATTTGTTGCTATATTCCAAGTATCTGATATTAAATCATTACATTTAACATTATTTAATTCTATCTGCTCATTCAAGTCAACTTGAACAGGATTTTCGTCGTCAATTGCATTATATTTTGATTTTAAATTTTCAAAATCTGGTAATTTTAATATCAGTTGATCCTTTTTTATCAATATTAAACCATAATGATTAATTTCTTCAAAATATTCATACATAATACCACCAGACCAAATTTTTTTCATATTTTTATTAAAAATAGATTCAATTTCAGTGAAAGGTCTTGGTTGAATTAAATTACAACCAAATTCACTGAAAAAAATCGGGGTGGGAAATTTATTAAATTCTAAATTTAAATCCTTATATCCTGATGTTGCATAAGTTGAATAACCACACCATTCATAATTATTAATTGCAAAAAAATCTATTTTACTTAACTCGTTGTCTTCATCATTCGGTAAATCACAAACAAGATAATTTGCTAAATTTGATCTAATTACTGTATCATCATTTGATGCATAACCTATAGGAATTTTTCTATATCCCATATCATTAATATATTTCTTTATATCTCTAATTGAACTTCTTATAAAAGGAGCAGAATCAATATTCAGTTGAGAATTTGCAATTTCATTACCTGCAAAAAATCCTAAAACATTATTATATTTTGACATTGAATCAACTACAGACTTATATCTTTTAAAAATTTCAGTATCCCAATGAGGTGAATCCCTTTTTATCGAAATAAAAGGTTCAGATAAATCTGCAATTATATATATACCTTCAGAAGCAAAAGCATTCATACAAACATCATGATTCGCAAGGGGATTAATTTGATAAATTCTAACTACATTAATATTTAATTCAACAAGATTCTCCAAATCTCTTAAACATGTAAAAGGATTACTTAATGGATCAATATAATTTGTTTCCTTTGTTGTATCATAAATTTCTCCTTCTTGACGAGTTTTTTGATATGCTATTCCACGAATGAAAAATTGATTTTTTGTTGTAGATTCATAAAATTTATTTTGATGGATTTTTATTGTTTGAATTAATTGACTTGGTTCTGGTTTTGCTTTGATTAGTTGTTGTAAGAATAAAAATGGGAATATATACCACCAATTCATTATCATTGGTTGCAAAAAGTAAAAGAATCAGAAAAAAAAAAAATTCAGTTTGTTATTGTTGCAAAAAAATACATATGGTAGTTGTTTCATAATATTCATATTCATACAATTAGTACATTAAAATATTTCATATAAATTTTTAAATTCTTTTTTACCTTTACATTCAATCATAAAAATTTCATTATTATCTAATTGAATTAATAAACCAGCTTTACCAATTTTTTTAAAATTTTTAGAGCTACTTGAAAATTCCCAATTATATTTTAATTCATTTAATTCATTATAGAATTTAAAATTAAATCCACCTTCAAAATTTTTAAAAATTAAAATTTTCATCATTGATATAATTTCCCAAGATGATGGATTATTTAACCGTGAAGAATCTAAATTTTTTTGTAATCTTATAATCATTTCTAATTTTAAATTGTCTTTATCATTATTTAAAATTGAATTTAAACTTGAAAAAGTTGATGATTTACTTTGACTTTGATTATCCATTATTGATGATGTTATAGTACTTATTGAATTATAACTTATAGTTGAAGGTAATAAATTTAAAACATTATTTAAATTGAATTGTAAATTTTCAATTATTAAATTTGTTTTACATCTAATCATTATTAATTGATTCTCATTAGTTATTGAATTTTTTGTATTAATTTGTAAATCTAATGGCGATGATAATCTAATTTTTGTTTGATTATTAATATCTAACAATAACACTGGTTTATCAATAATTTCTAAATTTTCAATTACCTCCTTAAATATAATTAACCAACAATTATTATTTTCTGAATCAATTACAATCTTTACAAATATTGATTCTGATGTAGTTATCATTTCCCATTTCCCATATTTTTGTTTCCATTTTGAAATTTTAAAATTTTTTGGTATTGATTCTGATATATAATAATCTTTTGTTAAATCCAGATTTATTTGATTTTTTAAATTTTGAGGTATAATTAAATCATTTTCAGAATCTTCATTAGTTTGATCAGTTGATAAAACACTACAATTTGGTTGTTTGAAAAAATAAGTTGATGTAGATGATGGTAATGCAAATGGTGCTGGGATTTTAGATACTGATCTTGTCATTGATTTTTCTGGATTTGCATCATATTGAGGTGGTGTTTGAGGAGGTGTTGATATTTCATTAATTGAAGGTTTTGAATCATTATTATTTAAAGTTGTTATTTCTGATTTAGATGAATTTATATCTGATTTAGATGAATTTATATCAATTTTTGATGAATTCTTTTTGAAAAGTTGAAAAAATCCAGATTTCTTCTTTGGTGGTTTAAACTCAGGTTGATGACTTTTACCAAAATTTGAAATATCAATAGCTGAACCAGTTGATAATTGATATAATCTGGAAGGATTATTATTTCTTAAATCAGGTACTGAATAACAATCTTGTTTATAAACAGGTTGAATAGGTTGTAAATTTATTGGATCATGTATTGATTCAATACTTTCTGGTGAACAAAATTCAGCTTGTGATGAAATTGGTCTTTCTTTTGATTCATCCAGATAATCTTCTGATGTTTTTCTTCTATTAATTATTCGAAATAATTTTTCATCATCGTCTTGTTCTTGTTCATAGTTATTGGTGATTGTCTTTTTAATAATTGGTAATGATTTATCATATTGAGATACAAATGAATCAGCTCTAGGTTTTTTAATTGGGGATGAAATGATTGAATTTTTATTTAATACAAGAGTTTCTTCTGATGATGATAAATATCTTTTATGTTCTGAATCTGTAACTAGGTTAATACCTAGTCCTGATAAATTATTTGGCTTTGTTGGTGATTCAATTAAAAAATTCTCACTTAATGGTGAATTATTCCTTTCTAATGGACATATTTTTGAAATTTTATCAACCCATGAATCACATAATTCTTGATTTTGGAAATTTAGAATCATTAAATTATAATCTTCATCTCCTTTAAAATTAATCATCTTTAGGTAAATTTCATTTTTCCATGAAGATAGTGATAATTCATTAATACGAAAAGGTGGATATATTAAATTTTTAACAATTTCTCCTTCATTTTCATTTATTGATACAATAGCTAATGCATTATAATCTATTCCATTGTTTAAATCTAGTAATATTAATTCAATCAAATTGTTATTCATATAAATCTTTGAAGTACCAGTCCTATCTTTGATTTGATCAATAGTAAAATAACTAGAAACAATCGATGATGAATCAAATGATTGAATATGATCAAATTTAATGTTATTTAATTGTTTAAGCAAATTATCATTTTGATTTTGTTCATTTAATTGAGTCAATTGTAAACTGATACTTTTTAATTTTTCAATTATGAATGGATTTCTTAAATTTAGTACACACTTTTCAACAAAACTCTGAATAAAACTAATTTGTTGAATTATAGGTGAATTTAATTTTTCAAAAATAAAATTATCATTAACTTCAAGATCTTTTAACCTTTTCAAATATTTGTTAATTAAAATTATATAATTATTATCAAATATCAATATAAATTCATTTATCAAATTTTTAAATGATTGTTTTTCATCAATTATATTTCGTAGAACATTAGAAATGATTTTATTTAATTCATTATTTTTTGTATATAATCCTCTAGCAACAGATGCAATAGATGAAGTTGAAGTAGCAGTAGTAGTATTAATGGTATTATTAGTGTTGGTTGAATTAGAGAACGATTTTATTAATCCTAATATCTCTATAAATGAGTCATTCTGACTGGTTGTAAATTGGTGTAATTCTAATAGTAATTCTTTTGGAGTTTTGAATGATGATGATGATCTTAATCCTTCTTCTTTTGTTAAATTTTCCATTCCTTTTTTTACTGAAATCCTGTTTGAATCTTCTAAATTGACTAATATGAAGATGTAATAAAAGTAGAATATGAAGAAATAGGTGGTTGCTTTTCTATAAATATATAATTTCTACATATTTGGTTTAATAATAGATGAAAGGAGTGGAGTTATTAAAATGGTTTTTGTGTTTCTTAATTCTTTTATGTTTTGAAACGCGTCTTTTTATTTTTAGTTTTTATTTTAAAAATAAATAAAAGCGTGTTTATTATTATTATTAAAGGCAAGATGAGATTAGTGATGATGAGGTTTGTATCTCGAAGTAATTAATTATATCCTAATTGAGATGTAAATTGATCAAATTAGGATATTCAATTAATTTAAAACCGACTACTATAATAGAAAAATGGCGGTTCATACATTTTCCACCAATAGTATTTTTTGAACGTTTTTAAATCCATTGATTACATTTATTTCAAAAATATTCAATGGTAAAAGCAGTATCACTTTCTTTTCAAATACAAAACATTCGGAATTTATACTGAAAAGTGTCTTTAAAACTTGTTGAAGCTCTTTGAGACGAAACCATCTCAAAGTATCGTCTTTGCTCGACAAATGTAAAAATAGATCTCAATAATTCAAAACACAAAACACAAAACTTAATTTATTTACGATTTGACATGTAGATCTGAAACAATTACTACGATTGTTTTCGTTAAATTATTTACATTAAAAAATCATACTCGGGTGTCTCGACTTGTAAACCAATCGAAGATCCTAAACCAAAACCACCACCAATGGCCAGTCCCTATTGAACATCAGAATCTTATTTAGGGGTACACATTTTTTAAGAATTGAAAAATTTAAAAAACTACAATATTTTGTGGCAAATGTAAGTGGTTTTTTTTTCCTAATAACTAATTGTTGATTAAAACAATAGTATACTTTGCTAAACAAGAAAACTAAAACTTAATATGAAGAGGAAAAATTGGAAATCAGTTACCTAAATAACATATCTCAAGTCCATGCCTTGTTATATGATTTATTTACAATTGGTTTTTTGTCATCTGCCAGTTTCTTTTTTATGTTTGATAAAATTGAGTTGAAAATTTGTTGATGTTTACGTCTTGGTGTTTGAGACACGATCATGCATTCGTGGCGATGTGATCGTATGAATGTTCAAAAGTTCGTCTAATCTAGAGTCACCCTTGTAGAATGGGAGAATTGTCAGTAATTTGTATGTTATTTGTAAGGTGTCCCTCTTCAACATTAGTAAAGAGTACGCATTGATCACCCATTGGTTGTCTACCACTTTTTAATTCAAGTATCTCCTTGTACGGTTATTATGCATTATACTGTTCAACTAACACTTGTAGATGATTCTGGCTCAAGGGCCTAGAAGTTGATGTTGAAGAACTGAATAATTATCCCTTGATTTTTCAAAAACCTCACCTTTTCCAGCTTGGTTCGATGGAATCGTGAATGATCAGCTCCTAGGTTCAATAGCCAAAATCATTTAAAAACAGCAAGTCCAACATGCTGGCAATTCAAGATGATCTTGGTTTTTAAGTGGTGGTTCAACTGGAGTAAAGGTTTCCGTATAAGCTGTGACTTCTTTCTGACTGTAAATTGAGTAACCATTCTCGCTTTAAAGCAAGTATCACATTTCATAGTGTGCACCCATTTTGTACCAATAGCATTCTTTCTTTCCATCTTGCTTTTCAATGTATTTCCTTCAGTATTCCCTTCTACTTTCGGAGCTATCCAGTCTTTGAACCTATTTTTAAAAAAATATCTTTCCATAATCCCCCCAGTCAGAAAAGCAAAATGGACAGAAATGTACCTATAAATAAGTTCAAAGACGGGATTGCTCCGAAAGAAAAAGGAAAACTGAAGGACGGACAATTGGTGTAGTTCTAGCAATTATAGAAACAACAGTTTCCACTAAATCTGTATCTAGCAATCTAAAAGCATACCTATCCAAGCAATATCCAATAAAAATCGCCTTTTTCCCATTGCTGACTATCTACCTCTATTCGTAATTAGAACATGGTTGTGTTTTTATGAAATCGAAATTGTCGATTTATTAATTAGCAAGCTTCGATATTGATTTAAATGATGAAAAGTTTTATAGAAAGAAAAATAGTATTATGATAATTCAAAGTGAATGGAGGAAATGATTTGTAACAACAATGATAATACGAAATATTTTAATGACTTTAAATTCAACTCTATTAAATCTGCTCTAACTCTTTAATTTCGACCCTCAAATGATGCTCAAACCTTCAAAATCTGTAGACACTATGTCAATAGACGTCAATCAATATTAACTCATCATTTCAAAATTCTTTACTAATGATCCATTCTAAACAATTTTCAATACCTTCACCAGTAATCCCACTAACTAATTCAATATTCCATTGATTAGGATTTAAAGTTTCATTAAGTTTTAATTTATTCATAACATTGTTTTTTAAATTCATTAGTTGTTCTTTATCTTTAATTAAATCAATTTTATTAATAACAATTAATAAATAAATACCAAAAGTTAATCTATCTTGTAATATAATTTTATCATATAATTCTTTAAAACTTTCTTGTAATCTATTTTCACTTAATGAATCAATTACCCAAATAATTAAATCAGTTTTATCAAAATAATTATTCCAAAATGATCTTAAAGTAGTTTGTCCTCCTATATCCCATATATTTAATGTATAATTTTTATATTCTATTGTATTTATTTCAAATCCCATAGTTGGTGATATTTTATTTATATCTTTATTGAGAATCTTTTTGATGATTGTTGTTTTACCTGAATTATCTAAACCTAATGTTAAGATTCGAATTTCTTTATCTTTAAGCTTTTGTTTTCTAATGATTGTTAATAACCCCATGTCACTGCATTCTGTATGTGTTGATGGTAAATAGATTACTTTTGAATAGTCATGTTAAGATTTAAATCTAAATTCCGCAACCAAATTTTGTGTTTAAAATAAACTACGCATTTCTTTTGCAACTTCACAAATTCACTTCACATATCGAACCATAAACATGTCACAAGTTGTCATATGAATAAAAACAGAGTAACAAGTTATGGGTAAATTATCAGATGTAATACCAACTTCAAATTTTGAGTTGAAAAGAGGACTTTCTCAAAGATCTATATTTGATTTTACGCGTACTGAAATAGCAATAAAAGATGAATCAGTTAATCAAGAGGTAGTTATGGATGAAGGAGAAGTTATTGAATTCAAACAAGAGAATGGAGAAGATAGTCAAATACGCGTGAAAGAAGAGGAGACACGTGAAAGTTTAAAAATTGAGGAATCTTGTTTGTTTCCAACTATAGATCTCAAACAAGAGATCAAACAAGAAACCAATCAAGAAGAAGACGTGTCATGTCCAGTCTGTGATACAAATATATCAAGTCTAGATATACGAAGTAGAACAGATCATGTTGACACTTGTTTAGTTAAGTTTACATTTGTTGAAGATGAAGAAGAATCAAGTACTTCATCAAAAAGAAAATCATCAACTAGTTCAAGAGGTTCTACACCAACAAAGGAAAAAAATTCATCAACCACTAAGGAGGCTAAATCACCAAGGAATAAAAAACGTAAAGTTGTTAAAGAAAAAATACGATATATAAACTCAACTACTTCAATAAGGAAAACTGAAAAAATTATCAAGCCACCACCATCAACAACACCATCAGCTCCAACAATTTCAAATTCAAAATTTACAAGAAGAGAAATAATCCCATTAAAGATAATGACTTTCCCCATTGATGAATCAAAAAATTTAAAATATAGATTATCAGTTGATGCTTTTAATTTTGCTCCACATGAAATAATAAATCAATATTTTTTAACTCATTTTCATGCTGATCATTATGGAGGTATATCAAAAAAATGGGCATATGAAAGAGTATTTAAAGAAGATACAGATTATGAAGATGATTCAAAATATAAAAAAATTATTTATTGTACTGTTATAACTGGAAAATTATTAACTTTATATTTTTCAATTGATTCAAAATTTATAAAACATTTAGAAATGGATATAAGATATAAAATTAAAAATTATGAACCAGATAAAATTGAAGATGTTGAAGATGGTGGATTTATATCAAATGATGAATCACCAGGATTATATGTAACTCCCCTTACAGCTAATCATTGTCCCGGAGCAGGAATATTCCTATTTGAATCAATAAATTTTAAAAATGAAAAATATAGAATATTACATTGTGGAGATTTTAGAGTTAATATGGAAATATTAGATCATCCACTACTAAAACCTTTTAGTTTAGGTAAAAATGAATTCCCAAATTGTTTAAAAATAGATAAATGCTATCTTGATACAACTTATATGAATCCAACTTATATTTTCCCCAAACAAGAATTAGTATGTAATACTATAGCTCAATTATTTGAAGATTTAACAAAACAAGAAAATAATAAATCATCAAATACTTTATTTAATACATGGTTTGGATATTTAACTCAAAAAAGAATAACTGATTTTTGGAATAATAAAAAGGCCACTAAAAAGAAGAAATTTTTAATTCTTGTTGGAACTTATGTTATTGGTAAAGAAAGATTAGCTATAGCAATTTCCAAAAAATTAGGATGTTTAATTTATGTTTCAAATATAAATAATAGAAAAAATAAATATGAAATTTTAAAAACTTATCAAGATTCTTATCTTGATCTGGTATTAACTGATGATGATTTAGGTTTGGCCAGTGATTGTGATTGTATTGTTCATTTAGTTCCAATGAATATAGTTGGATCAATTCAAGAATTATCAAATTATTTTAATCATAATAAATATTATGAAAATTTTGAAAGATGTGTTGGATTAAGACCAACTGGTTGGAGTTTTACTCAAAATGGAAAACAAAAGGAACCACCACCAATAGAAGAAGAACCATTAATTCCAAAAACTCCATTAAGTGATATAGTTAAATTAATGACTGAAAAAACACCATATTCATCAATGGACCATATATTATCACAATCTCCTAAAACAACAACCAAAAAAAAACCAGATATTGAATTATATAGAATTTATTCATTACCATATAGTGAACATTCAAGTTTTAGAGAATTATCATATTTTATATGTTTTTTCAATTTTGAAAAAGTTATACCTACAGTTAATTGTAATAATGAATTTAATTTAAAAAGAATGGATGAAATTATAGAAATTTGGGAAAAAATAAGAAGAATTAGAATTGGTGGTGGGTTAGAAACTGATTTTTTTAATGTTAATGATCATTTAATTGAAATGATTCAAAATTTATCATTAGATACTTTTTAAATGTATATACTACTGTTTTTTTAGTTCTTTTGTTTTTTTATTTTACTATGATAATATTTTGTTAATTCTTCACATTCTTCACCTTTACATTTATTCCATTGTACAACAAAATCACCATCTTCATAATCTAAATCTTTATTTGGTTGTTGAGGTTTTTTAACATTTTTAAATAAGTGATCAGAACTTATTGATTTTCTTGGAACTAAAACAGTTTTACTTAATATAAAAGGATGCCATTGTAAAATATGAGTTAATGCAGAATCAGGTCCATAAGGAAAATTTGCATATTTAAAATAAAGATTATCTGACCAGATTTCAATAATAGCTTTACCAATATCATCATTTTTGATTAAAAATGAAATAGTTTCAATCATATCTTTTGATTGAGTTAAAATTAATTTAACATTTTCAGATTTTAATTTTTTATAAGTTTTTATAACACCATTCTTGGGAATTAATGGTTGATCTCTAATCATTAATTGATTTAAAGAATTTTCATTTAATAGTATCTCCTCAATATTTTTTGTTAAATCTAATATCATACTATCTTGATCTAAATACCAAAACCATTTTGCATCAGGAAATGCAAACATTGCAGCTCTTAAACAAAATAATCTTATCCATTTTGATTTTTCCGAGTGTTTTAAAGAATCAAATGATCCTAATTGTGGTATAAACTCTTGTGACCATCGTACATATATACCATATTTTTGAAAATGAGCATAATCTACTCTATTTTGAACAATTTTAGCTAATGAATCAACTGAATATTTTTCAAAATCTACTGCAGTTACTATAATAACTTTTGGATAATTGTTTGAATTTTTTGATTTATATATAATTTTATCTTGATTCTTGAAAAAATTTTTAACTCTCATTAATTGATCTTTAGAATTTTCATCATCTTCTTTCAATTTTTGTACTGTTGGATCTGGATTATCTAAATAATTTAAAGATTTTAATATTGTTCTATCACCTTGTTTTATTGAAGTTATTAATTTTTGTGGAGTTATTTGATTTAAAGTTGGTGCATGTTCAATTGGTGGATAAATATATTTTGAATTTTGTTCTATAAAAAACCTTGATGAATATGGATGTTGTTGTGGATAATGTGGTATTGTTGATCTATTAAATAATGATATTATCCAACTATATGGATTTATAAAATACCATATTATTAGAAATGTTATGATTATAAATGAAATATTTTTTCTTTTTGTTATACTATTGAAATTAGCAGGTAATGGTAATATTGAATTATTCTTACCATACCTTGGCTTGAATGTGTTTCTAGTATTAAACATCACTGGTGATATTATAATCTTGATTCCATTAACCAAAATAAAAAAAAAAAATATCGCGAGAGTGAAATTTTTAAACACGTTACGAGTCAATTGTTTTACATTATCTATACTACACCTTACCACTTTCTTTATTTATTCTATCTTCAATTACTTGTAAAGCAATTTGTCTCCTTCTTTCTGCAACAGAACTAGCAACACTTTTATTTATTTGATTAACTTGTTCTTGTCTTTTTTGAGCTCTTGAATTACTTTGTTGAATAATTTCATCATTAAAAGGTTGTACCAAAGCTAATAATATCGCAATTTCATAAATTTGATTAAAAACTGGAGTTAAATAAGGTTTTAACAAATTTGGGAAAAATTCAACTAATTGAAAAGTATCTGATGCATCACCTACTAATAAAGAATCTTGATTATTTGATGGTAAAATTGAATCAGTTTTTAACAGTTGATAAAATCTAAGATAAAAATAACTTATAAAAAAACTTGTTATAGATGGTAAAGCAGGATATAATGTACCAAATCCAATTGACCATATAGTTAAAATAATTAATGAAGCAAAAGGTAAATGTTTAATTCTAAAATTAATTAAACCTTGAAATAATACAATATTATGTTCAGGTATTAATTGTTTAAAAACAACTAAAAATCCAAAATAATATGATATACCACCTCCCAATGGTTTATTCATATTTTCACTATCTGATCTTGCTATATTAATTAATATAGCAATTAAAACAGTTATAAAATTAGTTATACTACCTACCACCAAAATAAATTTTATAACTTCTATATAACCCCAAAATCTTTCAATAAATTTTGAACCAATAAATAATATAATAAATGAAAATATAAAACTTAATATTGAAATTTCTGCAAATATTGATGTAATTATACTCCATGGATTATATATTGTACTATTAGGAATCAATTGAATAAAAGGAATATTTATATCATGAAAATTAATGGGTTTTGTAGAATCTTGTAATTTTAATGAATTATAAGTCTTGTATTTAAGGATGAATAATGTAGATGTAATTGTAATTAATAAAAATAATAGTATCCTACTTGATTTGGGGATGTTATGACCTCGAAATAGACTCATTTTTAGTGAATTTAAAACAAGAGTGGTAATGGCTGTTGTATCTTGGTTGGCTTATTAGTTTTTCTTCGGTTAAGCTTATATTTCAAGATCAAGTTTAAGTATTTCTACGTTTTATAATTTGAAAGAATTACTGTCATGAATTCAATGTCATTATTTTTTATTTTCTGACGTAACCGAAAAATTATTTATAAATTTATCAATCATCAAAAACGAGTGATACTAGTAACATAATATCATGATGATTAACAACTAAGATCCATATAAATCTCATCTTTCAAAACAGCTAGAATGCACCATGTTACATTCAATTAAAGTTATCAATTCTATGATTTAAGGATTTAATTTACCATCCCCGGGATACTATTTATGTAATTTTCAATATTTAAATTCAATTCATACGTATTACAACTGAGATTTTGAAATGTTATCATGCATAATCAAAATAAGCAAAACCTAAGTTTTCAGACACCTTGTATGCAATGGGTTGACAATGAAAACTAAACTGAATTTGTTAGTTATCTATACTTCCTGTGATTGATATCAATTATGTATATTATTTTTGTGTGTTAATTTCTACAATTTAAAATTAATATTAAGGAGTTAATTAATACTTGTTTCAGAGTTTAATATTAATATAACACATACTCAAAAAATTTAAATTAATAAGAAAAAAACAAAAGGATATAAATATGTTTGAAAAAGTCCTTGAATTTTGAAATTTGAAATTTGAATCTTTTTAATTATTTTATGTTTCCTTCAACTTTCATTAGTTTAAACTATCATTCATCTTAATACATAATATTCATATTATATATTTAAGAGTCATCATTAAAACTTAGTCGATATTACATCACACATTAGGTTCATTGTTAAAAGGTTTGCTAAATTTATATTATTATTTATTAGTTATCATTATTAAATTCTTATCAATATCATCATCAATATTTAAAATGGGTAATATATCAATATCAGACTTCTCATTTTTTGCAAAAGAAATAAAAGAATATTTTGAAGAAAGACAAGAATTTTTTATGGAGGCTTCTCAGGAAACTAGTGATTTTAAATTAAAAATAATTTTTAGAATTTTACAGTTGGAAACGAAATTAAAATTATTAGAATTCATGAATAGATTAGATGGACCTCATTTCGAGCTTTATACTTCATTAAAAAATGATGATGATCCTACCAAGATGAAAAAATATCTTACATTATTGGCTCAAGCATTTGATTTTCAATTAATGCATGCTGATGAACCATATATGCCTGAATACAGTTTTTTTGCAAACCAACTTGATTAAGATATTGCTCCTATCACTACAGTTGAAGAAATGTGATGCCAGTCAAAATGAATATTCATTTACTTTGGATGAATGGATCAATAATTGATACTTTTGATGTTCCAAAGTTGAATTAAGCATTTGTTTTATCCCCACGGTTTGTTTTTATACGATGGTAAGTTTAAATATTTTTTATACGAATATATTGATGTGTGTAATGATTATTTATATTTCTATTTCACTAACTCTTTTCTACTTTTTTCCTTATACTTCACTGATTCTAAATATGAGGAAAAACGTTCTTTGATTATTGAAATAACTTAAAGACTTATAATTGTAATGTTTTGATTAAATTTATAAAAACAATTATAAGAGGAATACATGAGAAATTTATTAGATGAAACTTATATTATAAACGTTAGGTATGATGCTATAGAATTAGTTATCTCAAAAGGTCCTCTCATTTAGCTCCTTCTTCTCTTTTCCCCCCTTTGTTCTTGAATTGACCTCTTTTGTTTTTCTCTCTTGATCTCTTTTTCTAAATTTAATCTTATTTGTCTTTCTCCTTTATCTAAATCTAATCTAATTTGTTCAAAATTGAAAGGTTTTCTATCTCTAATTTTCGATTGTGATTTAGTTCCATCTTTAGAAATTAAAATTGGTTGATGTAAATATATTGGAATTTTAAAATCAGGACCAATATTTGTATGAACATCTAATATATCAATAGCATCAAGATCTCTTAATATTGAATGTATTGGTTCACCTTGAATTTTAGGATCATCTATTTCAATTGGTGTTATTTTTTTAAATTTTGGTGGTTTTGAACCAGATTTGAAATGAAATTTTTCTTCTTTGTCTTTTTCATTATGTGATTCATCATTGTTTTTTTTTGGCTTGTCATCAGCAGGCAGCTTAGCTAAATTTGAATCTTCCATTTTATTATTATCAGTGGATTTAAAAATGATAGCTTAAACTAAATATTGCAATAATAAGTGACAACTGAAATTATAGTTTGAAATTTCAGTGTAAATATACTAGAGTAAAAATTTCTAATGAGATAACGATTTCATGTTCCTTATATACAAATGTATAATAAGATAACGATTTCATGTTCCTTATATACAAATGTAATTTCAAGTTTCAAAAAAATATGCAAGCAATGAGTTTAATTTCGAAACAAATTGAAAAATAGTAACAATGGATGAAATTAAAGGAAACATGAAACATGAAACATGAAACATCACACAAAACCGATAAACCAATTAACTGTAAGATTATAATATTCTAATTTGAAAGTATTATCAAAATTCAAATTAAATGATTAACTTATGAACATTCCAGACAAGATTCAGTTTAATACCGACAAGGGCTTGTTATTGTTATTAAACATATAAATCCCATTAATTATGAAGGATTTGAGCTAAATGTACATAAATATTTTGAAAATTTCATGTGAAATAGCCAAGAAAAAATATATTATGAATTACTCGTCTTTTGAAACAAGATCATCACTGTATAAAACTAAAATAAAAATTAACTCAAGAAAGACTATGATTTAAAACTAGTTCTCAAAATAATTAATTACTTACATGTGAAGAGACTCTCGTATTTTTCCAAATAAAAGGGTACATAAAAATCTTTTAGAATTATCGAGCGCTTTTACCTTTAATAAATCTATTTTGTTTTCAGTTCTCCACTAGTTTGGACGATTATAAACAGCATCAAAAGAATCAAGATGACGATACTCAAGAGTAAGAAACCTATAGAAAATCAATTTATAGAACAATTTATAAAACAATTCATAGAACAAAAAATAATAACAATAATAATAATAGTAAATATAACAAATAAAAGATTTATAAAACTAAAAAATATTCTATATACTTGATTCTTTCCTTATTTGAATGGATTTGTTGAATAAGGTGTAGTGTGTCCAGTCATTCTTGTACTCAAATAACTCCAGGTGTATGAATGAGGTCTATTATTACCAGTATCATTGTTTGAAACATTTCTAGGTTGAAATAAACCATAAGCAATCGAGCCTTTAGAACCAATATTTGCAAAAATATCGGTTTTAGACGCTGGTATGTTTTTATTAACACTATTAATTCAGATTTTGAGTTTTGAGCGGAAATCTTGAGTTTTGGGCGGAAATCTCAAGTTTAATGAATCTCAAGTTTAGTGAATCTCTAGTTTAGTGAATCTCTAGTTTAGTGAATCTCAAGTTTAGTGAATCTCAAGTTTAGTGAATCTCAAGTTTAGTGAATCTCAAGTTAAGATCTATAAGATCTATAAGCTATATTACTATGGATTGTAGTGAGGATTGTAGTGAGCAACACGTCTTGAATCAGCTTATACTGCTATAGATCCAACATATTAACAATAAACAACGATTGTATGTTCAATAGGTTTGGTCAAAATAATGATATGCTGCTATTCAAAATCCTAAACAATCTGAAACACTCCTTAACAAATTTTGCATATTAAAACTCACTAAATACAATACAACAATGCAAAATCAAATAGGTCAAATAAACTCATTTAACAGCATCAAAAGACTCAACAGCATCAAAAGAATCAAGATGACGATACTCAAGAGTAAGAAACCTATAGAAAATCAATTTATAGAACAATTTATAAAACAATTCATAGAACAAAAAATAATAACAATAATAATAATAGTAAATATAACAAATAAAAGATTTATAAAATTAAAAAATATTCTATATACTTGATTCTTTCCTTATTTGAATGGATTTGTTGAATAAGGTGTAGTGTGTCCAGTCATTCTTGTACTCAAATAACTCCAGGTGTATGAATGAGGTCTATTATTACCAGTATCATTGTTTGAAACATTTCTAGGTTGAAATAAACCATAAGCAATCGAGCCTTTAGAACCAATATTTGCAAAAATATCGGTTTTAACTTGGCCCGATGCTACGGCTGGTGCAATGATGATTATTGCAAATAACAATAAAACTGTGAAATACAAGACACAATACTTCCTTACCATTCTCTTTCTCAAACGTGCCTGCTTTAATGAATAAATTGGTGGTCTAATTAATCTTGAAGGTTTTAACCAAAATAACATCATTGAATGCCATCTATCTACTAATGGAACAAATAAAATTGGTAATTGACAAAATAATATTACATGAGCTAACATAAAATCTGCTGCGAATTCTGACATTTCAATAATTTTTGCTACAAATTCTCTTGATGGTTGAGTAAAAGCCATCCAACCCATACCTGTATTATACCATTTACCAGTCCAAAATGCAGTATTTGCTTTATCATTTTTGAATTCTCTTGTTAAACAAGTTAAAGTTAAAAATTTAAATAATAATCTTTGAACATAAATCATTGTTGCTAAACCTAATAACATTCTTGCAAAACTGAATCCTTCAGTTACCCACATAACTATAAAAAATATAATATGAACTATAACTGCAATTCCATGTGCAACACCTGCAATAACTGCACCAGTTTTTTTACAACATAAACCTAACATTGGTCCTGCACAACATGCCATTCCAACACATACTGCTAATACACCACAATCAATAACAACAGGAGCTAATGAACAAATGACTAATCTTAATACTGAATTAACAGGTTGAGCAGCTTCAGAACCATCAATTTCATAAGGATAAGTAGTAACACCAGTTTGAGCATTTATAAAAGTAAAAGCAACAAATAATCCAGCAGTATAAATCAAACAAGGAATAAAATCTGCAAAAAATATATTTGATCTATGAGCTCTTGAAGCATCACCTGCTGCTTTTTCAGATACATCTCCAACTAATTTTCTTTTAAAACCAGTAACTCTTGATCTTGATAATCTTATATAACCAATCCAAGAATTTCTATGCCATTTAGTATTACCTCTTGATAACCATCTTATAAAATCTCTATAATCAATGAAAAAATCATCCCAAGCAAATTGATGAGGATTGAAAATAAATGGTGAAAACATTAATGATGATAATGAAGCCCAAAACCATAATAAAGGAGCTTGCCAATGAGCAACAGTACCAAATAATAAAATTAACATTAATCTTGCACCCATATAAATTGAAGAATCAGCAAATCTTGAGTATAAAATTGAAAATGGAATTCTTGAAGTTGCAAAACCTCTACCAGTTGAAATATATCTTGCACCACCAACAGTTAAATCAGTAAAAACAGATGATGAATAAATTTGAGCAACAAAAACTTCAAACATTGGTGATAATGATATAAAATGTCTTGTAAATCTTTGGAAAGCTTTCCAAACACCTCTTTCAATTAATTCTTGAACAACTAATGGAATAAATGATATGAAAAACACAATAAAAATTGATAATGTATAACGTCTAACCCAATCAACAGCTGGAGATAAATTATAACAACCATAAGGATATAAAACATCAGTAACTGGAACATCTCTATCATATGAACAAATAATTGATTCATGAGCTAATGAATTTAAATTAGCTAATACTAAAATAAATACTTGTAAAGATAATTGAATAAAAATATTATTAATATGAAAACCTGGATGACCATAATAAAATGATAAAAATCTATCTAAAGGTAATTGAGTTGATAAATAATAATATTCTCTTGATAACATTTGTTCTCCCATACCTGCACCAATTTTAGTTGTAAAATTTAAAATTGATCCAAAACCCATATCTCTACCTTTACCACATTGATAATACTCACAATGTTTAATTTTACCACCTCTCATCATTGCAGTCATACCAGCATAAATATCTTCATTTAAATGTAAACCTTTTTGAGCTTTTGAAACACCACCTCTTGTAAGCATAAAAGTAGCATTTAAGAAATCTGGATGACCATAATGTAATTTACCACCAATTTGAGCTAAAGTTCTTGCAAATAATGTACCAAAAGTTTGTTCTTTACCAGCTGCAACATCACCTAAAACACCTGAATTTTCTGAAAAAATATATTCTCTTGCACCTAATATAGCAACTGGATCCTTTTTTGAAGTTGGATCTTCTGTTTTTAAATTTGGAGCATAAGGATTAACATGTTCAACATTTAATTCTTCAAATTCAGCTAAAACACTTCTAATTTTTAAACATTCTTCTAAATAATTATCTTGATTTGCATCAATTAATTGAATATATTCACCTCTATGGAAAATTATAGCATGATTTTGATTATCTGATTTACCATCACCTAAAATTGGATTACCTGATAATTGAACTCTAAATTTAGGACGTCTTCTACCATTTTCTAACATTTCACAATGACCATCAATCAATGCTGAATATACTCTTGGTTCTTCATCTTCATTTAATGCAGGTTCTTCATCTAAAAATGCAATTTGTAAATCTGGATAAGCTCTTAATAAAAATTCAGCATTTTCCATTTCATCATCTTTAAATTTTGATAATCTTTGCATTGAAACTAAAAATCTAAATTTTCTTCTTGCCATTTTTTCTAATGCTAATTCTAAACCTTCTGGATCACCACCAAAATATTGAACTAATTCAGGATTTTCAACTCTATATAATAATTTAATAGCTCTTGCATAATTCATAAAACCAGAAACTGTTCTATATAAAGTTTGTGATCTTAATGATGCCCAAATTCTTGTTCTTAAAGTATATTCAGGTGCAGCAGATTTAAAACCAATACAATAAAATGGTAAATCATCAATTTTAGATTTTAATCCGTCTTCACTTGATTTTTCATTATTATCATCATTATTTTCATAAGCAGCAGTTTCTTCAGCTAAGATTTTAGTATCTTTAACAAAACATTCCCATTCAACTGGATGTAATTGTTTTAAATATTCTAATAATGTAACTCTTGAAAATTGATCATCTTCTCTAATAATTTCTCTTAATGATAATAAAATTTTTTCAGAATAATGAGGAGTGAAAACAGTAAAAGTAGGCATATTATCAACTGGTAATGG